CTGGGCCTGACCTTTGTCGACGTCAGCGGTGGCGGGGAATGGCGGGGCAGAGACGGAGGGGGGGGGGGTGAGAGGGGGAGGGGAGGGGGGAGGTTGATAGTTGGTGGTTACTGATTGCTGACATGGAGTATTGCTGCGTTGCCGTACAGCGTATGACAACCCTCAAACGACCGTCCTCGTGATGGACCCCAAAACCGCCGATCCCCTGCCAGGGCCAAGCCACGAATAGCCTTTTCCACGGTGAGAACATTAGGACGTGCAAGTAATGCTATGTACCTGTAGTTTTGTTGGATGTTTGATCTTGTTGAATGTACAAGTTACAGAGCTACTAGTAATGCTCACTACTCCGTGTTCATTGCTCTGAGAGATGAGCACTTGAAAGGAACAGTTCAAGACCATCCATATATTATTAATACAGAGTACATGCATGCATGTACGCGTCCATTATGAAATGTAGGTCCAACCTCCAGACGCCCATAGAGTTTAACACCACGCCAAACTCACTATATCCAACTTGACCTGTCATGACGTCTTTTTTTTTATGTTCAGAGATATGGATATATCTCTCCCTCTCCGACGCGTTTCTTCCTCAATCTGTCGACATGTGGACAGCGGGTTTGCTTTATTTTATTTTATTTTAAAGACAACATCAAACAAATTGAATAAGTGAAAACCCTCGTCGTTTTCCAATCCGTTTATTCAGATACTTCTAGTATCGAATAGGCAAAAATGAGCGCCTACCCCCCCTGTTGCATCACTTTTTTGATGTCCAACTTTGACATATTGACAATGAGCATCACCATCACCTCTTCGTTCGCTTTAACTGGCCACGTAATATTACTATCAAGAAGGATGACTAGTGGTAGCGATAACACATCAACATTCTTCCAGCCAGGCACCCGCCCAGCCCTGCAACGCATGAATATAGATTCCAAGTTTTCCCACCCAAGCTGGTCCTATCGTCATAGAGATAACAGCCATTCTCTTAGGCTTTTTCTATCTCGACTAGAGCGAGCGGCAGAGAGAGGGGGAAAAAAAGAGTGACAGTAGCAGTTGGGTTCAGGTGTACCAATTGCTCGTCACGCACCTCTCTCTTGATGCACGCTTGACCCGCTGACATCATACCACAAGGGAGGAGACGGGGCGGGGGGTTTTTGCATCGACCAACAAAATTTGACGGCGCGACTCGATGAGTAGGAAGGGAAGGGAAGCTATCCTCCTTGGAAGACTACAAGAGGAGGGGCAGGAAAAAAAAAGAATTGGAATTAAAAAGTGGCTGAGGGTTGGGAAAGAGTCATCCCCCCCCGAATGTTTTGACTAAGTTGCATAGACTGGGGAGGGAAAAAAGACATTTTCTACTTGTACTCCGATGTTGCCGGTGACCACCTTTTTTACGCACGAGTACAGGAGTACGATTATCAATTAGTAGCTTACGAGTGAAAAGAAGTAGTCGGCTGGGCGTAATGTGCAGCCGGGAATCAGACAATCAGACAACGAGCATATGATGCTACCAGTACATCATCATGCAGTTCCTGTCCTGGTTTTCTCCATCTTATCATATCATGTTCTTGTGCGTCGAGATATTGTTATACTACCACACCACTGTACAGATTATATAAGCATACGCGTTACTAAAGCGTATTATAGTGGTAGACAGGTAGTATCAGGAATGGATCATCTGTCCCCTGCCATACGGATAGTTGTCAGTACACATGGTAGTATTATTGCTAGCATCTTTTTTCTGACATTCCCGCGCCCTCGTTCCTTTACAACTTTGCAGAGAGATAAACCCCGGAAAAGGTACAGCCGATTCCCATGATTCTCTACATGTAATACGGGCTAGATCCCATGCGCAAGGGGTTTTCTCCCTCTATCAGCCAACCTTACCTTGACCCATCAAGTCCCAATGCATCCAGGTCAAGTGATGGAGATTTTTCTTTTTCCTTTTTTTCTGTCTTCTCTTTTCTTTTTAAATTTTTTTTTTTTTTGCCACAACATCCGCGGAACCTACATGGTCACCAACCAACTCTGCCAACGGGCTTAGAGGCTCAAGGAGGGTGGTGGTGGTGGGAGGGGGGGGAGGGGAGACCCAAAGCCGCACTAGAAACTCTCCGGGTGAATCAGAGATTTAGACTTGTCTTGGGGGAGTGGGCTTACTCCTGGTGATGAGGGGAATCTGTCTGACTGGTTCGTCATGGGTTAAGGCTTCCAGTATAGCACACCGCTATTCTTGACCATTGGTAATGGACATCATCATCTCTCTGCCTCTTCTCTTGTGGAGAGGGTGGGTTGAAATACTTGGACTGTTCTTAAAGTGTCAGTCTTGGCTGTTGTCATGTCCCCTGCTCCATATCTGCTCTCCGGAAATTTTACCGATATGGGGGTGTGATTGGGGTTGGATTTAGGAATCGGGGGTTCACTCTGCACGAGTAATTTTGAAAAAAAAAAAAGATAAAAACTTCTATTATTCGTACCTATCCTAAACGGCGTATCTCTTCCCCTCCTCTTGAAACGTGCGAGAGTGCTATCACGTTATTTATTCAACTGCTCCAAATAAATATGTTATGCATAAGTCATGAGAAAGACAATCAAGAAAAAGAAATAGATATAAAACAGATCGTGACTTTTTCTCCCTTACAAAACAGTCATGACTTCTAGGAAAGTGCGTCACCACTTTAGATGTCCAGCATACTGCGAATCTGCGTGGCGGGCGCGTTGATGGAGTTGGTCGTGCCGGTGCTGTTACTCCTCTCTCCCGTGGCCCTGTCACCACTACGCGACGAGGCGCTGCGTCCGCGGCTGTCGTCCTCGTATGCCGGTGGCGGACCATCACTGGTGATGTACTCGAGGCGGCGTCGCCTCTCTTCCTCAGCCTCCCTCTCGCGGCGCTCAACCTCTTCAGGGTCGGGGAAGAGGAGGCTGGAAGCTATGTTGACGACGCGTTCAGACTCCGGGTCGAGGTTGGAGGCGGAGATGGAGCTGGTGCGCGTGCCCATGCCACGGACGCCGGCGCGGTCGACGCGGGGGTTGTGGCCCTTGCTATTGCCCTGGTACCGGGACGTCTCGTCGTAGCTGTCCAACTCGATGTAGGCCGCGTTCCTCTCCATGTTCTGGCGTATGTCCCTCTCCATATCGCTCTCTGCGCGGCGGCCGAGGGACCTCCCCTGGCCGACCTCGTTGACGTTGCGGGCGAGCTTGTCGCGCACGGTTCCAACTAGGTGCTCGCCCTTGACGCGACGCCACCATGCGGGACGGTGGATGATGCCCAGCTCTCGGTCGAGCATCTCGCCGCGTACACGCCTCTGCCTCATGAGCTCCTTGTCCTCGTTGGGGCTGGACCAGCCGTACAGGATCTGCACCACCAGGATGGCCAGCTGAGTACCGTAGCCCCAGCCGTAGATGATGGGGATGGGACCGTCAGCCCGCATGACGGAGAACCGGTACTGGAACGCGATGAGAGCCTGGTAGGCAATCATACCCAGCGACAGCGGGAGGAGCAGCGCGAAGCGCAGGGGAATGTCCCGAAACAGGCCGATGAGACGGTTGAACAGGCCGCTTTTGCGGGGCTTGTAGTGGTTGATCGAGTGGCTCATGGAGAAGACAGTCGTCAGCCACGCGCCAAACAGGAAGAAGGCAGCAATCTTGAAGCGGATGCCTGTGGCACCTGGCTCGGCAATGGCAGCCTCTTGCTCGGGTGAGCGCTGCATCTGGGCAAATTTCCAGCTACGCGGGATAATCATGAAGAAGTTCTACATCGTACGAGTCAGCGTATATTCCCAATATGATACGGGGTTTTTTTTTCGTCCGCGAAAGGAAAGGGAGGGAGGAATAGAATGATAAGCATACCATCCAGATGAGTAGGTAGCACCAGAGCGGGAGCCAGAACTCAATCTTTGAACGTCTGTCGTCATCGCGAAGGACAAAAGGGTTGGGATCAATGTACTGCCTCTCCATCCAGCTTCCCCAGTGGCGAACAGCCTCCCAGACGAGGGCCATGGAGCCCATGCACATGAGGTAGTAGAAGAAGGTGGTGACGATAATGGGCAGCTGCTGAACCTTGTACCGGTCGACATCGATGTTGAGAAACAGGCTGACGAGGGCGCAGCTGCAGACGAACAGGCCCCAGTACCACTGCCAGCGACGGCCGAGGGGGGCGAAGCGCTTCTCGCGCGGCAGATGCTGGGGGCCGTGCTTGGCCAGGCAGGTCAGCAGCAAGACGAGGCAGACGCCGAACGCGGCTGCCATGCCGATTCCCGTGCGGCCGCGGTCCCCAATGGGGTTGATGCCGTTGTAGCAGCCCGTGCCATTGACAAAGGTGCCATTGGGGAAGAGGAGTGCGGGAACGTAGGGCTCGTAGGTCAGGTAGCACTTGGAATTGTTGGAAAGGGTGCCGTTGCTGTAGACGGTATAGTTGAAGTGCACCAGGGTGGTAAGGTTGAAATGGGTTGAGCCGAAGATGGTGTCGGTGTCGTTGTCGCCCGCGGGGAACGAGATTACATCGCGTGCGTCCATGTTGGGCGAGGGGAAGATGACTGCCTCTTCTGGCGCGAGTTCGCCCGACGTTTGCTGTTCCTCTTGTTGACAATACCCTTGTTTCGTCACGGGAGAGGTCCCTTTTGCGTCGGGAATCGGGATGGAATACAATCCTCAATACGTTGCAAGCATAGCACGCAATCGAGGAGTCTGCACTTTGTGTGGTCGCACAGTCCACGCCGATAGACAGTGGCGATTGAGGACTCGTCGTGGTTGAGGACGAGGGTGAGAGGATGGGAAGAGACAAAAGAGAAGAGAAGAAGATTAGGGAGGATAAAAACAAGTGCGACAGAAAAAACAACTCAGTGACGATCAAATCGGGAACTGCGGAGGCGAGAAATAGAATTGCGCTGTTTTGTCGGATGGGTCGGCACTACAAGTAAGCAGTATTATTACTCTGCACTCTGGGTGATGGAAACGGCCGATGCAACCATGTTTGTTGAGCCTGGGAAAGACGAGAAAATCTCCACACTTTTCGCTTTTCTGAATGAATCAGGACTCAGAGTACAATAGGCAGGACAGTACTCCGTAAAGAAAACAGAGAGGGAAAAAAAAAAGGGGACAGCACAATCGACAAAGGCTAGCCGCTAGCCTCTAGGGAAAGAACTGGGAAGAACTCGGGGGGCTTGTCCGAGGCCTGACGTAAATGAGCAAATGAGCAGACAAGATCCCTGCTATATGTGGAGAAGAAGGAGGCGGGTTTTATCTTGTCCAGCACGAGTCTGTATGACTCCTAGGCAACCAAGTACAGCGCTCTCTGTACCTATACTCCATGTAGTAATACAGCACGCCCAGGTCGTAATCCAGCGTACGAGTAGAGACCTGGAGCCAACATTCCACTTTTCTAAACTCGGGCAGGGTACGAGTACGGATACGATACAAGTACCTGCTCCCCCCGACCGAGACAGACACCCGATCTGATTATATGCTTGCGGTCGATAACGATATCAGAGGAGAGTCAGGAAGACCGTCCAAGGGGGAATTGGCGGAACAGTCAATCCCTCCGCTTCCCTGCCCAACATGGCCGACGAAGAACCGTCCTACGTCGACTACGAGAGCTTCCTAGCCCCCGACTTCAAGCCCGCCTCCTTTGCCAACACGCTGGTGATCTCGACCAATAATGCCAACGACAGTCCCCTGGACCTGTCAACCCCTCTGTCGCGCGTGCTCTTCGACGCGCAAGAGGTAGACTCGCACATTGACGTGCTGACGACGCGGTCGGCCCTGCCTCTCCTCAAACACACCCAACAGCAGACCCAGGCGAGCAAGCACATCGTGTCCGAGCTGGATGGCCAGGTCAAGAGCCTCAACGATAGCTACCGCCAGCTCGAGAAGGAGGTCATCGACAAGCATGCCGAGGCCGAGGAGGTGAGGCAGGTGGCCCTTAGGCTGTGGGAGACGCTACGGCTCGGCAGGGCCACGGGCCGGTGCCTACAGCTGGGCAGGCAGCTGGAGACGCAGTACGCTGAGCTGGGTGGCAGTAATGCGTCGGGTGACGACTACGCCGCCCTAGTGCGCTGTGCCTACACAATCCTCTCGGTGCGGGAGGTGGTGGACAAGAGGGCTCCAGGTGAGGAAGGCCACGGGCTGAACCGCGTCGACGCCGTGCGCAGCCTGCAGGACACCGTCGTCAACCCCATCGACAAGTCCGTGCGCGAGACGGCCGAGCGAGTCGTGCGTGACTTTTCCCTCACGGCCTCCATGACCTTCTCCCAGGGCGAAGAGGCCCGCTCCCGCGTCGTCCACGCTCTCACGGTCCTATACCTCCTCTCGCCGACCGTGGGTCTGAAGCCAGGCAAGTGGGCGCCGAGATTCCTCCTCCAGGCCCTGGAGTCGCATCTTCGCTCTTCCCTACAGACCAGCCTAGCTGTCCTGTCACGGTCGCTAGGCCAGCTCCCCACCCTGGACCGTGCCCTCGCCGACGTCACGACCCGGTGCCAGTCTGTCGTTGCACTCGAGGTGATCCTCGATGCCACGAAGCCTCCCGCACACCCTCTCCTGCCCGCCGACGCCCAACAGCCTCGGACGCCGCTGCTGCAGACCTTCCTCGCATACCTGGAGACGCCGTCGCTGCCTTCATACTTTTGGCGTACAATGGCTGGAAGCCTGGCCTCGCGTGTCCAGGATATCGCCAGCAGGGGCGGTGTCGTTGCCCGCACACTCAAGTCCAACAAGACCAATGTCGGTGACGCTATTCGCCAGGCTGTCGCTACGGGATCACAGTTGCCGCCTGCACTGTCGGGGATCAGGACGACCAAGGACAAGACTCCTAATTGGGACAGGGAGACGGCTGTCATGGTGGGCAGTGTGGTGAACAATATTAGGTGAAAAGACGAGGGTACCTGGACAGAAGAGCTCTCTACTATCATGACGAGTAATGAAAGTATGCATGACAACATGAACACATGATATCTGACTCCTACTGCTAGACAGTAAGCAGTACGTTATAGAGATGATGATGCTACTACCGTGTTCCTAATCTCCCACTGTATGGCATATGCACGTACCCCTCGACCTTGCAGGTGGGGCACCCTTGACGCCATGAGACGCGCTCAACTGCCCCGCAGCATAGCTGAGGTGCCATGCTACATATCCTCACCTTCATCTTGTCGAGGCATTTCATTCTTTCATCAAAGAAGAAATATCAAGGCATGGACAGATAGATTAAGAACAGGGCAAAAAAAAAAGGCATCATTCAAGCAGACAAGCGCACACGCACACACGCACAACCCCAACATGGCTCCTCACGACGGTCTCATCCACCCCAAGGAGTACGACATCAAAGACAGCAACGTCGAGCTCATCAGCTCGGACCTAGACCATAAGGTCAGGTACAACTCAGCCGCAACCGAGCCAGCCTGGAACGACGGGAAGGTAGGCCGGACAGCGGGCCTGTACGTGTGGCGCATCGAAGAGTTCCAGGTGGTGCCCTGGCCCGAGGAGAAGTACGGCCAGTTCTACAACGGCGACAGCTACATCGTCTTGTACTCGTACAAGGTGGGCAGCGGGGCCAACGAGAAGCTGTGCCACGACATCTTCTTCTGGCTGGGTGCCCACACGACCCAGGACGAGGCCGGCACGGCGGCCTACAAGACAGTCGAGCTGGACGAGTTCATGCACGGGGCGGCCACGCAGCACCGCGAGATCCAGGACGCCCCCTCGGACGAGTTCCTGTCGCTCTTTCCGCGCCTCACCATCCTGAAGGGGGGCGTGCGCTCCGGCTTCCGCCACGTCGAGCAGGACGCCCCCAGAGAGGATGTCACCACGCTGCTCCGCGTCTTCAAGAACCCCGCCTCGTCCTCGGCTGACGGCGTCGTCGTCTACGAGGTTGAGCCCACCTGGCGCAGCCTCGACGACTCCGACGTCTTCGTCCTCGACAAGGGCGACAAGATCTGGGTCTGGCAGGGCAAGGACTGCAGCCCGATGGAGAAGGCCAAGGCCGCCCAGGTCGTGCACGACATGACTCTCGCCAAGCACATCGACGTCGAGGTGCTCGCCCAGTCCGAGTCACGCTCCGTGCGCGTCGTCGACCTCCTCGGCGGGGATGAGTCCACCCCTCGAGACGGCTTCTACCAGCCCAGGCCTCTGGGTGGTGGTGCTCAGCAGCAGAAGCAGCAGCAGCAGAACGTCAGCGTCAGGCTGTTCCGTCTCAGCGATGCTTCAGGACAACTCTCGTTTGAGCTTGCCAAGGAGGGGAGCAACGTGTCCATGTCTGATCTGGATGGTAACGACGTCTTCTTGCTTGACCTGGGCGGGAGGGCTATCTGGATTTGGGAGGGTAAGGGTGCTAGTCTTGTCGAGAAGGCTCAGTGGCTGCATGTTGCGCGGGCGTACGTCCAGTATATACAAAGCTCTCAGGAGGATGCCTATCTCATCCCTCTGGCCAAGGTGAACGAGGGCCATGAGAGCAAGGCTTTCCTCCAGGCTGTTGCTGTTTGAGGATGGCAATCTATGAAGCGTATATAGGACAGCGCCACTGCAAATTTTGAGGGATATCCAGCCCATCTATACATACTTGGGATCTCTCACAGCCTACAGACGACCGTGTATTATATACATCTTAGATATATATACGATACATATACCATGGCAGGATACCCGATGATGACCGGAGGGGAAAATACTACTCCTTCGCATTGTGCGTACACAGATGGATAGTTTCCAGGGAACAAGCTCTTCCTCGGACTCTACATCGGTGGCCTGTCCAAGCAAGGCCTTGATCCTTGTTATTGCCGGTCCCAGTTCCAAGCATTCACATATGGCGTCACCGGACATGCTTCAGCCTTCCCATCCATGATGGCCTGCTCACCAGGTTGGGGAAGCTTTGATCTCACCGGGGAGACCTGCGTATAAATCGTCCATCTCCGTTCTACCAACGTGGGCGACGGCATCCCACTGTCCGAGGGGGAGAGAGAGAGAGCAGAGGTACTTGCCGGATATGGTATAATGTATGAAGATGAAGAGAATTAATTACCGGGACCTGATGATGATGCCCCCCAGTCGTATTAGTCAACCAGTCGAATGACGACGAATGATAATGCCAATACTACTACTAATAATATCCGTACTTAGTGACAAGTAGAGAGGGATCATCGCCGCAATGTTGTTGAGTCCCCCACAGCTCAGCCCCGGAGTTGGTACATAATACTATATATTACAGGGCCCTACAGGGTTGTTGGGTTGAAAACCCCCACACCAGTCAGGAACGACGCATCAGTCTGGCCCGTTCATTCCACCGTCTACGTCAGCGCCTTCTTCACATGCGTCGCGCAAACCCAAAAGGCAAAAGGAGAGGATGATGTAGAGTTTTCTCTTCCACTTCCTCCTCCACTCGCTCTCCTTCTTCGCGTATTTCACAAATCTCATACAAGATCACCAAATCCTGATAACCACCAACCCGCGAAGCTCGAAATGCCCGCCGACAACGCGTCAGGTGAGAACGAAGGCCTCCTCCGCCCCCTGCAGCCACTGTCGCGACGCTCCGGGTACCTTGCCCGCGCCGCCAGCGCAGCGTCGTATCCTATCATCGGCATCTGGTACTTCCTGCGCCACCGCGACTTCTGGCCGCTGTTCTCTGGCCGCATCGTTCCGTTGACCCTCATATCCTTTATTGTCTACTTTCTTCTCTTTGCCTTTGCCTTTCTGCCGCAGTACGCCTTTCTGGCTCTCTTCCACGGCTGGGGTGCCTGGGTCAGCGCCGTTGTGCTCGTCCTGGGCGAGGGCCTGGTCGTCATCCAGGGTCTTTTCGAGGGATTCTTTGTTGATGAGTGCCGCGTCGATGTCTTTGATGTGCGTGAAATTTTCCTGAAACCTGCTGCTCTCTGCTATGTGTATGTGTGCGCGTGTGCCCGTGCTGACATTCCCCAAAGGCCACCTTGATCAAGCTCTCCTGCACCGAGCTTGTCTCCCCCCACAGGGTACTCTACTCGGATGCCCCCAACGAGGTCAAGATGCTGGGGAAGCCGACGACGTCGGCCGTCTACACGCCCTGGAGCATCATCCAGATGGTCGAGCTTGTCGTGTTCCTGCCCCTCAACCTGATCCCTTGGGTCGGCATGCCGGCTTTTATCATCATCACCGGCACACGCCTCGGCAAGTTGGCGCACTACCGCTGGTACCAACTCCGCGGCTTCTCCAGGGAAGAGCGCAAGAGGGAGGCCAAGCAGCTCGTGTGGGAGGACATCTGGTTCGGCACCGTGGCCATGATTCTTGAACTCATCCCCATCCTGTCTCTCGTTTTCCTGCTCACAACCACCGCAGGCGCTGCCCTGTGGACTGCCAAGATAGAAAAGGAGAGGGCCGCGGCTCCTGGAGATGACTCTGACGGGCACGACGAATCCAACGAGCGCGACGGCCCTCCGCCTTATGCCGACCATCTGGCGTGATGCGTGTCACGCTGAAGAACGCAAAGGTTACGCTACCCCGCAAAACGACAAGTGTATGTAGGGCGTAGACGATTGCAAAGGGCGCAAATGACGTGCTGCTGCCATCTTACTGGATATTGTATGTATCGACGACAACTTCAACAAACGATGGGAAATGATGCGAGAAAAGAAAGGAGAAGACAGGAAAATCCGATTATGGCAACGACAATGTATATGTCGGAGAGGGCCGACCACTGAGCCATTGAACCATACCCGCGATGAATTGTCATTATATATTCTTGGGCTTGAAGACCTCAACTGCACACGACATCGGACTGTATGACTACTAATACTATTTACTATTCATCTTGTCGGCACGTCGGTCAAAGTGGATCTGAGTTTCGAATGACACATGAACGGCGTATCGGTGACGCCCGAATTCACATATGATGATGCGCCACGGTCTCGATAGCAACGCTGAGTTGAAAACTCTGCAAAGAAAATGGTTGAGCTCTAGACCGACAATGTGTACGAATATATGGCCCGTCAGACTCTGTCTACTCCGCAACTCGGGGAGGGGGGCGATCATTGGGCTAATGAGGCACGATAAAGAGAGAGAACCGAACCCTTGTCGCCCACAAACGACAAAAAGGGAAACATTGGGACTACTACTTCATACGAGTAAGAATAGCCGGTAATCGTGCAGATGCCGACTCATATTACCGGAGTAGGAGCAGAGTCTCTCCCCCCCATGTGTCATTACTCTACCTATACTCTGTTGCGCGCTCCGCTCTTCTGATGTTGACTGTGCAGTCAGGACCAGGACCAGCCGATCCCCCGCATTCTCTCTCCAACAATAGGGAAAACAATCTTCAGAAAGATAGTCTTCTTGAGCAACGGGGTTTGGTTTGTAAAACTTGTTTGGATATCAACAGGTTGCTCCTCTCTACCATTGGAGTAAACATTTCGTGCCGAGTGATTTCCTTTCCCCTCTCTATCTATACAACACCTGCCAAACCTGTCCTTCCTTTCTTCTTTCCTCGCTATTGATCGAATCTCTTGACTTTCCTCACATGATCGTCGAAGGTTCGGTGAAAGCTCCGACGTTGGCCCCAGATTGTGCCGAAACCGGCCAACCATCAGAATTGTCGGGGTAAGACCTAACAAGAGCACTGGACAACGAGATTGAGCACAGAAGGTGCCAATACGGGACGGCATGACCTTGGACAATGAAAAGGAGACTTCGGTCGGACGACAACAACAACAACAGCAGCAGCAGCAGCAGCAGCAAGACAGCAGTAACAACACCAACGACAACAACGACAAAATCAAAATCAACTCTGAGCGAGCCGCCGAGGAAGGACGCCGAAGGGATCCAGACGACACTGACGACGAGGATTACTCCCCCAGCGCATTGGACCGGGCTGCGAGCAATTTGTCTAGCAACCATGACCCGAGTCCGGCTCCAGACGGCGGACTCGTGGCCTGGTCTCAGTGTAAGTCTGCCTACGTGTCACAGCCGACTTCGCGGCCGTGTCGGGTCTCCTTCCTCTCCAATGCCATGTGCATACATATCTAACCCACACCCCTCTGCGGACCGGCACTGACACGAGAGACACGATGCAGGCCTGGCGGGCGGTTTTGTTATCTGCAACAGCTGGGGGTGGATCAACTCCTTTGGCGTGTGGCAGGACTACCTGCCCAGCATGATGCCGGAGCGTACGTCCCTGGAGATATCCTTCATCGGGTCGGTGACGGTGTTCCTCCTCTTCTTCCTGGGGGCCTTTACGGGCCGTCTGGTGGACATGGGGCTGTTCCGGCACATCTTCCTGGCCGGCAGCGCTCTCCAAGTGGTCGGCATCTTCTGCACCTCGGCCTGCACCGGGTACTGGCAGTTCATGCTGGCGCAGGGCGTCTGTATCGGCGTGGCCAACGGCTGCATGTTCTGCCCCGCCCTGGCTCTCGTGTCCACCTACTTCCACCGGAGGAGGTCCATCGCCCTGGGCATCACGGCGTGCGGCAGCGTCGTCGGCGGCCTGGTCTTCCCCGTCATGGCGAGGCAGCTCCTTCCCAGGATAGGCTTCCCCTGGACCGTCAGGGCCATCGGCTTCGTCCAGCTCGCCGGCCTGGTCGTGGCCAATGCCCTCAGCCGTCCGCGCATCAAGCCACGCAGGAGGACCGGTCCCATCATTGACCTTTCCGCCTTCAAGGAGTTGGAGTATACCTTTTACGCCATCGGCTCCTTTTCTGTATGTCCCCTGATCCTCTGCGCCCCCTCCCTCACCTCTCGTTGTTGTTCCATGTGACCAATCTGACCATGGATAAATCAAGTTCTTCTGGGGCGTCTACTTTGCATTCTACTACCTCGCCTCCTTTGCCCGCAACGGCATCCACGACCCATTCACCTTCTCTGCCTCGCTTGACCTGCTGCTCATCGTCAATGGCGTGGGCGCGGTAGGTCGTCTGGTCCCCAACTTCATAGCCGACCGCGTCGGCGCCGTCAACACCCTCATCCCCGTCTGCGCCGCGGCCTCCCTGCTGGCCTTTTGCTGGATAGCCGTCGACACCCCCGCCTCGCTGTACGTCTGGACCGTCCTCTACGGCCTGTTCGCCGCCGCCATCCAGAGCCTCTTCCCCGCCGCCCTGTCCCTCCTGACCACCGACATGCGTAAGATCGGCGTGCGCATGGGTATGGTATTTACCATTGTGTCGTTCGCCGTGCTCACCGGCCCGCCAATCGCCGGAGCCATCATCGATTCGACCGGCTCGTACAAGGGTGCCCAGGCATTCTCGGGCGCCTGCCTGGCTACCGGAGGTGTGTTCATGACCTTGTCCAAGGTGGTCAGGATGCGAAAGACGGGTGTGGGCTGGTCTGGCAAGGTGTAATGGGCCTTTTGCACGCGACACGCCATGTTATACAGGGCACAGAGGGAATCTACTACCATTGGGATCATGGAAGCTTTCGATACAGAACACTAATCTGATGAACAGTATGACAATACCCTCAGGGAGAAGAGGGGAATACCTTGTATACCAACGTGTTGATAACAAAGCTTAAATTGAACAAAATAATGAATATACTAATAAAGGGGGTGAAGAAGAGAAACCGAGGGGGAGGCGAAGACCAAGGGAAAGGTAGAACAAGAACTGGAAAGCGGACAATAATAACAAAAAGAGAATAAAACACTCCATCCTAAATCTTCAAAATGCAACTCCCTTTTTCTTTTGTTTTGAAAACAACAAATGCAACACGTGCCATGCGTCATCTGCATTAGCCACTGGTTGTTCATCCAGGACACATACTGCATGACAGCCCTTTGATCTCCTTTATTCCGATTTCTTCTTCTTTTACGGCGAAAAACATCTTTTTTGTATTACATGACCACCTGTACTATGTTAGTCTGGCATGTTGTAAAAGAAGGAAGGGGATGGATAGGCGGAGAACTCACGCAGTCACCCTCTTGCTTCCCCTGGGGAATACCCATATCTTCAAACGTGGCAGGGCCTTTGCTGGGCTTCGAAGGCGCGGCGGATGGCGCGGGAGCCGACGAAACAGACGGCGCGGGGCTCGCACTCGCACCCGGCCTGGCCGGATCTGGTCTCTGCATCTGCCCGGGAGGTGCGCTGCCCACCCTCCCGGCTGCTGCGACAGGAGGGGGGGCACCGTAGCTGGATGCGGGTGGCCTCTGCGGTGTGGGCGACATGGGTCCAGGACCACCCCTGCCACCGGCCGGCGGACGACCGCCTGGTGGTGGCTGCTGCGAGACGCGGCCGTCGTACCCGCGGCCGGGGGGCATGGCGCCGCCCTGGATGGCGGCCTTCTGAGCGGCCGACGACCCGGGACGCGAGCTGTTTGAGTAGCCTCCTGAGCTTGGGGGGCGGCCGTAGTCGCTGGAGTGGAAGGGCGCCGTGGGGCTCATGGGACCGGGGCCGCCAGGAGGAGGTGCGGTGCCTGCCGAGGCAATGCGGCCGCGCGGGTTAGGGTACTGCTGTGGGGGCGCGTTCATGTTACCCGTCGACTGCGAGGAGGGCATGGGCCTCAAGGGAAGTCCCTGGCCCTGCTGAGGGGCCACACCGAAGGCGCTTCCGGGGCGATCTGATTGAGGCCCAGGGCCGTATTGATTGGGCCGGGGTCGACCGCCTCGACCTTGCCCGCGCATATCGTCTTCCGGATACGGGGCTGCAGAGGCTGACCGGCCGACTGGAGGAGCCCGATGGTCCTCTGGATACGGAGGCGCCGCCGATTGAGACCGTACTGCCGGGTTAGGCCCGCCCTCGACGCGCACGCCGAAAGCTGGCTGACGGCCGGCGCCAGCAACATGGCCTCTCGAGGGATCGGGGAAATCGGCGCCTTCCGAGACGACAGTGGGCTTGAAGCCGGGCGACGGCTGGGGGGAGACGTAGGGCGACCCGTCCCTTGACTTGCCAACCTTCGGCGGTGCTGCCTCGCTGAGGGTAGGGAGCGCCTGGGCCTGTGCTCCTTGCTTGAACCTGTCCGGCCTCTTTCCGCGTTGCGAGCCATGCTGCGACTTGATCCTTGTGAGTGTCGTCGTCTCGTGGTCCTGCTTCGACAGTGTGTGGTCCGAGCTTAGAGATTCGAGGCGGCCGATGGCGTCCTTGTTTCCGTGGTCGGCAGCGAGCTGGTACCACTTGCGTGCCTCGCCAAGGCTCTTCTCGACAAAGATACCGATCTCGTAGTAGTAACCCAGGGCAAACTCGCCAGTGGGGAGCTTCTGGTCTGAGGCCTGCCTGGCATACTTAAAAGCCAGCTCCTCGTTCTTCTTGAAGACGCCCTCGTAACCGAAGAGGAACCATCGGCTGACACCCAGAGCGGCCTCTGCGTTTCCCTGGTTGGCAGCGAGGCCGTAGTAGTGGAGAGAGTAGGCCGGGTTAAACTCGCACCCGAACTGGCACAGCTCGTAAGCCTGACCCATCTTGTGCTGCGCCTTGGCGAAGCCTAGGTAGGCTGCCTTCTCGACGTAGACCATGGCAGTCTGGGGGTTGGTGGGGAGCATAGAGTCGGGGACGTAGATATCGGGGAGCTCCCGGCCGATGAGCATGCCGTAGACGAAGGCTCCCTGGGGCGAGTCCTCGTCAGCAGAGTCGGCGGCAGCCTGGATGCGATCCAGGCCTGTCTGATAGTCCTTAGCCTCGCCTAGCTGTCCCAGCAGGCTTGTCATGCCCATGCGGTAGAGGGACGCCGAGTCTTTCAGGGCCATGCCCTTGTAGTAGTGCTCCTTGGCCTTGGAGACGTCGTTGGAGTGCTCAAACAGCATGCCCATGCGATACTCGGCACGGCCGTATCCGAGCTCGGCAGAGCGCTTGTAGCCGACGTAGGCCTCACGCTTGTCGACGCGGTGGCCGAACTTGCCAAACTCCTTCCACTTGGCCTGCATATACAGGGCTTGGGGGTGGTCCTGACTAGCAAGATGTGTGGTGATGTTGACGGCGTCTACACGCAGCTCGTGCTCGATACGTGGGGTGGATGGACGTGGGGCATCGGGGGACATGCGATTAGCCATCTCCACGGACACCTCGACCCAGCTGAGGACGTCACGGGCCCATGTGACCTGCATGGAGACGTTCTGAGAGCTCATGACATGTTTGCGGGCATTCCACAGGATGCTCTCCTTCTCTTCGTCGGCCGGGGGGATGTTGTCGCCCTTGACCTTGGGAAATGGAGAGAAGGTCGGGGCCGTCTCGAGGGTGGCGGAGAGGCTCAGTCGGGAACTGGGGTCGGGTTCCCGGGACTGCTCCATGACGGGTTGGGAGGCAGATCCCATCCAGGTGGACAATGAAGGGTCTCGGCCGTGTTTGGAGGAGGCCCCGCCGTCGGGGCGTCGAGAACTGCTCGCTTCCGACTCCATGCGTTGGAGGTCTTCCTGCATGTTTTGGGGGACCTGAGGCGTGACTCTGAATACCGGGCGAGAGATTTGGTCAGCAGTGCCCACACCACACCACAGCGACTATCACAGGTTGTGCCATGTGTGACGCAGCCGCTTCGAAGAGAGCGGCCACCAACATACCTCTGGGGTGACGGCGCAACAACTGGAGGCATGTAATAGTCGTCCCAGCCTCCAGGAACGAACGTCGCTCCAAGCTCACCGGGTGCAGAATCAGAAGCAGCACCGGGTGCCATTGTTTGACTGCGGGGTTGAACAGATGGACCAAGTTTGGCGAGTAAGCCAGGCTTGGACGCCCCTGGAGAAAGGAGGTTCTCAAATCACGACAGAGAGAGAGACTAAGAGTCGCAGACGAGACGTAGTGAGAATCCGAGAGAGATGGAAAAAGACGTTTTCACGTGTAGTTGCAGATGCTTTGGAGGGACAATGGTGGTGGCGGTTATGGGTTCTGGTAATAGTGGTGGGCTCTTAGCAGTACTAGTAGTACTAAAAGAAAAGACAGACGTGGGGGGGGGGGGGGGWAAAGGACCGTAAGGGAGAGCTAGACTCCTGGGCCTGGTATAAAATATTGCGACGGTTTACTGGGTACTGGGTACGTACTAATAAGGCCTACTACTAGGGGCTGGTACTGGTAATAATAATAATACTCTGGTAGGTCATAGCACACTACTGTACGGGGTATCACTGTACGGGAGTATCGCTGTACTCGTACATATACAAGTATTACAGGAGATTTGTGCTCCATCTGTATTGAATACCTAGTCGCTCTGATGGTGCTCCAGTAGTAATACTAGTTTAGCCAATGTCCCCGCTGTAAAGGGCCCGTCGGGTCCATTCACCATGACAGGCTCACAGCACCTCAAATTCCATCCAGAATAGAGGAGAACCCCCTAATTCCTGGAACGTCCACATGTAGGTACTAGGTACATAGGGGGCACCCACTGTATCTTAACTTGTAAGGACCCTGACGCCGTAACCATGACTGGATGGACAGAACCCCTCGTACAGCGGGAGAGCCTGGCGTCTGGCTGATGGCGAGGCGCTAAAACAGTAGCTGGGGCAGACCTTTTGTCTAGAAAAGTTCAGCCGACAAAAAACTAGGACAGCAGGTTTTTTAAGAGACAAATAAACAGCAATTCCACCGGGCTATACTCTACACAGCGAAAATGATTAATATCGTCATATTACTCGTAGTATCGGCAGAACTGTTCGAGTGTCCTGCCAACCAAATCAGTAGTCTCGGTTACGTCGTAATATCTTCCAAGTGCCTAAGTAATAACGCTTGGCTCCGTCCAAGCCGCCAAGACTCTTGTCTGCCCGCAAAATTGAAAAGGGGGAGCTGCCGTCATCCCGATATTACGAGTACGGTGTAACAATGCGCCAGTAATAACACATGTCAAGTACACCGCGGCCCATTTGCGACCGTCGGCTAGAGACCATGTCATGACCGGGGGCTGGTTGGTGGTTGATGCTATTTATGTCGTGTGTGTGTGTGGGAGAGTGCCTAGAGTGTGTGCGGGTATGTGTGTGTGTGTGAGGCGCAGCCGGCATCACATCTCCTCGTGCTCGCATCATATGGCCTCCTCACCCCCCATCCTCATCATCCTAAACACACGATATTTGCATGATGAGGTGCGAACCGCAATAACAACGTACCATATCATTTCCCAACGTCAGCGTTCCATCATGGCGCTCGTAGGAGGAGGCAGAGGAGGCAGAGGAAGAGGAGGAGGAGGGTTGCGTGTTCCGACGTCTAATTATAAAATCCCACGACACATAGTCGTCTCTCCAGACGATCTGTGCATAGCAGGTAGACAATATTCTACCCGTACGGCAGTACGACTATTACTACTAAAGTACTGTTAGGTAACATGTGTATGCATCGTTGTCGTCACTGCCACGGTCACCGCAAAGCTGCTTGGGCGGGCGAATCAAGCAATCCTGCAAGGCTGCAACTGGCGATCCAGTCACCTGGGACCGGTCAACCAGACAAGCGATCGTATCACCATCACGGCACACGAGTGATATTCGTATCACAAGAGCCGCTACTCCCGGACTAGAAGAAGATCTACTGTAATTCTTTTCCACTTTGGTATTCAGATCCTTCCCGCCACGGGTTGTAGGGGTGCTAAAAGTAGCGCCTACACGCCTTGTGTATGGATGTAACGCCGTACGCCGGCAACGACGTAACGTCGGAAAGAAGAAAGGAAGGACTGCTGACATAACCACAACCAACCACAGTCGGAACGGGGAACAACCCAAGCTCCGATTTTGGCGGGCAGCCCAGCTGCATCAACTATCAACTGCGTCAGCAGCATTCAGCCTGGCCAGCAAGCCGCCCGTCAAGCTATCACCACGACGACAATCCCACACCGCACGCCACACCACCCAGACGGACAACGAACGGCGAATACACCAGGGGATTCATTGCATCCCCAGACATAAATCTCCCCGCGAGCAACAACGACAACGACAACAACAAAGAAAGGAAAAAACGAAACCCGTATAGAACACTGTTGGTCGCCACCGTCCATACAGCTGCTTACCCACCATGGCCGAACGCAGCCTATCCCAGATCGTCTCCCAGCTCAAGCAGAACCCCTCGATGAGCTATGAGGATGCCAACTCTCTCCTGTCAAAGGGAAAGCTGGCCCTCCTGAGCCTCAAGGCCCTTACCCCCACCCCGGCTGTCTCCCAGTCGACCTTGGCCTTGGCCCGCGAGACGTACGAGCAGGGCGCCCTGTTCTCCATCCGTGCCGGCAACCCGGATGCCTTCACCCGCTACGTCCAGCAGCTGCAGCCCTTTTACGAGCTGCCGCCCTCCCGCCTGGCGCCTAACCTGGCCGAGCGTAACAAGGTCACCGGCCTCAGCCTCCTGCTCCTGCTCACCGAGGGTCGCTACGCAGAGTTCCACTCGGAGCTCGAGAGCCTGTCGTACCGCGAGGGCGACACCGGAGACATCGAGGGCGATAGGTACCTGGGCTATCCCATTCGCCTGGAAAGATGGCTCATGGAGGGCAGCTACGATCGCGTCTGGAAGGCCATGAAGAGCAGCGAGGTGCCCTGCGATGAGTACAGTGTATTTTCGGAGGTATGCCCGTCTCCCCTGCAGCTCTTGGGGTCTTCTTCCGAGGGGTCTCGGTCATCAGAACTCAAGATAACCCCCCTGTGCGGCAAGATTCTAACTCTCTTTTGCTCTCTACAGATCCTCAAGAACCAGATCCGCTCCGAGATCGCTAGCAGCAGCGAGCGCGCCTACCCCAGCCTTCCTATCAGCTCTACAAAGTCCCTCCTCTTCCTCGACTCCGAGGGTGATGTCGTCTCCTTTGCCAAGTACCGCGGCTGGATCGTCCGCGACGGCAACATCTACTTCCCCGATACGGCTGAGACGGACGACGCCACCCAGAACAAGGACATGAGCCAAATGGTGATAGAAAATGCTCTCGGTTACGCTCGTGAGCTTGAGACCATTGTGTAGACGGGAAGGAAAACGGTGTTTTATCAACCTAGAAGCGCAATTGTATTACAATAAGAACATGAAGAACAAAAAACAACCAAACTTCACCAAGGCGTCATCAACTCCCTACAGTGTAAACACGTGTGATGGGCAGACAAATTAAGTATTCTTGCCGTGCTATTCTCTCCTTAGAAAAACACATACTATCAGCCTCCCTGATAAACAAACACCAACCCCGCGAATGCAAGTTTTCTCTCTTTTTCTGTCACGCAGGAAAAAAAAATAGGTAATATGAAGAAAACCATCAATTCATCTTTCTAGCCTTTTAGTCCCAGCTCCTGGTGTCGTCATCATTACAACTCTAGGCGAAAAGCTTCAGGCCGCTACCATGCTTTCCAATCTCGCAAACCTCGCACACCCTGCAAACGCTGCCCTTGTACTTGGTGTGGTACTTGGACCCGTCAAAGGCGCATTCCTCATACGCCGTTCCGCTGTAGATGGGCGTGTGGCTGGCAGCGCAGACCTCGAACTCGGCAAAGTGGTCAAACTCGATTTCCAAGGCATCGTGTGGATTGCGCTCGCACTGAGCCTTCTTGGCCTTGGCCTGTTTCCATGTAGTTAGTAACTGATCAAAGTGAAGTGCCTGTAGGGAGAAGGAGTCGCAACTTACGTTCTCAACAATCTTGCCGGATCCTCCGTTGGCGATGATACGGTTGGCAAAGCTGAGGGCCGAGTTGTAGTTCTTATTCTTCATGGCCAGCTGCATGGCGCTCAGGAGAGCCAGCTGGCGATGCGGCACCTCGATCTTGGGGATGGTGAAGTAAGCCGAGAGCTCCAAGCTCTTCTTCAGGGCCTCGGGGTTCTTGGCCACCTCCTCGGCGCTTCCCAGTTTCCTCCTGGCTAGCTCGATGCCCATGGCCACTGTATATTCGCTGGCGGAAGTGATCAGCTTCTTTGCCTCTGCGGCCTCATCCTCGCTCGATACAGAGTTCACGAGGATGGCGTGCAGGATGCCCTTGAAAATTTGGACACCATCTTCGAGCTTGTTCGTCTTCATAGAGTCGTATCCCTTTTGAAGGTCGTTGGCGGCCAGCTGCTCCAGGTCGCGGGGAACAATGGGGAGGACCTGGCGTAGATCTGTCTCATCCAGGGTGCGGCGGACATAATTGATGAGTGGAGGGAGGCCTGCCGACGCGGGGAGGAACGTCTTGGAGGACTGGTAGACTTCAAGGAAGCGAGGCTTGAGCGGCGCGAAGTTGACGGCGCCGACTTGGCGGTTCAGTAGCTGCATGGCAGACTCAAACGAGCCTCCGGCCACATGGTCCACCGCAAGCGGCGAGTTGCGTGCCCAGAGGTCAGCCTCACTACTGCCGGCACCACCTGCCTCGGCGCTATCGACGTTGACAAAGTCGCTCTCCACCTCAGGGACCGCATCGTCACCAAGGTCCCATCCGGCTGCATCCTCATCGTCGTCCACAAGAGCTCCGCTGGCCTTGGTGGCACCGTCAATTTCCATCTCATCGTGTATCCCGTTAGCGGCAGGCTCGTCATCCAGCGACAGTCCTTCGACCTGTCCGAGGAGGGCCTTCTCGAAGAACGACTGCGAGCCAGCCTTCGTGGGCCAGTTGGCCTTGTACGTGGGCACAACCGGCTTCCCGGGCGCCAGAGGTTCTCCAAGCTTGGGCACGGAGATCTGGTCCTCAGTAAGGCCGGTAGCCTCGAGGATAGCCTGGCACTCTTCCTCCAGTCCATGAGACTTGGCAGTCATGTACGCCAGGGGGTCTTTTTTTGTTAGTAAGCTATCACCACGGTATGGTAAAAGGTCAATATACTCACAGAGGTCAATCTCCTTGAACATCTGAATACGGTCCTCGACATCTCCTAGGTACAGAGCGTTCTGGAAGCGCGACGTAAAGTCACCACGGTGCTCAGCAATCTTAGCCATCCTAGCTAACTTCGAGTGGTCACCGGTGGCGAGGTAAAGGAAGGAGAGCTTGTCGAACTGTTTGAGCTTCTGGTAGCTCATCTCGACAACTTGATGGTTACCATGGGCAAGAGCCTCGGTACCCAACCTCGTCCAGAAGACAGGGCGATCCAGCTCCTTGGCCATCTCCACAGCTACTTCCAGGTTTCCACACTCAATGGCAAGATCGAAGCGGGTGGTGGGGTCCTGAACAAACTGCAATGCAATCTCCGGGTAGCCCTTCTTTTGCAGGTACGAGATGATAGACTGTCCGACAAGACTTGATGTGCGGATGATGTGAAGCATCTCCTCGTAATTCCGCTTGACCAGAGCTAGCTTGAAACGGTACTCAGTAGGGTCAATCTGCAGGACCCTGGGCTTGGCTGAGCGGTCCAGGCAGTAGACGTTGCGTCCCTTGACACGAACAAGGTAAACGGTCTGGTCGAGGGTGCGGACAATGCCATTATCGCCATTGAGGAGAGTGTACTTGACGTGGTTCAAGGTCGAGTAGAGAAGGACACCGGCATCGTCCCACGTGGCACTCTTGATACGGATTGTCTCATGGAGAGAGCTAACCTGCTCGAGAGTCTTTGTGACAATGGTGACGTTGTGCTTGCTCAACAGGGCAGCGTAAAGGCCGTCGTTAGACCAGACCACATACTTGACCCCGTTCACGGCAAGCTCGGCGGTGCTCTTCTTCTGCTGAATGTCGTATAGGTGAACAGCAGTGGGGGTGATGATGAGCAGGTTACCGGTTCCTCCGAAGTAGATGTCTGTAGTGCCCGGCGGGGGCTTGAAAGACCGAGTGATGTTGTTTGACAGATCCTTGATGTCGATAACCTGGGTGCTGGTATTCAAGACGGCAAAGCGATTCCTAGCGACAAAGATGGCAGAGGTTCCCGAGCCGCGCTTCGATTCTGTAGGCTCAATGGCACCCGATCCGTCCTTGGGAAGGTTCACAAGCTCGTACGAGCCGCCGTCAGTTGGCGAGATAACCAGAATGGATCTCTCCGCCGGGTTGTAGGACAGAGTCCTGGGGGCTACCCAGGGGCTACCCAGCTTCTTGAGTGATAGCAGAGTAGGGCTCTCGGCATTCTTCTGGAAGTCATAGGCCTTGACAGTCTTCTCCTTGGTGACATAGAAGAGCTGATTCTGGTGGGTGGCCGACGCGGGACGCTCACGCTCCAGCTTGAAGACCATAACACCGTTATCGTGGCCCGCGGCAAAGAGGTTGATCTCGGGGTGGGCAGCAATTACCCAGAACCTATCGCTCTCCCTCTTGAACGACTGGACAGCAGTGCGCTTGTTCAAGTCCCAGACGCGGATTGTCTTATCCTCGCCGGCAGACAGTATCAGATCCTGGTGGGGGTGGAACAAGCAGCCTTCGACATTCTGGAAGTGGCCGCGGCACGTGTCGACTTCCCAGGCCTTGGTCTCAGACATGCGCCAAAGCTTCACCAAACGGTCGTCGCCAGCGGAGATGATAAGGGGCATGGTAGGGTGGAAGGAAACCCAATTAACGCCTCGATCGTGTCCCTCGAGAACAAACTTGACAACAGCATCGGTGTTGCCGAACATGTCGGCCTGTTCACGGTTGGCACGGGCTATCTGGTCCTCGAGGCTCATGGATGTCGGGGCCGAGTGTTTCTTTCGGAGTCCGGAGATGTCCCAGACGCGGACAGACTGGTCGAGCGATGCGGAGACGACAAGGTCCTCTTTAGGGTGGAACTGGGCGCACATGGCATAGTGATTGTGGCCTGTCATTGTGCAGACTATTTGTTCTTGTCAGCAAGGGGGTTGTGGGGATATATGAGCGATGGTAGCACGGAGATTGTGCATACTCAAAGAGCGGTTTTGCCAGTTCCATATACGGATGGTCTGGTCATCCGAGGCGGAAATGATCCACGGGAGCTCATGATGGAAGAAGACGGTTCGGATATAGTCGAGGTGGCCGTTCAGGGTGAATAGGCAGCGTCGGGACTGGTAGGACCAGACCTTGATCTTGTAGTCATCGCCACCAGAGACGAAGAGAGGCTGAGTGTTGTGGAAATCGATACCTCGAACAGGTCCATCGTGCTCTTCAAATCTATCGATGAGAGTTCCCATGCGGTAATCCCACAGCTGAATAGTGGACGAGTGGAGGGAGACGAGGATCCATGGTCTAAGGGCACGCAACGGCATCAGCATATGCAAGACCCCTAAGGCGCGCGGACAACGACAGGCAGAACAGGTAGGTGGACGTACCGCTTGGGGTGAAAGGCAATTCCCTTCACTCTCGATGACTTGGACTCGAACTGGACGATGGGTTAGCCAACAAAGCAAAGCGCATAGCTTCTTCCCCCGTCCCCCCTTCAAGCTCGGCGTACCTTGGTCAACATTCCAGGGGAGGACTGCATATTGGTGGGGAGGTGAAGCCGCAGCTTCCTGCATCAAGGGAAAAAGCGACGCAAGGGTGTAGACTGGGGGATCACCTCGCGGTAATTACCAATGCGCCCAGTGATCAATGGTAGTTCGAATCTGGCCAGCAATGCAGCCCCGGGCGAGAGTTGGCGTGGTGGAGTTTCACAAGTGGGCTGCCAGTTCTCCTGTTGCGCTTCGTGTCCTGACCACGGCCATCTCCAATTGTGGGTTGGCGAGGGGCCGCATCATCGTTCTGCCGAGCTGCGTGGCGCACCGCCTCACACCTCACCGCTTTCCAACCAAGCTACGCCACTGTACCTACCTAAACAAGCCAAACTGCTAGGGCTCTAGAGGACCAGACATACTGCAGCAAAAGCCACCTAATTCTTTTGACCCCTGGAAAACCCCCCTCTACTCGTACTCAGTCTAGTCCCCTCTATTGAAGACTGTAGCGGTTTCTGCCACACATAAGCTCCCATCCCTGGACGTCATGGCCGCTATTCCTATTTTGTAGCCATATTCGTCCTTCAGTGCTGTGACGCACTCCACCATGCAAGTACAGTTCCTCGCGCCTGAGTAGGGAAGCTGCTATCCGCTATATTGTCATAGGTGTCCATATTGCCTGAAGCCACCCAAGCAAGCCGGAAGTAAGCAACCTGGAATTGACGTCCAGCTGCCACCGCAGAGTGTGCGGGACAGAGAGCAACCACAGGTGACCTCATCGCTCTCTGTAGCCAGAGCCACCGTTCAAGTAGCTGAACGTCTCGCGTGAACTTGGCATCAAACCTGGAGCTCCCGCCTCTCTACAGGGCAGCTCCTCCCTCCGTCTGTGCTGGCGCATACACACATCCATACAAAAAGCATAGCCTATCACCATGGTGCGCCTTTCCCAGCTGCCGTGTGGCCTCGCCATTACCCTAGCCATGGGGCAAGGCGTCTCGGCCACTCCCGTTGTCAATATTGGCATGAAGGCAGCTTTTCCAGCTGGCCCATATCTCCTCGAGCTTCTGTAAGTTCCCAACATCCCGCCGGGTGCCCAGTATTACAGTAGAAGCTGACCGCACCAGCGAGACTGCGGCTGCCGAGAACTCGTCCGCGTATTTTCCCATGCTCGACAGAATATCCATGGGTATTTTTTCCTCAGCTGTTACCGAGGCCCAGATGTACACATCTTTCATCAGTGTCCTACATGCCGATCGTCACATAACCGACCACGAGGCGCTGTCGACCTTTAACTGGGCACTCTCCCTCCGAACGGCTTCGCCCCGTATCGAAGCCCACTACCAATACTATGAGAGCTCCGTTGAGCCCATTGCCGGCGATGTGGAAGACTGCCTCAACTGGGTCCTTCTTGACGGCAACCGGTATTGCAGTCCCGATCTGCTCAAGCCCGCGAACATAGGTGGCCAACTTCCGTACGCGATCATATGAACTCTCTCATATAATACATTGACTTACTTTCTTAGCAGGGACATAACCGATGTGCCTTTTGAGAGGTCATTGGGCTCTGGAAAGAAAGCAATTCTCTACGCGGACCCAACTTCACCATCATTCGGACCTTTCCACAGAGCACTGTCTGCAGCGGCCGAGAAGGGTGAGCTCAACTACCGCCTACGTTATCGCAGAAGCCCAGGGTCCACGCTAAGCGCGTTGCCCGTCAGCGGCTACGCCGTTGAGCTCTCCCTCAAGAGGACTGATTACATCGTCATCGACGATCGCGAAGCCGAGCAGGATGCCTCGCAAAAGTCAGGTTCTACGGACGTCGACCTGGACGACGAGGAAGAAGTGGCTGACTTGAGGCCGTTGTCGACGTCCGAATTGGAAAGCCTTGGCTTGAAGGCAGCGTCCTTTGTCATGCAACATGACTATCCTCTTGAGGCGCTGGTCAAGCTCACGCAGGATCTTCCCAAGTTTACCACGTCGGTAGCCAATCATGAAATTTCGGAAGACTTCCTTGGCGAACACCAGAAGAACCGGGGGAAGATGATTCCTCCGGGAATCAACAACTTGTGGATCAACGGTGTTAAGCTCATTGAACGACAAATAGACCCATTTTCTCTTGTAGACATGGTTCGCCGTGAACGCACGTTCCTCCAGGGAGTTCGCGATCTTGGGTTTAGCGGAAAGCAGGCCTTGTCACTGCTGGGTCACAATCACGTCGCAGCCGCCAAATCGAACGCTGTAAGCCCCCGATACGACTGGACAGATCGACCAGAAGAAGGCAGCGTCATCATCTGGCTGAATGACCTCGAGAATGATGCCCAATATGCCGAGTTTCCAAGCTCATTGAATGCTGTAAGTAGACTCTACTCTGCCAACTCACACGCCGTCATGCATTAACCAATTTTAGCTTCTTCAACGCATGTATCCGGGCCAACTTCCCCCTATCCGCCGAAATATTTTCAATCTCGTCTTTCCTGTAGATTTGTCAGACCCTGATGATTTGGCTGCCCTTTCGCAAACCATGGCACTGGTGACACGCAAGATTCCAATCCGGTTTGGTTTCGTTCCCTTGGTGTCGAACCCCAAAGCTTCTACTCAAGCGAAAATAGCATATCATCTGACGCAAGATTACGGTTTTCGGGCTTTGATTGATTACTTGGGTGAGCTTCAAGAGTCGTCTACGGATGCCAGTGAGAAACTTCTCGCGGCAACAGTGGAGGAGCATACCCTGAAACCTAATGCGTCGAAGAAGAGCTGGAGTACTGTCATGGGTAGTGACCACTATCTGCATCAAGTAGATCTTGCGCAACAATGGGCACGCAGGTTGGGAGCCGGTACCTCGAATCGCATAGTCTTCGTGGACGGTACTGTATTGCCAAGGGACAAGACATGGATGCAGTCAGTGAGCATGAAAATCACTGAGGATCTCCAGTTGGTTCAGAAGGCAATCTTCAAATCACAAATCGACGAAGATACATGGGTGCCCGGTATCTTCCTTGAACAAGCTTCTTCATCGAGGAATGTCTACATCACTCCCGAGAATGAGAAGGCCCTCAAGGTCCTCAATGTCAACAAAATCTACAGCGACTTCTCCGGATTGTTCGATGCAGTTCCTGTTCTGCAAGGCTCTGCCGAATCCGCCAAGGAGACGTGGGCCATACTCACCGTCATTGCAGACCTCGAGTCCTCAAGCGGCCGTGAGCTCCTCTTGGAGGCCCTGAAATTCAAGCACAACCGCCCTGGTGTAAGGCTAGATATTATACCTAACCCGCAATCGAGCGGTTCTGCCTTCGGGTTGAACACTGCCCTGCGTTCAAACCTGCAGAAATTGCAAGACCTGTCAACCCTGGCTGAGCTTGATTCAATTCTCGAAGCGAAACCAGACTCTCATGACAACAATCCTGGATTCAGAGCTTCGCTGGATAACTTTCTGTCATCAAACAATCTTGCACATGGATCTCAGGTTCTCTTATTGAACGGCCGCGTGGTTGGTCCCATACCGCCAGATGAAGCATTCAAGGAGGCTAGCTTCCAAGAACTCTTCAAGTTTGAATACGTGAACCGCATCAAGCCCGTCTATGAGGCTTTGGAGGCTTTGGGTCTTTCTCAAAAGATCACTGATCCTACTTCAGCGGCCAAGGTCACTTCCCTCACGGCTCTGTCCACCATCTCGGACCTCCCTGATGGTATCTTTGAATCGACTTCCACTCTCCGAACATCCGTTTATGACGATTGGGAATCAAAGTACACAGCTATCGAAACTGGTGATCCCGAATCCTCCAGCGTTCATATTGTTGGTCTGCTGAACCCGCTCAGTGAACAGGGCCAGCGGTGGGCGCCCATTATCAAGGTCCTTTCGGAACTGAAGGGAGTATACGTGAAGCTCTTCTTGAACCCCAAGGAGAACATTGCTGAGCTTCCTGTGAAGCGCTTCTTCCGCTACATTTTACAATCAGCCCCGTCATTTAACGAGGACGGTAGTCTCAAGACTCCCAACGCGACATTCAAGGGCTTGCCTTCTGAGGCCCTGTTGACCGCTGCTATGCATGTACCTCCGGCATGGCTGGTGGCGCCAAAGGTTTCGGTGCATGACCTTGACAACATAAAGCTAAGCACAGTAAAGGGCGACGTCGAGGCCGTGTACGAGCTCGAGCATATTCTTATCGAGGGCCACTCCCGGCAGACGACTGGGCCATCGCCTAGGGGAGCCCAGCTCGTCCTCGGTACGGATGCCGAACCGTTTCTCACAGACACTATCATCATGGCCAATCTGGGGTATTTTCAGTTCAAGGCGAACCCTGGATACTACAACATCAGATTGAAGGAGGGCCGAAGCTCTGAGATATACACCATTGACAGCATCGGCGCTCGAAGCTGGGAAGCCGTGCCCGGCGACGAAGGCACGTATGTCTCGGTTATGGACTTCCAGGGGACGACTCTTTACCCACGTCTCAAAAGACAGCGTGGGATGGATGATGTGGATGTTCTGGAAGATTCTGATGGATCTGAGGACGGAATCATATCTGCGGGTCTCAAGTTCGCTGGTAGTCTTTTCGGCAAGAAGAGAAGCGCCTCAGACAAGGAGCACGCCGAGATCAACATCTTCTCGGTGGCCAGTGGCCATCTGTACGAGCGCATGCTTAACATCATGATGGTCTCTGTGATGCGCAACACCAAGCATACGGTCAAGTTTTGGTTCATTGAGCAGTTCCTGTCGCCGTCGTTCAAAGAGTTCATCCCGCACATGGCCAAGGAGTACGGCTTCAGATACGAAATGGTTACATTTAAGTGGCCGCACTGGCTGCGCCACCAGAGGGAAAAGCAGCGCGAGATATGGGGGTACAAGATATTGTTCCTGGACGTACTGTTCCCGCTATCGTTGGACAAGGTCATCTTTGTGGACGCAGATCAGATTGTGCGGACCGATATGATTGACCTGGTCAACCACGATCTCGAGGGAGCACCGTACGGTTTCGTGCCCATGGGCGACTCGCGTACTGAGATGGAGGGCTTCCGCTTTTGGAAACAAGGGTACTGGGCCAACTTCCTCCGTGGCCAACCGTACCACATCTCGGCCCTGTATGTGGTGGACCTGGGCCGGTTCCGCAAGCTGGCGGCAGGGGACATTCTCCGGCAGCAGTACCACTCGCTATCTGCGGACCCCAACAGCCTGTCCAACCTAGATCAGGACCTGCCCAACAACATGATGTTCCGGATCCCCATCCACACGCTACCACAGGAGTGGCTGTGGTGCGAGACGTGGTGCAGCGACGAGGACCTCGCCACAGCCCGCACCATTGACCTGTGCAACAACCCGCTGACGAAGGAGCCCAAGCTTGACAGGGCCAGGCGCCAGGTTCCCGAGTGGACGGTGTACGATGATGAGATTGCCGCATTGGCCAAGCGAATCAGAGAGACGGTGGGCTCCGAAGTAGCTGCCCATGTACACGACGTCCACACCATGAGTCGACGACTGGACGAGCACAAGGATCAGCAGGAGGGTGTGCATACAAAGGATGAGCTCTAGGCTCTCTCTCATGTAGACTGTATATGAAGCAGACAGAAGAAGAAAATACAGAGTAGTTATGCGGTGTTTGAACACCAAGTAGATAGTCATAGATTTCTACTCTTATTCCAAAAAAAAAAGAAGAAGGCGCATTATCACATGTCTTGGTCGAATGGTGTTCTTTAGATAATACGTTCCATATCAACCCAGGCCATGGCCGCGTCACTGTCCATGAGGACAATGCCCGATAGAGCACAACAGTCTTCATTCATTGTCAAGATCAGTTCATTCAGTCAGCAAAGCAAACGAGTGTGTGAGTAAACAAGCATTTGTCAGATGGGCCTTGGTACTGGCACTGAGTAATAGTAAATTCGTATATCTTCGTATAAACATCTAGAACATGTCGACAAAACCCCCCCTAACAAGGCATCTTCAAAGCAAATAACGAGCAGAAATTCTAGAGTCAAATCAAATTAACGGGACCGTGTTCCGAATCGTTTTCCTGTATCGTCAAAATATAACAAAGATAGGAAAAAAGAAAATTCAAATATAACTGGAAAAAAAACACACACACGACTCCAAAAAAAAGTATATCAGCCCACGCTTTTTGTTGTAGTACGAGGAGTGACGTTCTTATCAGATATAACTCGTATGGGAAGATTAAGAAAAAGAAGAAGAAAACAGACGAGAGGTGAGAAACAGAAAAAAAAAGGCTAACAAACGTATTCCAAAAACCTATAAGTCGTATACTAGGATCTTCTTGAATATATCCAGGGTTTTTTCTTTCAAAGAAAGTCAAATAGCAGTGAACAGACAAAGGAGAACCGCAGACCATACAGGATGGCTAAGGTGGAAAAAAATCGGGTATCATGTATCTAAATGTGCGGTGGTAGCCTTATCCCCAATGAGTGGCAAAAGCCTAAGATAAGAAAGAAAGAAAAAAAGGGGAGGAGAGATTGGGTGCCGAGATGACAAAGGGGGGTCAAGCAGCATGGCTATGCTCGTGCTCCTCGCGGATAGAAGTCATGGACTGCCCCCCGGTAGGCCCGGAACCAGTCATGGATGACTGACTAGGCGGCGGCATAGTCGCTGACACCAAAGCTGATGCTGCTCCGCTCGCGGCCGTCATCGGTGTCACCGCCGAGACTTTCCCCGCCAGCGGTGTGGAGTTAAGCATGTTGCCGTCTGCACCTGTGCCGCTGCTGCCGCCGGTGCCAGCAGCATTTGCTGGGTTGGGTGAGTTGCTGGACATGTCCCGGTGCAGGGGTGACGAGTAAGCGGGAGAGTTGGACCTCTTGCTCTGCCCGTCTACCGTGTTGCCGCCGCGAGAGTTGCGTGGTGAAACCCTTCCGGTCTGGTCACACGTCAGTCAGTCGTGTACTCTCTCATACTCAGCCCTGTTCGTTTCCGCTTCTTACCTGCTTCGCCCAGCGTAGACCACAGCTGTTGCACAGATCTCTCTGCCCGCTGGGCCCGCGTCGCCATTCGGGTGTATTCCTCGTGTGGCAGTTGGCGCAGTCGCGCACAATGTTGCCCACGCCCTTTCTCCGCTTCCGCTTCTTCTTGTTGGACAGGAGCCCTCCAAGCTCCTCGGCCAGGATCCGGTTGATCTTCTCCATCTGTCTGAGTTCAAACTGCCAGCTGGAGCACTTGGTCGTGCGCAGCTCGTCAAACATGTTGTCGTCCGACGCCAGCGCCACATCCTGATTGCCAGGGCCGACCTGCGCACCCGCCGGTTGCGAGATCTGGCCGTGAGCAGGCTTCTGTGTGTCAGAATGGGCCGCGACGGAGCCCGACTTAGCACTTCCCGCGGGGGCAATGCTCCGCGACGAGACCTTGAGCAGCCGCGTCTGCGCCAGCAGGAATGACGGTTTCTCTCCCTCCAGGGCATCGCCCGGGTAGAGAACTGTCTGCGCCTGCAGGACCTGGCCGCGACGGTTCTGGACTTCGTGCTTGCAGGTGACAATCTGGCCTCGGCGAGCCTTTTCTATAGAGCGCCCAAAATCGGCCCGCGTCTCCTTACGCATGAGATCCTGTATGCTCGTGCCGACAAGCGCCTCCGGCTGCAGGTCTAGAAGCGGCCTGATGTGCGACGACACGTAGAGGAACATGCCTGAGGTGGACAGCTTGGTCCACAGCTCGCTATCGCCGATACCCCCGTGGGCTTCCAGGCTCCGTCTGCTCAGGGCAACGACGGGACGTTTGCGCCCAACAAAGATGATGCATTTGCGGCCCTTTCCTTGCTCAACAAACAGCGAGCCGTGACTCTCAAACCAGCAGTATCCGCTGTTCTTACGTCGTATCCTGAATACGATGTTGACAGGGCTACCGCTCGAGGCTTCCTTTAACTCTCGCGTCACCGGCACAATGTCGGATGGGTGGCAGACGGTGGACAGGGAGTTTCCGACGAGGTCAGAAGTGTCGTACTCTAGGATGCGCTTGCAAGAGGGTGATAGGTAGAGGAACAGGCCCTTGAGGGAGAGTACGTGGACAACATCGTCCAAGTTCTCCAGCAGCATCTTGTCCCACGACTGCCTGTGTACATCAGAGAGACCCTTGGGATTGAACTGCTGTAGAAGCGTCGACACGTCCTCGACGCCGAGCGTCTGGCTGTTGTCGGGCTCCCACTGGGACGACGTCGGTGGGTTCCATATGTACTGTCCAATGTCGCTGTGCTTGTAGTTGACCTGGACGCGGCCAAGTTCCTGGCCAGACGCGATGGCATCAGGGCATTCGACCAGGTCGATCTGAAAGCCGATAAAGTACCGAATCTCATCGGTGTCCCAAGGAATGGGGATCATGGTGAGCAGATTGAGAAAGGGCTTTCCGCCCTTGCGGTAGTTGATGAGGCTCTGCTGTACCTCACGACCTTCTTGGATCATGGTCTTGAGATTGAAGACGGCGCCGTCATCGACAAACTCGCGCTTCGATCCAGCCTCGACCTTGCCGTCGGGGGCCTGGAGAAAGCGGCAGTTTTTGCCGACGATCTCGTGGCGACTGTAGCCGGTGAGGTTCTGGAAGTTATCCGACACGTAGACGATAGGGCAGTCACTCATGGTGACATCGCAGACGACAAAGGCGCATGACATGTCGACAGCGCCCAGATGGATCTTTGGGTCCTCGCGAGTCGCCACCAGCCACAATGCCTTGAGCATATCGAAACCGCTCTTAGAATAGATGTTTTTCTCCTTGTCAGGTTCGCTCAGGACAGGCCGGGGAGCAGGACCGTTTACTGGTGTATTGGATCCGGAGGTGGAGCCCGTGCGCTGGGTGTCTGCCGTGTTGAAGGAAGATGCCGAAACAGCTTGCTGTGAAAGTGGCGACGGGACGTTCTGTCTGTATGAAGACACGGGAGGTTCAAGGCCGGCGCCTGCTACCGAAGATGACTGGTCCTGGGGGGTGTGGGTGCCAAGGGGCGCGAAGGCGTGGCTCGACGTCATCAGACTCTCAGCCGCTTCACTCATGGATCCCGCGGCGGTCGAGGGCGGCGGCGGGGCGGTACTCAGGGGTACGGGGTCCGAGGTAATGGACATGGAGAAGTCGTTGGTTACGGGATCCAGCTGAGCCGGAGCGTAGGAGGGTCCCATGGACGCGCTGGCAGCGGGAGGGAACATGGACATGGCATGCGGGTTGACTCCCATGGTCTCCATATTCATGTTAGCAAAGGTGGAAGGTATCATGCTGCCCATTAAATCGGGTGACATGGAGGTGTAGCCCGAGCCATCGGTCATGTAGGTAGGCATCTGGTTCGGCATGCCGAGGTGTGCGTTGTCGACAGTTGGGAAACCTGGGGGCATGGGGGGCTGGGCGCCGAAGTGGTAGCTAGATAGGTTACCGACGTTTCCGCCGAAAGTCATGGTGTCGCCAGAGGTGGCAGTAGACATGCGACGCGGTATGGGCGGGGCGCCATCAGCGTATGCGTGTGGCATGCTCCTCCGCCTCATTATGGAGCTCTGGTTCATGTCGTTGATGGACTCGGCAGTCATGGACGATGCATTGTCGGGTATGGCAGGCGGCGGGGTCGATGCGTGAGAAGAAGAGAAGTCCATATGATCGGCAAAGGGCAACTGCTGCTGCTGTTGGTGTTGTTGCTGCTGCTGCTGCTGCTGTTGTTGTTGTTGTTGCTGTTGTTGTTGTTGTTGTTGTTGTTGTTGTTGTTGTTGTTGTTGTTGCTGCTGCTGCTGCTGCTGCTGCTGCTGTTGTTGTTGTTGTTGCTGCTGCTGCTGCTGCTGCTGTTGCTGTTGTTGTTGTTGTTGCTGCTGCTGCTGCTGCTGTTGTTGTCGTTGTTGCTGCTGGCGCAAAAATTGGCGCTGCAGCCGGCTTTGTGCGTAGAAGCCATCCATGACTGAAGCACTTGGCCAAGAAGGCCGGATGGGGAGTACGCGAGTCTGTATGAGATCTCACCCAGAGTGAGGGGTGGAGAGTTGTCGTCTTGTGTCAGGTTCGCGTGATCATGGAGCTTGAGTGTGGTCGTTTGGATATGACGATGATGGCATGTGATGGTGGCAAAGGTGTCTGTACGTGCGTCGTTTCGGGTCAGTGAGGGGCGGCACAGCAGGGGAAAGCGATGGCTTTCGTTCGATATGAGGACAAATGAGATGGTCAGGGGAGACAAGAAGAGATGATTGTACCGCTCACAAGAATATCGTAGCAGTAAAATGTACGGGTTGCAGGAAGAGTTCAGTACAGTCCGGGTGAGCAAGATGGGATGGGCGGGCCAAGGATTCCCGGGACAGCAAAATCAGGATCGAATTATTGGAAGGGGAAAAAGGGGGGGGGGGGGGGGGGGGGGAGGGATGGATATCAACGATGACGTGAGTGGAATAAAGGTGAGTGCCAGTTGTATTGTGTGGCTGATGCCGTTGAGTTCCCGCAACGGATTAAAAAGATTGGAAGGCTAGAGGAAAGCAAGGGTGGGGAACCCGACGACTTCTGTGCGACTGAGGGAGGTAGAGGCACAAAAAGGAGGGGGTGGTCCCGGGCAAAAAGGTACGTGCCGTCAGCCAGTCTGGGTCAGGGTCAGAAACCAATCTTGGTGGCAACAAATTTTTCACAATTCGTTGACAAAGAGATGGGGAAAAGAAAAAGTCGCTGCTGCTGACTTTGGTGATGGCAATGGCCCGGATTGTTCGCAATGTGGTTCCGAGGATCAAGGTGGGGAAGAAAGCGCCAGAAGATGAGGGGGGGGTGGGGAGGAAGTTGGTGGGACCTTTTCTTGTCGTTCTCGTGGCGATGGAAGCTAAGCAAAATCTTTTCTTTTCCTTCTCTTTCTTCTCTCTCTTTCTCATTCCTCTCTCCGTCTCTGTGTCTCTTTTCTCTTCGCCCTCTCTTTCTCTTACCCTCTCTACGATGGATTATCTGGTTTTCGTACTCTAGGCGGGGAAGGGGTTTCTTTTAGCAGCACGACTTTTCCACACTAGCGGGCATATTCCCGTATTATATTCGTCCATATTACGGTCGACCACTACGTCCATAACACTGACGTGGTATTCTAACTTGAACCACTGGTGACGCTCGTCTATTCTAGACATGGACGCCTAGCACACCTAAACACTGCTCGGGTCCTACGAATACTCCATACTAGTAACCTGAATTGGTCCATTCTGTCGAGTGTGGACTGCTACGGCTAGTATTATAGCGCTCACAGGCCTATTACTGTAGTGATAATCGCTTATGCTTAGTGCCCGGCCACTCTGCTGTTAGCCTATCACCGAGGTCTGGCTGCCATTACATACTGCATGTACGGAGTACGAATTCTTGCAAGGTGGTACTGTAGGTAATTCTAATGGAAAGCCTCCACCACCGATTTCCCCGCCTACAAGGACTACAGTCGATATCACCGCATGTACGGGTAGTCCATATCACTGTCTATATATATACCTATATTAAATATTTCGCCCCCGACTATATATGTTGGCACTTTTCGAATGACATTTTGAACGGCTTTTGCCTCTTTCCCTTTTTCTTCCCTTTCAAATCACACGCCACATATTATGACATCGAACATTTACCGTTGAGGCAGATGTCTATGGAGATGAATCCTGAGACCTCCGTACGCCCCCACCCAACCATCAAACACCATCTAGGCGTTGGGTACTGTAGAGTAGATAGACGGTCTTCCGTCAACAAGCTCTACAACCACATACTACCAACAGGTCTGTCGGCACACAACCTAGTATTTGCAAGTATAAATCTTACTAATCGATATCCCTACACTTTGAATTCACACTTTCTAGTATACATATATTGTTAGCTCATCATATTACTGCACACATAAAAATGGATAAGAGAGAGAGAGGGGGGGATGATGTCGAAAAAGAGAAGAACAAGAGAAGGAATGGAGAAAAAAGGCGGGTTTCTCCTAATAAGTCCCCTTTCTTAAGATCTATCCATCTAACCATCTGAGGCGGGAGATATTATCGACCTGAGAACTGAAGTGAAGGGAAAGGAAGGGCCCGGCTCTGTGACGTCGTTTTTCTCTCCTCTTTCTTCTCGCTAAGCCTCTCCAAGGAAAGAATGTGGCCAAAAGGAAAGAGAGAGAAGAAAGAGTAATAATATAAAACGGCCAGAAGACATGTACTAGGTGGGACTAGTTTCCATATATAATATCCACACACTCGCTTCGGTACACAACATGTTGACTTTCTCGGGTCCGTATTTTCTACAGATGACCACTGGGTCATGGATAGTAGCAGTACTGTCACTACTACAGGTAGTATGCCCTTACCATCCTCGTATCATTTCGTGTTGTGGTAATATTTCAAAAAGGTTTCCAAGCTGTGACTGAGAAAGGAGAGGAGAAAGATGGTGAACATAAATGTCTTGATTGGTCGCTACAAATACCTCAAGCCACATCCAGATAACCTACCTATCTCGACTAGCCTCGACTTATCCCATCATCCTGTCTTTTTTTTTTCTTTCGCGTCTTTTTTTATATATCTCGTTCTGTTTCCTACCAAAATACCCTTTTCCCGTTCCTCCTGCTTCCCAAGAAACAAAAGGAGGGAGGAGGGGTAGAGGTAATCTAAATTTCATAGTTCATACTGCCGTTCGTCATTACGCCGTGTGTGCTGTCCATCGTGGTCGATGTTGCCCAAGATTTGATTGCATCGTACTCTACTTTTATGCAAAGTATCCCATAATAGTCTGTTGCGCCTCAGGTGAAAATTGCCTCAGAAGAGGCGTCGGATCCGTGCTGGACGTCTGCAGGAGCGTCTTGGTGGCGGCGGCAACACGAGTCGCCGTCTGGCCCTGTAGTGCCTCGGTCTCAAGAGCCTGGGCGACAAAGACGAAGACCTTGCTGGCCTCGTTGACGACGGACGCGTGGCGCCTGCGATTCTGTGTAAGCATCTGCGGAGTAGGGGGGAAGCGATAAAGGAGCAGCTTACTGGTTCATCAATTCCGCCAGGTACGCATACGCGTAGGGGGCAGCCTCCTCATCGTTAGTGACAGGAAGGGTAGCCAGCCACTGCGGGACAATTTGCTGAGCGTCACCCACGCTGGAAGCGTTGAAGTGCAGGATCTTGGCAATAGCCGCGCAGGCATTCTCCGTCGCGTACACATTGTCGTCGTTGCGCGCGTCAGGCACCTGCGTCACCTGGAACAGGAACGGCATCGAGCTGCTCAAGAACTCCGACCAGGGGGCGCCACCTCGGTGAGCGGCGACACCGATGCCATAGGCCGCCGCCTGGCGGATGGCCGGCGAGGGGTCCCTGCAGCCGTCGACAAGGGGCTGGCTGATGTAGTTGGCGTACCGGATACTCTCGGGTCCGCAGTACTCGAGGACATCGTCCATGATGCACAGGCCCCACTGTCGCTGCGTCGGGTCGGGCGATCGCAGAAAGCTCTCGTACGTCGGCATCAGACGCTCCCAGGCGGGCAGGAATGCCACACCGTGGTACTTGAAGACTGAGTGGAAGGCCTTGTTCATATCCGAGAGAAGAGTCTGGTCGTCCTCGATAGCCATGAGGGTCTCCTCCGTCTCGTCCTCGGCGTCCTCGGCGCCAGCACCTTCCTTGTCCTCGGCACGTTGGTTCACGCGGTCCTTGTAGTCCTCAAGTGCTGAGTTAACAGAGTCGATGAACCGAGACATGCGGTCAGCGTTGAGGCAGTCCTTGCCGAGAACCTCGACCGACTCGTAGAAGCACTGGTACATCTCGGCAAGCGTATCAATAGCGGGCTCAGCGGAGAGAACCTCGAGGAGCTTGTCGACAGACGCCACCCACAGGCCTACAAGCTCATTCGACGGCGATCCGTACGCCTTCTTGTAGCAGCTCAGGAGCTGAGGCACCAGCTTGGCAGAGATGTACCGCACGGGATCGTGGAAGAAGAAGGCAAGTCCAGGCAAGGCAACCTTCTCCATGATGTTGGCAACGTAGGGCGCAAAGGTTCCCTCGAGAACCTGGGCGTAAACGACAAGGAGCTCAATGGCCATGTGCTTGTCATCCATGGTACTCGTGCGGATACCGATCATCTTGCCCTTGAGTGGGACCAGCTCCCAGCCCTCCTCGTTGTGCATCGCCTCAACCTGCTCATCGTCATCGAGAAGCTGGATGTCAGCCTTGGCCGTTGCGAGCTCAAGCAGCGGCGGCATGACATTGTCCAGGAAGGGAAGGAAGTCGGTTCCCAGAACACGGCACATGCGGCCCCAGCAGTGCATGAGGTACTGCGCCTGGGGGTCATCAGAGTCAGTGATGTTGGCCTGGATGCTGGCAAGGAGGTTAACCAGAGTCATAGCATCCTGGCCGAGACGCTCCTTCCCGACGGCAAGGGCAATCAAAGTCGCACACTCCATGGCCTTGGCACGCAGGAGCCTGTACTCCTTCTCGCCCTGGTTCTGCAGGACGTTGACAAGGAGGGGCATCAACGTGTCATAGTACTTGGAGAAGGCAGCTTCGGCGGCGTCGGCAATCGTTGCAATGGTGGACAGAGCCTGCTCCTGGACGTAGCGCTGCTCGCTCTGGAGGAGCTGGAAGAGATGGGACAGGAGATCGTCGAGGTACGGCTCCAGAACCGATTTCTCGGCTTCCTCGCAGAAGTTGACCAGCGCAGCCGCGGCGTGGGATTTAACACGGCCCTCGGGGGATCCGAGGACGGGGATGATGGCCTTGAGGACGCGGTCGTAGTAGTCAGTCTGCATCTTGGGTGCGAAGTCGGTGCTCATCTGGCCCAGGGCGTTGCAGCCAGCCCACCGCACGCGAGGGTGGGGGTCGCCCAGGGCAGGAATTACAAGGTCCAGGACCTGGCTGAGCTCGCCAATCATAAGATCGCGGCAGCCCTCCGAAATGGCAGAGATGGCCATGAGTGCTGCGTGGCGGTCGCGCCAGGCCATGGACGTCATCATCCTAGGAAGCCAGTTGAAGGTAGGAGCGAGGATGGTCTGACCACCCAATTTGTTGGCCAGTCTGTCCATGGTCTGCTCTCCAGCCACGTGGTTCTGGTCGCTCTCGTCCTGATCGAGCTGTGGGAATAACTCTTTGTCAGTAAATTCGCTTGAGTAGTCCGGGGTGTTCTTCTCCACTCACATCGTCAGATTCCAGCCATTCGGTGGCATCGTCATCGTCCTCGCCCAGATCAGTCATAAGGCTAAGACATTGTGTAATCATATCGTTCGTGTAAGAACTATCCTTGCGGCACATGGATGGCGCATAGTCGGCAAATGTGGCCATAAGCTCGAGTGCATTCTGCCTGCAGACATTGTCCAGCTCCTTGTCCTGGATGACGGAGATACTGAACTGCACAAGATTGGAGAACATGGGCTTGAACATCTTGGGGGCGGCTTCGGCAAGGTCGATAAGGGCAACAAGAGCCTTACTCAAGTCATCTGAGTCTTGGGAGTCTTTGATAGGCGGCAGGATGTTGAGGACGCTCGGGATAAGGTCGTAGTACTTGGCCTGTGCCTTCTTTCCGAGAGTGCGGAAGAAGGCAGCGAAAGCCTCCATGGCGGCAAGACGGACCTAGCGAGAACAAAAGGTGTGAGTAACCATGACGATCATTACAACACAAGTTATTGATACGTACAAGCACGGCATCATCATTGAAGCCCTTCTGGAAAGCCTCGAGGACCATGCTCTCATGTTGTTTCTCGATGATGGCGGGCGTCGTTGCGAAGACACGGAACGCGCAGTCTCGCTTCTCGGGATCGGCTGCCTGGCTAAGTTGAAAGAGAGCGCTGAGCAGCTCAGGCCAGGGGTCGTCTAAGTGGTGGAGCATCCATGTCAGTACTGCTTTACGCCATTTCGGTTCAACCCTTCAAGACTGACTATTCTCTGTGTACTGGCGTGCGACCTCTGCCACAGCATGGCTGATCTTGTTGCGGACATTGCGGTCAGTCTCGAGCCCGAGCGTCTCGAGGAGCTTCTGACGGATGGCGTGGGCCTGCTCAGCGGACAAGGAAATGAACATGTCCAGGTTGGCCCCGGATTCTACTTTTCGGGTTTTCGAGGCAATTCGACGGAAGAGAACGGCGGAGAATGTCCGTGTCTAGCACAAAAAAGAAGGCCTGGTTAGTCTCACGGCTTGCCAAGGCAGAGGGGAGGGGTAGAAAGAGAGGCAGGAGACAAAGGTCGGGTTCAGCACTCACGCCAGCATCTTGGATGACCTGGGTCTGCTCTGCGAGTCCCATGAGAAGAACCTCCGGGCGGGTGTTTGTCCAGTTGTTCTGGAGATGCTCCTCAGCCTGCGAACGGATGGCATTTTCGGGGGACTGGAGAGCCTGCAGGAGCTGGGTGAGCTCTGCGTGGATCTCGGGCGACAAGAGCGACATGGTTGCGGGTTCGGTGGTGTTCCGGTAAAGAAGGACCTGGAACAGCCGGTGCTCAAGGCCCTCGCAGGATTTGTGATTTCTTGTTGCTGCCGTATGGATCGAGAGAGTGCCGGACGCCTGCTTTGGGGGGGAGGGCAAGTCTGTCGGTCTTTGCGGTTGTTGTTTTTTTTTAGGTGGGGGAGGGGGATGGATGTAGCCACACAAACAAAACGATGCGACAGGGAGGGCTGGCCCGTGTTCGCCTTGTGAGTTTGCAACTGGTTCAGTGTTGTTGTGAGGGCGGTGGTATCGAGAAAGTAAAGAATGGCCCCTTGTAGAAATAGGAAGAGAGACCAGGCAGCTGGGATCTGTTGTGTGTCGTAAAGTTCTACAAGCCCATTGCTTTTATTTTTATTCTAGTATTATTTTAGGCCAGAGGGATAAGCGTATTGTAATAGCGGATTTGTTTTTGTTGTTTATGAGGGCCGAGAAGAGGGGGTCAGTGCTAGCCTCTAGGTCGCCATTTTCCAGGGTCAATTAAATTTTGCCCCTCCATTCAACTGGGCGCCCACGGCCATGGGCCATGCAACGCAGCAACGGGGGGCATACGGAGTATTATATTTACTATAGTGGCTTTTACGCTGATCTTGCATGTAATTACCCACTTGATCAGACATTTCCGACATTTATCGTGGCTTCTAAATTCCGAAAATTGTAGGAAAGTATAGCCTTTTTACTCGATCATACATTTCTCCTTTGTTTATGTCGTTATTTTTCTTTCTTTCTATCCTCTTCCCTGATACACTGCACTATCAGATATACATTAAGTCCCCGCATCGCCAGCATAGATACCTGCGTACATGTGTTTAGCATGGCTGGAGTTTCCCCCGCGTGCATGTGAAATTTGCTATCCTCAGAGCATAACTCCATCCCATTGCGTTAATCATTGAACCGAGCTTTCACTACTAGCACTACCGGGCAACTGGCGTCACGATGTGATTGCAGCTCAAGTTAATGACAACAGATCACCACAAGCATCGATTCCTCCCTCCAGAGAAACGTCGCTATGCCGCATGCATGGACAAGAAGCCCTTGCCAATCGTTTGCGACGCTGCGTCTTACACTCCAGGGTAACCACACGTGCAATATGCCAACAGCCATGCAATATTAAGGGAGTCCCAAAACAACAGGAAGCAGGGGGAGGCAGTAGATGCATTTCATCCTAAAAAAATAACTTGTTGATGTGCACGAGAAACGAGGTGGGTTTCATGGCTCGGAGACTGCCAGCAAGCTGGTATCATTAGTAGAAGATACTCTGTATGTATGTATACTGATAAGACTCCGTAGTAGAGTATGTAGCTTGGCATGGAGACACTACTTGGACTGACAATCATGGGTTGCGACCCCGCCGCCTCTTTAGCTTCGTGGGGTTGGCAATTGTCTGACGTATCGATCCTGACAGACAAGCGGAACCAACTGCTTGTAATGAACTGCACGACAAACGACACACAGCCTTGTCCGCAGCACACGCATTCTTCCGACCCAAGAACTTGCACCGTTTCCTTATAGTAATTGGTATGTAAGAATGACCCCCTCTCTGGGCCGGACCCCCTCCGGGTGGGTTGATGTTTCCAGGTGGCGGTTCCACCTTGGTCGTGCAACCTTCGACCCCAAATGCGAGGGCACACCGCTGCGTTGGGTCCTGGTTCATGGAACCGTAGAAAAATTTCTCTCTATTCTGACAGTGTCCGTCAATTCCCAGATAGAAGAAGCCCTCAGCCCCCAGGCTCTTCTCCCCATTGCCCCTCATGGAGCCCTCGCTCTCGGCCGCTGGTGCCTCCGGCGACAGGAAGACGTCTCAGGATTCCCGGCCGGTAAGTGGCATCAGCATCGGCTCCTCGACTAGCCGTACCGATAGAAGATCCCCCTCGGTATCGAGCATCAACCGGTCCAGCCACCGTCAGAGTTTCGCCGAGAACCTGCGCAATATCCCGCCCTCCCCGAGGCAGCGCCAGCACTCACTGACCCAATCCGCCGTCCAAGACTTGCTCAACAACCCGCCGCCCGCGCACAGACACCTCAACCCCCAGTTTGCAAACCGAGAATGGCAGGATATAACCGTGGGCGAGCTCGTCTCCCCCGGCGATGTCAAGTGGATGAGCATGGATAGCACTGTCGAGGAGGCGACAATGGTGAGCATTCCTTCCACGCCATAGAGAATACACGCTTGGGCTGGCTGGCTGACCTTTGTGTGTGTGTACCATCATTAGTTGCTCATCAAGGGGAGGCCCGATGTTGTCTTCATTCGAGAAAATACTGCCTCGAATATCGCCCTCTCCACCTTTGACTTCAAGGACTTGACTGCCTACCTTCTCGTCGTCATCGGCCTGGCTAGGCCCGAAGAGGATCAGGCCGAGGCTTTCAACACTGTTGCTACTAAGTCTCGCAACGGGGAACCCATTACGCTGCGGGAGATCCAAGGCCTTCGGCAGAAAGAGGGTTTGGTCACACTGCCCGGGACGAGCCCGCTTTCCCAAGTTGTCGAAACGCTTGGGAGCGGGGTCCATCGATTCCTGGTTACGGATCAGGAAGGGGACGCTGTGGGCATCATGAGCCAGCTGCGCATGGTTGAATTCTTCTGGAACGAGGGAGTCAACTTCCTCTCGATAGACCAGCTATATCCATCTATTCTGAGAGACCTCGGTATCGGCACCAAGGATACCATCTCGGTCAAGTAAGCAGAACCCCTCCCCCACTCCCTATGCCGGGTTCCCATTCTTTCTAACTAAAGCACGGCAGCTCCGACGCTCCCCTTTCCGAAGCTCTCGTCCTGATGCACAACGAAGGCTTGACGAGCGTAGCTGTGGTCGACAACGGGCACAACGTTGTGGGAAACATATCGACCCGGGACGTCCGCCACTTGACGACTGCGTCCAACGCACCGCTCCTCAGTGGCTCCTGCATGCACTTCATCTCTTTTATCCTGACGGAGCGCGGCGTCGAGAACGGCAGGGATACCTTCCCCGTATTCTACGTGAGCCCGTACTCGACACTCGCCCACACGGTGGCTAAGCTTGTTGCCACGGGATCCCACCGCATGTGGATGGTTGAATCGGCGTCACCTTCGCCCAGTGGCCCCGCTACACCGCTGGCCGGTCCGGGAAGCTTCGTCGGTGGCCCTCCACCCCCGAATGGCGCCCCGCCCTCGCCCCAGACAGCGCCGGCCGTGCCCGCGTCGGCCATGATGGGCGCGCGCATGTCCGGCAGGCTGACGGGCGTCATCTCCCTCACGGACATACTGAATCTCTTTGCTAGAGCTACGGGGCTGAGGCCCATGGAGCCTTCTTCGCAGCGCGAGAGAAGGCGGAAGAGTTCGACTAGCTCCATGAGAGCCAGCATCGACTCCTTTCGGGGGAGCAACATGGAGCTCAGGAGGTGATGGGCCGTGACGTGGCACTACTCTAGAAGAATTACTTCTTTTCCCTTCTTTCCTGGTACTCTGCTTCCTTGCCAGTTTCTTGTTCTGTCGGAGTCGAGATGGGGGATTGGTAACCTTTTTTTTTTTTTGTGGGAGAATAGGGGATAATACATGCGAAGAAAGAAAACGACATGAAAGAGCCATGGGTTGACGGTTCCATCCATCTACGGCACTGCCGAAATCAAAAGTTTGCCGCTATAAACGGGCATAAGCATCAACATTGTTGATTTCATATCGATCGCCCGAGAATCCTAGGTGATGGTACCATCAAAGCGCGGAGCGATACTTGTACTACAGTACTACTACAGTACTACTACAAGTAGTGCATATGACAGACAGCCTTTAGGTATCTATGCTGGCAGGTCGTGTCGAAAGAACAACAATGAAGAAGAGTGGTTGGTCCTGCACAACAATCTCTGTACCACATATTAATACCATACTAGGCACCCTACTGTGAGATGGACCCAATTAAAACCAATTGGCAGGGACCGCGCACGAACCTCTGTGTGATGCCGCCTTGTACCTCGATGAATGGACCGACAACGTAGCGGAGTGTCGCCTTTGGGTATTACATGGTCACCGCGCATAAGGGCCCAACGGGCACCGTGTAGTCAGATATTATACCACAAGTATCAGGATGCATTATTTTGTACCTTGGTTGAATATTTATTATGCATCGGTACTAGTAGCCTATGCAGCATTGCACCGCAATCATACTTGCAATAGTAGCATTAATCTCTTGTGCCTACCTACTACATGGACTAGGAATAGTACGAGATGTGCGTAGACGTAGCATTACGTGACTCGCCAGTTGAATCGACACTAGCTGTATTCCGTACAACGCTTTGGATTATTTCATCTGAGCCCCATCATCCCCTCGAGTCTAGCCCTCGAGTCTAGCAATGCCGAACGACACCGGCATATACTCTTAGTGAACTGGAGTCCACGCAGCTGGACGAGTATCCTTATTTACCCACGGATCTACACCTTGCCCGTTGTATAGTGCATTGACGTCTTGACTTCATCGTCATTCCGTTCCCAATTCTCCACCTCGACGTGGTTTGGCGTCCTGCTGCTGCCCTTCTTCCCCGCTGGTCACATTACTGTCAGTCAGGGCCCATCACGACCCCAAGCTAATATTGGAGCCCAAATGCTGCCGTCGGGCGTAGGGCTTGTTCCTATTACTGCCCGTGGTAGCCTGCATCAGACAACGCATTCGTCTAGAGACTCATATCTTTCCGAAAAACGCCTGTTCTCTTGCGTTGCAAGACATTGAGTTGGACCTTTTGTGTGTGCTGCGTGTGTGTCCCGCTAGCCGTCCTGACTCGACTCTTGCCACAACGCCATCACCACTACTCCTATCTTTCTCCCACCAACACCGCAGAACTTGTTCCCTTTATATACCTCGCTTCTCGTCACACGCAATCAACCACGGCTGAACCATCATCTGGTCTATCGGCAGCGTCTACCTCGATCCTGTGTTGTGGGCATCTCATCACCTCCTTAGCCTAGGGCTGCCCGGGCATTGAGCGAGCCTCATCGTCCTTTATGCTCTCGCCATAAGAACGCAAAGGAACGTCAAGGATATACCCTCAAACCTTCCAATGTGCCATAAAGCACATGATGTGCTTTTCGACGAACAGAGTTTCTCCACGATGTTCGACTATATAAAGCCCCCGTCTCTCCCTAAGGGGCCCCAGGACTCTTTCCCTCCTACATCGTACAAATCAACACCAGATCGAGCAGCTTTGTTCCAAGCGTCTCCAACACGCACTTACGCTTCAGGAAACAGTCAGCGGAAGCTTGGTGACTTTTCCAGTCTTAAATTTGACAACACGCCAAACAACTCGCGCGGATCACCTCCTTTTGCCACCGCCTGTACCAGATCTGATCCCGAGAGAGCTGTCAACAAACAAGATCAACATCATCATCAACAACTACCACCCAGCTCCCTGGGCGACTTCACGAAGGTGTTCGCACAGCTTGGACGACCTTCGTCATCACAGAGCACTCCAGCGGCAGAGAAGAATCTTCTGGAAGCACAGATTTCGACGCAACACGAAGACATCCTGCCCGAGCTTGAAGTTACTCTGAGAGAGCATAAACATACTCTACCCGAGCTCGGAGCTACTTCGAGGGAGCCCAAAGGCAAAAACATGGCCTTGGAGGCACTCCGACCTGTGGATCCGTTCCACAAGGAAGATATCATCTCACTCGTCCAGCAATTCATTATGGATGACTCTTCCGAAACTTCGTACCAACCTATCAGCGAATACAAGCTCAGTCAGAAGCCCTACGATGCCTCTGTCGGCGGGCGTACCGAAACCACAGCTACTAAGGACTCGACAGACTCCGAGTCGGGTTCTGAAGCCTCAGCCACCTACAGCACCCCAAAGACCAGCCTCGCACCCTCGTCACCTCGGAGGCGCTCGAGCAGCGACAAAGACGCTTTCCTTCTCAGTTACCAACTTCACGCCAATGGGCCGATTCTCTCCATCTCAGAGAAAGACAGGCGCCGGGCCTATCTGCCCACTAACATCTCTCAACTGTACGGAAAGGTGCTTCAAACCGACTCGTTGGTTCACGCCAAGTGCCAGGATTTCAAGACCAACGGTATTCACATCTTTCTCGACATGTCCAACGTCTACATCAGCTTCCTCAACACCATCAAGGAGAGGCTCCAGCTGCCTCCCGGGGCTCGATTCCCCAAGAACCCACACCTCAACCTCCGACGCCTAACCAAGCTTATTACCCGGAGTCGCCTCGTGGCCACGCGCGTTGCCGGCTGTTCCGTCATTCCGGACCGCTCGGAGCCCGTATTCGTCGAGCACCTTCGCAACTACGACTACCGCGTCGACGTCCGGGAGCGCAAGGCCGTCCAGAGCTCCAACCAAACAGGTGCCAGCCCTCCCAAGAGGAGCTACTCGCCCAAGGGTGTCCGCTATGTTGAGGACCTCGTCGATGAGACTCTCCAGACTCGCATCGGAGAGACTTTCATGAAGAGCGGCCACAAGAAGGCCACGCTCATCCTCGTCACGGGCGATGCTAAGCCCGCCCCCTACGCCGACGGGTTCGGCGAGTGCGCCAAGCGAGCCCTAGGCTGGGGATGGAACGTCGAGGTCGTGAACTGGAGCACCAGCTGCTCGTCCATATGGAGGGACATGGCTCGCGACGAATCTTACGGCAATCAGTTCCGTCTCATCGACCTTGACCATTACCTCAAGTACCTTTGGACCGACGAAGAGTAGCTTTACTCTCAAATTCTCAAAAATGATAAACAAGGCCTCCGAAGCTCCTCAGGCGACGATAAAAAAACCACGATTTCAACAAATAATCCGCCATTTTGGCTTCGATAGCGACAACAGCATATACTTTTTTTGTGCTTACAAGCACACACCACACCCCACGACAGCAATACTCAGTTCGATTCCCCCCTTTGCTTGTTCGGCATTCACCCACCGTCTATCTGGATATGGACGGTCTTGGTTTTATTTTGTCTCGTGTTTGTCCCGTTGGGACTATCATCACATCGAATCTGGATTTCAACTACATTACTGGAATTATCATGACGGAAGCATGTTAAAAACAATTGGCATACTGAAAAGGCCTGGAATGGCCCCTCATTTGTATTTGTAACTTTTTTTTCTTGTTTGGAGCTATCATATCATTCTGGGGCCGTGGATTTGGAGGGTTTTGTTTTTGTTCCTTTCTTCCTTCGGGAACTTTGAACACGCAGCAATGTCAGTCATCATACTCTGTACACATTAGCGGAATTAGCGACATTTCTGTTCTGTCTATATGTCTGATACACATAACTTGGCCATACTCGAACATCGCCGTGTCTTTTGAAGTAAATGAGTGCTTGTCTATGTACCTGAAATCTAGAGTGTCCGGAAGTCCGTAAACTTATGTACGTAGCATCATATTTGCTGCCTTGCCTGCTCGCATGATCAAAGCAGGGGGCTTCCAAAAGTATTGGAAATCATTTCAATTCGTATATTGCCAAATGTCATAACTATGGAGACTATAACCCCTTTTATATGATACTAAGAAGTTGGAACCGTTTGGAACCGTCACACATGTATGGTCGTCCTTTCCCTGGTCCTTGTTTTTTCCCATACAAGCCACCCTTCTAACCAGCAAACGCCGCCAATAATGGAACAATGGATAAGGTAAAGAAAAATGAATATCCGAAAAGGCATATAATCCTGTAGAAGTTAAATCAAAAGGAGCGGACGAACAACTGCGGTCCAGCCGTAGCTTGTTCGAGCAGATATATGCATACCGCTTTGGTTGTAGGTCCAGCGCCCTTAGCAACCCGCAAACGGAGAGAAAAGGAGGGAAAAGGAAAAGGATGGAAGAAAAGAGAAATAGGAGGTCCAGAATTGTCCTCAGTGCCGGAGTGTGGACAGGTGAAAAAAGAAAAGCAGAAAAAGAAAGCTCAAACGAAAGCAGCGTCGCAGGCGGAGACAGCCCCGTCGATACCCCAGTGCTGGTCGTTGGGGGCATCCTTCTTCCAGAGGTCGTCAAAGGCGGTAAACAGGACGATCTCGGCGAGGCTATCGGCAAAGGCAGCGCGGATGGATTGTATGGCCTTTTCCTGGTTGGCCCTGCCGGGAACGGCTTTGCCGTTGGTAGCGCCGACGGTCGGCCACCCGGTCTCGGTGATCATGACGCGCATGTCTCTGCTGAGCGCGGCCTTGACGGCTTTGACCTCACGGCGCAACCAGGTGCCCGCCTGGTCGGCGGTCATGGTGCTGTCGAAGTAAGGGTGGGCGTTGACGGCGCAGAAGTCGGAGCACTCGCACAGTTCGGGATTGGACTTGGTGGCGATGAAGGTGTCGACGGCGACGACGGGGCCTCTGAACCCGGCAGCGCGGAGCTTCTTGCGCGCCGCGACCACGGCGGCCTTGACCTGCGCCGTGCTAGCTTGCCCGTTGTTGACCAGCTCGTTGCCCACGCTGACCGAGTGCACGCGCGCCCAGTCGCCCGCCACACCCGCCACGATGAGGGCCGCCTCCGCGTCCACCTGGTTGATGTCGTAGATGCCCAGCATGACCTTGGCGCCGATCGTCTTGGCCGCATTCTTGATCTTGGGCACCTGACCGCAGTCAGTGCCGTACGCGCGCAGCAGCCCGTACTTTCCCTTTAGCCGCGAAATGTCGTCCACAACTTCCGCTTGGCTCTTGCAGTTGCCGTCGGCTCGGTACGGCGAGTACGAAACGCCAAATTGGTTGACTGAGCCTCGGGATTCGAGATCGGTCTCGCTCCCATCGTCATCCTCATCCCCGTCCTCGGAATAGATAGAACTCTGCCCTTCTTCTGACCCCGCACCGGTTGTCTTCGCCTCCGCAGCAGTGGTGTCCCGAACGGCTATGCTTGCCGCAATATCCGTAGAGGTTGCATCGTGGACGACGAGTGGCTTACCGTCTAAGAGGTGAGATTAGCAACGCGATATCCTCGTGATCGTGATATCACACCTTAACTTACCTCCTCCCACCATGGGCTGGCAGATGCCTGGAGCAACTAGGGCCAATGCGCCCAGCAAGAGTCTATATTGCACCATGTTGTCTAGCCCGTTCCGAGAAGTCAATGGAAAGAGAGCAGTGTAATCCGGCTTAATGAATGAATGAATGTAAGTTGGTAAGTACCACAGTAGTGGAGAGGGACCGACGGCGATGGTTTATAGACGTCTATACACACACACGGACACACATACGCATAAAGGAAGAGAATAAACAAAAGAGGGGAGAGAGAGAAAAAGAGGGAAGAAAGAAGGACAATCCTTTGACTAGACTGGTATCGGAGTTGACATTGACATCTGAACAAGACTCGGGGGGATGAGGAGAAAGAGGGCTAGGTATATCATTCAACTTACATTCACCTACTTACACACGCCAGAAACGTGCTAATGTGTAATTTCCCGCTATCCCCTCTCTCTTCTAGGAATGTTTCGCTTCCCAATCTCTCTGGAATGCTTGAATGCTTCAGGACCTTATGGTGAGACAAAATATTCAGGTTGAGAGACAGACAGTGCTCTTTTCCTCTTCTTCCCTTCCTTCCTGTCTACCACGAACGGTGCCTCTTCGACTCACTTACCCTCAGCTTCTTCAAGGACCTGCCTTTGTATAAAGGCACTTTACTTTGCTGGCCTAGCAACCGGACAACAGAAAAGAGATGTCATCTACAAATTCAGCCCTCAAAGATCCCGCCTCCCTCCCTTTCGCCATGTTACCTTGGGAACAATTGGCATGACCGGCAATACTCACTTGGGATTTGGGGGTTTACAAAAGGGATGGGCCTTTCCCCAGCCCCCCTTGTTTATATATCTCTTTCTTTTATTCCAACTTTTCCCTTTTCTCTTCTTTTCTCTTCTTTTCCTTCTATGCCCTTGCATGTACGGTCACATGGATTGCCTGCAGCCTTGTCTTACAATGTCACTCGGACCCTTAGTGTAGCTGATACAGCAACTCTTCTCTCCAGCTGGCGCTTTTGGGTTCTGGACCTACGCAACATTCGGCCTGGACCTTACGGGGCCCGTCACTGGATCATACTTCAAAGTGGCTGGAAGTAGCATCGCCAGACTTCACATCACGTACCTTGGCCACCGTGGCCTCAAACCCTCAATGTTCTCTCCCCCTCTCTCTCTCCCTCCTTTTCTTCTATTATTTTCCGCTCGAGGCACTAAGGTGGAGCATTCATATGATGATCGGGTCTGTCGCAGAGACAAACATGGCCGAGCACCCGATGCTGCTAATGTGACCACCCAGTGTCCATGTGTGCGTGGTGCGACTCGAGGGTTGATTTAAGCAGACCTGAGACTCAATGACTTCACTCTTATTACTCATTAATTATCTGTAGTGTAGACCTATTCAATAGCCACATGCATCCTCGTAACCCAGTTACCCCCCCGAAAGAAAAGTGTAAGGTTTCCAGCAGCTTAGGGCATGCTAGAGGATGAAACAATTCAATACACAGAAAAACAGAAAGAAAAAGCAAAACCTGCCACCATAACAGTGCCCCTATGGTGAGAAAAACATGAGTCTAGGAAGACTTGCTGGTTGATTTGCGCGTCATGACCTTGGTTATGGCGTGTCTGATGGTCGTTCCGGCCTTCTCAATATCCTTCTTAGATAGAGCAGTGGTGATGCAGACCTTCAGAGCGGGTTGGGGAATCGTGCCGTTACCGCCCTTGTCCTTAATAGAATCAAAGGGCTGTGTCTTCAACCTAGTAATAAGGACACCGTTGACCAGTGACTGTGTCGTCTCCATGTTAGCAGATGAGTTCATTACAGGGGGAGTGCAAAGGGAATTGTTGAAATTTTACCTCTTCAATGCAGTCTATGATAATCTTCTCCTGGTCCTCGAGGTCGAGTTTGCGCGAGCTGACAACGTCGGGCTTCAGGACGAGGAGCATGACGGGGTTCTCGGGGCTGCTGGTGCAGATGACCCAGTCGCTGCGAGGGTCGAGCTGGGCCCTCATGGCCTTGATGTTGTCGCGGCACTGGGTGAGGATGTCGGGGTTGGATTGGAGCAGGCTGACCGTCTCGCTAGCCGTGACAGCCAGCATGGCGGGGAGGGCGGCCGAAAAGGTGTAGGCGGTGGACGTGATGCGCTGGTGGACGACGACATCCTGGGCTCCAGCGCAGAAGCCGCCTCCAGCACAGAGAGGCCCAGCGAGGGATCCGATAATCATGTCGACCTGCTGGGGGTCCACATTCTGAGCCTCGGTGAGACCGCGGCCGGTACGGCCCAGCACGCCAAATGACCAGGTCTCGTCGAGGATGATGCGGAACTTGTACCTTTCCTTGAGCTCAATGAGGCGCGGCAGGTCTGTGGCGTCGCCGACAGTCTCAAAGAGTCCCTCAGTCACGATGAAACGGCGCGTCAGCTTCTTAGCCTTGGCCTGCTCCTTGACTACGTTTGCCATCACCTTCTCCAGATCCTCCATGTCGCCGTGGTCGAACCAACGAATATTGCAGCGGGAAGCCTCGAGGCCTTTACGGATAGAGTAGTTGACGGCGCGGTCGGCGACAATGACGTCGCCACGCTTGCAGAAGGAGGGGATCACACTGGAGATGGTCGAGAAGGCCTGAGCGTACACAATGCAGCTTTCTGTGCCTAGGTACGCGGCAATGTCGGCCTCAGCCTTGACATGGACGTCCTGGGTACCGTAGAACTGGGGAGGACCGCACGGCCCAACACCATAGGTGCGGAGCGTCTGGACAGCCTTCTCCTTGATCTGCTCATTGGCATTGAAGTTGTAAAAGTTGTACGAGGCAAGGTTCGTGACGGTACGGCCGTTGGCGAGTTTAGTCTTGGGTCCAGTAGGGCTGTGGGTACAAGGGGTCATGTCAGACAACGCATTTGGTGGGGGAGGGGAAAGGGGGTAAAAGGATGTGGAGGGAAGCGACGCACCCGACAATGACAGGTGTCCTCTCACTCTCGAGGAGCTCGGTTGGAGTCTGGTCTGCGAGAAGGGGCTCGGGAGTCCACTCATCAATTAACTCGTCGATTTCCTTTTGCAACGCATATTAGCATTCACGTGTCCGTATGGGGGAAGAGGAGGGCCACGGAAATGTCCAGCCAAGCCGGCCAACGAAAGGGAGGGATAGGACAATATATACATCTTCGCTGAGCTTGACAAAATTCTGCTTGTCGGTGGAATACGACGGCGATAGTAGGTAGCGGATGAAAAAGAGCACGAGGACCAGCTCGATGGCAGAGCGCACCGGGTCATTCTGGTAGCTCGACTGTATGTATCGTATCAGCACGGCCGAGCCGGGAACCTTGCGGAAGGCAACAGATGCTTGGTCGGCCAAATCACCCATCAGAGTCTGTATCGCATCTAGATCCATTGTGATGCGGTCGTTTAGTCAGTCACTCAAAGTTGTGCGTCCTCTTAAGCGCTTCTTTCTCTCTTCTGCCCTAAGGGGTGTGGTTGGGATATGCGTCGGGAGAGGGAGAAGATCATTCAACTTTTGGCGCCAGGGTGTAGAGATTACATCAAGGCACACAAAGCCCCCTAAAAGCCACATGAAATTTTGCACCGCCACATTCAAATGTCAGCCATAGAATGCCAAGGTCACCCTTTTCTCTCATCCCGGACGCGACCTTGAAACACGTCAAATGATAATTATCTGGCCATATAATCTTACCATGCATAACACTTCTCTACGAGTACGTGTACCAATACCGACGCATCCGAGAAGCATATTACAGAAGTTACCAGGACGTTTGAAAAAAAGAGCATTCTATTTATTTCCGTCTGTGCACCTCCAACTAATAAAAAAATAAATAATTGACTAACTATGCGTTCGTTTGAATCAGACACACAAGTTTGGTGGCAAAAGCACCAACAAATTAATACATGTATCGCTGCTATCCTCCTCGTCGGCAAGAATAACATTCAACGAGATTCCACAACCTCCGTACTACTTGTACAACAACAATCCCAACTTAGAAGAGCCTGACCTTGCCTGTGGATCCAGAGCCGCCAGAGGTGGAGGCCTGGTATATGCCTGTGTAGTCAGGGTTGCCAGTACCCGTCTGTGACGTTCCGTTGGTGTTGTCATGGTCCTGGCCGTTGGGCTGGACAAGACGGAAGCCGAAGCCGTCAATTGTGTCCGAGAGCGAGGTCATGTCAAGCTTTTTGCCGGCAACAGAGGGCCCGACTACAAGCGCGAGGAAGACAACAAGCATGACATAGTAGAGTATGGCGAAACGGATGACACGACGACGCCTCAGCTTCGACTGCTTCATTGTGTAAATAGGAGGTCGGATTTGACGGCTGCAAAGAATGCGGTGTTAGTTAAAGACTCTTTTTTTCATTAAGTCTCAACAGGAAGGGAGGATGGTTAAGCGTACCTGGGGCGAAGCCAAAAGAGCATAATAGAGTGCAGCATGTCCATCTTTGGGAAAGAGACAAACGGCATCATCATAAACAGCAGCCAGTGGCCAAGGATGAAGTCGCCAGCAAACATGCTAAGCTCCGAAATCTTGCAGAGGAATTCACGAGCGGGCTGCGAGACCGAATGCCAACCCATCGAGTACCATTTACCGGTCCAGAAGGCAATGTTGGACTGATCCGTCTTCATCTCACGCGTGAGTGTGAGCGACACGATGAGCTTGAAGATAAATCTCTGGATAGCGACGACAGCAATCATGCCGGACAGTGTTCTAGCGAAGCTGAAGCTTTCCAGGACAAACATAACCTCAAAGAAGATGAGCATGCAGACGACAGCAACACCGTGAGCAATACCGGCGAGAACGCTACCAAACTTCTTGCAGCACATCGACAGGAGAGGGCCCATAAAGCAAGCCATGAAGAACATCATGCCGAGGCAGCCAGCGTTGATGGCGATAGGAGCACAGGCAACAACGAGAAGACGGACCAGGCTGGCCGTTGGAGAAATCTCTTCATCGTCGTTGTTCTCCGGAAGCACGCCAGTTTGGGCGTTGATGAAGAGATAAGGGAGACCAGTGGCAACAACCATGAAGAGAGGGGCAAAGATCTCGCTGAAGAAAAGGTTGGTGATGGCAGCGCGGGGCACATCAGCACCCATCTTGGCCGAGGGGTCACCGAGGGCCTTGCGTTTGTATCCAGTGATGCGGGTACGCGATAGGCGGCAGAACCCGATCCACGAGGAGCTGTGCGACCTCGAATTACCACGAGACAGCCAACGAAGGAAGTCGCGGTAGTCGATGAAGAAGTCACTCCAGGCAAACTGATGAGGGTTGTACAAGAAGGGCGAGATTGTAAGACCAAGCAGAGTAATCCAGAAATAAGTCAGCGCAGCCTGCCAGATTGTGACGGTGGCAAAAAGGAGCATCATCAGAAGACGAGCGCCAAAGTAGATCGACGGACCAGCAAAGCGCGAGTACAGGACACCGAAGGGGATGCGGGCTGTGGCGAAGCCACGACCGGTACCAATGTAGCGGGCACCACCAAAAGACAGATCCTGCTGGACAGAGTTCGCGTAGATCTGACAGACGAACACCTCGAAGAAAGGTGACATAGAGCAAAGCTGCTTTGCAAACCGAGTGGCCGCACGCATGACTCCACGCTCCATGAGCTCCTGGACAATCAAGGGCACGAAAGACAGGAAGAAGACGAAGAAAATGGACATGATAGAGCGATAGACCCAATCCATGAGAGCCGGGGTATTGACGCAGCCAGTGGGGAAGATGGGATCAGTGATAGGTACCTTTCGGTCGTAGTCGCACTTGACCGTCTCGTGACGAAGCGCACCAAGGTTGATCAAGACAATCATGAACATTTGGACAGACAGGATAATGAACATGTTGTTGATGTGGAAGCCGGCGTGTGCATAGTAAAAAGAAAGGAAACGGTCGAGAGGGAGCTGGGTACCGAGGTAGTAGTACTCACGAGAGAGCATCTGCTCACCCATACCCGTACCAATCTTGGTGGTGAAGTTGAGGATGGAACCGAAACCAAGATCACGACCCTTACCGCACTGGTAGTACTCGCAATGCTTGATGCGACCACCACGGAGAAGAGCAGTCATACCAGCGAAAATATCCTCATTCAGGTGCAGACCCTTCTGAGCCTTGGATACGCCACCACGAGTAGTCATGAAGATACCGTTGAGGAAATCAGGATGACCGTAATGGAGCTTGCCACCAATTTGAGCCATGGTACGGGCGAATAGAGTACCGAATGTCTGTTCCTTTCCTGCAGCAACGTCACCAAGGATACCGATGTTCTCCGAGAAAATGTACTCGCGAGCACCGAGGATAGCGACGGGGGCATCACCCTCGTACTTGACACCAGGCGTATAGGGGTTGAGATTGTCGTTCTTCATCTCCTCGAACTCAGCGAGAACACTGCGAATTTTCAAGCACTCCTCGAGGTAATTGTCCTGGTTGGCATCGATGAGCTGGATGTACTCTCCACGATAGAAGATGATGGAGTGGTTCTGGTTATCCGATTTGCCGTCACCAAGGACAGGGTTTCCAGAGAGCTGGATCCGGAACTTGGGGCGACGCATGCCGTTCTCCATGAGTTCAGAGTGGCCGTCGATAATGGCAGAATACAGACGAGGTTCTTCACCCTCGGCGACAGGAGGCTCCTCGTCGAGGTAGGCAATTTGCAAGTCAGGGTAGGCACGGAGGAGGAACTCGGCATTCTCCATCTCCTCCTTCTTGAACTTGGAGTATCGCTGCATGGAGACAACAAGCTTAAACTTGCGACGGGCCATACGTTCGAGCTCGCGCTCGAGTTTGTCAGAGTTACCACCAAACATCTGGACGACTTCGGGGTTCTCGACACGGTAGAGGAGCTTGATGGCACGGCTGTAGTTCATAAAACCAGAAATGGTACGGTACAGGGTCTGAGAGCGGAGAGAAGCCCAGATACGCGTCCTGAGGGTGTACTCCGGAGCAGAAGACTTGAAACCGATGCAGTAAAATGGGAGGTCGTCAATCTTGCTCTTGGCAGTACCCTTCTCATTGGCATCAGGTTCGCCATTCATCTGAGACGTCTCATCAGCGAGAATCTTCGTGTCTTTGACAAAGCAGTCCCACTCATGGGGGTGGAGCTGCTTCAGGTATTCCAAGAGGGTAACACGAGAATAGGGCTCGTCCTCGCGAATGATCTCACGCAGAGAGAGGAGAATCTTCTCACTGTAGTGAGGGATCATGACAGTGAATGTCGGCATGTTGTCGACGGGCAGAGGCTCAGGAATGGGTGTCGACAGCGACTGGGCGAAGAAGGAGAGACGGCGCTCAGCCTCGCTGTGGCTGGGAAAGAACTCAGTCTTGAATGAGTGGTCTTCCTGCGAGACGAAGAAAGTGGGAGCACGGAGCGTTCGCTTGCCCTCCTGCTCAGAAGGAACCTGGTGGTAGAGAAGCTTCTGGACGTGGTCAATGGCCAGGAGATGCTCGCGGTACATGGAGATGACGATAGCGTTCCAAATCTGAGAGATGAGGACCTTGGGCTTGTACTTGATCTCCATGTCCGTAGTCGCAAGGATCTTGGAGTAAATTCGCTTAGGGAGACGCGAGAAGACGTTACGCCAGGGCGTAAGAATCGACGAACCCAGATAGAACGAGCGAGCCAGAGAGAAGGCAGTGTTGAGCAGGACGTAGAAGAGGTAGGTGTCCAGGAAGAAAAAGATGACATCGGTGATACCCATGAAGACGAGCAGGATAGCGGGCTGCCATTTGCAGAGGGAGTTGCCCATTAGCGTCTCATCGCCCTGGCAGCTGTCGACATTGGCTATCTGGAGGTATCGCATGGAGTCACGGAAGGACAACGTCAAATAGACGTATGACTCGCCAAACTTCAGACCAAAAACCACGACCCAGAGACCATAAGACATAGCGATGTCGCTTCCGCGAAGCTTAGGCCAGCTAGCAGTGAAAGTCTGGCTAGCCACGTACTGCCTGGAGTTCTTGGTCAGGTAGCTACCAAAGAGACCACCAAGAGGCATGACGGAGAAGAAGGCAAATGTTATGAGAGCAATGACGAAGTGGATAATGGAGATGATCAAGTCAATGTTAGGTCCATCCTTGATCTTCGTCGGCGCAGCGAACACCTTAATGCCGGGGGCAAAGTTGAGGACGAAGACGAAAAGCAGGAAGAGCAGTCGCTTAGTCAGATGCTGGGCACCGGCCCAGCGACGGGGGACGTACGCCCACTCCGCGAGTGTGGCTGTAATTTGGATGAAAGAGGCGAATGCACCACCAAAGGCGACAATGGAGAACATCTGGTAAGATGGGGGCTGATTGTTGACTTGCTGCTCGTACTTGCCCCAGAGGAGCAGGGTCGGAGCGTTGTAGGCCGTGTAGAACCAGAACATTGTCAGATGGATGACCCAGATACGGTTGAAGTTGACAAGAAGGTGGAACCAAGAACGAGACTCTTTGTATGTCTTGAAGAAACACTTCTTCCAGTTGACTTCGTTCAGCTTTAGGTAACGCTCAGCGGGTGGGAAGTCAATGAGCTTGGTTTTGTCATTGAGGACGATGCGCTCAATACCCTCCGGGTACCAGAAAAGTTGATTGCAGTCGTCGTAGCCAATAATGTCCTTGTGGTCACGCTCGCGACGAACGTAGTGTCCATCAAGGATCTCATAACACTCGTCACGAACGAACTGGTAGAGAGGAGTGATGACATTGTTGAGGAATGTGAATTCGTCGACAGGTTCCGTGAGGGCCTGGCAGGCAGGTGAAACGAGGTAGTCATGGGCGCACTTGAAGATGAAGCACAGGAGCTCGGGCATGAATCGGACCTGGTTGGCCTCACCCCAGCACAGAAGATATAGAGCGATCTGACGTACACGCTCATGCTGGGTCATCTTGTTCATGCGGGTTTTCCATCGGTACTCGGCAGCCTCGAGACTCTCGTCACCCTCAAGGTCCTGCAGAGTCTCCTCTTCGTTACTGCCCTCTTGGTTTGCTCCCTTCTTCTTCTTACTCTTCTTCTTGCGCTTGGAGAATGCGCCTGACTTGTTGGCGAAGCCAACAGAATCATCCAAATCCAGGTGAGCGGCGAAGTACCACTTGCGGTAGTTTGCATTCTCGCCACCAATGTAGTCGGCATGGAGGGACAGCAGAGCCTGGTTAGGGGTCATTCGTGACGACCTGGAGTCAAGAAGAGTCATCAAATGGTCGTACATATTGCGCATGCTGTCGCGCTGGAAGCCGAGCTTGGCGGTGAGGTCCATGAAGATATCCTCAATCTCCTCCTTCGACATGGGGATCTGAGCATCCGCAGTCCAGGCCGGGTAGGGTTCACGAGACCGCTGACCGGCGGGCAGGACATTTCCGTAGTCCATGCCATAGTTGGGGGTGGAGGCACCTGAAGAACGATTGCCACCATATGAGAACTGGGAGGAGGGAGGACGGTAGCCACGGCCACCGCCTTGACCATCGCCTTGGCCATCTCCATAGGCGTACTGTTCGTCACCACGACCGTAGTAGTCCATCTCAGCAGCTCGGGCCATGTCAGACCTCATAGTGAAATCGCTGAAGGTCTCAGAGTCCTCCTCAGATCCATGGCGACCGCGCTGGCCTTGCTGGTTGTACTCGTCGTAGTAGCCACCACCAGGAGCGCCACCTTGCTGTCCATCGTAGTAGTCGTCGCGGTACTGGTCGTGGCCGTCGTAGTAGCCACCGTCCTGGTGGTAAGGGTTGTTGGGGTCGGCGTTGTAGTAGCCACTGTAAATCAGTTAGCATGAATACCAAAGCCATGGCAATGGGTCGTGAAGGAGTACACCTACGATTCGTCGTAGTAGCCATCGTGGCCACGGGCAGCACCATCTTGCTGGTGTCCATAGTCTTGGTACTGCTGGTCGTCCTGGTAGTAGCCATCGCCGTGGGCATCAGGATGGCCTTGGGCATCCTGATGGCCGTAGCCATCTTCGTAATGCCCGGCGCCACCGCCTGGGTATCCCGACATGGTTGAAGTTGATGTTGTTTACCTGTAAATTTTCGACCGTTAGTTGAAATGCCCCAACGGAAAACCGTCGATTCCCAAACGTCTAAGCAACAAGGTTTGAGCAAAAAAAGCCACGGATAAATGGGCCTAAACGTACACGACAGGTTTCATGGAACCAATGTTGACCGTGGAGCGTAAACCGATGGCAAATTCAAAGAATGGAGGAAACTCCAACTGTTGTTGGATGCAAGAAATCCGTTCAGAATGGTTTGGAACGAAGGTGAGTGAGAGTCGTGTCAACACTGTGGTCTGGATTTCTCGATGGCCTATGCCTCAGTTGGAAAGAATGCTGTAAAAGGTTGACGTGGGGGGGAGGGAAGGGTCCTGGAAAGACTAAGGCTCTCCCGTAGCCAGCCGGACGTGGGAAAAAAAGAAAAGATGGTCGAGTGAACAGGAGTAATGAAGAAAGAAAACAGTGACAGCGAGTGGAAAAAAGTAAAAAGTCAAGCAAGGACGTGATGCACAGCAATTAGGCTCCCCCCTTGGCGAGATAAAACAAGAGAGGAATACGATTTCAAGGAGAGGAAGGGAGAGAAGGAGAGAGAAAAGAAGTCTGAGAGGGGAGGAGCAGCAGCAGTGGCCGAAGGGGGTTGGTTGGGTGGTGGGTGGTGGAACAGGGAAGTGCAGCATAGCACAAGTATTACAGCGCAACGCAGTTCCAGGAGGTGGCTGCGAGTAATGCCCCTGAGCATCAAGACCGCGTTGTGGGTACTTTGGGTCGTGGTAGTATGAAAATGTGGTACGTAGCGCTCTATCGAGGGCGAGCTGACATCTGGCTGCCTCTATTCTTGACCTTTTGCTTCCTTCTTACTCCTTACCTTCTCAAGGCAAGAAGCGAAATGGTAATGCGTGAGTGGAACCGGACCTGGAACGAGTCCCCACTCACTTCTCTTTCTTCCTTCTTCCCATGTACTCGTACGAGTACTCATACTTGCTTGTTAATACTCCCAGCTCCGTCGGCGTCCATGCAAAACCTGCGCACACAAGCTATTACTGCTGCTACCTGATATCATCATCACCCATATAGTCACGTTGTTTCCGTTTGACAACACACCATAACAACTAGGAAGCGCCTATTGTTTACTTTTCGATGCGGGGGGCTGGGAGCGAACATGTGCTCGAGGCATGTCAACAGTCGGAGCATATGGAAGAGGAGGCCTCGCCACGCCACACACACGAGTACATGGCAAGTACCCTTCTAACGCACAGTCAGGACAAGCCTTTTTTATCAGGACTAGTCCGAGGACGCGTTGCTGCTCTGTCCTGCAAGATCAGGGGTGGGGAGAGGAGGGGGCGAGAGCGCGGGAGGGCAAGGCCTCTGCACCAGTTAGGGGGCATCTTTCCAGAAGGCAAGGGGGTACCGTGGAGTACTGTATACCGGGGTGTTGGGAAGCACTGTAACGCACGTCCTGCTCTCAAGCAGGACTGGTAACAGCAAGACAAATAATCTGGAGGTATGTATACCCATGTACACATTGTCAGTCACTCTGTATCAATAATCTCCGTATTCGAAAAGTTGATGGCAAATCGCGGCAACACAGCAGCCTCACTAGTCGGATTCGTACTGGATGCGGTCGGCATTATTGGTTCAGTGTCATCTTGGTGCGTGGGGCTGTGCCCAACAAGTACAACGATACGAACGGAGCAACGGGGAAATCCTGCGGTTTAACGTATGTACAATGTACGACACGCTACTGTACAAGAGTTATAGGTAGGCTGTAGCTGTACTCGTCATTGCTGCTATTAATACGACCGCGTTGGTATTTGCCCACTGTCGGCATGGCGATACCACCACCATCGGTTCTATAATCCGTATCCAAGGGCAAGTAGTACAGTGACAAACAATCACTACTACTACCACCATTAACTCCTGGTATGAGTACGACGTATGTATGCTCGGGCATACGAGCACCAAGCCATATCAACCGTCGTACTATTGATACGTACGCAGTAACAGATCGCATTCGATAGAGTGCACTACGCCACCGCTGCTGCTGACGTCGCCAACCCTGCATTCGCAGCGGACTCATAGGAAGAAGCTTAGAAGTCCTTTAGCGCTCTCTCAACAGAAGTGGCTGTCGATTCCTTTCCCCAAACAAACATACACATATGCTGAGCTCTATGTATAGGGCCGGAGACGAGTAGAGGGGGAGAGAGAAGAGAATCCCTGAGGGGGGCCTCATGTGTCTGGCTTTCTGCTTTTGGGTCCAGCAATGCATGGCGCCCATGAAAGGATTTTGACTGGCGGCTCCCTACAACAAATATTCTGTAATACAATACAGATACTTAAGCCTCAAACCATATTTTGTACCAGCATTGACCCGGCGCAGCCGGCCCTGCTTCGATCGGAGTTGACCCCAGTTTTACAAAGGGAATAGTGCCATGATGTACGGAGTAAGTTACTCGTACCTGTACTTGTAGTGACCAGTTTGGCGTAGTCCTTCGTGTCCCACTTCGCGATCCCTGATGGACCGTGGTTAATTCGCCTCCCACTCTCCTGGCGTCGCTCGCCCACCATCTCTTATGGACGCGAACATGGTGCGTAACTTATTATTATCCCTCTTTTCTTTCTTTCTTTCTTTCTTTTTCTTATCAGCTTATTCCTCCCTTTTTCCCATCTTTTCCTCCCCCCCCCCCATAGTCTGGCCTAGCACAGCAACGTCGTCTGCCAAACGACGAACATATTCAATCCACTAGCCCAATTAAACATTCCAGGACTCTCTAGAAGGGGAAGATACAGAGGACCGGTATGAGAAATGGTAGAGATACATAATGCCCCTAAGCCCCATAAGCAATTGCAACGCTAACAGAGCAGTTGCCACACTCTTGTGATCGAAAGGCTGCCCCCCTGATGACCCCTACTCTTTCATTATTTCATACTTGAGACGGGCGGTGCCGTCACATCAATGCAGGTCTGTGCAAGCCAGTGCAAGGGGGAGGAGCCTTCCAACATTAGTTTGCCGTAGGTCATCAAACCGTCGATAGAATACGCCCCACGTACAAACTATATCACGTAATCAGTGGGAACAGGGTGGCAAATCCCATCATCATCCATTGGGCTGCGGCAGGCTCGCACACTTCGTTCGCTAACCCAACTGCCAATCCATCCTCTGTATCTACTCGTACCTACATGGTGTTAGCATTCCAACAACAGTTTGCACCACATCTCGTCAAATAATTCATCCTCGTCAAGCAGTACGGGTCTACGAGTAGTCGTGTTTTCACTACTGCTACAAATGGTCACATGTGCGACCATTACGGAGTATCTGCTGCAACCTATTAATTGAGCCGAATACCAGTCGCGATGTTTACTTGCGGAACAGTGTCCTTACTGCAAGGGTTTGTAGGATATGAATATAGCGATTGGATTATATAATACAAAATGCACCAAACCATTACTAGCGATGACGGACAGCCAGCATTTATTTCTATACAGTGATAATATCATTATATGCTCCCGTTACCCTGCCAACCACTAAACGAAGGGCTATTATTGTCTTCAACCCAACCGTTGTACCCCTTCCCACCGCTTGTCCTATACTGCGCAGCTCCAGCAACCCTCTATCTTCCTCTAACAGGACGGTGGAATACGACGCAGGCAATATACCCTCTGAACACCATACTTCCCATCGTTCATCTACCGGCTTCATATTCAACCATCCATCTACCTATACACTATTCCTCCATACCCAGTTCGCATCTTATTCCCATCCTTTCACCATGGCCAGAGTGGTCGACTTCTGCCCGGGCAGCGATGATGAGCTCCCGGAAATCAGCACGATTCTACGCAAACCCGGCGACAAGAGCACAAAGGCCACACTCAACCTGGTCTCTCCCAAGAAGGAAATGCTTGTGCCCAAATCAGCATCCAAGTCGGTGAGCCGCAGAGTTCGCCGTCTCGAAACCAACAGCAACATTACCGGAAATCTTCTCTTCCAGAGGTGCGACCCGGAGGACGCCCGAGAGATTAATAGGGGAGACAACAGCATCTTCCAGGGTTCCCCACGTAAGACGCCAATGAGGGCAAGAGAGCCCAAGCACCCAGACTCCGTCTTTTCTAATGAGTCTATCTTTGATGACTCGCCTCCTCAGACGGTTCGCACCGGTCGCGCAAGGCGTGTCAAGACAACCACCACCATTTTTGAGGACGACGAGGACGATGAGCCGCTTCGTCCTAGGTCTCGACATAGCCGCCAGGTGGGCAAGGACAAGCTGCCTCCGTTACGCCTACAACCAACGACCCCTATCCTGCGCCGCAACCGTGCAGGCAGCCGACCTGGTAGTAGATATTCTCGCCACGATGCAAACAGCTTTGTTCCCGACCAATCTACCATATTTTCCACGACCTCGGACGACTCTCAGTACCAAGACAAGAGCAGCGTTTCCAATGGTTCCAGCTCAAACGCATCGAGTCACTACCGCTCTGCTGAGGATTCGGTTTACAACGATAGTTCCTACTCCGCCTTCAGCAGCACTGGGTCTTCCCGATCCGGAAATGACTCAAGCCTGAGCCTCTCCTCTTGGGAGATGAGCTTCGGTCAGCGAGAAATAAAGCCTACATCAGCGAGCATCCTAAAGCCTCGCAACTCCAGCTCCATCAACATGACTCTTGCTTCGACCACCCAAGCACAGCCTCCAAAACTTTCGATCCCTCCGTCATTAGAGAGGCTTCCAGAGGAGAGTCCCGGGATGTACAACGAAAACTTCGGTCTCATTGAGCCTACTGCTGCTGAAGAGCTGACAAATCAGCTTTCCAAGCTACGTCTCCAGTTCAAGGAAACCGATGATAGTCAAGATGAGCCGGCCAAGAAGGAATCCCCTACAACTCCTCCACGCACCCCTACCAAGACGACAAAGTCAACGGGGCTAGTCTCTCCGCTCAAGGCAGCTCAAATTCCTAAAACGCCTCATGGGCCTAGCGCAGACGCCTTCTGGAGCCAGGATGTTGTTGACGGGTGGAATGAGAAGCACTCACCACGAAAGCCTATCCTTGCTCCCAAGCTTAAGAGCCTCAGCAAGAGCCCTCAGAAGGATGTAACGAGGAAGACGTTTGATTCAACCAAGCACGACGTTGCCGCAAAGTTCATCCAAGAACTTGACTCTCGGGTTACCGAGGGCAAGATTTCAGAACTTGCTGAGTCCACTGGCGGCGTCACGTTAGTCTGGTCCAAGACGCTCAACACCACTGCTGGGCGGGCAAACTGGCGACGCGAGACTGTTCGTACAAGCAAGCCAGACGGTACCGAAGTCGTCGTCCAGCACAAGCATCATGCATCCATCGAGCTAGCTGAAAAGGTCATTGACAACGAGGACCGGCTCCTCAACGTGCTTGCCCACGAGTTCTGCCACCTGGCCAATTTTATGGTCAGCGGTATTACTGGAAACCCTCACGGCAAAGAGTTCAAAGTCTGGGCGACCAAATGCTCGCGCTCCTTTAGCGACAGGGGCGTCAAGGTGACGACCAAGCACACTTACGAAATTGATTTCAAGTATATATGGGAGTGTGGCGAGTGCAGCACAGTTTACAAGCGCCACTCGAAGAGTATCAAACCGGAGAAGCACCGATGTGGTACCTGCAAGGGTACGCTCAAGCAGATCAAACCCGTGCCCCGCGGCGGCGGCAAGCCGAGTCAGTACCAGACTTTTGTGAAGGAGCAGATGAAGATTGTCAAGCAGGAGAACCCGGGGAGGCCGCAAAAGGACATCATGAAGATCATTGGAGCAAAGTGGGCAAACAGGACATCGGAGCCTGTTGAGGATCCGTCGACAATTCAGGATCAGGTTGACGAGCAGCTGGCTGCTGGTTTGATTGATCTCACTCTCGACAACTCAGCATAGATGATAACGGCGAAGAGGGAGGGGATCGCATCTACAGGGCGTTTCGTGTTTTCTTTTGGTTGTGTTTTCGTGTGCTTGTTCTTGTTCTTTTTTTTTCTCTAATGAAACAACTTATATACAAAAATTTACGCTCAGATACGTAAATGACATTATAGCATAGCCCTTTTAGACGCTATTATATGAAAAGAAGCTGCTTCGTTGCACGTGACAATCATGATTCGAAGAAAGGGGAAGAGCCAGTTAACAGGTGTTTAAAAAACAGTCTCAAGCCCAGTGCTGCATGCTATCACAGCTGGCAGGCAGGGTTATATCCTAACTTGACGCCGCATCACACCCCACACTGACCGCTCAGTGGTCTTCCCCAAAGAGTCCCCAGTCCTTGATATTGAACGTCTCCCAGATGCGCGCCGAGAAGTCGACGGCGTCGCCAATCAGTTTACCCTGCTTGCCGAGCTCGAGGTCGACGTCGTCCTCGTTGTACTGGCCCTTGATATGGGGCACGTTTACGGTGATGAGTATGTCGGTCTTTTGCTTTTCGAGGCGGAGGAGCGTCATGATGAGGGCTGTAAAGTCGGGGGAAGAAGCTGAGTCCTTTGATTGGGGAGTCTGTGTCGCAATAAGGGTGTATGCCGGAGTGCCAGACCTAGAAAAGTAGTAATGATGAAAGGGAAAAGAACAATTAACTTCCTCTTTCATTTTCATTTTCCTCGTAGGTTTCGCCGCGGGCTTCAATTCAAACATACGTGAGGCGCGAGAACTCAGTCTCAGCAGTGTTCCAAATCTTAAGGCCCTCGGTATTGTCGCCCACGAGATCCTCGAGGTGGTGCGTTATGGCGCGGCCGTCAATCTCCGGTCCGGAGCCGGACTCGCCGACGCGCTCGGTGATGTCGAAGATTATACTGGTGAAGCCATCCTGGTCGATCCAGACCTCCTGGTTGTCAGGGACTTGTCGTATCTTGCTATGTTACATCTCAGTCGGTTAGTTGGTTTCGACGCGAGCCGGAGGGCGGTTGTTGGTTAATACTAACCTCACGTCGTCAAAATTGCTGGGGAGCTCGCAGACGATTGCGCCACCGTAGAGGGGGGTAGCTGTGTATGCTGTCATGGTGGCGAGATGCGTAGTTTTGTTTACGAGGGGCCGCGACAGAACAAGTTTTGCGCAACGTCGTAGTGTTCGGGTAGGGTAACAGTTTTCAAGGTGAGGGGGAGCGGAGAGGACTCGCGCGCAATATATACAAGTCTTCTTGTTGTATGAAATAAAACGATAAGTGAAGATGCAGGAAAGGGAAAGTGAGGCGAATAAAAGGCTGAATAAACAAAGAAGAATTGCAAGGCAAGGCAATCCTAGCAGGTAGTGAGTGGCTAAGCCACCATATCTGTACGAGCTTCTGCGAGAGATGTGGTTCGCGGCGGGGTATTGGCGTATTGGCCCATGTGATAGTATGTCATAAAAGCTGTGACGATATCTGCCCACCTTGTTGTGTACTCATACCCCGCGCTTGACAAGGCAGACAAATGACCCGGCACTAGTTGTGGAGGATTGGAATTGTTCTACTTCATACATTTGTATAAATATAGAAGTTTCGGTTTATATCCATTGCTGTGCATCAATAGAAAGTCAGGACAAAATTTTTTACAATTAAGCAAAGTAACATATTTTGGAGATACAGGTGAAGCAGGAAGGGAAAGATTAAAAAAAAAGGTTTTTTGGAGGAAAAAAAATCAACAAAATGAGGATTCGAATCTGGGAGTTCCAGATGAGGAGGTTCCAAAGATTGGAGGAGTGGAGTCTTTTGGGCCATGCCACGGTCACATCTGGTAAAAGGCAAGAGGTGAGTTCGATGGTAGGTCCCACTCCAGGAGGAAAGGACAACTTTTTGGCTTTATATACCCTTCTTCCTGCCCTTTCACCACCACCATCACCACCAATCAACTGCACTTCATCGCGCTTGTCGCGCCTACGATATTGGCTTTGCCTTCATCCATACAATATGTTAATCAAGCTTAATTGTAGTTTTCCACTAAAGTATGCTGCTCTTCAAATATACAAGTCTCTATTGAAACTACAGTGTAAAGTTCGATATTTCACATAGTATTCACGCACTTCCTCCCAAAGGACATTATGAAAGAGTTCTAACTTAACATATGAGATATTCTGTACTTCGTCATGGCGTAAGACTCTCTAACTACTATAAAAGAAAAAAGCTTCTCCGATATTCGTGACTATCTCATTCCCAATATTTGTTCATCCTCTTTACCTATCTTGTTGTATGTAAGGACATTTTTTAAGAGCCTAATTGTGGATGGCTACAGGGTGATTTCCTAAGCCAGCCGTATTTAAAGTACACCACCGCACCGTGTATGTAAGAATATACAATTCTGGATATGATGTATATGATATTAGAAAAAGTGGTATTTTCAAAAGGCAATTGCCACTTAATCCAAGACGGGATAGAGGAGTAACATCCGCAGTCGGCTCGGGGTTCGACATCGCCTACGGGATATGGAGTCCCTCCTTACCAGAAAGTATCCCACACTGTATCAGTATTCACCACACTGTATGCATGCTGCTTTTCGCCTCATTTCATCGTGCGTAGTTGCTGGCAGAGTAAACACCTTACACCCCTCGTTCAAATAGACCCCACAAACTTGCTTTTTACACGACAACAAGTAATCGTCATCATGTCTTGCATCTTTTGCCGTATCATCAAGGGTGCGTCTACAATCCACTCGGAACACGAAGCCTCGGATCTCCCTTATCGGAACACCTTCTGCGAGGTTTGAGTGCGTGCAGTGTAGCTAACTGCCGATGTAGGCGAGATCCCTAGCTTCAAGCTTTTTGAGAGCGACAAGACCTTTGCCTTCCTCGACATCGGCCCCGTGTCCAAGGGTCACGCTGTGAGCTTACACGTATTCCATTCCAAATGAGGTCCTGTTCTCTGACTGCCATCCGGTTAGCTCGTCATCCCCAAGCACCACGGCGAGAAGCTTGCCGACATCCCCGATGACCACCTTACTGAGATTCTGGTTCGTACCCCTCCATGTGCTGTCTGCCTATTGGCCGTATTCCTTGTGCTAATTGCCGTGATTCAGCCCGTCCTCAAGAGAATTGTGAACGCTTCGGGAGCTACCGACTACAACATCCTCCAGAATAACGGTAGCATCGCTCATCAAGTCGTCCCCCACGTGAGTTGACTCGGGGACGAGAGAGAAGCAGTTAAAAAAACTCCATCCCAGTAGGATTAAACCGCAAACTAATGTTTCTCTGCTTGATTCTAGGTTCATTTCCATATGGTATAGACACCGCATATCATTATCCATAAACGGAAAAAAAAATCAAATCGGGCAGCTAACCTTATACGTGCAACAGATTCCCAAGCCTAACGAGACGGAGGGCCTCATCGTCGGATGGCCCAGCCAGTCTCCCGACATGGAGAAGCTCAAGGCACTGAGCGAGGAGATCAAGTCGAAGATGTAGACTTCGACCACTCGTCTCTCCGTAGATGATCATTACCATGATGGGCTGCGAAGCCCCTCCAGTCTGCTGATAACAGACATAATTGCAGTCTAGTCAATGTGGATGACAATGCACATATGCTCCTTTACCATCTATTCTCTTATTCTCCCTATGTAGTGAAGTGACAAAAACCGCCACGTTCCTTTTTCGACCTTCGGTTTCAGTGGCTTACACTTAATCTACATCATCTTGTGAAGTCTCTCGGGCGGGGGTTACGGTCGGGGCTGGTGTCGTAGCTGGAGCTGTGGTGCTGACCGTTGGAGCTGGCGTCTTATCCCAGCAGACTATTCCTCCAGGGCGGATGTTGCCCACTCTGTCGTACAACGACCGAGCACGCACGTACGGGTCCAGCTTCCAATAATTCTCCTTCAGCTGCTTGGCCAGATCGTGCCTTTTAACCTTGAGAGCCTGCGCCTCCTCAGGGTTCGTAGTCTTGATCCAATCCACTGTCGCGGTCTCGAATTGCTTCACCAGCTCGTCCCTGGCAGCCTTGATCTTGTCCCTCGTTTCGGTATCCTTCATGATATCATTCTCTCCCTCCTTGGGCTCAATGTACTGGTACTCCCAGTCCTCATCACCGCCAAGCTCCTTGCTTATCTTATCGGCGTCTATGAACTCCTTGAGGTCTGCCACAGTGTTGGTAAAGTGAACCTTTCCTGCCACGACGGGGTCTAGCCATCCGCGAATGACCTTCCAGATTCCTGAAGTAAAATATGTCAGTTGCAGGATCAAGCGCTGCTCTTTATGTTTTTGGATTGTACTAACCCTGAAAGAGCCACGGCGAGTTGTGGACCAAGACAGTTCCCAGAGACTCAGGGAAGTTGGCCTCAAAACATTTGATCATGAACTTGACAGGGGCGTAATCCATGTTGGCCATCGAAAAGCCTGTCATGTCGAAAATGATAGTCTGAGAGTTATCATTAGTGTACGAATCCTCGGTGCGTGGCATTGTACTGAACTCACAGCCGTGTCCACCGGAGGTTCAAGAAGCATGCGGGCGGTCTCGATTATGTACACCGTATACCGCTCCAAGCTCTCCTCGCTTTGGTCGCCTTGCTTGTGAAACCGAACTCTGACGGTGCAAATGGGACGACCAAACTTGTCCACATTGTGAAGAAAGCTCTTTCCCAGACGGAGCTGTTCCATAAAGTCCTCGCCGCTCTTCTTCGACTTCTTCCCTTCTCCTCTGGAGTCGGCCAGGGATCCAGCCTCACCCTCAAACATAATGTCGTCATCGACATGCATTTCGGTGTGTCTCCAGTTCATGGTAGACACCATCATGACAAGAGCTCTATCCACATCCCATTTGCGAGCACGGAGAAAGCGCAGCGCTAGCGCGTCGGGATGATCATGCTTAACCATGGACCATATAGTGTCCCTTATCTCCTCTGGGGTCTGTCGAGAAAGCGCTTCCTGGAACTGTTTATTTTGGCCGTACTTATCGTCCTCATCAGCGTTGTTCCCTGAGGCATCTGGGCTGAGCGGCGTGGAAATGCCCGACTTGGAATCCTTCTTGCGGAACATTCCGAAGCGCTTTTTCTTGGGCGTCTCTGTCTCAGCCTGAGAGGCTGAAGCCTCTGTAGCAGACGTATCAGTGGTATCAATGGTGCCACAGACTTGGAAAATAGCTTCCCACATCTTGCGAAGCTTCTCCTCTTGTTCAGGTGTGAGGTTGCCCGGCCTCCCTTCGGGAAGCTGCGGCAGCGACATTGTGTCGGGCGACGAGGAAAGCTCTGCGTTGTCGCTCGCGAGCTGAACCGAACCTTGGAATTTAGCGTAGACTAAGACGCCGGCAAGTGAACAAACGGCGAGAGTCAGAAGATGAAATGGATGAAGGCTGCTTTTGAGCAGAATATGACGAGTCGATTCAGTATGCGGGATTTGCCTAGCTTTCCCCTTTGAAGGCGCAGATCTAGGGAATTGCGCAATGGGACGAGGCGTGGAATAGAGACAGGAACTATTACTCTGTCCTAAATTGCTGGAGAATTTCCTGATGGTAATATCGATGTGCCGGACTTTAGGGGCACAGCGCCTAGTGAGAATGGAAGACCGACTAGGGTACAGCTCCGCAATAGACGGATGCGTCGGAAGCTGTCGTTGAGAGATGTGAACGAGTTTCCCACGACAAAATGCAGTAGGGAGGATATTTGTGAAAGGCCGGAGCGTCATGAATATATGGTGAGCTATGTGGGCAAATGCGGGTTTGGCTCTTGCTCAATAGGGAGTGCAAAAAAAGGGTGTGGCAGCGTTGACGAGGCTGTGTCGGCCTATGTCATCAAGTAAGGGAATGGCAGCGGCCGCTCTACAACGCCGGGGCCGTGGAAGAGTAGGTATTATCACCACGGGGCGTCGAGGTGTAGATGTCATCAAGAAGGCAGATCTTCGGGGAGGGAAAAGGGGGAGAACATGAGTAGTAGCGTAATAGCAGCAGCATTCGGAGTACTCGTAATCACCGCTGTGTTGTCCGGTACCAATTGGGCTGAGTGCTGTTTACGTTGAGTCACCCGGGTCGCATACAGTACTCTCGTCTGGCGGTCCTCTTCCTAATACCATAGGCATGCTATAATGCATTATATAGCCCCGAATTCACCTAAATCCACGATGGAGCAGTTCTTCATGTTAAAGCCTATCCACCTCCCAAGTCCTTAAAGCCCTGGACATGAATATGTGCACTCGTACGGAGGTTGTAATTTTCCACACAGGGCGGCATAGTGCGGGGTGATGAGGCAGTGTTGCTGCTGTACCTGCTACTGGCAGTGGGGCAGATCAGATGCCACCAACAGTACAGATTACTCGTATTCCGTACTCTACAGATATTATTGTTACTCCAACGCAACCTTCGCATATCAACATCACCAAGTCATATTCAGATCATATACCAAATCACCACAAACGAGTGGCATTAGTGTGATTGATCATTTCTATTCACCCTCGAGAGAAGCTCCACTTCATACAACATCCCACGCTTGGTACTGGCCCCTGGCCTCTCGATTACACTGCGACGTGACCACGATCAACATTGTGGCCCATCGTCCAAGTTAGCACCATGGCAGCCGAGACTCCTAGGTCGAGTGACAAGCGCTCCAACTCTCGCACGCGAACACCGCATCCCACAACACCTCTACGTCCAACTACACCACTACGCCCGTCGTCACGTTCGTCATTCCGCGATTCCGCTCGCAGCGCCGGAGGGGACGGCCACTCGTTCCCTCTCAACGCGTTTGAGCCAGCATTTGGGGAGCTCTCCGACGCCATGGCCGACCTCGAAGCAAACATGATGCACTTTCAACTGATGCACGAAAGCCTGGCCCGGTTTAGCGAATCTTTTTCCAGTTTCTTGTATGGTTTAAATATGAACGCCTTCTGTGTTGATTTCCCCGAGGTACGTGAGGTCTATTTCTAGAAGTTCTGATTGATGCCAAATGCCCTTCATGTACCTAACCGACACTATGAAACCAGGCACCCGTCGCCGAATCCTTTCGTCATAACCGCCCAGATGTCGAGCCTGCTCCTGCTAGCACCCCCCGCGCTGAGAACGATGGCGAAACTACGTTCATGCAAGCCTTACCTCCCATATTGACTCCGCTGCGCTCCACTAACAACACTGTAGGACGACTGATATGTCCTTCGTCGAAAACCCCCCCACATCCACCAAACCGTTGACACGATCCACAACAGCTGCACCTCGCCAGTCTCGACTGCCCTCGGTCAGAGGTGGTGCTGGAACTGCAAGAAGAGGAGCTGGCACACAAACACGCGGGCGCCCCAGCGGGCTAGCTAGGGCTCGTGGCCGAGGGCATCAGGTGAACTAGCCGCGCTATAGTTTTAATATCAGTCGCAGTTGATACCCCAAGGACCGCCTAGCAAATTTCTATGTGCGGTAGGTTACTATGTGATGTTTCTCGTGGTTCAACCAAGCCCGGCTTCGTGCGTTGGCGGTGAATTTCATGCTGGTAACAAGCGACCTCAGTTCAGGTCATCATGTCGACATCAACTTGAGGTCCGGCTTCGTTAGATGTTGTTTTCCCGTTATCAGACCAGAGGCCGCCGGCAGCGTTCGCCTCCTTGAGTGTGTATGCTCCTTCTTTCAATTGCTTGAGCCTACAGATAGGACAATTAGCGACTTGACCTGTGTCCATGCGATGTGTTGTGAAAAGTGGCACATACCTGCGCTTGTGAGGTTTTGCCCCACGGTGAGCAACAAGGGCTTGTTCTGTGTCGAACCATTTGGCACACTCTACACAGTAGTTCCGTCCAAGATCGGGGAGATCCTCAATCGATTTTGTCTCCTTGAATAGGGTAAGATGCCTGGGCGAGAGAAGGTCGTCTTTTATCTGATCAAGGTCTCTGAAGAGTGTCGTGTTAAGAATAGCTTGACTGTGGTGGGGTATTCGTTGCCGCCCTTACCTTGTCTTCCGCCTCGTCTTGGTTATCGTTCGCTTATTCGGGACACCCATTTTTGTGTTTGTTCTTTTCTCTGTGAACAATACCTCTTGTTGTTTAATAGTTCCGTGCAGGATAAAGATGGCGAGTGCTGCGGTCAGGATGATTTTGTCGATTACTGATATTGAACGATTTTTTTTCGGAGATGATAAAAAAGGGCAGCGAGGACGATAAGATAAGAACGGATGAATGATAACCCGAGAAGCGGCGCTAATATGAGTACCTATTAATAATGATATTACTGTTGGAATCTTAAACAAACGGCTCTGCATTACTTTTACACGGGATTCTACGTCTGACGACGTAGATCGTACTCCGTACAAGGCCATGCGTATTGTCGATTACTAGAACTACTACGAGCAGAGGTAGTATTAGTAGTACTGTGTCTCTAAAAATAGTTCCCTCCTGTATCGAAAGTAGCAGTTGCTGAACTCGGCTAGCCAACGTCATTTTGTGTCCGGAACGAAAACCCCTTCCCGGTATTGCCACGAGCCAGGACTAGAAACAATTTGCGAACCGGGAGGCACACAGATGCGCATTCATCAATATTATATAGCATTTACGGCCTGGTATTTAGGGGTGTGGTGAGACGCCGTAATTTGACGTAGTATTACTCGTACTCATCAGCATGTTGTTGGCAGTCTCAAGCTCTTAGTGGAAGAAGAACGAAACCGTCATAGATCCACTGCTTTGCAATACGCAGGTCCAGGTCAAATCAGAGCTTCTCGGTATCTGTGTGTCATCATGCGGATGTCAGATATGACATTATGAGTTCTAAGTGAACCAGAAGGCTGAAGATTCGTATTACGCAGCAATTTTTTTTCATTAAGGCCCAAGGAGTGGGGTGGACGGGCCCTAAGGCCATTCCGGAGTCCTCGGAGTCAACTAGCCGGATTTCCACTAAGCCATTTTGAAAGATATACATTCCCACGCACACACAGTACACCAAAATTCATGTATCTTCAAAACCACCAACCTTAACGCAACGCCCACTGCCAGGCAGCTGAGAAGTGAAGCAATTGGCGATGTACCCGTATTGCGGTTGGAGGCTACCGGGGGCTACTAGAGGCACGACATGATATGAGTTTCGTTGTAGTGCTAGATCAAGCGATACCATACAGTATGGCTTCAAGGTACGGCTTGATGTATCTCGTGTGTATTTATATGTATGTCCCAAACGGGGTTTTATTCTAAAAGGTACAAATGGCATAGTGTATCCCAGGTGTAAGCACATGTACCTCTGTAATCCGATTTTGTAGCAGTAATAGGTCACGTGTGAGAGTACAGAGGAGTTAGTGCACTATGTTAGTGTTTGAATGTACCTACTAAAACGGTTTAGTGCGTTGTTCGGCTAACGAAAATGCGTAGTCCGGCTAGCATGGCTCCTACTTTGTCCCCACGACGTAAAGCTTCGAACGTCACCCCCTGGGTTTTTGCTCAACTTCACGCGAGCTAACATTATTCGTCTTCATTCACCACGAGTGTTCGCTATTTGTCCCTCTTTCTTTGCTCCGGCAGCTCCGAATTTCGCATAATGTTCTCCAGGAGGATCGTCTCGGCGGCGCGCATGGTGCCGCTGCGGACTCGCCGTGTGCAGAACTCGATGGTCATGCTACCGTCGATGATGCAGACTGTCCGAAACTACGCCGACAAGGTCGTCCAGGTACCCCAAATGGCCGAGTCCATATCCGAAGGAACTCTCAAGCAGTTTTCCAAGGCAATTGGCGATTATGTGGAACAGGATGAAGAGCTTGCGACCATTGAGACCGACAAGGTATGTGGTCCCGTCGTAATACCGACCTGTGCTCCTGCTAATTTGCTGGTTATCTAGATTGATGTCGCTGTGAACGCGCCCGAAGCTGGTGTTATCAAGGAGTTCCTTGCCAGTGAAGAGGATACCGTGACTGTTGGCCAGGACATCATCCGCCTGGAACTCAGCGCCGCTCCCCCCGAGGGTGCTAAGGACACCAATGCCCCGAAGGAGGAGCCTAAGGAGGAGACTCCCGAAAAGAAGGAGCCTTCTAAGGAAAGCCAGCCGGAGCCCCTAAAGGAAACGTCGCAAAAGCCTGCGGAGCCGGAGCAGAAGAAGCCCGAGCCCAAGAAGACTGAACAGCCTGCCGTTACTACCCCCGGCAACCGCGAGGAGCGTCGTGTATGTTATCCCTATCTCGCTCACATAATGTCAGATTAACATGCTAATTCCATAACAGGTTAAGATGAACCGTATGCGACTCAGGATTGCTGAGCGCCTCAAGCAGTCCCAAAACACGGCCGCTTCCCTCACAACTTTCAATGAAGTCGACATGTCCAACATCATGGAATTCAGAAAGCTGTACAAGGACGACATCCTCAAGAAGACCGGCGTGAAGCTGGGTTTCATGAGCGCCTTTTCTAAGGCTGCTGCCCTGGCTGTGCGCGATATCCCGGGTGTCAACGCTTCGATCGAGGGCCCTAACGGCGGAGACACTATTGTCTACCGTGACTACATGGACATCAGCGTTGCCGTTGCCACTGAGAAGGGACTTGTCACTCCCGTGGTCCGCAATGTTGAGTCCATGGACATGATCAGCATTGAGAGCTCCATTGCCGATATGGGCAAGAAGGTATGATACCCGAACATTTATCGAATATGAAGTGTAGGGCTGACTATTCATTCTAGGCTCGTGATGGGAAACTCACCATTGAGGATATGGCCGGTGGCACCTTCACCATCAGCAACGGTGGCGTGTTCGGCTCTCTTATGGGTACGCCCATCATCAACATGCCCCAGACCGCCGTGCTTGGTCTCCATGCCATCAAGGAGCGCCCCGTTGCTGTGAATGGAAAGGTTGAGGTTCGCCCGATGATGTACCTGGCCTTGACATACGACCACCGCCTTCTTGATGGCCGCGAGGCTGTGCAGTTTCTGGTCAAGATCAAGGAGTACATCGAAGACCCCAGGAGGATGCTTCTGTAGACGGCATGTTCAACCCCTGTCAGTAGTACCCATTACGTGTACTTGTATAACAACAATACTAGAGACGAGATATTTCGTTGCTTTTTTTCCCTTTCGAAGTGGACTGCATAGAAGCAGTGTATCTGTCAATTCACACTACATATATATATTTCCTCTTATGTGTGCATGTAGTATGTGGTGACTTAATATACTTGTATTCTTCATTGCTCTTGCCAGTATTGTTTTGAACCCTCAACTTAAGGCATTGCTGATCCCGCGAGGCCGGCAGAACTATCTGCTGGCACGCACAACATCGAATTATCACGAGTTCCTTACCTTCCGGTAGTGACAATCAACGAGCATCAGAGTTATCACCACCTGCCTCATCGCACGTGTCATTTATCGAAGATACGTCAGTGCCCGAAGCCTAAGTAATTTGACAAGAAGAAGTACAGTATGCAGGTACCCCGGTTTGGGCGAAACCAAGCTATTAGTGGGTCTGCCTCACAGATCGTTTGGCACAGTACTGATGGCAGCGTAATCTCCTTTGTAAAGCCTTGAGTGGAATCGGAGATCGAGCTCGGATTTACGAGCTCGCAAATGCGAGCATATGGCGCCGGCAGCCGAGCAAAACCGAGGCCAAGAAGGCATGGCAGATTTTTTTTTGTGGCAGGAAGGTACACCAACGGACTTGTCAGTGGGGTCTAAGCCTTTTTTTCTGTCCAGGGTCATTTTATGACCCAGAACATGGTGGAAAACGAAAGCCTGCACTCGGTGGAGGCGCAAAGGTATTTCGTTGCAGCCGACCTGAGCCGAAAGTTCGGCCGAGATAACTAGCAAAAGGATGGCAGAATCTACCAAATGCACTCAAAATTTGACTAACCTGCAGCTTGGTGCTTCCTCTACTTACTTCAGTATAGTATACTACATTGCATGGTAGATGTATAAATGAGAACTGGGCGTATGGCTGGGTCGTTTACGAGGCGAATTGAAAGTCGGACGCAGTATTATTGCTATACGACGTGAAGTTCACATGTAACAGGGCGGGGGGGCTTGACTACGGCCGTGACCGGCGAAAGTGGAGCCTGTTCCCGCAGGTCGCCATAACCGGCGAGCCTCCTAGTAATATGCACACAGGCAAGAGGCGCAGAAGCGCCTTACACCTCGTGCGAGCACAAAAAGAAAAAGAAGAATGAATGTCACGCAAAATGAATAGGCCTCATTGCGGGTACGGATTCTCCGGCTTTGTGGCAAAGTAATACAGATGGCGATTTAGATTAAAACCCGAGGACCGCCCACGGCCCAGAGGAGCTTCGGTTGACATGACGAAACGGTACAACGGATTATTTTCTCATTGTCTGTGATTGGCCAGTCGGCTGTATCCTTGCCCCCGTCTCTTAGCCCAGACGGTGGTCTCCCCCAGGTCTCTTTTCGTACTGCAGAGGCTCCACCTGCGTCACCTCGCCGCTCCCTTCGGCATCTTGTGGCTGCCCCCAAAAACACCTCCTCCCACCTAAATTTCAACCTTTTCCCTCTTTTCTTCCTCTTCATACCTCATCCTTGGGTTTGACTGCCACCATATTTGAGCGTCACCCTATCTTCCCGGAGGCTTTTCGAGACTGACCATCTCCTCTCCAACCCTCAATTGATCACCATGCTTGCTACCAAGCAGCTTGCCGGCGGTCTTGCCAGGGCTCGCAGCCTTGGCACCGCTGCCATAGGCATTCGTCGTTTGGCCACCGTGTCGGACTCGCCTCTGGATCGCAAGGTAAGTTTCGCGTTGGCCTCTTCTCGTACAGTGTTTTCCTTCTATGCCACGAGACCACGCTGACCATGTCTTTTTTTCGTCTACAGGTTCGCCAGAACAACTGGGAGGCCAACAACTTTATCAACTACAAGAAAATGTCTGAAAACCTAGCCGTGGTCCGCAGCCGCCTCAACAGGCCTCTGACCTACGCCGAGAAGATTCTCTATTCTCACTTGGATGATCCCCATGGTCAAGACATCGAGCGTGGAAAATCCTACCTCAAGCTCCGCCCTGACCGCGTGGCTTGCCAAGACGCCACCGCCCAGATGGCCATCCTCCAGTTCATGTCCGCCGGCATGGATCAGGTTGCCAACCCCACAACTGTCCACTGTGACCACTTGATCGAGGCCCAGATCGGTGGTGAGAAGGATCTTGCCCGTGCTGTCGGCCTCAACAAGGAGGTCTACGACTTTCTTTCCACTGCCTGCGCCAAGTACAACATTGGTTTCTGGCGCCCTGGCTCCGGTATCATCCACCAGATCATCATTGAGAACTACGCTTTCCCCGGTGGTCTCCTGATTGGCACTGATTCTCACACCCCCAACGGTGGTGGTCTTGGTATGGCTGCCATCGGTGTCGGCGGTGCTGACGCTGTCGACGTCATGGCCAACCTGCCCTGGGAGCTCAAGGCCCCTAAAGTCATCGGTGTTAAGCTCACTGGCGCTCTGTCTGGCTGGACCACCCCCAAGGATATCATTCTCAAGGTTGCCGATATTCTGACTGTCAAGGGTGGTACTGGTGCCATTGTTGAGTACCACGGTCCCGGAACCGAGAGCATCTCTTCCACTGGTATGGCTACCATAACCAACATGGGTGCCGAGATTGGTGCCACCACCTCCCTTTTCCCCTTCAATGACCGCATGTATGACTACCTCAAGGCCACAAAGCGTACCGAGATTGGTGACTTTGCTCGCGTTTACGCCAAGGAGCTCCGTGAGGACCCTGGTGCCGAGTACGACCAGCTGATCGAGATCAACCTGTCGGAACTCGAGCCTCACATCAACGGCCCCTTCACTCCGGATTTGGCCACCCCCATCTCCAAGTTCAGCCAAGCTGTCACGGAGAACGGCTGGCCCGAGGAGCTCAAGGTTGGTCTCATCGGTTCGTGCACCAACTCATCGTACGAGGATATGACCCGTGCTGCTTCTATTGCCCGCGATGCCCTCGATCATGGCATCAAGGCCAAGGCCGCTTTTACCGTCACCCCTGGCTCTGAGCAGATCCGTGCCACCATCGAGCGCGATGGTCAGCTTCAAACCTTCGAGGAGTTCGGTGGTATTGTTCTGGCCAACGCTTGCGGTCCCTGCATTGGACAGTGGGATCGCCAGGATGTCCCCAAGGGCACCGCCAACTCCATCCTTTCTTCCTACAACCGCAACTTCACTGGCCGTAATGACGGTAACCCCGCCACTCACTCCTTCGTCACCTCCCCCGACCTGGTCGTTGCCATGACCATTGCTGGCTCGATGCACTTCAACCCTCTGACCGACAAGCTCAAGGACAAGGATGGCAACGAGTTTCTTCTCAAGCCTCCTGTGCGTGACGACGGTCTTCCCTCGCGCGGATATGACCCCGGTAACGACACCTACCAGGCCCCCCCTGCGGACCGCAGCACTGTCAACGTCGCTGTGTCCCCTACCTCGGACCGTCTCCAGATTCTCTCTCCCTTCAACGCTTGGGACGGCAAGGACGCCCTTGACCTTCCCATCCTGATTAAGGCTAAGGGAAAGACAACCACTGATCACATTTCCATGGCCGGTCCTTGGTTGAAGTACCGTGGTCACCTTGACAACATCTCCAACAACATGCTTATTGGTGCCATCAACGAGGCCAACGGGGAGGCCAACAAGATCCACAACTTCACCAACGGGGAGTGGGGTGCTGTCCCCGCTGTCGCCCGTGACTACAAGGCCAAGGGTATCCGCTGGGTTGTCATTGGTGACTGGAACTACGGCGAGGGCAGCTCTCGTGAGCACGCCGCTCTTGAGCCCCGTCACCTTGGTGGTCTTGCCATCATCACCCGCAGCTTTGCCCGTATCCACGAGACCAACCTGAAGAAACAGGGTATGCTCCCTCTGACCTTCGCCGATCCCGCCGACTACGACAAGATCAGGCCCGACGACAAGGTACGTACTTCCATTCCCCATCGTTACATCTGACACAAGTTAACTCTTGACGAACTTACAGGTCGATATCCTCGCTACTGAGCTTGCCCCTGGCAAGCCCATCACAATGGTTGTCCACCCTCATGACGGCTCCGAAGCCTTCAACATCAGGCTCGAACACACCTTTAACGAGCCCCAGATCGAGTGGTTTAAGAACGGCAGCGCTCTCAACACCATGGCCAAGTCCGCATAACCGCAACGCTAGCATATATAAAAAAGGGGAGAAATAATGAGCGGACGGAGAACATGTTTTATTTACTCTATCTTATTGTTTGGGTTTGAGACCCGTTGGGAAAGTAGGATATCCCTTGTCGGCAGAAACAGGGTGCTATCACAACGATTTGTTGGGTTTTGGGCTTATATCTTTTGTTTTGTTTTACTTAGTCTCTAGGCGCCCTGTTTTCCCCTCATTGTATAAAAATTCCTTTTGCTGAGTTCACATACAATTTTTAAGATGCGTGCACGATTCAGTGACGAAAACTGCTAGCATACGGCCATAATCCCTCGACCTTTTGCCTGTCTGTTAAGAGTAAATTCACGTACGCCCTGGTCATGTTCCAACGATACCTTATTTGGTAACACGACTTATCACCTATTTCTCTGATTGAAATGTGTATGGAACTACTTAATATTGTCCATAACGCGGTGTGCCGCAATTTTCAGGCTCTTCGGAGATTGCTTTGTTTGAAACCTGTATGGGCGTTGCACGCAATCACGTGGTGATAACGGTTTTTCCAACACCCACCCACCAACTTATCTGGCGTGTTCAGGCCATCTTGCCCAGTACAACGTAATACTCGTGTGCTCGGATACCGTGGAGAAGATCGTGTCCAACATAATTCCCAACGTCGCCAGGCTAGGATAATCTTACAGTTCGGGAATGAATTGAGCAGGATTATACGGCTTCCAGCGACCTGTTCTTGACACGAATCGAACCCGCCGTGAGTACACGGAACGAAGAATAGACTACCGACCCTCCAACATTTCGGGGTCCCCCCTGACGACTGGTCGAACGAAAACAAGGGAAAAAAGCCGTACACAATCATGCCTAGCATACAGGGGTTCAGCACGTTGCGAGCGCGCTCATACATTCTCAGGCTCCCGTTGTTCACGCGCATTACTATAGGCGTCATCTTCCTTGTCTGGCTGGCGGGAATACAGTCTGTTTTGGATATCAGGGATCTTGGCGCGCTTGTGCCGTCCAAGATCAGTCTGACATCAGGTACGGTTCAACGACGGTAGTGGTGAAGCTGCATTTTGCAGAACCAGAAGGACTAATATATCGTGTCATACAAACAGCCCACCGTCTTAATACTTATGCCTTCATCCACCTCAACCTCTTCCACGCCCTCATCAATGTCGTTGCTTTGACGCCACTCATGGAACGATTTGAAAGCGAACACGGGACCTTGACGACGCTGGCCTTGTTTCTCGGACGTGAGTGGACCATCCGCCGGCACAGGAACTGTATGCGATCTTATGCTGACTATCCTCAGCGATAACAACTTTTCCGGGTATTCTCTACTTGATTATTGAAAGATTCATTCTCAGGTTGGACAATGCGGTTATGGGTGCCAGGTAAGAGAACACGATACTACCATTCAAATCTGAACGTGATGTTAACCTGTCGCTTCCAGTATCTGGGTGTTTCTCCTTCTCGGAATGGAAGCCATCCGAACCTTCAAGTCCAACCCCTACCTGGTCATTGCCACACATCACATCCCGACATGGATTACTCCTCTTCTCATGATATTTGTTGTCGCCGTGCTGATGCCTGGAACGAGCCTTCTGGGGCACCTTTGTGGAGTGACAGTTGGATACGTTGGTAAGCCTGCAAGCCGTTCTTCTTGGTTGATATGGCCGCTCTTACTTACCACCCTTTCTAGTTGGTCTGGGATACATCAAGTACCTCGCACCCCCCGAGTGGGTGCTCCGTTGGGTCGAGTCGCGATTCAATCTGCTGGTCATCCTACCCCATTATGTCAGTGTTGACCAAAAGACGTATGGACGCTTTGGCGTCTTGCCGTCAAACAGCCGCGCCGGCGGCAGCGTGGCAACAGAGCTTGTGGGAAGTACACAGCGACTAGGTCCGTGAGTTATCGTGGCACATGGCTTTATCTCTGATAAACCAAGTGAAGATAGGGGGGCTTTGTGACAAAGCTGTCCTGTGTATTGTACGCTGATTGTTTACGCACCGTTGTTATACTTGGTACGCCCTGCAGCGTGTCTTGCATTGTGAACTGGCGTTGGGTTGCGCTGGGAGTCATTGGATGGTTCGATATTGACTAGGGCTGTGGCATTATACGGACCTGTTGTCTTTCTTTACCATGTATATGTAATATTGTTGGGCTGTTGAGATTATCTGCACTGCCAAACCACGGAACTCTCTGACGTCTCGACAGCATCATTATGTAGATTATGTTCATAAGGAGGATCAGAATTTTTCAGAATTTTACTACCATCTACTAATACTACTACTATATTAGATACAATGATATTTATGAAGATTCCATGACTATTCGACAACGCCATCAGCGCTAATACAAAGGACCTTTCCTGAGAACGCGTCCTCTCCCGCATGCAATGAAGTAATACTCGGCTCTGCCTGTTCCTTTCAAAGATGTTGTAGCTTGTGAGTTTTAGGTGAAGAACAGCGATTTCTTACATGCGGAAGCGCATTGAAAATACCTAAGCTATTAATCACCAAGTACAGAGGTATACGGAGTATTACTCGTACAAACAATCAGTAGCTATATTTGTTGCTGCCTATGCTGTATAGGTACCCATGCACTTCACAGGGCTATTGGTGACAGTGGGTGCTACACCCCTCTCTATGCAAGTCCCTTCTTAACCTCCACATGCCCAGGGTCTCCTACAACTACCATCATTTACTACATAATACAACCCATAGGATCTGGGGAGTCAGCGAGTCGCGCGATCTGGACACGATGCCACGATTACTGTGTAAGTTGATCACCTGATTAAATTGTGCAAGGAATAGGTTAGCTAATAAGAGAAACCGTGCAAAGCTTCGGCAATGTCATTGCGACGCGACCCGCGCATCCTCAAGCTCCCGCCTTACCTGTCCTTCCTGTGTGTCGTCGTAGGTGTCATCTGGCTCCTCGTTCTACCGCTCGACGACTTCTCCCGCCGAACATATATCTCGGAGAACGCCTTACTTCCAGGACAAGTCCATACTTACTTTGGAGGGACCGAACACAACGTCTTGCGAGCTTACCGGCATGAGGTCAACGCCTTGGTGGACAAGGACAACTACGAGTACGCGCATACCCCCGATGCACTTTGCATGCGGCCAGACCGGAACATATTTCACTGACGAGTCACAAAAATCCAGGATCAATGACAAGCTCGAAGAGGTACTCAAGGGTCTCGGCGTCAAGGTCGGTCGGCAAAGCTACGCGTACCGAGCGGGTGGCAACGAATACCGCGGCGAGAATGTATATGGAATTCTACAAGCCCCCCGTGGTGACGCCACTGAGGCCATGGTACTTGTGGCAGCCTGGAAGAGCATTGATGGCGATCTGAACCGCAACGGTGTCTCCTTGGCTTTGACTCTAGCCCGCTATTTCAAGCGTAAGCTTACAATCATACTGCCCACTCTTTGACTTGGCCTTGGAGATCTGACCCTAAGCAGGATGGTCCCTTTGGTCCAAGGATATCATTATACTTTTCCCTCCGGATAGCCAGACAGGCACGCAAGCCTGGGTCGACGCCTATCACGATGCCCATGACCCTAACCAGGTTGCGCCTCTACCTTTGAAATCGGGCGCTCTGCAGGGCGCCCTCGCCATCGACTATGCTCAGGAAAGACGCTTCCAGTACATGCATGTCATCTATGACGGCGCAAATGGTCAGCTCCCCAACCTCGATCTCATCAACTCCATCATCAACATCGCAGGCGGCCAGATGGGCATCAATAGCTACATTCAAGGCATGCGCCACCACACAGGAAACTACAAGCACCGCCTATGGACCCTGCTTCGTGGAATGTTCAGTCAGAGTCTGGGAAATTCCGCTGGTCCTCACAGCAGCTTCATCCCGTATCACGTCGATGCGGTCACCCTTCAGCCCTCCGGCAGGGGTTTCCACGACGAAATGGCCATGGGGAGGGTTGTAGAAGGCACATTCCGAAGCCTCAATAACCTGCTGGAGCATCTCCACCAGAGCTTCTTCTTTTATCTATTGGTACAAAGAGACCGCTTTGTGAGTATCGGAACGTACCTTCCAAGTGCCATGCTCCTGGCTGCAAACTTCACTATCATGGCCATCTTCCTGTGGACGAAGAGTGGACAGCTTCCCATAACCTCCGAATCTAGCGGGGAGAGCCCCGGGATCTCCAGCAAGGGAAAGGCTCGAGATGCAGATACATCCGTCGTAGGTGAGAGAGATCTCGTTCTTCCACTTGGAATCGTCGCAGCTTGCCACTCTCTTGCTGCTATTCCCGTCTACTTATTCAACCACCTCCCTCTCGAGGTATGCTATACTCAAGATACCCTCACCTCTGTTCATGATTCCGCAGGTCTGACGTGTACCTTCAAACACTAGATCCTCCCCGCTTCGTTTGCGGCCTTCTCGGCTCTATCAGCCGCCGTGCCGCTCATCATATCATATCTCATCCTGCCACGTTATAAGCCGACAGTCCAGCACTCACAGCTTACCAAGTCATGCTCTCTGCTCACCCTCGGCATGGGCCTGTCTACACTTGCCACGCTCAACTTTTCGTTGGCCTTCGTTGTCGGCCTCCTGGCTACTCCGCTCACATTTGTCAAGCCTACCAAGAGCCAGCCCGTTAAACTGGCCACTGCTGCTTTACTGAATCTCGTGGCGCCGCCAGTCGTTATATACGCTGTTACTACGATATTCGGGGCGGATGTTGCGTATATACTAAGAGAGGCTAGCTTTGGTTGGAACGTCTGGGGCTTGTACACTCCGGTTGCCGTGTGGGCTCTTTGGTGGCCCGCGTGGACTATCGGCATGGTCAATGTTTTAGGTCTAGTACCTGAGTGATAAAATCAGGGGGGGTAAAGCATTTGATCCATTTCACTAGAAAGGGTAAAGACCTTGAATGTTTACAGCGTTGAGATACCAACCGTCGCATAGGTCAATTAAGCAAGGGGCAAGCTTCAAGGATTGAGTCACATGGGTTGGTATCTATGATTTTTGTTGACAACCCCTTAGCTTAGTGTACATTTTTTTGTAATACCATGCTGTCTTTGTGCATCCACCGATCCTGTAATTGTATCTATGCTGCCCACACGTCCTTTCCAGCTCCTTCAATCCAGTTTCCAAGCTGGTTAACGCTTGAGTCCCAGTCCAGCAGACGGTCGCGCAGGTTAGACACCTGGGCCATGTCCAACACCTTGGGCTGAACCCAAGTAATGTGCGCGACCTCGTCTACCTGATCGATGGTACCGCGGAGCAGTCCCAGGCTGAGAGCCTTCATAATAAGGTGCTCAATTTCTTCAGGCTTAACCTTGGTTTCTTGCGAGATAGTGGCAAAGGTCATGGCACGGTCGTGGGGCGGGCGGCGAAAGACAGCCTCCGTCAGGGCTGCCAGGTAAATTTTCTGGCGCAGGTGCGCTGAGTGCTCGCTCAGGAGCCTGTTCTCGGAGATGTGGTCGGAGAGTACATCGTAGGCAGCGAGGTCACCTCGGTTGAAGGCGAATAAGAGATCGCGAAGCCAAGCATCGTCCTCACTTTTGGCGAGAACGTCGAGAATGGGGTGGAGCAGCAGCTCACCAAAGTTATAGTTGTTGTTAGAAACTAGGGCGGCAACACTTAGATAGTATGCCCTCTTGTGGCGCTCGACATCAGTCATGGTGTCGAGATCGACACAGGCAAGGTATAAAAGGGCAGTGCGGTAATAGTTGGCGAAGTCCATCTTACGCTGCACATGCAATACAGATTAGCATTGGCCCTCAAGTTATCATTCGTAAAGTAAAGGTGTCTTCAAGAGAGCGACGAACCTGATAGTAGCTGGCGTTAGCATCGTAGAATGCTGCGTGGACTATTGTCTCGACAGAATCGAAAGATTCGAGTTTCTTCTCAGAATCGTCCAGGTCCTTCCTCGCCCCATCAAGGTCGCCCAGGCTCAGCTTTACCCTGGCGACGGCAACCAGGGCATAGACCAGAGCATCCTGGGTGTTCTCATTGTCCACCTTCTTAGCTACGGACTGCATCAGGGCCAAGCGCTCGCGGTCTGCCCAGGGTAGGAAATAAATCAGCATAGGCTCTACCGTTCTGCATTCAGAAGAACACGTAGACTCATATCGTACCATCGCATTGTGTGGCAGCCTTCAGAGCGAGCTGTACTAGCTTCAGCTGGTTGATTTTGTCGGCAAACTTGAGGATGAAGACCCTGTAGAAGGCCATGCGTTGCGGGGCGCTGCCCTCGTGATTGAAGAAGCTGACAAGTGCATCGGTGAGCTGGTGCCACAGCTTGCGCTCCCAGAAGTCCTCAAAGTCGAGAATCAAAGGCTGCAGCTCCTCGGGCGCTTCATCCCGCTGCTCGGCAAGGAAGTCGGCGATAGTGTCGGCGCTCATCGTAAAAAGAGGTAGGTGTCAAAAGCTCGCCAGGTAACAGCACCACGGTCGAAAAGTTGCTTCGAATAGGAGGGCGTAGATATAGACGGCAGGCTACTGTTGCAAAATCTGTGCAATATGTCTGCGTAGCAGATCTGATTTCCAAGGAGCGGGTGAATGGTGGTCGTGGCGTTGATGTTAGCACGTTGCTCTAGAGCCGAAGCTGCGTGCCACAACCGAACAACAATCAGGATTCAGCGTGGTGACGCTCGTCACCGATGCCTGCGCACTGACCAGTTTGGCACCCCTCTGGTGGGGCGCGGTCAACCTATACGGACCTCAGAGATGATGACCAGTCACGTGATCTAAATCCACTTCTTCCCCGGCCGACAAGCGTCCCCATGCCCCATTGCCCCATGATCCGACGTTCGATCCAGTCTGGAGTAAGTCGGGAGAACAAATATCAACGACGTTCAAAATCTCCAGGATGGTTTCCTCTCTTTCCGCCGTGCGATCCGTAGCAAGGGCCATGCCCAGTCCTACCGGAAAGCGCTACCTCTCCGATATCTCCATTACACGAACTGGAAAACCCGTTATTCGAGTTGAGGGTGGCCGGTAAGTGGATTGCGGAGTAACTAGCAATTGAGCAGACGGTGACATACTGACTGCCTCTCATTCTCCAGATCATCTCTCGGCGGTATGGTGCAATGACTTCCATGGCCAAACGCACTCTGATTCTAACAATTATGAACAGGCCACACAGCGACTGTTTTCGGCGCAACCGGACAGCTCGGTCGTTACATTGTGAACCGACTGGGTGAGCGTGCCTGACCGGGTCACTTTCGCGAATTGTTCTAACACGAATCTGCAATTAGCCCGCCAGGGATGCAATGTTGTCGTCCCCTACCGTGAGGAGATGTCCAAGCGCCATTTGAAGGTCACTGGTGATCTTGGCCGCGTTACCTTCATCGTCAGTTACTCCCTCGCCTCCTCTCGGCCAAGCCGCGGCTCCAGTTTAACCGGTAATAGGAATACGACCTCCGCAACACCCCTTCGATCGAAGCCAGCGTCCGCCACTCCGACGTTGTCTACAATCTTGTCGGCCGCGACTACCCGACCAAGTACGTTTTCACGATCCATTGACGATACATAGCAGCAGTCTAAATATGCTTTAGGAACTTCACCCTAGAGGACGTCCACGTTGAGGGAACCGAACGCATTGTGGATGCTGTCGCCAAGTACGATGTCGACAGGTATATCCACGTCTCGTCCCACAGCGCGTCTCTCGACTCTCCCTCTGAGTTTTACCGAACAAAGGCGAGGACTACCACAAATATATCACTAGGATATAGCCGCTTACAATTTCACAGGCCCAGGGAGAGGAAGTTGCGCGAAGCATCTACCCAGAGACTACGCTTGTGCGCCCCGCCCCGGTGTTTGGTTTCGAGGATAACCTTTTGCTGAGGCTGGCTTCGGTCCTCAACCTGTTCACAGCCAACAACATGCAGGAGAAGTTCCGCCCTGTTCACGTCAGTCTAAATGCCACTTGACCTGATTCGCTAGAATCCCTATTGACGAAAACCATTTACAGTCAATTGATATTGGAATGGCCCTGGAAAAGATGCTCTACGACGAGTCGACTGTCGGTCAGACATTTGAGCTCTACGGACCCAAGGAGTACAGGCTGTCCGAGATTGCCGCCATGGTCGACAAGGAAATCTTCCAGCAGCGTCGTCACATCAACGTCCCTAAGGCCATTTTAAAGCCTGTTGCCGGCTTCATCAACAAGGTCCTCTACTGGAAGACGCTCTCAGCGGACGAGGTTGAGCGCGAGTTCCTGGACCAAGTCATTGACCCAGAGGCCAAGACATTCAAGGACCTGGGCATTGAGCCCGGCGACATTGCCAACTTTACCTACCACTACCTAGTAAGTTCCACTAACCCCGCATTATTTTGCTGCCTACTATACATAGCCTTCAAGATGTAGCTAACCCCCATTGCAGCAAGGTTTCCGTAGCCAGAACTACTACGATCTGCCTCCGGCAACAGAGAAGGAAAAGCGGGAAGAGAAAAAGTACATTCACGTGTTGGATGAGCTGTGAGGATTAGTGTATTGTGAGGTTTCGAGATCACCGTGGCCCAGGAATCTAGAAGTGCAGCATTTTTTCAAGATGGGTTTCGCAGGTGTTTCAATATTCGCGTTTAAGCAAATGTACAGTCAGTCCTTTTTCCCTTTTGTCCGTAAACGTCGACTGGGATCTTCCAGCTAGTATAGTAATATCGGCCGTCTGCTTCCCCCCCGTCGCATCGCTTACCCGTGTCCATATCTTACGTACACAACATGCGACAGTCTACTCACAGTGTTCACATCTTCCTGATACTCTATTGTAATATAAGGACATATCGGGGGGCTCTTAGCCATTTAATATTTCAATTGGGAGTCGTATGCAGAATCCCTTCTTTGCTATGAGTCTGGTCCCAAAAGGGGAAAGTGTGGACAGATACAATACGAAGAACAATCTCCAACTTCATGCCCACTCCATGATGCTCCCACGCTTGCACGTAGTCTTTTGTCTAGGTCGATTCTTTTATGAAGCATAGTAATTTCCCAGCATGGCCTCTGACAGTTTGAACTCGAACCTGAGTCATTTTCAACCAAGAGAACGGATAATGTAGAAAAGGAGATAGGCCTGGGCACCCAGAACCTCGGATATCGATGCTAACTCAACCTTGTGATCATTGAATTTAAACCACTGTGTACATTAAAGTGTTAACAACATACACAGATTATGGATTGGCATGCTTTTCCACATACCTGGTCACCAACGCGACAATACGATACGTAATGGCCAGTCTCGATCTCGCCCACATGAACCACGACGCTGAGCAGGTCGTAGGTGCAAGACCTCTCGAGTTGGGCACTCTCCCTGCCTTCACGACCACGAGGGCGATTTGTGTAAGGCAGCATGTTAAGCTGGAGTGGGAACCTTACGGGCGAATCAATCTTGGACGCTCGATCATGTCGGCCTTGTTTGTACTCGAACCGCTACAATGAGGGTAGGAAAAGGTGTCAGCAAACTATCGGAAAAATACTGTCTGCTGTCATCTTACCTTGAGCTGAATAGATAGCACATTAGGAAGGCATTTGATAGTCGTGTTGCGCCGTGCTTGCTGCAACGAGTTGCAGTTTTGGCAGCGATATTCGCACTTGTCTGAGCTGATGTATTCTTCACCAAGACAATCGTTGAGTGTGAGAGCCGGCGGGGGGCCGTTGAACTTCTTCTTGCGCTTCTGCACCAAATTCTCTAGTCCCAAACTAAGGTCAAGGAATGACTGTACAGCGTTGGTAGTACCAGAGCAGTTCTGGCATGTGGTAGTCGTCTGGATCTTGCCGTAGAATGTCTGGTGAATGATGCAATTGCAGCTGTGTTCGCTCCCAGTCTCGGGCTTCCTCCCATCCCCGTTCCTCTCGTGAAGATCCTCAGCAAGAAACTGAAAAAACTCGTGGGCGTCTTGCTCCTTGGTGGTGACAAGGTTCTCAAAAGCCTTTTTCTCTGATATCCAGAATCCGGAGAGGACGTTTGCTGCGGTGTAACCGTTGGTGTTCTCAAGAGCATAGAAGTCTTGGAACATGTCGTCCATGGCACAGCTGAGACAGTGGGGGACCTGGCACTCGCTACTCTGGTGGCCGTCGCTCAGGTAAAAATTACGCAGAAGCGGGTTGTGGAGCAGACTCTGGAGGACAACATTTTGATAGCAAGTTGCGCCAGCATTGTATATACCGCGAATTCCGTTCGCTCGGCATGACGATATCGTCGTGTTGGCGGAAATGTAACGAGGATCGTCTTTCGTTGATTCGCCGAAGAGCTCGTCGTGCTTTCTCTTGCGTCCTGCGGTCGAGTAAATTAGCACTTGCGTAAAGAGTGTCCTTTTTTTTCTCTGCAAAATCTTACCAGAAAACGATCCAGTGCCAATCTTCCTTACGCGAAGCTCCTCGAGTGTTGGGTCCCAGACGATGTCATCGCATTTTTGGCAATAGAGCGAGCCACTGCGCGACTCGACATCTGTAGATCCAATGTTAGTTCACTGCCTGAAAATCGAGCTTTCTCTCTAACCAATGACTAACAGAATCGATGTGACTTCTTGTTCCCGTGCTTTAGGCGGTCATCTTCTGCCAGAGTTGCCGGGCATTGCAAGCAAAGGTAATTTGACGTGAGCGAGGTAACGGGTTGTCCGTCTTCATTCGTCGATGTCTGGGAGACAAGGGGAACTGTGTCGAAAATCCCTCGAAGAATCATTTTGTAGTGACTAATGGAACTGTTCATGGCTTCCTGCGATTGGGAGAGTAGTAACTGTACATGTTCTGCGGGAACTGTCAGTAGGATGTCCCGGTGCCACCTAGTAGCTTGCTTTGGTGTTTGGGAAAGAGGCATACCGCAGCCAAACAAGGGCGTCCCCGGAACAGGTGCCTTGACTCTAACATTTTTTGGGGAAGCTGGTGTTGTAGGTCTGGCAGCCATGACGTGCTGTTCGACCTCGCCTATGCGACTGTATGATTGCTCTCGTTCGTCTGTCGGTCGAAAGCCAGGAGATGATCAGGAGGTAGGCTGGGGCGTGTGGTGTCCAGTCGCTGTTGTAGGTGTAAATGTTATGTCCTTGTTGTTGTATGCTACTGGAGGCGAGGCTCTCGACATTATTGGCGAACCTTACCTGGTCCGAGAAGCTTTTGAGTGCAGGAACTGTAAAGCAAACTGGTGGTGGTTGTGCTGGCGGCGGTGGCTTAAGGGATTGGGAGGCTGAATAACTCTTAGCAGTTAGACTGAACGATTGGCAATTTGCACCTTGTCGCCATCTGATATAACGTGCATTTGGCGATACCACAGTCCAATTCGGCTCGTGATGAATGTATCTGGCTTGTTTGATTTGTATTGGTAAAGGCCCGGGCTGTTGCTTTGTTTCTGTCCGTGATCCGTAGGGTGGAGGGAAACCTGCCCCAGAAATTGGATCCAGCGATCGGATAAGCAGGTGATAAGCGCCCTAGTGTCTTCTTATCAACTTGTGAGGCAGCGGCTTAAATTCAGCCCCGACGCCATGACATATCCCTCTGTACGAGCGACTATCATATATAATAATTATATTGTTCAAATCAAAAGGGTTTTTTCTCGATATATTGTCAAAGAAGTTCATTCCATTACACATCCTTTATTCATGGATTCTGCGCACTAAATCGGGACGCCATAAACATCATGACCGTATTGTTGTAGTCATCTGTCGTCCTAGCACGTAATATATGCCCCCAATCCAACTTATTGTGCTGAGGCAACAATAGGACCTGATATATAGGTCCAACCCCTCACAATAATACTTTAGCCAGTTCTCCCACCACTAAACAATCCAGGTCATCAACAAGTTGCGCATACATCCCAGACATCAAGAGTCAAAGATTGATTGCAAAATAAGCTTTCTCCAACAGGTGCCGTCTATAGGGTATATGCACACAAAAACAGCATTCGGCCATACCCTCACCCGCATCTGGGGATGACGACGTTCGCAGGTATCAACCGCCGGCCTCAGAGCATCCAATAATAGCGAACCGGAGGCACCTACTATTATTTCGGTAAAAGACGGAAATGGCTTCTCAGCTAGTGGCACTCCCGGCCGTGGAGAGACTCAGTCCGAGGTGCATTCGAATACTGGGTGGAAATCCCGGCAAGTTCACACTTCAGGGAACGAATACGTATCTACTCGGTACAGGAAAACAAAGAATCCTCATCGACACAGGAGAAGGTCGCCCTATATGGGTCTCCTCGCTGAGAGAGGTACTCGAGAAAGAGAAGGCAACTATTGGAAGTGCACTTATATCTCACTGGCATCCTGATCATGTCGGTGGTATCCGTGATCTCGTCGGGGTTTCCCCCGGGACTGTGGTCTACAAGAACAAACCAGACCTGGGTCAGTCGGAGATCATAGATGGCCAGGTGTTCCGCGTTGAAGGCGCTACGTTGACCGCGTCTTATACGCCTGGCCACTCGGTCGATCACATGGTCTTCCAACTCGCCGAGGAAGATGCCTTATTCACTGCGGATAATGTGCTTGGACAGGGCACTGCTATCTTCGAGGACCTGACAACGTACCTCGCGAGTCTCAGCAAGATGCGGACTCTCTTCAAGGGGCGGGCTTATCCAGGCCATGGTCCAGTGGTCGACGATGGGCCTGGGAAAATTACCGAATACATTGAACACAGACAACAACGCGAGGAGCAAATCGTCAGCACACTTCGGTCCGCCGAGAACGGGAAGGTGGTGAATTTGGGGGCTCTCGATATAGTCAAGAAGATTTACACAGATATCCCGGAGACATTGCATATGGCCGCTCGCTCGGGGGTGATGCAGGTGCTCGAGAAGCTCGAGAAAGAGGGAAAGGTAGTGCGGAACGGCGACGACTCATGGCGTCTGGGACGGTCGCCGAGCCTCTAAGACTGCGTATAAACCAGGCACGATGTACCGTTGCTAGATAGTAATAGTACACTGTTTTCTCTCACAGGGATGCCTCTGACCATGGTACACATGTATCCGTTTGACACGCGAAATTATCAATCCGATGATACTAAAAAGCTTCGCTTTAGCCAAAAGGTGATGTTTTACCAGAAATGGAACATAACTGGCAATATTAACAGCGCTCCCTTGTGTTGAATAGGGCTGCTGACCCCTCTACTGTTCGGTGACATCCCTCCACCAATCTTCCAACAACAGGAATTATTGGCGTATGGAACTTGTATGCACGCACTCATTATTATGTCCAATATCGACAAGCTTTCCAGAGCGGATAGCCCTCGACGAGAAAACTGCGCGCGGCTTGGAGATGGTGGTGTAACATGCAAAAGTGAGATCCGTAGTGCTCCAGATACGAATGATTGATTGTTCAACAACGGAGGGATGTAATGCTCGCTCCACTATACTAGGTCATACAGCGTCATGCGCAATGCTACCCCGACATTGACGACAGCATCGGAATTAGCAACTAGAGCTTGCAGAAAACGTGGTCACTGCGGGTCGTCAAAAAGAGGCCGGATCTTCTAGGACCTTCTAAGGTCGTTTTCGTCACAACGCGGAAATACGGAGAAGAAGCAAAAAAAGAGAGAGAGAGACTAGGGCTGTATGACTGGCTGTTTCTCGTTGGGGATGGTGTCGTCCCGGCCAGTGCATATGGGGTCATGGGTTGCCAAGCTCCGTAAGATCCGACAGAGGAGTCAGAAGAGTCAGGTGTATGAATGCGCGTGAGTGAGGAGATGTACACCGTGTGTACAGTACTATCGCCGAGGGATTATATCACAAACTGCCAATGCATGCGCCTGTGTTTGAGCGTACAGGCCTGTGGTCTCTTTACTCCCAACTTTCCAGTCAGGCCGCAGAAGAAACCCGATGCCGATGCCGGCCAACATCGTCGACCGTGGCCTGGGTGTTATTTATATACTGTAGAGGTGTGCGGGCGAGCTCCATGGCCTCATTAATATTGAAATAACTACGCATGTATATAAACACGCATATTACAATGTATACTTGCTGCCAAGCATACATTGTATTAACTAGCTACCGCGTATTACCTTCTGATACTACCCGTAAGGATTTATATGAAGGGCCGGCCCTCCGCCATTCAGCGGAGATAGCTGCGAGAACCGATTTTCATGTATCACATAGTAATACTAACGGAAGCCGGAGAGCAAACAAGTATAACCTATGCCGCAAAGATAAAAGAGCAACTTCGATATCATTAGTGAGGTCCTGAACCTTCCTCACCGGCCAAAGACAAGAAGCTATTTTCAACATCGAGCACGTACGACATTACGGAAAACCGGCCGCGGGAATTTCTGCGTCCGGGGAGGAGAGCATAGGTAAGAGATGATAGTACATGTACTGCACACATAGGTTGCAAGTGTCGGGCGGTTATTCCGGAGTAGCGACAGCCGTCGTACATCGTATTACAAGTTGCTTGTTAGGGAGTGAGGCTAGTCAGCAGACTTGTGATTTTCGTTCAGCAGGTCCGGATAACCCTGGAGGCAGACAAGGACACTCATCTATTGTCGGGGTTACTCGTTGTTGCCGCCATCCGTGTGAGAACGGCGTAAGTCGCAAGCGCGAGCGGGGCCCGGGGCGGAGGATATCCACACCGCTCGACGCTGCTCAATGTTGCGTGAGGACATATCTCCCTTCTCATCGATGGACATGGAGCTGTTGCATGGGTGTGTGAGAAGATTACTTATACGGTACAGGGTTAGCATAGACATACATGTACGGCCGATGATTCCACGTACCGTGGTCATCTGCTTCCTCTCGCGATCGACGATCTGCCTCGCCAGCAAACAACGCAGCTCTGACCCATGAGAAATACTACTACATGTACGAGACCAGTATGTACAGTACCATACCGGCAGCTCGGCAATGTAATTTCGTCTTACTCTTGGCAAAGAGAAAGACAACATGGGTCTCAGTCCACTTACGAGAAGATATGTCGACGTTGTTTCACTGGCTGAGGCTCGGCAGTGTACGAAGACGCGGGGCAGTGTGATGGGTGCACACCTGCGAGGAGCGTTATGTACATCATCTATTCGTGGCAAACATTGGAAAATAAACATGGAATTTGGAATGGCATATATTTCATTTGTTGCTTCTTGACATTGCCATGACCGTCCACAGCTGGAGAATGTGGGAGCAAAATGTGGTAGAGTGGGGAAGGGGTAGCAAAGCGGGAGAAAAAAAAAAGCGCTTGGGAGGGGTCATTGGCTCCTGCTGACAAGGACAGCTATACGGATTATTATACATAAGCTATTATTGTATTGGTGAACCGTTATGGGTGTTGATACCTGTTCTCGCACTCAGGATTATGGCTACTACATGTACTGATGCCAATGCTACTACTACTCATGCCCCACCCCACTTTATCGGTCACTCGGCTAACCTCGCACCACATTTAGTGGTGCTGGTCACCATCGCGGGCAGAAAATACGTATTCTATCAATTTATGTATCTACGCCGTATGTACCGCATAGAATAGCCCGCTTTAAATATTTCAAGCGGTTCTAGCCTTCTATTGGTGTTCCTTATTACTCTGCCTTTTTTTACGGGTTTAAAAGCGATTTTTTTTTTATTTTAGCTAGAGATAGTCTCTTTTTATATATAATTCTAATTCCAACACCCTCTTTACCTTTTCTAACAGAATATCCTCCCTTTTTCTTATAAATCGATGCCTATTTAACTAGTAAAACACCTCCTAATTATAGCTGCCTTCTTTTTTACTATATAACGAACCCAATTGAGCTCTTTAGTAGCTTTAGTGCGGCTAAGGTCCATCTCAACTTAAATAAGCTCTATAGCTATCGTTAACGCACTATAAATTCGCCCGCCATAGTGACCAGCAGCACCTTTAGTGGTGCGAGGTTAGCCAAGTGGCCAATAAAGTGAGGCGGAGCACGAGTACTAATACTATTCCTAATACTAAAAGTACATATATACACTTAGCGAGAGTCCCTAGGTCGATGGTTGAGTGCGTTAAATAGGATCACCCTACTAATAGTAAGGTTACTGGAGTACTGTAAGTGAATCGTTGATCTATCGCCGCCGTACTGGCAAATACTCGTAGATGCAACCATTGACACTCCTAGCTTACGCTCATATTGACTCATAAATAAGCACATACGCAGCAATATCATTTTTTTTTAACCTCGTACCAGTACACAGCATACGGGGTATTACGTCGTAATTAACTGCTGCCGGCGGGGAACATGGGGTGACGGGAAGCAGAGAAAGGTGTGAGAAGCTCCGCTTCCAACCTCTGGTTCAAAGCAATCAGCCCACACCCTGGGCTTTCGACACCCATCCGCGCTCTCTCTTTCATCAGATTGCCAGACTACTAATAAGACGCCGCCCCCTCTTGGCGATAACAAGCAATGTCGAATGTCAAATCACGATGCGACTAGTGCTAAACTACCATGCGCAACGCCCCTCTGGCCCGCACTATCCGCAAATCTGTTCATACCTGAGTAACATATACAGGCTACGGGCTACGAGTTTTTGATATCCCACGTCACTCACATGACCAGGGTTTGAGCTATCACAGAGCAGGCGAAATACCCTACCTAACCCATATAATTTTGCATTGCGGTGTATATAAAAATACGTACATGGTACGGAGTACAGATTACAGCTGGGTGAGAATCCGGGTACGCAGTGACCCCAGCGCGGAGCACGGCGTATATACATAAATTTCTTTGCTTCTACGGGTGTTAATATCGTATGATGTTGCACTCGTGCTACAGTGTAATAGTAGCAGTATTACTGGTACTCGGCAATACCTACATGTCGTCGCACGAGTAATATAATTCCGAAGAATTGCGGAACCATAGATGAATAAGGCAGTAGTACATTGTTTCCGGGAACAGGCCAGCGAAGCGAACTTACCCCGTAGCCGCGTATCATCACGATATTGCTCCTATATGTACAATTAACAATCGCCGAGAGATCACGGGAAGAGTCAGAGGAGAGAGGCCCGCTCGGATGCTTCGGAGACCTCCTTGTGATCTCTAGGCCGGGCCCTACCTACGGACATGCACGGACATGCACGGGGTACTGTAGTAGTGTGGCACATCCATGTACGAGTAGTTGTACGTCCCACATGCAAGTACCTCTTGCACTTTGGCACCTCCGGCGTCGTACCGTGCGCCGTCGTCACCTCCAGAGACCATCACTAATCCCCGATGGCCGCCGTCGGCTCCATGGCTACGGGGAATTGTTCTCACTCGTACGAGTACAGCATCGTCTCACGACGCCTGAAGGAGGGTTTCGGTTGCGCCCAAGCATCGCCAGTTTCCCTCTCTTTCCATGTACATGTTTGCATGTTGTACCGGTACCAATTAGTTGTTAGTAGTCTTCCATCACAGTACGTAATAATACTGGTAGTAGTACTTTCGCGCGGACGGGAATAGCACGCGACAGGCCAAGACCGAGCAGCATGGGTGTACGGCGCAGTCAAGTTCCCGCTGCGGGCCAAGCGCGAAGAACCATCAAAACGTACTCTAATATATATTACTCCGTAAATTGTAATACACCGCAATAATGAACAGAACCCGCGGGTATAAGAAACGGCCTCGCCCTCGAGTCTCCGCCAGATTCCGGCTCCTCGGTCCCGGCCAAACCCTACGTAATATTATATTCCCACACATTACGTATTATTCTTTCTATGCCGTCAAGGGGGTCTGCGTGCCGGGATCCTCGACTTCTTAAAACATTGCCATACCCGCTGCAAACATTGTTAGCCCCCGTAATCTTCGCTCTTACCTTACTCTATCTCTTCAATACCGCTCCTCCTCCTCCTCCCAAGACAGCCAGACAAACTGCACACACCCATGGGAGCACCGCGGGCCACAACGCCCAAGGCCTTTGCCGTCCTAGCCTTTGCCTTAGTGTGCGCCTCAACCGTCCTGGCACATGGCGACGAGCAGCATGGCAAGAGCGATGGCGGAATGGACATGGACACGGACATGGACATGTCGGCAGACCAACACAAGGATGATTACCCGCCAACTTATTTTTCGCACTCAGACCATGCGTCGCTCATGATCGGCCACATAGCCTGCATGACAATTGCCTGGGCCTTTATGCTCCCAGTCGGTGCGTTCTTGGAAATCCCAACCTTCCCCTTCATCTGTGGGAAGAAAACAACCCTGAAAAAAAATGTGGACCACCAGCTAACCGTGAGCCTCTTCGTCCTCGTCCTCCACAGCTGTTATGCTGTCTTTGGTCTCTTCTCGCTATACGTTGCTTACGCAACTCGTTTTTCTGGCTACAAATGCGCTGGGCCTCCTCCTGGGAACCATCTACAACGCTCAGACGCCTGATCTGTACCCAGGAAATGCACACCACCCCATCGGCTGGATCATTACCTGGGTCGTCTCGGCCCACATTTTGGTCAGCCTCGTTGGCCGCGTCGCCGGCTTCATAAAAGGGTACAAGGGCGCCAGACACCAGCAGACTAGTACGCAGGAGCACCAGCCCTTTATCCCCGTCTCCAATGGCGCCGAGTACGACGAGCGGCAGCGCCGCTCGTCTGATGACAGCGCCCAAGCTTCAAACCACAGCGCTGAGTCTATGGGCAGTAACTCCGTATCTACCCACGTTGCCGACGATGAGATGGGCGCGGAGCATCACAAGGAGTACACCGATGAAGACCAGGAGTTTGAGGACCTGCCCCTTGTCGACTCGCCCATACCCAGCAGCAATCGTTTAATCCTGAAGATCGCCCAGGCTATTTCGCAGCGCATTTGGAGGTACATCCGCCTGGGGTATCAGATCGTCGATCGGATTATCCTACCTTTTGGCTTCGTTGCCTTCACCACTGGAATCGCGACTTATGGTCGCTTCTTTGTAAGCTCATCTCTACATCATCAGCAGAGAAAGAAAGCCGCAGCGTAAATAATGCAGTACTAATGCGCTATACATAGGAGGGCCATGCAATTTTCGGTGGACTAGCACATTGGATCAAGGGCGGAGTTTTCTTCTGGCTTGGCCTGTTCAACCTCGGCCGCTGGTCGGGTAGCTTCGCCGAGCTGGGCTGGGCTTGGAACCTTCGTCCTAGGCAATCTCACCAAAAGTGGCACCCTTCTTCCGAGTTCGTGGAGAGCGCTCTCATCTTCTTTTACGGATCTACCAACATCTTCCTCGAACATCTGGGGAATTCCAATGGCGGGTGGAGAGCACAAGACCTGGAGCATGTTTCCATCACTGTGCTCTTCATCGGTGGCGGTCTGGTAAGTCGAAAGCAGACATAAAGGTGGTGATTGTAATTACAAGCGCTAATTGGCTCATGTGTAGTGCGGTATGCTCATTGAGTCTACCTGGATCCGCGATCTGCTCAGCATGAGTGTATCCGATTTGGGCTCCGCGGATGGCTACACAGACTTGGAACGAGAGGAGGAGCTTCAACCCCCAACAACGTACCAGATCTCACTTAACCCCATCCCAGCACTGGTCATCATGCTTCTCGGCATCATGATGAGCTCTCACCACCAGGAGAGCATGACATCTACCATGGTCCACGCCCAGTGGGGGAACCTTTTCCTGGGAGCGTCGTTTGCCAGGGGCCTCACCTACGTCATCATGTATATCAAACCGCCCAAGTCTGTGTTTCCTTCGCGCCCGCCAACTGAGCTGCTCTCGTCGTTTGGTCTCATTGCTGGTGGAATCATTTTCATGGCTAGTGTAAGTAATAGCTCACAAAAGGAACAGCCACCCCTTGAGCCGTTTGGTCCGGATCATTGACACACTTACAGAGTAGCGATACGGTCGATCGCATGATCCGCTATGAGCTGGATGCTATGTTCATGTACACTGTGACCATGGGCCTGGTAGGAATCTTGATGGCGTGGGTACTGGCTGTACTCGCCATCAAGGGCTGGGCTCTGCGAAAGGAGCGCCGTGCATCGATGCACACATGAGCTTGCCTCTACGGGTTGTAAAACTCGACAGAAGAGAATCCATCAAGAGCTGAAAATAACAAACAGCTCCTACTCGGTGCTGACAAGGCTGTCAACGTGTCACGACAATTTTGTTTTTGAACTTCAAGATACCCTTTTAGATATACACTTATTTTATCACACCATTAGTCGAGTAATGCGAGGGGGCGGTATAATATGTCTCTAGATGCAGTAGGTTGGACGCCTGGATGGATAAACGATGATATGCTTGGAAATCTTGCCATGTATGCAGCGATAGCCTAGCAACACTACAGAGATTTGATATGGCTCTAGGCGCGTTTATTAGAATGAGGTGTTGGAATGGATGTTGGTATATAATATTATGAGCCACAGACATAGCTCATGACCGTGTCACTGGTACCACATTAAGAGCCGTATTGCGACGTCGCAACACTCTCCATAGACTGTCCCAATGCTAAGGAATCGTTCCTCCAAAGGGTGGTTCACACACAGTTGCGCCCAGAGAATGGCGTTGGCGGTGATTCTTGATTTCTCTTTCGTTGTTTTTCAGAGCTCGCTCGTGCGGAGGATGTTGTGGCGATCATGGGTAACGTCGGAAATGACAATTCTGATGAATTCCAATTGCACTCGGCTCAAAGTAGAACAGGTCGAAGGGTATCGGCATAGCCTTTTTGGGTAGCTTCAGACGCTGGATCTGCATAACGCCCGCGGCTGTGGTCTCGGTAGGAGTCAAATATCGAGTGCAGGGCTCTTCTCTTGAGCACTGGTCGGTGAAGCGCAACTGGTGAGAGCGGCAGCCATTGAGATCTCGCGAAAATAGCACATCAGACTTTTTTCCCATCTCTGAGAATGCCTGTGACACGCTCACGATCAGCCTGGCTAAACTGAACGGTTCCTTGTTGGAGAGCATGGACGAGAAAAGGGATCGAATCTGCCTTGAAGTCGTCTGCGCCGCGCACTTTATCCAGGTCTTCAGCAAGCTCCTGCGTCGACTTCTGAAGATAGTACGATTCAAAAGTGGCCCGAGGCTGGGAAGATTGAATGCCGTCTTCTTGAGGCATAATGGTCAGCGGTTGAATGTGTATGTGTTGTAAATTGCTGCTGTGTGAAGGGAAAACTCTGTAGCTGTGGCACGAGTACTTGTAATAATGCTCTTGTTAGGTGGAGATGGGCGGAAAAAAAACATTTGACGTCTGCCCTCATTAGCCCGCCCCTACCTTACTCAACAAAGGGCCTCGCTCTATCATTTATTTCCAGCGACAAACTACCAGTAATACTACTAGTCACTAAATTTACGATGAAGATTCGAAACGGTTTCCTACAGAAAAAGTACACATCTCATAATTGAAACAATGCTATAAAACTGTAAAACTGTTCTAGCTACGAGGTTCCTTGCCAAACTAACGAGTTCCTCAATGAGATATGTACTGGAACACGGCAGAAATAACGTCTTCCCCGCACTCCTGCCGCAGCAGCAAATCTTGGATGGATTTCAAACCGCTGTTAACAAAATGATTCCATGTGCTGGTGTCGCCGTATAGCATGGCCGGTGCCTTGATGTACTGTCTACCGTCCGGCTTGCATCTCTTGCATTTGAAAGTGTCATGTGTATCGGATCGGGTGTTTGCCTGGTACTGAAACAGCTCACGTAGGCTATCAAGTGAGAAGTGCCGCTCGACATCCTCTGCTGAGTCGACCAGACACGAGGACAGACTCTGTTTGTGAGATTGACGCTGGAAGATTTTCTCTTCAATGGTTCCCGTCGCGATGAATCGGTAGACGAAACAGTCTTTCTTTTGCCCATCTCGCCATACACGAGCCAAGGCTTGCTGGTCAGCCGCTGGGTTCCAATCCGGGTCGAAGAGAACCAGTCGGTTTGCACCAATGAGGTTGATACCACAGCCACCTGCTTTGCTACTCAAAAGGAATACAGTTTCGGTTCCTTCTGGGTTGTTGAATCGATCGACTAGTTTCTGTCGCTTGTTCACGTTCATCGTGCCATCCAGGCGGAGGCAGCCGTACTGTCGGGCTCGACAAAGCCTCTCAAAAAGATCCAGTGTTGCAGTGTAGTTGCTGATAAGAACAATCTTGTCGTTCGTATCTTGGTGGATTCGGGCTAGCATCCTGTCGAGAACTCGCATTTTCCCGGAATACCACGGTTTCGGTTCGCGATCACGACCACGTGCTTCCGGGGGGATAAAATCCTCCGGGTAGCATTTCTCTGAACCAGGCAAGTCTTGGCTCAGGTTAAGAAGATCCGGATGGTTGCAAAGCTTTTTGAGTATGTTTATTGCTTTCAAGGGTTGGCTTCCCTTGCCCCTTAGCAGCGCCTGAATCTCCGGGCTCTTGATGAAGTAGTTGTACAAATCGAGTTGAAAGGGCGCGAGATGGCAAAACACCACATGCTCGTACTTGACAGGGAGGTACTTCGATAGGATATCGTTCGTTCGACGAATAAGGAACTTGTTAACGATGCTCAGAAGCGATGCCGTACACTCATCTCCCTTTTTGCGATCTTCTTCTGACGCCTCGGAGTCTCGACCTCTTGTGATTGGAAGTTCAAACCGCTTGCGGAAGTCCAGTCGTGTGCCGAGAAGGTTCGGGTTGGCGAAACTGATCAAAGAGAAATATTCGGTCAAGTCGTTCTGGATAGGTGTGCCTGTCAAGATGACACGCCTAGAGACATTTAAGCTGTTGAGACTGGAAAAAGTACTACTATCGCCGTTCTTCAGACGATGCCCCTCGTCGCAGAAAAGAAGGCCGATCTTGGCGTTCTTCAACTCCTCGACATTGAGTCGCAATGTTTCATACGAAACAATTATTACAGGCCGGGTAACCGAGCGTCCACTGGACATAGCCCATTGTCGCAGTTGTCGTGTAAGCTCTTCCTTTGAAGATTTCCCATCGATGGCAAATGGATGGATGGCATTAGCACCAAGCCATTTCGTGAGCTCGTTCGCCCAGTTCTTCACGAGACTGGCAGGACAGACAACAATAGCTTTCTGGATCGTCGACTTCCCAGCATCAGGAGACTGCTTTAGCAGCGTCCACAATAATGTGATGCACTGAAGCGTTTTCCCCAGCCCCATCTCATCGGCCATAATGCAGCCATTGGCATTTTCGTCCACTTTTCCAGTCACACATTTGTACATGAACTTGACACCCTCCACCTGATGTGGGCGGAGTATTTTGGCCAGTTTTGGGTCAATAACAACAGGCACTCGAGGGTGATTCTCTGTCACGTTTTTCCTGATCCCAAGGATTTCTGCGAGACTCCTGTGAACAAGAGGGGCTCCAATCTTGCCCGTTTGATCAGCGTGCGCCTCTGCCTTTGGCTCCTCCGCTTTGCATTCTGCTTTGGGTTTATCATCCACCGTCGGGTCGTGGAGAACAATGGCAAATTCGCCACTTGGATCGTGTAGTGCCTTGGGTACAAATACCCTGCCTTGTCTGAGGCCAAGTGTTGGAGGTGGGCGATTTGGATTATAGGTCGTATCGCCCCTGTTCTTGAGTGGCACTGAAAATGCTTTGCGGAAAACGACACCCTTTTCCTTCGCTTGAAATATGGGAAAACGGTTCGCGTCCCTTGTTGCAAGGGCCAGTCTTTGATCATTCGTGTAAGGGCTGCCTGCATCCATTGCACCATCGGCGCCTTTGTAATCGACCTTTCTGCGCTTCCGAGCCGGTCTGTCGGCTGATGGCGTCGGGGTGGCAGAACCAGGACATTTGAATGGCTTGTGAAGTTTATCCATTGAGCTTAGAGAAAAAGGTAGTCTCTCAGGTATTTTGATTCAACAGAAGGTTGCGTAGCCCGTTGGTGGCTGTTGTATGGCGAGTGGTCGAGTCTAGCGTCTTGGGGAAGCCGGCGAGCAGACGTTCCAAGAAGAATAAGCTGCAATCAGAGGTTGGTTATATTGAGATGTGTCCCGGTTTGTGATACTTCCATATGCTGGATTCAGGACTGTAGTGCGTGGAAGCTGAAGAGGCGTCACGGTGTTTTGCCACGGCGAAATTGTTATTTGCGCTCTAGTGTTGCAGGTGGAAGGCGCGAGGGAGCGCGTTCACCGTCACGCGCTCTCACGTGATTGTGCTAGCGCACACCCTCCACTTGCTTTAACCACAAAGTGCATACTAGTAACAATACTGGTAATAACAGCAATGACAATGCTACTATTGGTAATTACACAAAAGGAAGAAAGCTACTGTGCATATTTGTCACATATTTATCGTTTCCTCGTCTCTTCCCAATAAATAACTCGGTAGGTGTCTATATCAGTCATATGCTGTACCACGTTGGAGTTCTGTTAAACGCTGCACATACCGAATCAAGTGCACTTACATCATTATTTTCTTTTCGGACCCCAATCGCTCAGAAAATTATTTATTTCTCTACTCGACTCCGCGCAAAGGTTCCCCTTCAAGGTGTCAAGAGCAGAATCGGTGTACGTATCGTGTTTTCAAAAAGCATCCGAACTACGACGTTGACAACGGGTAGACGATTAGTTCGCGAGGTAAACAGGGCACCGAAGGTCCTCAACCGCGGTTAAAGGCTTTTTTTTTCGCCTTTCAATACACGTAGCTTCTTATCCTTTCGAAGGTCCAGAGGCTACCATGTCGGCTGACTTCTGGGCGGGATATTTGAGCGGCGCTTTGGGGATTGTGGTTGGTAACCCTCTCGACTTGATCAAGGTGCGTCTGCAAGCGCAGGACAGACCGTTCGCTAGAACCCCGCTGCGCACCGTCACTGCCTTGACAGCCGGGACTGCCGCCCCAATCATGGGGTACGGAACCCTCAATGCATTGCTTTTTGTGACATACAATCGTTGCAAAAAAGTAATGAATGATGGCCTTTCAGTCGACAAAAGCCTGTCCACAACCTGGCTTGCAGGTGCACTTGGCGGCCTTGCAACCTGGGTCGTCAGTACTCCAACCGAAGTGATCAAGTGCCGTGCCCAAGCATCAGCTACGCCACTATCAAGCTCAGGTATCTTGCGACGTATATTAAAAAAAGAAGGACCGAGAGGCTTGTACCTAGGTGGAACAGTTACTGCATTACGGGACAGCATAGGCTACGGGTTCTATTTTTGGGCATACGAGTTGACAACCAGTCTGTGGCCATCAAATGTACAAGACGGATCACCATCATTTCTTCGAGAGGCCCCGAAGGTCCTCCTGTGCGGTGGACTGGCAGGAGTTGCCACTTGGGCCAGTGTGTTCCCATTGGATATGATTAAAACACGGGTCCAGACACAGGGCATGATGGAGGCCATTGCAATGGACTCTTCCGCCCTCTTGCAGTCCAATCAACAAGTTTTGCGCCACAGGCATCACGCAGGAGCTTGGCAAATAACCCAGGAGGCGTACAGAAAACATGGCACAGCAATCTTCTTCAGAGGTTTCACGGTTTGTTGTATTCGGGCATTCATAGTCAATGCCGTGCAATGGGGTGCTTACGAGACACTCATGCAGAAGTTCTCCCAATTTCCAGAATGAGGACTCCTCAGTACCATTAAAGCTAGAAAATATCTCGATAGCTTCAAGAGGTTACAGTTGCATGTCAACGACATAGCTACAATACCACTACTGTATTAGATGCGGACTGCGCTCAAAACTATGATTTCGAACAAACTCAATTTATTAATATCCGACATAAAACATGCACAACAAGAAAACCCCTATGTAAATATACATATACCAGCTATGCCTAAACGCGCGCATGTCTTTCCCAACCCTCCAAACCTGCTTGAGCCCGCCACCTGGCCGTGTCCTTGTCGAAATCTTGAAACCACTTTTCCAATGCGCTCGTTGCTTGTTCTGTGATTGATCCTTCAGTAGTGAAATCACGGCCTTGCTGATGCGCAGGTTTTTTGTTCAAGTGTGTCCCCAATTCTCCGTCACGAGCCTTTCGTTTTTTCTCACGCTCAGCCAGCCATTCCCGACGTCCTTGGATAAATTTGGCACTGTGGCCCAGGCCTGCGTTTTCAGGCGACAGTCCAGTGTGCGACCTATCGAGTGGCGGCGCTGTAAAGAATATAACCCTTCCGTTATCGTCGCACTGGTACTGGTGACGAAGCACACTTGAAAAAACCTCATCGGTAGTATCAGAGAGTGTATAAACTTCTGGTGGCCGGGGTGGGTTGTACATGTTGTGAGGCGTATTTCCCGGGACAGGAACCATCGAAGATCTTGGCGTTGGGGGTGGTGGTGCCTGGCCGTAGCTGGGCGTCAACGGGTTTTGGAAAGCTTGGTGATGCATGGCTGACGCCGGAGATTGCGAATAACCGCCCTGTGCATATGCCTGTTGCTGATAGTTGGGAGGGCGAATAGGAGCCTGAGGATGGGGTGAGTGCTGGGGCGCTTGAGGCAGAGGCATGGGCTGATGAACAGGCGTGCCAGCCATCCCGGGAGTAGCAGAAGGAAATGTGGGTGCAATAGTCGTTTGATATTGGTTGGGTGAAGGTGATAGGCCTAGACCCGGAAAAGAGGTCGATGTGCCTCGCACTGTCATATCGGCTGGAGTATCTTGAGCCACCGAAAGCATAGACTGGCGCCGGCTCGCCTCCAAGGACGCTTGAGTAGTAACTGACGCCGGGGGCAAGGGCGATGGCTCTGGGGGCGGAGAGTCCTATAACGAAATTGTCGTTAGGAACGTACCAGTATATGATTTCGATCGCGAGAGACAATGATTATGCTAAAATCAATTCCCAATCCAGTGTACCCTTTAGATATACTTACGTTTGCTTCTCTTGGTCTTCGATGTGTAGCACCGACGATTGGCGGTGCGTTTGGACTACCCCATGTTGGTTTTGGCAGGTTGTCGGTCTCTTTGGCATCTTCGCGTAGAAGGTGCTTGATGGGACTGGGCTTTTTTTGCATCCGATGAGGCGGAGCGTCGAATAAGTCCATTTCGTAATCTCTGTCACGAACCTCTTCAGGGAGGCAACTCGCCCATGTTTTAATTTTGTTGAAACGAAACTTTTCCTCGTTATAGCGCGACTCGCAGATGTAAATTTCCTTGTCACGCGCAAGCCCTCTCGGCCGGCCTCGGTTGAAACGTGTCACGAACATTACGAAGCAACGGTCCAACACGTCCTCGACCCGGTGGTCTCGATATTGTCCGGTTTTCACGACCTCGTGGTCGAAGAAATGCTTGTCAAATCGATGTACCGTCTGCTCTGGACGATAGTACCAACATGCATTGATCCATTTTTGGCCTTCCCGGTCTTGCCACGTCCTGAATATTTGTGCAACGATAGGCTTAGCCAGATCATTGGGGTTTCGAATGTGAACCCAGTCCCCTGATACAGAGTGTCAGACGGTGAATTGTAAGTGCAAGATATTCCAATATAGACTTACCGACTTTCCACTTCTCGCCGTTGTAATCGACTTCATCCAGTGGCAATTTTCCGTCCTCGTCTCGGAAGTCCTCGTCGGGCCGTGCTTTTTCCTCTTCAGCTAGAGTACGGGCTTGTTTCTGGAGCTCCACAGCCGCATTGAAGAGGGGGCTGTCGTCTTCGTTGTACGCCTTGGCATTCTCAAACATCTTTTCAATGTCCGCCAGTACGTGATCCACGCTCTGGTACTTCTTGCGCCTCGCCTTCTTCTTGATATGGTCCAGCGCGATGGGATCTGCGATCGTTTCGTAGTAGTCGGGGACCACTGCCTTATCGGGGAGTTTCTCAAAAGGTAGTATGAGTGGGTTGCCTTGATCATCCTTCGCCTTCCTTAGGCTTCTTATCAGAGACGAAATTCGAGCTTCGGTAGGCGTCAGGACGCTCGGCGGACGGCCTCTTTTGTGAGAATTTTCGTCTTGGTCTCCGTATCGACCGCGGCCGCGAGGAGCTATCCCCCTCCTGTTACCGCGACCTCTCTGCCGGCCACTTGCTTCGTCGCTCGAGTCGTCATCTTCATCCTCGTCTTCCAAATCATCTTCTTCATCAACATCGCTTTCTGGTGGCGGTGAATCCTCCGCAGGTGGAATATCACCCAAATCGGGTATCTTCGCATCGTCCGAGCTAATGTGTCCCTTTACGGCCATCTCCTGCAGTTTTTCCCGAAAAACCTCTCTTAGCCGAACGGCTGCGCCAAATATAGGCGCAGAGGGGCGGTTGTAGACCTGTGCATTGTGGCATATCTGGGCTACATCTCGGACGAATTCAGCAAACGAAGTGTATTGTTTCTTTTGTATTTTCCCCTGGGAATTGGTCAGCAACGAGCTAAAATTGTCAGATGTCTGTATTCGCGGTCAACTTACGCGAATAGTGCTGAATGCAACTGGTTCGGAGATGACCTCAAAATAATCAGGCAAGACTCTTCTGTTCGGAATTCGCTGGAAACCGGCCGCAAGTTCGTCGCCACTATCCAGATACGAGTTAGCGAGCGGGACGAGTTAGCTGAAGGGGCATTCTCACTCTTCCTCTACGCTGCAAAGATAACTCGACAAGTTGCTGATTGTTTGCAGCATGTCGTGACCACTGTCAACTTCTGGCTCGCCCTCAGCATCGATGTCTGAGCCAGCGTCGTCAGGGCGATCCTCCATCTCGATATCGCCATCCTTAACGTCGGTCGCCGATGTTTTCTGCGCCTCCGATGCCGCAGCGCGCCTCGTCGACATGATTCAAAAAGTGCCGCAAAGAACAGAGGAAAATGGATGGATAGCCCACGCTACCCGTAGGCGCGAAGTGGATATGAGGTAATGTTGCACTTAAAACCAACCTGGAGCAGCAGCCAGATTGACGCGTTCATGGTCTGTTCCTAGTCCGTCGGTTGGTTTGCGACGCGCCCTGCTCGTTGTCAAGTAATGGTGTTGCTGACTAACGTTCAGTACAGACTATACGTACTTTATTATTGCTGGAGTGTATCTTTCCAGTACTTATTTGATGACTCCCATAGCACATAGTTAGTGCTGCTACAGTAATATACTATACTATAGCCTGTATCAAACAGCATCCCGCATCCAGAGGCTTGCGCTCAGTCAAATTCCTTGTTATCGCAAACCGTTGCATATCGACAACTGTAGACAATGAACTGGACTAACAGTTGAAGCGTTCACCTTAACCGACTTCAATAACATTCGCAATATACGAATCATTATCTCTTCTAACGAATACATGACCAACACACTATACCCACATGCGTAAAGCCCTCACAAGCCGTGCCGGTTTATTGAGGTGCCTTTCTTCGACGCCTGAGGCACATTGAAGATCCATCATTCTCTTTAAAGTGAATTAGGCCTAAACTACCTTATCGGGTTCCGTACCGAGCTTCAAAAAGACTGCAGGCGTGAAGCCCTCCCCTCTTCTGCCAACAATTATCGACGAGACCTTACAATCCAGCGCACTCGAGAACACACTTGTCTGTACCGTAAACACCGCTGTTATGAAAGCCAGATTCAAGGGCCCTTCTGGCACTGGTGTCATCGAACTTGATGACACCGCTGGAGTGGAAAATCTGTGCAAAGAATTAAGGGAACGAACAGGCATACAAGAATTCTCTATAAAATACGGTCCACCTATGGCCATGCGAACTCTTGACACGGCGGACAAGTTCCAATCAGTCAAATCACTAGGGCTCCACGGCGAGACACTGACGATCGTACCTAATGAGTCCAACTCAAGCCCAACTACTTCAACTCAGAAGGCCGAACCGCATCCCAGGTATATCTCGAGAAACCAGCGACAAGCAGAGTCGAAGCAGGGCCCAGAAGAAATAACCGTTCCTTGGCCTGAGCGGGAGGGGACTCTCTGTGAGTGACAGCCTGTCCGTTTCCACGTGCAGTCATCTACTGACCAAGATCTGTGCAGTACTTCGAGTCATGCCTAGCGATAACAGTTGTTTGTTTACAGCATTTGGGGGCGCTTTGCAAACCCAAATTCCAGCAGCAAAACTGAGAAAGATGATGGCCGATTATATATCTCAGCATCAAGATGTGTACACCGAGGCTGTACTTGGAAGCCCCCCCATGCAATACTGTCGAAGTATACAAGATCCGGATCGGTGGGGCGGGGGTATTGAACTCAGCATCCTCTCCTCTATCTTTGATATTCAAATTTGCACATATGATGTTCAAGTAAGCTCGTTCAAAGCCACCATTGCGACCACTTCTCTTTTTCTTTCTCAGCTTACCATATACTAACGCTTCTAGACACAAAACCTCATCAACTTTGGAGAGAACAAGCGGGACCGTTGTGTTCTTGTGTACTCGGGTATTCACTACGATCGCGTAGCGTTCACTTATTCCGAGTTTCCACACAAAACCTCCACCTTGCCTCCCGAAATGGATCGTACATTGTGGCCTACTGAGGATGATGAGATTTTGAACAAGACACGAGACCTTATTGAGAAGCTTAACAAAGCCCATTATTACACTGATACGGAGAGTCTCGTTCTCAGGTGCGACGTTCCCGGCTGTGATTGGATTGGAAGTGGACAAGCCGAGGGCAGTAAACATGCACAACAGACAGGACATGTTGAGTTGAGTGAAATCCATGATACAGAAGAAGACAATGTCCTCCGACAGTGTGGCATACCAGGCTGTGATTTCATAGGCCAAGGGAGCAAAGTTATGAGGCAGCATACCGCAGACACAACGCACGATCGGTATTCCGTCATCCCAGACTGGTAACTGTTCAACGCCTGTATTATCACCAATTGTTAGAGTGTTCATCCTCACGCCTCCAGTCCGGTCGTGAGAGAAACAGGTTGCATTGTACTATTAATAGTACTATTAGCATGGCTATACCAAAGTGGCCCAAGTACCATCTATAGTATAGAACACAACAGTATTTACAACAAAAGGTCCACGAGAAAACAGCTCCAAGTCTTAGTCCCTTCCAATTGATAATGTAGTTGTATAACACATTCCCAGCTTCTCGGTTGACTTCATTACTAGTTCAAGCCCGGACACTGGGATAGTAAATAAGCATTGAATAGCCAGTATCGATGCCCAGTTCGGTTCCTATTCAAAGAAAACCGCAGGGTGTTTATCTTTAGTTGCCCCCCCTCCCATTCATTCATTACTTTTTTTTTGAGGACCAGCTATAGTATTTTGTTTTCTCGCTTACATATATGGTCAACTTTGCCATATATATTGATTGAATATTGAATACGGAGCCTGAAGCAGAAGAATCACGCTATTAATAACTCAAAGGGAAAAAAGAAATGACATGAATAATTTGATTGAACAAAAAAAAAGTATTTTATAAGTGTACTAATAATACTACCAGTAATACAGTAAATAAAATACATTGTTATTTTTCATATGTTTATAAACTCATTCAATCTAATAATTTGAATTGAGTTTTTTTTGATTTCAGTAGCAGTGACGTATTATCAATAGTGTCAACTACAATAGACAGACTACTTACTTATCTTATAGTATTCTTATTTCTACTTCTTACATACTTGGTCGATATTGAATATAGAAAGCGAGGAACCAAAACCTAAAGTCTCCATGGCCTCCTATATTTCTCTGCCTTGTTAACCGTACGAGTATTTATTGAATAATAAATAAATGTAAGTCTCATCTCACGCATTTTTTTTCTTTGAATACAGTTAATACTACTTATCAGCGGTAGGTAGGTAAGTGAGATCAGATATTACAGTATCTTGTTTCCAGGTATTAATGGCAATGTAATGTCCTGCTTGATACTACATTGAATTAATCGATCCCTCTAGAATTATTCGAGCATTACTACTTATTCAACTTCTACTCCAGCTAATTAGGTATATTCTCATAGAACACAGAATACGAATTTTTATCCCATGGTCTTTTGCGTTGTTTTGAATATAGCTCTATTCCTATTATGATTATTATTTTTCAAACGGCGATTATAGTTGGATATTGATGTTTTGATTTATTTTCCTCTAGCGAATAATAATGAGCCAAAGATCCGCATGAATTAACAGAGTAGAAAACTAAAGTGGATATCAACGGTAGCGTCAGCATTAGTGTTCACTTTTAGGGTCGACAGCTAGAGATCCTTTTCGCCGGCCATATCAGAGCCGCCGAAAGCATTAGGTTGGTTGATATTATCAGGTAGGTGACATAAGAGAGGCCGAAAGCTAAAGTCACACCAAGATCCCTGTTTTTTGGAATATATACCAACCAAGCAAGTATCTTAATGAATAACAAACAGATATATACGTAGTATTGATGGCACTATCGCATATTTCTTGTGTATATTTATTACATATATGCGTTTAATGCGCATCATAGACTACGGTATCGCAATATTTTTACTCGTGATCTATTTTTGCTAGCTGGTATGTTGGCCCATGAGAAGATTAATACTGTAATATGCAACAACCAGCTTGTGTATATGCTTACCAGAACCAATAATGGTTTTCACAACCCCTCCAAGACGAAAGATATCGATGATCATAGCTTTCTCAGCCAGCTCTTCTTATGTGCCTAGACAACAAGTGCACACTAGGCTTCTATATATCAAACTCGGAAGCAGGGTTTCGATATTGATGGCACCTTGTAATAATTCACCATAGGAAACCGTGATGGTTGAAATCGGATCACTCAACTTGTGCATGTTTGTAGCTTTCTGTAGCTTGATACTCGCATTTGTAATAGCCATCTCTTCCCCCATCCCTCGGGTAACCGTTTGTCCTTAAGCTGCAATACAAGTATTCAGCCATTCGTTATATGGTTCCTTTTCCAATGAGGCCGATACTTCTGTCTATAGTATATGTAGCCATTTGTGCTGTGCTTGTCTAGTGTGTATCTAATTGCCGTTGACTGACGCATATAGAGAATACGAGGCTGCCTATATATTTGATGCCTCTATGACAGCGGGGATAGATCTGAAAGTTGACAGGACCCTACCAGGATGCAACGGGGATAAATAGGAAACATAGTACAGGATTATTCCTAGTATACAATAATATTGGAGTTATGTGGCGTTCAGAAACACTGCCAGGTATGATGCTTGACCATCTTACGCAATTTTCCAGTAATGAACCAGGCCGGACGAGACGAAGGTGATTAATAAAGAGGAATATGGTAAACTCCTTTGTTTGGGGCATAGAAGTAGTAGCTCCCAACAACTTGGGCTGGCAGGTTTGGAAAGTATGACAAGGCAACGGCGTTACTTGCCAAACGGACGGCGCCTTAAGGCTGGCTAATCAAACTGTTAAACGACTCGATACGACGCCCTGTGTTCCTGAATGCTGACAGCAACAGCTAGCTTAGGGTTCGTCGTATTAGACCAGTCAATGCGGTCCCGTCGCTCTGTAGGTTGACACGGTCCGCTTGAACGGTCAGCATCATTTGGGAGCACTTGAGCTACAGTCTATCACGGGGCTTCAGATTCATATAGAAACGAGTCGTATACCAGTGGAATTACAGTGGCTTGAAATACATCTAATTAAACAGTTACGGAGCCTTGTCCATCAATTGCAACCACTTGGGGACACAAGTAAAGGTAACTTACACTCGCCGGTCCCCAAAAGAGCTCAAGACAGTTGTAGTGCAATGGTGGATGATTCCATCAATCACTCATGTCATCTTCAGAGTAGTCCCATTGAACTCGTATTTGTTCGCCTCCGCTATCGTATCCATAAACTTTGCCTCTCCATTCGCCAGCTGAGAGTTTTGCCGCGACCTTCAAAATTATAGCAATAAGATGCGCTGGTGGGGTGAGAAGCGCATCGTAGGTCTTTTCTATGAGGAACAAAGGTATGCTTCTCTGTCTGGACAAGTTGTTGCGTTGTTGTGGCACGGACAGGCTCGTTTCTGGTGCACGGTGGAAATGAGATGATGAGCCTTTTGATCCCCATTCATCATCATCGAAATCGTGAACAGGACTTCCCGTAGATGTCGATTTTTTGGTTGACTCTTCAACACTAGGCGTGGATTGTTCTGCCTTCAGTGATGTAGCTTCTTGTTCATCTGACCCTTGTTGCGGATCAGAAGAAAAGGCTGGGAATGGCGGCCTCTGGTCGTAGTTTGGTTGCCAAGACTCGACGCTTTGGAATGAATTACGCGATGGGCAGCTGGATGATTCGGAAAGATTCTCGCCAGATTCTAACAGGCATTGTTCCTTGTTAGGCCCTTCCCATCCATCAAACCTTCTGTCGACGTATGTGGTAAAATGACTATCATCCTCGACAGGATAGGAGGGATGCACTGTTGCGCCCTGAGAACTCCGTCCTTCTAAGTCCTCAACCTCGTAGGCAAAATGCTGGACAGTATGTTCCTGTATCCCGCTAACACGTCTTGTTGCATCCGGGGAGTGTGCATGGCTTGAGAGGTCGGCCCCCGCCGTGACTATAGACGCCTTAGGATTCTTTGGGCATCGAATACGATTTGCCTCGCAACCACCTTGGGGTCTTTCAAGCAAGCGACTAGCCACGGGCAGATCCTCTCGGTCCAGACCATCTTGAGTTTCGTTCCGAGGGTGTTTGACGAGAGAAGTAGGACTTGCTTCATCTCCTGTTGAGGCTCCCATAGGAGACATGATAAGATCTGAGGTCCAGAGTCTTGGTAGCGAGAAATGCCGAGCTTTTCGTACTTCGCCATCATTCTCGAAAAGCGGCAGTATACTGCCCGGAATTTTTGGGCTCGGTGAGTTCTTGGGTGTCCAAGGTTTCTTCTTTATGGGAAGCGATGGCTCCTCTGGAAGTTCGACTGTAAAACTCCTCTGAAACGGGCAGGGTGTTTTTTCGAATTGCAAGATTGAGTTCAGGACTTCTTTCAATTCTTCTGCCTTCTTTTCATGTTCCTCATTCGACAGAGGCATCTCGATCCTCCAGAAGCTAGGCCATCGTATTTGTAGTACAAACTGTGAGTTGTTCTCGTTGATACACCAGCACTGGCTCTTGGGCAGTATTGGTTGAAGGGCTGAGCCACAGCTCAGGAAGGCCACGGAGCCAGGGGCACGATATATGCGAAGCAAGCCTGTGCATACGTGTCAGTGATTGCATATCTTATTGTATCCAGAGCTAGAGTGGAGACTTACCCATGGCGATTGTCCTTTCCAATCGGGAACCAGAAGCTAGAGTTCCTGCTCGCTGGCGGGCGCCCTCTGTCTTGGGAAGCATTGGTTCCAGATTGGTTGTAAACGACACGATTTTGATGTCAGGATAAACGAAGAGCGTCTCTATCTCCGCCGCTTCACTGGCCTTGCTGCATGGCTGCTGGGTTGCTGACGCGCTGCTGGCACGGCGCAGACCCCTGGTCGACCGCGGAGAGGACTCCATGCTATTCATGGTGCCGAAGGCCTCGTGAGATGGCTGAGATGGCGTCTGATATCTTTCTTCGGGGACAACCGCAGCTATTCATATGTTCCCATATTGGACCAGTTGGACATTGCCTCACGCCAAGAGTATCGGAATAACTAAGCTCAATTGTATGGAGAGCAGAGGATGCACATAGCATGTACAATATCTGCCACATGCGCATGCCAAACAAAACTCAACCGATGTCTCTTCAAGGCTGCAATACCAAGCTCTACTGACAGAACATGAGTGGGGCGGTCCAGTGCAGGCGCAAGGGGTTTCGCGTAGAGCCAAAGTGTTGAGGCTTTCTGCAAATGCTGCTAGTACGTGCTCCTCCGGATAAGCCGCAAGCGATTGTTCGTTGTGGGGGGCAGTGCAGCTGAGTTGGGAGCTAACTGACGTCAGATACCCTGTACGACAGCCCCACCATCCATGGTAATGATGGACACGCCTCGTCAGCCTTTGCACCGCACGAAAACACAAATTAACGAGCTATCACCAGTGCCATTTCCCGACGACTGGTAAACGAATCGGACCGGAAAACTCAGACAAACGTACAAGAGATTTGATAGTGCACAACAGCCGTTGCTCACCCATCATCTCCGACATGGCTACTCAGGCAGAAAGCAAGGAAGGCCCGGCAAAGCAGGTGAAAGAGTTCATAGACGACAATATCGACAAAGAAAAGCTCAAGGAGAAGCTAGATTTTTCCAACTTCGATGCAAATGCCATCCTCCGAGGCGCGCAGTTAACATTGGTTGGAGGTAGGGCTGACAAGCGTTGTCCTTCTTGACTGTAACCACTCTTGCTAACAGTGCACCAAGCTCATCGTGCCTTGCAGAACCCTGGCATCTTCACAAGTGACCACTACAGGCAAGCTGCCATTGCCGTGGCCGCCGGCTTGGGAATCAGGCTTCTTGTTGGCTTACCCGTGAGTTGAACGATGCCCTTTATCACCAAAGTCGCACATTGTTGACGCGTGTGTTCCAGGGTCTCTTTATTCGAATTGGGCTTTGGATACTGTCCTTCTTTATTTCACTTGAGTCGGTGCAATGGGACGATGCGATCATAAACGGCCTCGAGTTCATTGAGGAATACGTTCTCCAGATCCCTTTTTTCCTGATGTCGCTGATGCGATACATTGTTCCTACCCTGGACGATCTGTAAGCAGATACTAGGCTCCTAACACATTGCCATTGCTAATGTATGCATATACAGGTTCATGCAATCCATAGAATGGGTGGACTTGACCTACGTTAAGAAGCATGAACGGGAAGACCCCACCCGTCTGAGAAAGCTTTATTCCCCAAACTTGAAACTCTATCACAAGGGGTCAGGCAAGGGAGGAGGCAATAGGGATTCGCGATCAAGCAGCAGCATCTCAAAAAAACCCGTGTTTCAATTTCTTCAACGTTTTGCTCGCAAGGGCGCGATATCGCTTGTTATCTTTGCTCTGTCCTATACTCCGGTTGCTGGTCGATTTGTCTTGCCTGCTGTGAGTTTCTACACATTCAACAAAGCTGTTGGCACCGCTCCTGCGGTGATCATATTCGGATCTGGGATCTTCCTACCGCGGCGATACCTTATTATCTTCCTACAGACATACTTCTCTTCGAGGAGTCTGATGAGGGAGCTCCTGGAGCCATACTTCTCGCGGATTCGGTTCACTAATACCCAAAAACGACATTGGTTTCGGAGCAGAGAAGGTGTCTTGTTTGGTTTTGGCCTGGGTTTTTATATCCTCGTCAACGTACCCCTTGTCGGTGTTCTCATATACGGCATTGCGGAGGCATCCACAGCATATCTGGTGACTAAGATAACCGATCCGCCGCCACCGCCTGATGAGGTTGAGGAATACACCTCCAACCAGCAGGTTTGGAAAAACAAGCACGAGTTCCTCAGTCTCTCACTTTGGCATCTAGACCACCCCCATTACAAGATGGATATGAAGGAAGGAGTGAAGGAATAGTATGAATGGAAGCATATCTGGTTCTATTTGCCATGATAGCACCCATTAGTTTATTAGTCCAGCGTACGGCGAATTATAGCGGATAGGAATAGGTAAGAAAGAAGGAAAGAAGGAAAGAAGAGCAATTGCAATGAATGGGAGGGTGATTTCATAGAAAAGGGCGGTAGATAATGCAGAAAAGAAAAAAATACAATGCATGGGCAATATTATAGACACACGGAGTCCGATTGGAGACAAGTTGATGTTTGTGGAGAAGCCCCAGGATGCGTAGGCTCTGTGATGCGGGGGTGGATGTGAACCCCGTATTAGTCATTGTTCTAAGGCGCACCAGGCAACAAGGCAACAACAATATCTGGAGTTTCCCCAACCTGCCGACCCGCTGACTGCCTGAGAGAATACCACTGCCCTGTTTCAACAGTTCATCTTCTTCCCCTTGAGAAACCAAGAGGCTAGAGTCAAATCGTCAATTAACTACGTTACTGAAGTGTGAGTGTTTTGTCCAGAGCGCTGTCGTAAAGGGGTCCTAACCAGTTGTCAATAGCGATTCTCAGACCACCCCAGGAACCACTTACTACGAAAGCAGCCAATTGCTCCACCGATATTTCCAACCCACACCTGCGCATAGTCGACGAGGTTTACCATCAACGCGTTTGAATCGGCGCCGTACATCATCACTTCTCGGTCACGATTCACCATATTTCATCATGTCTAGTCGGCAAGCTGCTCTGTCAGTAAAGTCTTCCCTGTGACCAATTGTTGGTTCACGTTGTTGTTTGCCTGCTGCCCTTATCTCAACACGTGCTAACAAGGGAGGCGCTACCAGGTCACTCTATCGCCGCTCCCTGAAGCTGGCACTAGACTGGGCCGTCCATCGCCATCTCTGGCGCGGCCAGGCGCTCTACATTCGATCGCTATTCGAGGCCAACCGTCATGTTACGGACTCAAGGCAACAAAAAGTACGAGCTCGAAACCCACTGACCCCAGAGTGGAGTGATACTAACAGGCGATTGAAAGGCTTTGTTATCCGAGACGGAAAAGTTGCTCAACAACTGGAAGCACCCTGATCCATACACGGCGCCGACTGCGCCGGGAGGTATTATTCTTCTTCTACCATCTCAAGACGATTGCGATGAGACTGGGCTGACAGCATACAGGATCCAAATACGAGCGCAACCTGCCTTCCCCAGTTCTGGACCGTGAGCGAGCCCACACCTAATTCTCCCCCCCCCCTTGTGTGGAGAACATGAGCTAACGAGCTACGCAGCCCCCTCCGCAACCCCCTCCGCATCGAGCCACTGATTTCAAGATCGAGCAATATTAGATTGAGAAACAGGAATATCATTTGTATGTTGGTTTCATAGAGCAATACAAAAGTCTTAAGAACCTGTCTGCTAGCACAGAAAACAGTTCTGTTTTACGAACCTCGGTGCGAGCACCTCCATATAGCTCCGCCTCGCTTTGTTAACGGGGACATACAAATGCAGGTAGGATTTTATTGACCCTTCAATGTGAAATCAGGCATGTTAGACATGCACCGATACGTATTTGTATGGCGGAGCATATATGACCGACCAAAGGTCTTACCTAGCGTACAAGAGTACGGTAGATCGGATGCATCAAAGACAATCCGTGAATTGCAGGATGCATCAGTTAGAGGACGAGACCATTATCACCTGAAAACATGTGGTATTAAAACACAATTTGCGGAGTGCTTTGGAGTATAAAATTCATTCATGACCATAGCCGTGGGGATTATTGTACAACCCAAACGCATAAAAACAAAAGCAACCGTGAACCCTGAACCGTTACCCCAGTGTCAACCCAAGACAACCATCGCAGAAAAATAAAACGCAACGCAGAATTTACAGATCCTGGCTGGGCTTGCCGGCCTTGCTCGTCTTCTTGGGTAGCAGATCTAGGATATTGTCAGTATAATGTGTAATTTAAAGTGTAAGGCGGAAGGCTTACTCTGGTGGATGTTGGGCAGCACACCACCCTGAGCGATGGTGACGTGTCCCAGGAGCTTGTTTAACTCCTCGTCGTTGCGAATGGCAAGCTGGAGATGACGGGGGATAATACGGGTCTTCTTGTTGTCACGGGCCGCGTTGCCAGCAAGCTCGAGAATCTCAGCGGCGAGGTACTCGAGGACAGCGGCGAGGTAGACAGGAGCACCGGCACCGACACGCTGAGCATAGTTGCCCTTCCTCAGGAGACGGTGAACACGACCGACAGGAAATGCGAGGCCAGCCTTGGACGAACGCCTGTTCATGTGTAAGCTTGGAGTCCAGATTGTTCTTCTGCTACGCTGTAGCGGGTGTCTTGAGGTACTTACGACTGCGCATTCTTGGAACCAGAGGCCTTGCCGCCAGACTTTCCGCCGCCAGTCATTTTGAATGTGGTTTGTGAGGTTGAAAAAGTGGGAGAAAAATAAGGTGCTTATGCAAGAGAACGCAAGTGGCGGATGGCGAAAGCGAAAGCTGATGAAGGACAATTAGAAGGTGAAGAAAGCAAGTGTTGAATTTGGCGGGGACTGTTGAGGTTAAGTACTTTTCGGCGCGTCGTGGTTGTCAACGCGGATCACCCAGCAGCAAAATGGGCCGACATGATTTGAGCTAAGCCTATTTTGGCAAATGGGCGTGGCTGGACAAAACAACCACTCTACAAATCAACCACAGCTACTCCGTAGTTAGTGCGCAGACCGGACACGGGCAGCACCACCCATGTAGTATTAGCAGCTTCCGCGCTCTGTCCCACATATTTCAAATTATTATGCCAATTTTTGGTTTCTCGGTCGATTATTTTTGTTGGTTGCCTTGAATATCATTCGGTTCCATCTTGGCAGCCTCGAAATCTTGGAGCAGTTACCCTATGACGTGGAAATGCAGTAGAAAATGCTGCGTCTATTGCTCTTCAGGTTGAGATATAGGTGTCCTATGATACTTTCGTGTTGATGTCGTGAGTGACTGAAAATGGTAAATGTGATGCATTTCACCTCCAGTTAGAGTCTTACAGCGGAAACCTACATTTCTTTGTTTGCACAAGTAGCTGAGGTTTGTCACGATACATATCCATAAAGGCGGTCGAGAACTACCGATATGAAAGCCTCATCGGTTGTCCTCTCATCTTCAGAAAGGAAAATTACTTGCTTGTAACATTAATATCTATACCACAGCCATTAGTAATAATACTCGTATGCTTATATTTAGATACACTTGTCAAATTTAGGGCTATGTATTTTGTGTCGAAGTTTATTCTGTGTCGTAGAGCAAAGATATGCACCTTTTGTCAAAGGGATCCCCATATGATGCGGATCTGACTACTCGTACATAACGACGCAGACAGTCTATGGGGTGTTATTACTGATCGATAAAGTAGAAGTGCGGCTATATAACTGCATACTTCGCAGCCATAATAATTATGTGCAACTGTACGAGTGCTGTGTACGGATGTGCTTCAAAATATCCGCTATTAGTTAATACTACGCCTTGCGGATACAGAGGGCGGTCTGTGGTTCACCGTTTATGGCATGAGAATTGTCAACACAGAGGCATCTGTACAGTATGAGTATAATGGAGTGACTTGCGCAAATGCGAATCATCAACTACAACCAGGAGAAGAAAAGCACTGGGATACTTCCTGAGCACCAACTCAAATGCCGTGGGTGCGAGCATCGCTTGTACCTGCAGGCTGCATTTTTAGAATGAGGTAGTGGAACCGCGAAAGTCGCGTCATCCTTAAGATTGAACCCCTTCTCCCCCTTCAATAATGACGTTCCATATTGTGGTTATTGTGGTAGCCATCGCGACTTGGGGTGTGGGGAGCGTGTTTGACGAATCAAAAAAATGGATTCGTGGTAGCAGGGGTAAACAGAAAACTATCCTGGGCAAGCACTGATCGTGGGCCCCTCTTTCTCCCTTGACATGGGCAGTCGCGTAACAGTGAGCAGAATCAGCCACCCTGGGCCCAGCGCATGTTGCGCGGGTGTCCACCAGTCCGGACCACCCACAGCCAAGTGTCCAGCCACCAGTGTGAAAGTGGGGAACTGGCCAGATCGACCAACCACGCACTTCCTGATACTTGGCCATGTAGTGCGCGGTGCGCAGAAATCAGTAACTCGACGTTGGCGCAACGCGTCTAGCTACAAATACCCAAGCCCACCCCCAACACTTCTTGTTCCTTCGTCATCCACTTTCCATCATCACCCGCTGTTCCACGACTCATCACTAACGCGTCCACGCAAACACCAAACCCTTTTCGGACCCCTAAACTTTTAAAACCAGCCCTTTTAACATCACAAAAATGCCTCCCAAGGCCGCCGACAAGAAGCCCGCCTCCAAGGCCCCCGCCACTGCCTCCAAGGCTCCCGAGAAGAAGGATGCTGGCAAGAAGACGGCTGCTTCTGGTGACAAGAAGAAGCGCACCAAGACTCGCAAGGAGACTTACTCCTCCTACATCTACAAAGGTAAGCTTTTAGGATACAGCAACACGGTACATTGGAATATATACTAATATTTGCATACAGTCCTCAAGCAGGTCCACCCCGATACTGGTATCTCCAACCGTGCCATGTCCATCCTGAACTCCTTCGTCAACGGTTAGCCTCTCCGAGACGCACTGCCCCAAATTGCTTCAAGCACTAACATGCGCAATAGATATCTTCGAGCGCGTCGCCACCGAGGCCTCCAAGCTTGCCGCCTATAACAAGAAGTCCACTATCTCTTCCCGCGAAATCCAGACCTCCGTCCGCCTGATCCTGCCCGGTGAGCTGGCTAAGCACGCTGTTTCTGAGGGAACCAAGGCCGTCACCAAGTACTCTTCCTCTACGAAATAAGCTACTGTTTGTCGTTCATAATTTTGGGCATTTTGGTTCCTACAGCACGCGCAGAGCGCAGCGTGATGCGGGATTAGTTGGCGAGGATGGGCTCTACAACCCTTGGATTCTCTTTAATGCGTTACGGATGGTTTGCTTTTTTTGGGGTCAATATCTTCAATGGTCAACGGGGTTTTGCGGCTGTACAATACATTCGAGATTTTTTTTTGGGCTCGAAGCAATGAGAATTATCACATGATATCCCGACCCTCCTCCCATCCAGTGAAGGCACAGGCGAACCACAAGACACCAGCGTATTGGTAAACTAACTGATACACATGTCCTACCCCAGGCCCGCCCTGGATTTCTTCATTGTCTGGGGAACCGGTTGAAGGATTCCTTTGTTATCCATTGCCCCGAGCGCGGTGCCTTCGCTCCAACCCATCTTTTCAAGCATCGCACGCCCACGGTTTTCTACGCCAAGCTCAGGTGCTGCCGCGCCCACAATCTCACCATCGCGATAACTGGCAGCGGCGTCGTTGCTACGCCCCGGTTGAGATGGCCGCTTGTTACGTTTACCCTTGGTATCCAGGCGTGGGAAGTACCGGCGGTTGATCCGGGCCACGGCGTTTTCGAACGGACCTTCGACGAACGGAAGTGTTCTGTTCGTCCTGTACAGCGTTGTTCGTCGTTGATCGGCCTTACCAATGGACTTGGATTTGACGTTGAATTTGTTCGCCAGTTCGTGTATCATTTTTCGGCCATGTGTGTCCATTGGCGGGAAGGACATGCTGTAGAAAGTGTTAGTCTATGGTACTGCGAATGGGGACGGCAATGGGTTGATTGGAAAGTGTTGATGATTGCCACATACTTCTGGTCGGCTCCGCGAAGGAAGTCTTTGATCTCTTCTGCCACTTGCTCCAGCTTCATGCCATCAGGATATTTGACTCTTGGATCATTTGGCGTGCCAGCGTTTTTTCCTAGCATTCCTAATTCACGAAGCTCTTCGCGTCGCTTCTTTCTCTCGGATTTCTTGAAACGATCATTTTTCCAGGCGGCCTGCAAGGTTTGCTCCAACTCATCGTCGGATACATCAAAGGTGGGCTGAGACTGCGCAGCCTTCTTGTTCCTCTTCTTTCTCAGACTGGGCCGCTCCCAATCCATGACATCGAAATCGTCGATATCAAATTGATTTTGTGGGGCCTTTTTATCATCAGTCGAGTCGGAAGAGCTGAAGTCGAACTCTTCTGGCCACGCTTGATTGGCGTTGTCACTCAAATCCTGGCCAGCGATAAGTTTGGCCAGTATCTCGTCATCAGCATCGCTCTGCGAAGAATATTGGTCATTGACAGAACGGAGTTTGGCACTGCTGGCTTTGGCGATCGCATTGTCGCGTGTATGGCTCCCCGGGCTATCCAGCTTTGTGCCGGCAGATAGTACATTTTCGGGTGTCGCTTCCCGAAGCATATCTTCTTCATCTTGCGAACCTCCAAGGTCCCTCATATTTCGAGAATCAGGAGACATAAGCTGCTCAATTTCCCCGTTCTCTTGCATATTCGCAATGTAATCTGCAAGGAAAGCATCGTCATCATCCCTCTTCTGATAACGCTTTCGTCCTTTCTCTCTAGGTGGAGTGTGCTTGGGTCGATTCTTAGTTGTATCCTGACCGCCATCGTTCGCAATCTTCTTCGGGAGATACTCAGCTACCACTTGAATATCTGTTGCCATGACTGTCCATTTTTGTTGAGGCTTTTCTTTGTCAGAGACCTGAGTTGCTGCATCGCGGCCTTTGAAGAGAATTACTTCCTCATCGCTGGAGCTGTTTCCCAGGTTTGTGTCCCGTGGAAGCTGGACGTTTTCTCCCGTTGGTGCCATTGACGGCGGCAGAGCCTCACGCCCCAAGTCGAAATAAAATAAGCCATCCGGAGCATTGCCATGGTTTATTTTTTGACTCTCTTCCTTCTTGGCGTTCATGACATGTTCGTATGCCGTCTTGATTTGTGCATTGAGTGGCATGGCGTCTGCATCCATTCCGGAGACATTTTGAAGTGACTCATCCTCAACCTCAGGCTGTGACGGTCCTGCTTCATTGAGATCGTCCGTGGGTAAGACATCATCGCTTCGCCGCTTCGAGGATAATTCACTCTTAGCTTCACGCTGTGATGGCTTGGCTTCATTGACATCGTCCGTCTGCAGTATGCCATCCTCAAGCTCCTTCAGAGGTTCGCTCGCGCCAGCACTGACAAATGTTACTGGTTTATTTCGCAAATTGCTGCTAGAGTCCCAATGGTTGTTTTGTGACGTGTTTCTAGCCTCATCAGCTAAACTGAATGCTCCTGTAAAACAACAATAATATGTTAGCACTGGTCATGATATGATGAACATGTCAATCGACGAGGCGGGAAAAAGATCATTCACCGTTGTTGTTGGTGAGAAATGTAACTTCTCTACCAGAAGTAGCTTTGAGCCGGCCACCTCTCTGCTGGCCTCGTCCTCGCCCACGTTTCCCACCTCGGGGAGTGGACGAGCCTCTTTTACTTCCCCGTTCCATAATACTGAGGAAAAATGGGCATAATGGTGTCGAGGTTTTCGTGCAAGAAAATTTCCGTCTCAAGTCGTAGATTGTTGTTGTAATGTTGTGAGTGTGGCTACCCCGACCCTCTTTGGCTGGGCCTTCTCAGTCTGTGAATGGGCAAGTATAATACTCAGGCGCACATTCCGTGCTTCTTATTGCCTCGCAGCTTATATCGATGGTTGGAGGTTGGAGGTTGGAGGCTGGAGACCGCATGAGCTCTCTCCAGTGTTTGTTGATAGAAGGTAGTACTAGTAGTGATGTCAAGGTTAAAAATGCCACCCGATATTTGCGGTAGCTCGTAAGCAGGCTTATCGATAAACTCTAGAGTACTTCTAAGCACCGAAGGTACAAAGGTACAGGTGGCGGGAAAAGAGGCGGGGTTCTTCCTCAATGGCCAGCCCCAAACTTACGTCAGGATTGGACGTCATGAGCCAGCTCCCGCGTCTCCAGGTCACCAGAGCAGTCGGATCACAAACCCTAAGCGACCGCTCTTACCACATCGCATCTCTGTCTTGATCATACAAGGGCAGATGATATTTTCTGGTGATTTCCAACGTATTTAACAGCGTGGTCTGCACGGTCTTTACCCCACTCCTTTCCCTCATGAGCTGGGCCCATACTGGAGCTAGCAATTAGTTGGCATAGACCCGTCTGGTAAGTCTACATACCTTGAGCAGGGTCTGATTGAATACAGAAGGTGATTTATAGATGAAACATGAAGACTCCATGAGGCTTATAAAAATAGAAGTCGTGATACGCATCAACCATACCGGTTGCGACACACCTTTGACCGCTCGGCCGTTTGATTTCGCCTGATACAACACAGCGACAGGAGTTCCAGGCTTCTTGAAGATACTTCAGTCGGTACAGGAAGGTCCGTGGTTGCTGAGTGCAAAGCTGAAATCTCTGACAGCGATGGAGAATACGTTGGCCAGTGTCGATCTTGGACGGTATCGCCGAATCGTACAGATGTTTTGGGATCCTGAGCCGATAAACGATCCCGCTACCGATCAGCCAGTATGGTGCCTGGGATGCTCATACCGTCTTGTAGATAGCAAGACTCTGAGGAATGAGTCTGTGAAAAAGGCTCCGCGCTCAAAGGAGGAGGAACAACAGGACACAACGACCGATCCGCTATCGGAAGATGCAGCTGCGCCTCAGCCAACTTCATATGGAACACAATCAGAGTCCACTCCTAGCAGCTTTTCTTCTTCCCTTGCGTATGGCGAAGCAGTTCAGGACGGTGGCTGGCCGCAAGGATTCATCGATGACTTTGAAGCCAGATTTTGGATGACATACAGGTCGGACTTCCAAACGATACCGCGGTCAAAAGATCCGAAAGCACCCTCTGCTATGTCGTTGTCCATGCGCATAAAATCACAACTCGGTGACCAGACCGGATTCTCGTCCGATAGTGGTTGGGGCTGCATGATACGGTCTGGGCAAAGCCTCCTAGCTAACGCTATAGCCCTTCAACGTTTTGGACGAGGTACGAATTCATCGAAACTTGGTCTGTGAGACTTCCGAGGGTTGGCTAACATGTTCAAAGATTGGCGCCGCGGCGCTCTGCCCCAAGAGGAACGCAAATTGATTCGTCTTTTCGCCGATGACCCGAGGGCACCCTATTCCATCCACAACTTTGTACGCCACGGTGCTGAAGCGTGTGGGAAATATCCGGGAGAATGGTTTGGCCCTTCTGCTACAGCACGTTGCATCCAGTACGTATAACTATAAGTCGGCCATTTCTACAAATATTCTTACACAGATCGATAGGGCCCTTGCCAACCCCAACGAACCGTACCTCAAAGTATATGCCACAAGCGACGGCCATGACGTTTACGAAGACAGTTTTATGAAGATTGCCAGGCCTGATGGCAAAACATTTACACCGACACTACTTCTCGTGGGTACACGCCTGGGCATAGATAAGGTCACACCTGTATACTGGGAGGCACTCATCGCCGCGCTTCAGATGCCTCAGTCTGTAGGCATTGCCGGGTAAGCTTGTGCTCAAGTGGAAGAAGGGAAGAGCGAGAGGCTGGTGCTAACCCAAATTCATAGGGGTCGACCCTCTTCTGCACATTATTTTGCAGGTAGTCAGGGGTCTTATCTTTTCTACTTAGATCCGCATCATACCCGGAAGGCTCTGCCTTACCACGAGGATCCCGCTTCATACACGCAAGATGAAGTGGATTCATGCCATACCACACGTCTGCGACGCGTTCATGTTCGGGAAATGGACCCGAGCATGCTTATTGGTTTCCTCATCCGCTCCGAGGATGATTGGTCGATTTGGAGACGCTGTGTGAACCATGTGCAAGGAAAGGCCATCATACATGTTACAGACCGTGACCCGGCGCCTCAGGGAAGTGATGGGGCCGAAGGTAGACATGGTGCTATCGACGAAGTCGAGACTTGGAGCGATGACGATGACGAGAACCTTATTGTCAGCGAATAGGATTTTCGTTTATCGGTTTGATGTTTAAGTAATGGGGATCTTAGCAGTACAGAGCTTGGCTGAGAACCTGAAAGTCCTTCTTGTAACGTGATTATCCAAATGCAGGCGTCAAAATGATTTTTTTTTTGAGACAGTCAAGGGCCATAGGTTTTTATATTGGCAATACATGTTATTTTCTCTTGGATTTTGCGACAGGTGCCGCGTGGCCTTCTTGCTTTATATGCAAGAACAGCTTGGAACGAGACGTGAATCCCTCGTGGCAAACGCCGCAACGATTCTTTCAAACGTTTCGAGTTAATATGGACATGAATATTGATGATTGAGGGGTTGTGTGGGAGGATCTTTCTAGCCCCGGAAATACTCACCATTGTATCCGCGCCTTTTTGTGCAGCCTTGGAAGCCTTCTTCTCCCGTTTGGCCTTTGCCTTTCCAATTCTTTTCGGGGCAGTGGTGTCATCTATGGTGACATTTTCTGTTGCTGCCGCTAAATCATCATGAGCATTGTCGTCCCCTCCGTCGGAGGAGAGCTCCTTCAGTACCAAGCGGCTCTGGACTATGCTGCGAGGTGCATACTCGTCGTCTTCCGATGAATGATCTGCGTCTTCGCCTGGATCCGGCAATGTCTCCTTGTCTTCAATATTGGACGGGCTCTCCCCTGTATGCCCATCTTTGCTGTCTTCCGGGGTCAGATCTGGCGAAACACCCTCATCCTCGCCCTTCTCTTCTTTCTCGTCTGTGCTGACTTTAGGTCCTTGGTGCTCACTCCTTCCGGTATCTAGATTCAATTCTGCGCCTTCTTTTCTCATCTTCCATTGAAGCTGCTGTACTGCTTTCTTGTGCTTTTTGCTCTTCTCGTGAACTTGTAGCTGTTTCTCGCTCTTGAAGGATTTGTCGCAGACGACACATTCAAGAATCTCCATCTCCTCCTCTTCCTTATCGGCATGCTCCTCGTCGGACTGGAAGTAGACTTCCCCAGCATCGCTCCCCTGGGATTGCGCCCACGTCGGTACCTCGTAGGTCGCAAGCTTCTCTCGATTTGCGGCTCGAGCCTTTGCCGCCTGCGACGCCGCGGCAAAACGCATGGTCTTTTGACGTTCCTCGTGTGTCTGAGTGTTGGGAAGGTAGCGGGGGTCCCTCTTCCGCACAAAAGTCACGAGGAAGCGCACGGCATCGTTGAAGTCGCGAATGGCGTCCTCTCGAGTCTTTTTGTTATCTTTTTCCATCAGGCGGCGAACCCGACGGTCTGGAGCATCCGATAGCCGGTACTTATCCTTCCATGAGAATGTCTTTCGGGTGGAAAATCCGGCCCAAACATTGTAAAATGGCTTCACGACTGAATCGTAATCGTCGTTAGACGAACCAAAAGTTGGATAGTTTGGGAGGTCACGGTCGTTCATGTCGGCTGCAGCCTCCTCCTCTAGAACCAAGTGCTCAAAGGTTTCCCTCGCAATGCCATAGAATCCCGAGGGGTCATCAGTGAATGGTATTGTCGGGTTGAATCTCCTCATGAGATTGTGGATCTCTTCGGTGGATGTGAGGCGGACATTGCGAAAGGTAGCGGGCTGATCATCCTGGTCGAGCCCGTCTCCTCCCTGGAGTATAGACTCGCGATGTGAATCATACCATGCTCTTTCCTGAGGGTCAGACAAGACCTCATAGGCGGTTTGGACTTCTGCAAATCTTTGCGTAGCGATGGCTACGTTGTCTATGTTGCGGTCCGGGTGTAACTCGAGAGCTTTCCTGCGGTACGCCTTTTTTATTCTTGGTTGTGTCAGTATATAATATACCTTATTGTCACATAATATATCCTAATTTTAGTTGCCATTTTTGAGGTTACATCTCCCACACGGAACGTAAACGACAAGGGCACTTACTCCTCATCTGATGCTTGTCTGTCTACGGCGAGCAGTTCATAGTAGCACGTCCGGGAGAGTGACGGGTTGCTGGCCTCCTCCTGCCCGGTGGAAGATGACTGCTGTGCACCCATCGTGGCCAGGTCCTCGATTCCGTCAGATTAAGCCTTTCTCTGGTGATGTGATAAGACAGTTTGGGGATCGCCGAAGAGAGGAGCTGATGGGATGAGAGTATGCCTGAACGGTGCCTGGACGATGCTAGTCCGTATCTCTGAGTTCTGTGCTAATCAAACCCAGTGGAAGTTCCATACATGCGCCTGGCTGAGATTTGACCGTAGCAAAGTATTGCATTCCGAGGTCTTGCATGCGACGATGCGGGACTCTTTTGTATGTTTTTGTTTTTTTCAGGCCAAAGCCAAAACCACTAAGATTTTATCTTACCCTATGTTCGCTCATGTCGTTTTTTAGGTTTGAAGTATGCGCATCAACGTTGGTACTTTCTACTTACATATACCAATTTGAGAACAAGAAGCCGTTCCCTTTCTTTTGCATTTTTAGTCCTTGGAAATTAATGCAGAATGTTCCAAAATGAAAAATAAAAATGTTCTGATCGTTTACTATTGTTTGCTTTACTCTCAAGGCTAACGGTGAGCGATGAGTTCATTGGTGGATGCGGTGGCAAGAACCTAAAAAGTCGTGTTGGTTAAAGGGGTACGCCTTGTAATACTCATAATCATTGGCAGTTGGTATTGAATAATGAAATTCGTACACGGAGAAAATATATTTCCAAATCACTCGAGTTCTAGTGTGCATGTTGTCGGAGTATACTGACTCGATGTAGAGAGAATATCCATTCAAGAGGTTCTTATAAGGAGGCGGTTACAATGGTGGCCGTCTCCGACAACGGAGCCAATAGGGGACGACCCGGAGCAATAGGCGAGGCAAGGGCAGGGCGCGACAGCATGTGGCATGCACTTCTCCAGACGTAGGAAAAAAGGGGATGGACACGAGTAAAGAGCAATGAAACACAAGAAAACACTACAAGAACGGAGTGTGACGTCTACGGCCTTCCTCGTCTTCCCATTGCTGAACAGCGACAAAGTATGTGTACCAGAATTAGTAATATATGTAGTTTTGTTCACAGACCAGAGTGGCAAAGGCCTAGAAGCAGCTACCCCCCCTTCTCTGTCAACGGGCGAGGACTGGATTATGGGTCACGGAACCCGAAATATGGATCGGAACCAGTTGCCGATAAAAATGTAGTATTAGAGGGGCAAGCCAAAATTCCAAAGTCTAATATTTCCCCTGCGCTTCTGCCGTGCGGCATAATATTACTTATTACCTGTAGTACTTGCCTGTGTTGTACGTACGAGCATCACGACTCGACTCGCTTTCCTCTTGCTGCTTGAAAACAGTTCCCATACTCGCCTTTTGCTGGCTTTCATCCTACCAACAAGGATGAATAGCGCCACCGGTTCCATCCCTCGTCACCCTCGTCGCAGACCTGCCAACGAACTACAAGTGTATCTTTTCGTTCGATCATGATTGTCTAGGCCGCCCACCCTCGTTTTCGAACATATGTTGTCCTTTTAAGAAAGGCAGAAGAGAGATTTGGCCTGTTTCTGCACAATGAAGTTCGCCAGGGACTTCAAGGAAACACTTGCGAGCCAGGGTAGGTTCCGTCCCAGCTGCCATGAGCGAATGTCGCACATGTACCCCACTGTTGACGCGACCATCTGAGACCCCACGCTGACAATCTCTCCGTGATCAACAGGCTTCCCGTCTCACTGGGTTGAGAATGCCATTCCGTATGGTCAGTTGAAGAAGTGCTTGAAAAAGGTGCAGAGAGAGCTTCAAGATCTGGGGCTCGATCCCGACACCCTGAAGGCCCTCTCGGACCCCAAAAACACCTCGCCGGTTGCGCTCAAGTACCGTCTCCAGACGTCGAGTGATTCGAACCTCGTCCGCCCGACCCTCACCGTCGATGTACATTTTAGAGATGGTATTGCTGTCGACGCATCTCTGACGCAAAGCACGCGGCGCTTTCTCGAGAAAATTGCATCGGAGCTTCCTGTGAGCCGACAATCATCCGCGCCCACCAGCCCGACCGAGGAGAAAAATGAGAGCCTGGATGCCACCATGGTTGACGGCTCTGCTCAGTTCAACGTGGAAGAAGCCAACGCGCTGAAACGACCGGGCTGTGAGACCATAGAGGTGCCGCTTGTTTTTGACAATCAGTTTTTCGAAATGTTGCAGAGCGATGTCAACAATATCGAGGCACTCCAGGCCAGTGAAGAGGCCAACATGACTGACGAGATTGTCCATATCCGAGATCAAGTATCCGTTCTAGCGAAGCCGCGCAAGTTCTCCAAGACCGATCTTGCCCGGTGGAGAAACATCTTCGAACTCTATCTCGATGCCGAAGTCTTCTTCTCGACCCACGAGCGGAATTGTGGTGTTCGATCAAGCTCTGCAGCTCTCGAGAAACTTAGCTGGTTCCAAAATGAAGTAAAGAAGCGCAACCTCGCCCAGAGCTTCAAGTTGCCCCAGAGCCATGCTGCATTTGACCGATTCCTTAGGTTGAATCTTAGTCTGCTCAAGAACCTCCAGTTCCAGGAATTGAATCAGACGGCAGTCATGAAGATCCTTAAGAGTAAGGTTTCCCCTAAAGAAAGGTCTGCCGACATTGCGTAATCAGAATGGATCAAATTAACGCTTGGTGTGCTTTGCCAACAGAATTCGACAAGAGGACTGCGCTCGGAATCTCCAAGTCGTTCCGCACGGCCGTACAGCCACACAAGCTCTTGGCCGGTAGCATGGCCAAAGGCGTGTGCTCGCAGTTATCCCAAGAGCTGGTATCCATTGTGCCCCAGATAAATGACTACCTCTGTCCTGTCTGCTTCGCCATCGCTTATCAGCCCGTGCGGTTAGATTGCGAACACCTGTTTTGCATCAGTTGCGTTATCAATCTGCAGCGTCACAAGGACAACCACTGTCCGCTGTGTAGAGCCTCCGTCGTGGCGAACGCTTCGTCTGGTGAGTGACCAACCCTACCCATTTCTGTCTTCAATATCCATATATTTCTCTTTCATCTCTATGTACGGAACTGATACATTCGCTAGGTAATATCGATACCGGGGTCGCGGCCTTTATGAGAAAATATTTTGCCAAGGAAGTCAAAGAAAAGGAACGAGCCAACGATATCGAGAGGGGAATCGAGGATTTCGGCCCTGGATATACACCCAAGGAGTGCATTGTAATGTGAGAGGGAGGAAGGCACAGACGATTAAACGGATTTCGCATGATATCGTGTATAACGAGCAACGAGAAGACACATGGCGCCCAAGCGACAACATTTGAGATACCCTTGACATATGTTTGCACTTTTCCCATCACTCATATTATCACCGAACGATTAGCATGACATGAATAATGAACCGTTTATCCATTTATCTATTGTAAAAAACTTCTCGTCTTGAAAAGCGGGACCTACATGCGTATATGGAGAACACTACTGAGCAGTAGTAGAGCCTTGGCCGTTTACTGGCTTTGCATTCTCAGCGGCCTTGAGAGCCGTCCAGAAGACACTTTGTAGTCCGGAAGTCTCCTCGAGGCCGACACTCAGGCGAACCAATGAAGACTCTACACCGAAACTGGCCGCCCACTCAAGTTCGCAGTAGTGTGCCAGGATAACATACGGGGAGCCCAGGGTGAAGTTTGTCCCTAGACTGGGACCCTTGGCTACATCGAGGGCATCGTAGAATGCGGGAGCACGCTCGGGTTCGTGGAAGACGACGGAGATGAGACCACCGTAGCCCGCGCCGGGTACGCGGAAGGAGTCATATATGGGACGTGAGGGGTTGTACTTGGGATAGAAGAGCGATTTGACGAGGGGGTGGGTGCGGAGAATGTCGCATATGGCTTCTGCGTTGGCGTTGACGCGGTCGACGCGCGACTTGAAGTCACGGCTGTTACGCTCCAGGACAATGGCATCCTCGGGCCAGTACGTGTCTTCGACCTCGGTAGCCATGAACCTCTTCAGAGAGTCGTAGTATCGACTGTTGGGGTTCAGGATGGCGCTGCCCCCCATGACGTTGGAGTCTCCCGAGAAGATTTTGGTCAGGCTGCTTACGACAATGTCGGCGACGGGGAGGACATTGATGTTGGCAAAGGTGCCGATTGTCTCGTCGACAACGACGGCAAAGTCGAATTCATCGGCGAGCTTTCGAATCCGCTGCAGGTTGGGACACTTGAGAAGCGGGTTCCCGGGGAACTCGCAGAACAGAGCGAGGAACCGCTCGCCACCCTTCAACGTCTTCTCCAGCTCGTCCAGGTCTTCGTCTTCTCCACCACCGAGGAATAGACAGCCCGGTCCAAACTTCTGGAGGATTTTGAGCGTGTCCACGTAGGGGAAACCGAAGTTGATGCTCTTCTTGGCCCCTCTGGCCGCTAGAAGGACCCTGTGAGAGTTAAATATGGCATTCATTCCCGTGGGGAAGAGGTAGACGTCATCTTCGCGGAGGTTGCTGAAGCCGCGCGTGTTGGTAGCCATGTCCGCGGCCTTATGGTCATCATCCGAGTCGACGTCGCTCACAATGGTACCAGCGATGCGCCTGCGGATTGCTGACTTGGCCCTCGAAGCAAGAGAAAGATCCAGGTTCCTGCCGAATCGCTCCTCAAGGAACTGCTTGCTCTCCCGGGACTCGTCAACCACAGTTGGCTTACCGGGCGGGGACGCTGGGGTGCTGGGCTTCGGTGTAGAGGTGGTTCCGTCAATCGATCCGCCCCTTTGGTAGCGCTTGGGGCCCCTGAAAGGCCTCGATGTAGTCCCTGGGGACGTCTCTGGCGAACAGGGCCGGACAACCAAGATGCCGTCGCGGAAAAGGTCATGGCAGAATTCGGCACGTCTGCTAGAGACTCCGTCTCCGCTGTGCTGCCAGTACTGCTTAGCAAGCGGCTGGCAGCTCTCGGGGTAGATGACAGCTGAGATGGTCGGTGCCAGCTGCGATAGCATGAGGGACAATTTGCGGGAAGAGTCCAGGGCCAGGTTCACGACTGAGAGAAACGACAGGATGTCGGGCGGCGCACGTTCGCGGATGAATTCCAGACACCGTCCGGCCGACCGTACAGACGGAAAAAGCATGGCATTCTGGCCTGCAAGACCATGACGTGCTGCAATATCGGCGGCAAATGCCTGTATAGATTTGTGGATGAAGAACCTTGCGACGCAATGCGTAAGCCTCACGTACAACCTGGCAGAAGGATGGGAGCGACAGAAATTAGGAACCGTAGAATTTCGAAGACTTACCGAGGGTATCCCGTCACCATGCGGCTGGTAACCCATTCCTGACCTTCTTCGTAGCCAATGTTGGATTGCCAAGTAGGAAGGGATACACTGACAGCCTAAGAGCCACCACGACGGGTCTCTGTCAGCACCGGGCGACGCGAGATCGACCGCTGTAACTTCATAGGGGAACTCACATGGGCTGTATCAAGGGGGATAGACTCTCCCACCTCGAAGCTAGGCATGGCGTATGCGGGTTTCCTTGAAAGGGGGGGGGGGGGGGCGTATGAAGTGACTGTTGTGAAAATCTCTCCCACACGATGCGAGATGACGAGGAGAATCTGGTACTGAGGGAACTAGACGTTAATTGCTGATCCATAGACATACCTTTCTACCTGGTGGTATAAATGGACGCTCTTACAGTATGTGATGTGGTATGGGCCGACCTTTTAATTTTTTTCTCACACTTGGTTCCCGTTGTGAGCGTTATGAAATTGGAGCCGACAATCGGAGTGTGTGTTGATGGTGGGGGGGGGGCAACCAAGCGCACCAGAAGTTGAAGAGCCTATTACCAAACATGATGGTCCCTCTTTAGGTCCCCGCAAGAAAGTGAGTCAAACACACGCCTAAGTGGAGGCTTTGATTGGCAAGTTTAGTACCTTCGTTGTATAGACTTGGGAGACGGATACTGTTCCATATATGTCGGTGATATTATTCTTTTATAGTATAATTACGATGACTGTGGCATTGCTATATCAGCAAACAACATAATAACGCTGCTCTGATCCTCCTTCTACCCCATTCTATGCATCACCACGAACGTAGTCCGACAAGAAATTTCCGTGCACAAGAGCCGGTTATATATGGTGGCTGTCCCGAAATGCGGTGCCTATTGTAAGATGATCCATATAAAACATGCAGTATTATCGCGTTGATATTGAAACAATGATGGGTTAACATGTAATGATCTTGGGAGTAATCTTAAGTGGGAAGTCGCCGAAATTATGTTAAAATGACGACTGGAATCTATCTTGGTTATTCAAGAAAAAAAGAGATAAAAAGAAACAGAGACACTTATACATAAACACCCATAGCTGGACAACATGATTGGCCACCCAATGCAAGAAAGGAAATGCAGATTTAATGCCTCTTGCGACTCTGGCGACTGCTCTTCATGCCCACACAGCTGACACTATCATCGGGAGCAAGACTTTCCATGTCGTCGGCCCAGTCGCCTTCATCTTTCCCGATTCCACTATTGGGGAGGGGGACATCCCACGGATCCCAGTTTGCATGGCTGCTACCGACATGGCTTTGGGGGAGGGGAACGTCGTGGGCATCCCAGGGGGCGTGGCTAGTACCTGCCTCGCCGTCGGGAAGGCGCGCACCCTTTACAGTCATCTGGCTGGGAGCTCTGCTGCGAGTATCCTGCGAGTGGGCATAACTGCTTCCCGCCCTGCTCTCTGGGAGGGGCACACCCTTGGCCGCCATGCGGCCAGTCCTGCTGCGGGCGTCCTGCCAGTCTGCGTGGCTGCTAACGTTACGGCTCCGGGAAGGCGGGGGTGCGTCGTAGGAGTCCTCCCAATCTGCGTGGCTGTTGCCGGCATGGCTTCGGGGAATCGGGATGCCTCGAGGGTCCCAGTTTGCGCGACTGTTTCCGGCCACGCTTTCCGGCAAGGGAACACCCTTGGCGGTCATCTTGCTCGAACTTTGGCTGGCATTGTCCCAGTCCGCCACGCTATCAGGCAAGGGGACTCCCCTGGCTGTCCTTCGACTAGCCCTGCTAGAGTTATCATGCCAGTCACTGCCGGCCACGCTCTCGGGTAGGGGAACGCCCTTGGCTGTCATGCGGCTGGAAGCTCTGCTGCTATTGTCATGCCAGTCGCTGCCTGCAACACTCTCGGGTAGGGGAACGCCCTTGGCTGTCATGCGGCTGGAAGCCCGGCTGGCGTTGTCGTTCCAGTCGCTGCCCGCAACACTCTCGGGTAAGGGAACGCCCTTGGCTGTCATGCGGCTAGAAGCACGGCTCATGTTGTCGTTCCAGTCACTGCCGGCCACGCTCTCCGGTAGAGGGACGCCCTTAGCAGTCAGACGGCTGGAAGCACGGCTCATGTTGTCGTCCCAGTCACTGCTAACTACGCTTTCGGGCAGAGGGACGCCCTTTGCTGTCATACGACTGGAAGCCCTGCTCGTGCTATCGCTCCAGTCACTCCCGGCGACACTCTCCGGAAGAGGGACGCCCCTGGCGGTCATACGACTGGAAGCCCTGCTCGTGCTGTCGCTCCAGTCACTCCCGGCGACACTCTCCGGAAGGGGGACGCCCCTGGCGGTCCTGCGACTGGAAGCCCTGCTGGCATTGTCGTTCCAGCCTGCGTGGCTGGTTCCCGCGACACTGTCCGGCAGCGGAACCCCCCTGGCAGTCATTTGACTTGAAGCCATGCTGCTGGAATCATCATCCCAGTCTGCCATGCTGCTTCCAGCCACACTGTCCGGCAGGGGGACTCTCCTTGCGGTTGAAGCTCTGCTTTGGGAATCGCGCGAGCGGCCCCGCTGGTTGGCAGGACTTGAGTAACTCGGCGCCCGGCTCCGGGAACGAGCCCTGGGCTGCTCTTGGTACTGTTGGGAATCCCTTTCTTGGCGTGTGGAAGACGAAGAACGCGCAGTTGACGACGAACGGCGGCTCCTAGTGGAGGAGTAGGATTCAGCATTCTGGTTGGACCGGTGAGACTTTGAGAGAGGAGGCCTGGATACTGTTGACTCGACGGTTGCCTTGGGCGCAGTGCGACGGGATGTTCCATAGCTTCGACGGTCCCAGTCGTCGGGAGCTCGGTCGCGAGTCTCGCTCCGGGAACGTACGCTAGCTGAGCGACTGACACCCCGGGATGACTTGCGGCTGCGCATGTCGGGCTCCTCTACAGTTCGAGGCATAGGAGGCATAGGCATGGACCGCGCAGGGTCACGACCCCGGACGGGGAGCGACCGAGGCTCGAATTGAGCTGCAGGCATGGAGTCCACGCCATACTCAACATCGTCGTCCTCCTGACCGTAGGGCTCCCGCATAGCCAAGCTGTGCAGGTGGGGCTGGGGAATCCTTCGTGGGGTTTCGTATTCTCTGGACCTGAGGTAGTGTTTCTCGTATCGATTCGGGTAGTACTGGCCGGCCACTGGCTTCTCCGTGAATGTCGCTCTTCTGGTCAGGCCCGAGCGGTGCTGCACTTCCTCATGTTTTTCGGGCTCCTCCTCCTTAGAACCAGATATAAGACCATATGTGACTGCAGCTCCGGCAGCGGCACCGAGGAGAGCTCCGACGACAGTCTGGGTGTTGAGACCAGTCGTACGGGAACTCTCCCTCGGATTTGCTAGTGAATCAGAGTCCTGGGAAGTGGCTGAAGTCATGACGGGACCGGTGGTTGAGGAGGGAGTCGAGGTAGAGCTCAAGGATTGAAAATGTGTCATTGGAAAGAATCCTCTGGGAATAAAGGGGCTGTCAACGGCCACAAATTTTGCTAGAGGGTTTTCTTGAATGTCGAAGTCCCATCCGAGAACAGAAGCCTTGCCTCTATTCCGTCGCGATGAAGATCCGTGATATTTGACTTCAAGCCTGTTGCCGACGTGGTCGTATATAAAGGCTTGGGTTACGGGCACACCGTCTTCGTTGGTAGTCCAGGGTCCTTCGAGAGCCTGTTGCCGGTCGTTATAAACTCGCTCAAGACCTCTGTTGTCTCGAAAGGGCGACCAGGTGGGGGGATCTGCTTTCAACCAGCAGCGGTAAAAGGCGGTAACAGATGCTCTTGTCGGAGCCGAGAGAGTGAGGGACGATACTCTCGGGGATTTAAGAGGATTCTCGGACTGTCGAACCTCTAGGAGTATTTCAAACTGGCTCAGACCGTAAGCAACGGAAGCCTGCAGCTCCTTGTCTCTGGTAGGGGTCGGTGATATACAGTATATACCGAGGGGTTGAAGAACGGCAGAGTAGAAAGAGCTCGAGGATGGCAGGTGCGAGACCTCGACAAATGGAACCATGCCTCCTTATAGATGCGTAGCAAGGACAAGGGCTTGAATTGGGGGGATGTTGGGAGGCGGTCGGGGATGTAAGGGATTCTGTGGGCCGGGGGGGTCAAAGTTGCTTGCTAGCTGCAGAGTTGGTCGTGGGAGGAGGCGAAAGTGAGGGCGCGTGAAGTGGCAGCAGCGCTTACCGCCCTCCGAAGGCCTGATGTGTCAGGTGGATGTGACTGTGGGCCACATGAAGCCCAGACAGAAAGGCGTCTTGCAACGAAAAGCCCAGGAAGGGTGAGTCTAGCTTTACTCGTAAAAGTAGGCAGTGGTGTTGACTGGCGTTGGCAAGTTGAATGTGAGGGATTGTTGTTGTTGTACCGAAAGGAGAGGTTGAAGGCCAGACACATAATATGCGGCGTAACAGCGGCGGTGCCGGCATTGACCTACGAGGGGGGCAAGGCGGGGGAGAAGAGGAGAGGGGGGGTGTCTGTCATCCAAAGTCCAACAAGAGGTATTGATTATTTTGTTCCAGAGCTGCAGACCAAAAAGACTCGATCCATCGTGCCTCACCTTCTTGGGCCGTGTGCCCACCCCCGAGTGGCTCTCGGGCGCATCTGTGCTATGCACGTCCGTCCTGGTGGGTATGTAGTCCGACCTTGCGACACGGCCACCACACAAGGAACGTCGTCGGCTGCGAGACTGGATCAGTCAGCTCCATTCTACTTGGTAGACGCTCGCTGGCGGCATCGAGCTGCTCTGCCTGCCTGCCTGCCTGCCTGCGGCGTGCTATGCGTGCGTGTCTGCTACCCTTCTCTCCCTAGTCGCCTGTGAGATGGTCCAGTAATACTGTGTATGAGTAAAGAACATACTTGAACACCATAGACAGGCCAGTGAGTGAACACTGTGTGTGTGGCTTTTGACAGGCATCTTCACCGCGGCTGGACATGCATCCATCTGCGTTGTCGTCCGCTACACTGAGTCAACATTAACAAAGGAGCTGACCCACTCAAAAGGTCCCACCTTGTTCACAGTGAGAGATGGACAAGTTCTGGAGGTGAGAGTGACGTGGGAGCGACATGCATACACTACTGTTGATTGAGCGAATCTTGGGCAGCATTTCTTGGCCGTTGTTACAGCGAGCTGCCACGTCGAGGAGCACACCCCACTCCCATATTGGGCATCCAGCAGTAATACGGAATATTACAGAGTACGAGCACATTGTACGGAGTAGGAATAGTAGGGCCACGAAGTACTACTTGTAGCCCTTCTCAGGTAGAAGAGGGCCCATGTGCTCGTACATACGGAGACTCCGTATATCGCAGGGACGAGGATGTTTGAAAAAAAAAAGAGCAAAGATGTGGAACGAGGGCACGACGAGTAATAATACTGTGCCTGTGTACGAATATGCAAGTACGCCGTACATTATCGTACTCCCCGGACAGCAAAGTACGATGAAAGCTCCACTGTCAATTAATAACAGGCACATTGCAGCCCAAGCAACCTGTCGACTGCTCATCGGCTTAATGTTCATTAGTCGTACAGTATTGCTACTGAAAAATCTGTTGGCATCCTGGGACATTGAGTAATACGACCTGATGGGAACTTGGGAAGCATGTGCCTCTTTGTTGAGATGTTTGGCATTCAACGGTCATAAATTGATTCCAATGGAAAGAGAGAAATGTCATTATATATAAAAACATATTGAAAACAAACACAATGGACAACCAATCCATAAAGTCGTTGATTCTATTACAATTCCGGCCGATGTCGACCGCCTCAATCGTTAGGGTTTTGAGGTGACCCTTGCAGTACTCGTATATAGAGGGAGAGGGCCAAGACCCTAAATATGCCCTGTCTGGCATATTCTCTATTACCATATCGTCTTCCTCCCCTTGGTACCGTCTGATACCAGGGACGGGTCAAGCAATTGGAAAACCTGACCCGAATGAAAAAAAAACGTCGTAAATGCAATTTATATACATATCCCCCCCGTCTTTGACAGGGTACTTGATGGGAGAAAGGCCGTGAGTCAAGTTTTGAAGTGACTCGTCGAGAGCGACTTGAAGAAGAAGGAAAAAGAAGTCAAAACTCTCGAGGATCCGATGTTGAACGCCTCCAGGTTTTGGTTGTAAAAACAAGCGACAGCGTAAACTTTGATAAGATCCCGGCCTTTTCCGGCTGCCACCCCAAGCAACGATGTTGTATCGAAGGCCAGAGAGGCAGACCGAGGTTCTAGAGATAGGAACCACATACCCAAGGCCTACTGCACCCCTTCGCGCCTTGCTCCAATCAAAATTCGTTACATTGGCCAGCCAGCGAAGGGGCTATACCGTGCATGTAACTCACCTAGCACATCACAGGACGTCCCAGACGTCCTCGACGGCATGGCAAAACTTGCTGCAGGCAACACTAGCCGACAGCGAGTAGTTACTGATGGCAATTTTCTCATCGACGAGAGCATCGGCAAAGGTGTCGTTGCCTTTCGCCATGGCACCGACAAAGACGCAGATACTTTCCTTGGGCTCCAGGGTCTCGATGAAGTCGCGACACTTGACGAGGGGCGCATCGAAACTCAGCGTTACCTTGCGGCAGTTAGGGGGGAGGTGGTCAGTAATGGGGTTCTGGATCACGCGCAGTAGCTTCTCGTTCGAGTTGGTAGACCGGATGGACAGCCTGTGCAGGAGCTGCACCATCAGACCGGCGAAGCGCTTGAACGTTCGCGGAATGCGGACTGAGGGCGACACCTCAATCAGTACGCCCTTTGCTGTGTGAATGTAGATTTGGAGCCTTCCAGCCTTGTTGATGGGAGAGTCGAGCAGCGTCAACAGGCACTATATGTGAGAAACACGCAGAATAGACACAATCAGTTAGCCGGCTGTGCGTTGTATCTCGGCGGACAATGGGGCCAAGAAAGAGGAGTGGAAAAAACCTGATGCGTAATGTCCGGTCGAGCATCGCTGATGTCGCGGTTCATCTTGCGCAGCACGCCGATGTGTTCATCGCTGTTGAGCAGAGAGTACTTATCCTCGCGGTGCATGCCCGAGCGGCTGGAGCCACCGTGGGCAGCCTTGTACGTCTCTAGGCTGGCATTGGACAGCACGACAATCAGGCGCTGCGTGTCCTTGTCTGTCGGAGGGATCGGCATGTTCTGCTCAGCGACAAGCTGAGGTAGAGAGGGAGGAGGGAGCGATTGAGTCCCTATCATCATATAGTCGGTCAGCAAGTGGCAACATATGTGGAGAGGTTCCAGCTGGTGAAGAGGTCCCAATTGACACTTGGTCAACGGTCTTATGGTCGATTTCTCCCCTCAATAGGGTCATGCATGGGAAATATCCTTACTGGGGCGCTTAACACCAGTCGGACACTCGGTGGAAGAAGACATTTCAATTGCTGTTGGTGTTTGAGAATGCGGGGTGGTTTGTTGAATCGACTCGTCCGTCGAGAATTTGCGTGTGAGGCAGTTGGAAAAATAGTAAGAATTGAGAGACGAGATGAGTCCACTGATCAGTGAGAGATAAAGAGGTTGGGAGGGGCTGAATATAATAAGAGTGCAGAAGCGGGGAAAAATTGAGAATATGTAATGTTCGGCGACTTATGAGTCCAGCGAGTTGACGTTGCAGTCGAAAAGCGAAGTGTTTTTTTTTGCTCCTTCCCTCTCTTTTCGCTTCGTCCCTTGTGTGGCATGGGATTGAAGCCCCCGAGAGTGGGGCACAGTGGTTTCTCCCCTGGATGTGATGACATAACAGGGCTTAGCCAATTATTGACTTGTCTGCTTACGCCAACGAAATCGCGTGCCTTGGCTGGCCTCAAATCGGTCTCTTGGAGAAAAAAGCCCAATACCAACTACGAAGCAGTATTAGCTGCAGCATCGAAAAGAGACAAGACACACTCCCTTGACTCCGCACAACAACAGCGGCAGAGGCGGTATTCGATTAGATATCGTTAAGCATGTCTACTCCCGTGGCAAAGGCTGCTCGTCGTGTGACCCACGAGCTCCGTGGTGTCGTGGTGTCGGCAGGTTTGATGGACAAGACGGTTAAGGTCCGCGTTGGTGGACAGAAGTGGAATAAGATTGTTCACAAGGTTTGCCTCTCTACTCCCTCCACATTTTGAGTGTACGAGCCTATTTGTACACAATACTGACTCGATTGTTTCTACTACAGTGGTTTGCCGACCCCAAGCAATACCTCGTCCACGATCCCAACTCCTCCCTGCGATCAGGAGACGTCGTCTCCATCAGGCCTGGATGGCCAACTTCCCAGCACAAGCGCCACGTTGTAAAGCAGATAATCGCGCCTCACGGAGTCCCTATCGACCAGCGACCCCCAGTCCCGACACTCGAGGAGCTCATTGCCGAGAGGGAAGCCAAGAAGATGGCTAAGGATGAGCGCCGGGCTGCCAGGCGACAGGAGCAAGGACCCTCAGCAACTTCTGAATAATGTGCTTGTTCAATGATGAGAAGAAAAGAGCGCTTATGCGGAGGAGGAACATATGTGGTATTGTAAGAATTGTTTGAGCGTTGTACGCTTTTTGTTTGTTTGCAATGGGGTTCTATTTCCAGGGAAGAGAAAAGAACTGGCTGTATTTTATGTACTTTTTTACTCACATCGTCTTCTGCACTGGCTGGTTCTGCAAAGATCTTGCCTACGGCGCATGGTTGCAACGGTGATATATTAGAAATGCAAATATTTTGGTCTCGTAATATCTAATGTGATACTCCCTGCTTGTTTCCTGCGTAATGCTTGTATTCCCTGTGCATACGGTGACTACACAGTAGTATGCTCATTTGCTCTTTGGTCTAGCCTCCCCTTTCGCCAAAGTCTCTAGCCCAATCCTCATACTCCTTCAAGCCAGACTTACTTACGCTGGGACGAATGGACTTGAGGCTCCTCTCAAAGTCTAACAGAGAAATAGGCCTAATGTCGTCCATGGTCATATGTAATAATGCGTCCCCCAACGATCTGAGCGGGCCCATTGCCGCATCCTTTGCCAGTGCCGTGACGTCAGAACCTGAAAAGCCTAGAAAGAAAGAACAGTTAGACCAGGCATGTATCGATACTGAGGTACAACGAAGGATTCAACTCTTACCGTCTGTCAGATCAACGAGCTTCGCTATATCCTTGTTCGACAGGCTGTGCTTTTGCTGTCCTAGCAGGGTTCGTAGTTGGGTCTCACGTGTAGACGGCTCTGGGAGTGGGATGTACTGTCGCCGTACAAAACGTCTGCGCGCCGCTTCGTCGATAGCCCAAGGTAGGTTCGTCGCCGCTAGAACCAATACTCGATTGGCGTCGCCTCTCTCTCTGTCCTTTTCGGTAGTCTCCCTCCCAGCTGCCGCCCTCTGCAAGTCGCTCCATTGGATAAGGAACTCTGTCTTGATTCTCCGTGTTGCTTCATGCTCACCCGAACCTGAACGCTGAGAGAGCAGAGAGTCAATCTCATCCACAAAAATGATACTGGGTGCGAGGATTTTGGCCAGCCCAAAGAGAGCTCGCACAAGCTTCTCTGACTCGCCTAGAAACTTGCTTGTCAGGCTGCTAGCTGAAATGGAAAAGAAGGTAGATCTCGACTCAGTGGCCACTGCCCGGGCAAGCATTGTCTTTCCTGTCCCAGGAGGCCCAAACAGCAGCATACCACGAGCTGGTTCGCGCAAACCCATGAATAAATCGGGGCGGAGGAAGGGGTACACAACCGCCTCTCGAAGTGCAGCCTTGGCGACATCCAAACCAGCAACATCGTCCCAATGAACTTCGTCGCCCTGAACAACAACATCATTCAGAATCTGTTTTGCAGCCGCCTCGTCGACACCAGGGGGGAGACTTTTGATAATAGAATCCTTTCGCTTCTTCCAGGCTGACTCCTCGCTGGGAATTTCCTCTGCTTGAGACTCGTCTGACGTCTCATCACTCATGCTGTTACCAGTGACATTTGCTGACCTTTCCCTTTGGGACGATCGTCGAGGCGACGGGAACCCGTCATCATCAGAGATGTCTGCTTCCTGAATCGGGGTCCTGGGTTCACGGCGGCGGGACCGGTTCGCCGTCTCTGGTACCTTTTTTGAAGGAGATCTCGGGCTCTGAATTGGGGGTCGGGGAAGGTCTTTGGTTTTCAGAAGCCTTTCAGAGACAAGTCTCCTCTCTGGCCTATGCAGGGGCTCGTAGGAACTATCGCCGTCGATTTGAGGACAGCTTCTGGGAAGCTTGCTGGCTGGTACGGTGGCTGGTACTGATCGAGAGCCAGAATTGCGATCCGGGCCACTTGGTGTATGAGGTGTCGAAGGAAAGGGGTCGTGAGATGATGTAAGCGCGCTAGAAGCCGCACTCACCGACAGGTTAGACGGGCGTATGTGCTCGTCAGAGTATCTCGATATGGTAGGGACATCTCCGCTGTTTCCAGCCTCAACATTGTGAGGCGAAACAAGTCTCCGAGAATGGCTGTCCCAGAGAAGTTGAGAGGAAAACCTCCGTGGAGACTCTAAAGAGCTTCGTTGAGCAGCAGCCTGGGAGGCGGCATAATCAGGAGAGGCGACAGTACTCTTCCTTCCTTTCTCACGAGAGTTCAACGTAGACCATGCAAGCGTGGCGGCTTTGCTCGGACCTTCAGAAACTGGCTTGGGGGATTTGCGACTGTTCTTGTGCTTGTCCCCTGAAGTCCCGGACCGCAAAGTGGTTCGCATCGTATATCTTTCGGGGCTCTGCGTGCGCGAAGGACTGTTCTCGTCAGACGGTCGTGCCAGTGAGGGGTGTTTCGAGGTTTGCAATGGAGAAGCCTGAGTTTTCGATTTGGAGTGGTGACTGCTGTTGTAACTGCTGGAAGGAGTAGCTGGTTCAGCAGCTGGGCGAGGAGGAAGAGCTGGGCGATGAGGAAGTGACGGGCGAGAAAGGTCCGAGTAGGAAACAGCAGGAATGGTCCCCTGGCCAATGGAACCTCTCGGATGGCTGCTCAAATTGGATTTGTAGGGATTAGTAGTCTTGGAAAGTTTCCCACTGGCCTTTACGCTTGAACTGTCTTCCATCGATGCCTTGAGTGCTTGGAGCAGGTCTATCCGCTCCTTGCATTGAAGCTCGAGCTGCTTCAGCGCATCGATCAAGGCCTTTTCCGTGTCGGAGCGGGGGGTATACATAGGCAGAACTTTATTTGCATTGTGGTCGTAGATCTGATCGAGGGCGTCTTGCCAATGCCGCATCGCCTCTAACTCGTTTCCCTATATTCACCAAATATCAGTCACCAAGAAGCAAAGCATATGGGGCCGGGTACGAGGCAGAGTTGGTTCAGGAACACGAACCCGGTTGGCATTGCGATTCTGGATTGGGAGGGGGAGGGATACTACTGACCTGGCTTTCATGATAAACAGCCGTGGAACAACTCAGGTAGCTGTCATCGTATGTTTTTTGGAGAAGTGTCAAGGCCTTGTTGCGCGACATATCCCCGACACTGATTTCATAATAGGCTCGCATTCATTGCAGGCCTACCATGGATATGTTTGTTGTTGGGCTGCTGCGCCGTGTCGTATGCGTAATTCGGTCGGTTCAAATCAGCTCCGTTGACGATCGCCCGGAACACCCCTCGCCTATATTGGGGGGGTTTTGTATTATCGGTTCGTATTTCAACAAGATCGTGATGGAGAGGGTTGTGGCGAGAAATCGAAAGTAGTCTGCTTGTATGCAAGGAAGAAAGTTGTTGTCATAACAAAGTGCAGTGGTGGTGGTAAAGTTCAAGAATGCCTGGGGTCGGTGGGATGTAATATTACGTAGGCGGTACTCGGTTGGCTCGCCTACGAAGTACATACCAAAAGCGGGACAAACGTGTGTGAGTACTACCATGTCAATGTCCTAGACTACGGCAACTAGTTCTACAGAACAAGAAAACTCCCTGGGGAGAAAAGTCATAGACATCCTATACTTTGGTATGCTAATGGGTTCAGTATTGTGTATTGGGTGGGAAAACTGTATGTGACTATTCAGTGTTGATCGTCATAGTGTGACGTAATAATAGTAGAAAGACTGCGATCCTGCCAGTGGACTGTTGTTCCCTAAGGGATTTTTGTTTCGTTCGATCATGAGGATCTATTCCGTAACTAGTCCAAAGCTACTTCTACGAATCTCCTCCAAAGCATATATAATAATGTGCATGTCAACTTTGGCTTCATATCCAACGGGCGGGACGTTTATGTCTTAAGTACCAGGTTTCAGACCTACACCGTCCACTACGAACAAGAGACACAACCAGACGTGAGCTACTACGAGCTTATGACGGGCCATAAACGTCGGTTGACATTCTGGCAGTTTGATTTCAGCTTTGGCTGATCTAACTATACGACACTGAACTCTATGATAGTAGCACCCGAATCTCTGCGGTTGTTCGTTGAAACGCTGAGCGTAATTCACCCAGAGTTTCCTCGTCGTCGGTTGAGTCGCCATCAGCCTCGATAATGGCGTCTTCAAGCTTTTCAAAGTCGGCACAGAATAGCTCGGCAGCTTCCTCGGTAATACGATGTGCCAGCCCTGAGTCTTGGAGGTGCCTCAGTGTCTCCATGGCGTCCATCCAAGCCGAAGGCAAGAAGTCATCTAGGCGCTGGCTAGCCTCGGATAGCCTGCTGATCTGTAGTGTGTCCTTTGCTGTATCCTTTCCTTCTGATACAGCCTCAAGTATGGAGTCTAGGCCCGACATATTTCGGAAATACTGATGTTGGATTTCCACCAGCTCCTTTGTTCCTGCGTCCGTCTTGGCCTGTTGTTCGCGGAGCCTCGATTGTGTGAAGTCAAACTTTCCGAGGGACACAGATGCCATGAGGCGGCAGTTGATGAGGAAGATGGTCGCGTCCGGGGTCTTCATAGCACTGGCCATGTTCTCGCATCCGGCAATAAAAGGGTCGAATGCTTCTGCAAGGATGCTCTCAAAGCCAGCCTCACGTTCTTCCACATTGGCTAACGACAGGTCGTACGTTTGCATGTACGCATCCAGCTGCTTGAGAGATTCCTGAAGGAAAGAGGGCGGCCCGAGATCGGAAGGTGTTTGTTGGAACTCTGCTTGCAAAGTTGCAATGTGTTCGCGGACGAGGGCGCGAAACTGTCTCATGGCCTCTGCTTGAAGGGCCTTCATGGACTCTAGGAGATTCGAATCCGGACCGAGGAGTTTTTGGAATGTGACAAGGTAGAATTCAAGGAGATTTGCAAGCTTGTAGGCTGGAACAATCTCCTCGTTGCTCTGTATGACCTGTTCAACTCTCTGGCGCAACACGCGGGAAGCACCCAGGATATCACGGTCGACAAGATTGTTCAATGCCTCGAGGGGATTGAACTCAGCAGGACCACCGTCCTTTTCATCGTCCTCTGCCACGAGTCGCCATAATTCAGCATCGCGACCCGATCGGAGCCCTTTTGCAAGCTCATCACCATCGGAAACAAATAAGGACTCGAGCGCTTCGCGCTCGCTGACTGTTGCCGAATGTATCCAGGCCAGCATGTCTCCCACGTAGCGGAGGGGGTCGTGGGCAGTCAGATCGATAGGCTTCGTTGAAGGGTCTTCCACTCCGGATGACGATTCCCCTGTCAGTGCTGTGTAGAAGGAGTCGGACATGATTCTTTCCCTCGACTCAGCAAACAAGTCTAGACAGTTCTGGAATAGTGACGGTCGCTCAGCAAGGACCCTAAGCGCTCGACGCATGGAAGCGTTCATGTGAGGGTTCTCAAGGTTGAGCGTTTTGAATTCACGCTGTACCCACTTGTACAGCTTTTGGAATCCAAGGTTGATGCTCTTTGAAGTCTGCTCCATCAATTCAAGGCCGAGAGTCTGCTTCTCGAACCCAAGGAGGACTTCGCAATCCTTGTTTATCTTCTTGGCCTTCGCCAGAGCATCGAAGTAACAGTTGTCCACAGGTTCAGCCGTCATTGTTAGGGCAGCCAGCTCATCGTCCGACATGGTAAAGTGGTGTGTAAAAGCCTCGAGCAGCTCTTGCTTTGTCTCAATCTGCTTTCTCTGGCCTAAGAGCGAGTTGGCCTCGACCAGAGCGGGTTCCGTATCTGAGTGTGCGGAAACAATTTGTTTCCTCATATCGTTATAGCTCGCGTTCAATTTATCCACGGTCGCTTTTATTTTGTGTAGTTGCTGCACAGTGTGTTACAGATGAAGCTCTTTATGTCATTGAGGAGGGAGACTGACCTCTGCAACTCGGCCAAACTCGCTTATAATCTCACCATTGCTGTCAATCACCTCTTTCTGGAGATCCATACGAATCCGGCGTCTAGTTTCGGCAGTGTTGCTGACTCCCCGCTGATCCAGAAGGGATAGAGCATCTCGAAATTCAGTATCGGAGTACGAGGTTGACAGCACGGATGTGACCTTGGACGCTAATGGCGACGCCCCTTTTGCTGTTGAAGAGCTGGTCTCTAGAGGAGATGAGAAGCCCCCTGCCGCAGAGCTACGCGGAGGGAGATTCCTCAGTGTCGAGGGCGTCTCGGATGACATGGCCTGAGTAAAGGAGTGGCGGGGAATGTTGCACAACTTGACTGCAAATTGACTATGGCAAGCCCCCGAAGCTGAGGCCTGCACAGGCCAGAGATGTAAACACTCTAAGACCAAAGACAAGGCAGGGAAAAGAGATAGAACAACAAAGAAAATAGTGTCTGGTGTAATACAATGAGATGTGGCGGATATAAAGGATGTAAAGAAGCCAACCGAGTGTCGTGTTCATAAGCTTATCAGCATTAGGAAAGCGGTGACGCGCTGCCTTTGGTGGTGTGGGGAAAAGTCCGGCAAAAAGGTTAAGCAAGCGTCATGGTCCCCGGCCACCGCCGGTCTTTGTTCTGAATGCGTTCAACAAGGAGACAACGACATCTCATCAGGGCATTTTCTATCTTGGCCTTCTCTTCGTCATCTTCTCAGCTCTTCTATCGCTAATACAAGCCACCATACTTCAAGAGTTGTCTGTCTGCCACCCGATTATTGTGTGCCGCACTGTTAGCTCCACCTATTGGGCGCATGGTACTAAGGTCACGCTTCCTGGGGTCACGATACCTGTAGAAGCTTGTCAGCTTGTTTTAGAGTGTGCAGGTATAATCATCCAACTTTCATAACACATCGTAGGATACAGACTGACTCTTACAGAACATAACAGCTGTTCGAACGCATCTACCATACTTTTTCTGACAGTTTAGCGACAGCCTGTTCGTCAGACCGATAAAGCAACCGACCGCCCCGAACCTCGATAGGGTGCCATCCGCACAACCGCTTGGAGCCCCGGGGCGAACGAAATATGGGCCTATGAAGTTTTGAAGCCCAAGACTTGTCAAAACTATTATGTCTTCCAACGTTTTCGGGCGATTTGGCCCGGAATCCAGAGGCACTCGCTCTTTCTACGAGCAGCTTCGCTCCCGTGACGATGACGACGACAACGCTAGGGATGATGAAGACGTCGAACAACAAGCGGGGATAAAGATAGACGAAGATAACCTTAGGCACGCACTTAACGACTTCAACACGGAGGACTTAGGCGGCGTCGATAGCAGGATCACGATCGGAAGCGGCGCTTTCCCCCGGCAACATCAGACGGGACCGTCACACAGCCCTTCGGCTCGGTGGAAAGGGCACGATGAGGACATTGACAACGACGTCCCAGCATCACTACTAGTCGAGAACAACGACGCTGACCACGCCTCCCCGTCTAAGACGCGACGTAATAATGGTCGACGCAACCGTCGACACAACCCCCACGTCCCATCAGCAGACCCATACGAGCCTCGCACACAGGCGCAGTGGGCATCCGCCACGGCACAGCAGCCACTTCACACCGGGGCAAACGACCGTCTTCCTACGGCTGTACAACCAAGGTCTTTAACGGGTGGTAGGGTTCCTGCTGGACCCAAAGAGAAGGCCATGTGGCGATGGGTCAATACTTCCAACCTGGACAGCTTCATGCGAGACGTCTACGACTACTTTGACGGTGGTGGGCTGTGGTGCATTCTCTGCTCAAACGCACTGTGGCTGATGTGAGTAGGCAATCAGTCCGAGTCTCTACCATCCATATAACTAACTTAGCTTGTGTATAGGGAGACGCTGTTTGTAACAGTCCTTTTGACATTTCTGACACAGTGCGTCGATTACAGCAAGGTGCCCCACAGCAAATCGTTGGACCAAGTAGTGATACCGCAGTGTACGGGGAGAATGTCCGGATTCTGGAGTTTAGCCATCTGGCTGTATTCATTCTTCTTCATCTGGAAATCGGTGCAGTACTTTTTTGAGATCAGACGATTGAGCCATGTTCGCTCGTTCTTCATCCATCTCCTCGATATACCCGAACAGGACATGCAGACTGTATCATGGCAGGATGTGGTAGCCCGTATCATGGCGTTGCGCGACCAGAACCCAAAAACGGCAACTAATATACCGCGAAGCCTGCGCCGCTTCATGGGGAGCCAGTCGAAGGAGAGGCTAGATGCACACGACATCGCTAACCGTTTGATGCGCAAGGAGAACTATCTCATTGCTATGATTAACAAGGATCTTTTGGACTTGTCCCTGCCATTCCCCCTTTTGCGAAACCGTCATCTTTTCTCGAGGACGATGGAATGGAATCTGCAATTTTGTGTTCTTGACATGGTGTTTAATGAGCTGGGGCAGGTTCAGCAAGACTTCTTGCGCGCGGATCGTCGCGGGGTGCTCAGCAAGAAGCTCCGGCAGCGCTTCTTCTTTGCTGGGTGCCTAAACCTGGTATTTGCTCCGATAGTCTTGGCCTATGTGGTTATTGTCTACTTTTTCACCTACTACAATGTAGGCCGCACACCCAACACCCCTTGGTGTATCGTTATTTTTCAGTGCTAACTAATAATGCTTTGCAGGAATACCAAAAGGACCCCAAGCTGGCGACAGCCCACAAATATACTAGGCTCGCGGAGTGGAAGTTTCGCGAGTTCAACGAGCTGCCGCATATATTCTACGAGAGAATTCACATGTCGATTCCGTTTGCAACGCGCTACGTGGACCAGTTCCCCAAACGAATGACGGAAGACATTGCTCGGAGCATCGCCTTTATGACGGGTGCGCTCGCGGCGGTGTTGGCCGTCCTCACAGTGTTTGACTCGGAGCTGTTCCTCGGATTCGAGATCACCCAGGATAGGACGGTTCTGTTCTATCTCGGTATCTTTGGTGCGATCTGGGCACTGAGTAGGGGAATGGTCTCAGATGAGACGGCAGTGTTTAATCCAGAGTACGCGATACGCAACGTGGCAGAGTACACGCACTACATGCCCGAGCATTGGGAAGGGCGGCTGCACAGCTTCGAAGTCAAGCAGGAGTTTGCGGAGCTCTTTAAGATGAGGGTGATTATCTTCCTGGAAGAGGTCATGGGTATCATCACGACATCGCTGCTGCTACTGATTACGCTGCCCAAGTGCAGCGATCAAATTGTCGACTTTTTCCGAGAATTTACGATACACGTGGATGGACTGGGCTATATCTGCTCTTTTGCCGAGTTTGATTTCAAGAAGGGCATGGGTGACGGCGCGCAGCAGGGCGCCGGACATGATGTCCGGGAAGATTACTACTCGACGAAGCATGGCAAGATGGCAGCATCTTACTACGGATTTCTGGACAACTACGTCATCAATCCTAAGACGGGGATTCCCGGGCATATCCCCCCAGCAGCGCGGCATAGCTTTCAACCGCCGCCGGCCTTCCCAGGGCTGAACTCACCAACGCTTGCAGCCGAGATGCAAAGCTCTCATTTCCTACGGCCCGAGGGTGGCAGGACAAGGGACAGGATGGCTGGCGGGCTGGGGCCGCAGCGTGGTCCTCCTCCGGCACCGTCACCCATGGCATCGATGCTGCTGGACCCCCACCATCAACCGTCGGGAGTCAACCACAATGGCGGCCCAGCAGCAAGGAGCCTTTACGGATCAGTATATCCACGCGGGGGAGGGGGAGGTGGCTTCCGGGGAGACAGTCAAATCATTGAAGAGGGTGCGGAGGTTGGTGTCGGACATAGTCGGAGACTGGGGCCGGAGGAGGACGGCGAAGGGGATCTGGGGGAATCGGCGTGGCAGACGTCGCCTGGACAGGGACTCGGTCGCGAGAACAGTGCGGCCAATGCCGACGAGCCGGAGGCGGGTGTTTTGGGTATGATCTACCAGTTGAGGCAGACGCAACGCAACCGAAGAGGAGCAGGGATGATCTAAGTATCTGTTCTGTGTTTTTCATTTGTCTTCATCTTCATGAAGGCTCGACAAGTATTATAACATTATCTGCTGGTTGGCCGTCGGTCCGATCTCTAGCGGTACGAGTACTTGCTCGGAAGGCCTTTGGATGCAGTGCGATATATATATATATATGTGTGTGTGTGTGTGTGTGTATGCATATCTGCATCTGAGCATGAAATGAGTGGTTGCAATTGGGTGATTTGGATCTGCATCTGAGGTATCATCGCCATGTATTACGGAGTGTTCGTAATACTATATAGTATTATCATCTATCTACAAGTAATATGTCGTACACCATAATCGAGATTATCTCGGTGGGGACTAGGGAGAAAGGTGAGAGGTGAGAGGGAGAGAAATATCACTCGTACATGATGAAACAACAACTAGTAGTAGTAATATTAGTAGTAGTAGTAGTAGTAGTAGTGATAGTATGAGTAATACTAGTCACAAGTAATACTATAACATGTATTACTCCGTAGAAGAAGAAAACGCCTAGAATGTATATATGTACGAGTACGAGTACAAAGGAGAGGGATTTCGGGGCTTTGGTTCAAGTGACGCTCGTAAAGAAAGACAGTAATTTAAATGTCGATAATTACCGGGGGACATGATCCTCGTTCCTTGGCACCTGGCTCCTGGATAGTAAGGGAGTATCATAATATGTATTTAACGGAGGAGGCTGGATCATCATTACTCGATATTAATTATCATCCATAAGAGAGTGTCCTCTCTCCTCTCGTACGAGTACAGGGAGAGTGAGAGAAGCGAGAAGCGAAGCAGGAAGCGATCGCGGAGCAATGCAGCAAGGACAGCTTATTACTCCGTATGCGGGATGGGGGCAGGAGCCGTAGGATACGACGCAAGCAATCGTAGATTGTAATAGGACAAGTATATTAGGAATCATGATAATTGTGACGGCAGTAGCAGACTGGCAGCTTGAGCGTTAGAAGACTGCATAGTACTGTAGTACTACAGATTAGTGCAGGAAGAATCACTAAGGCTTGAGCCCGTAATAGTGCACAAGACCCGGGACTACGAGTACAAGTAGACACATTTTAACAATTGACAGCCATTATCCACGGGCCACGGGCCATACGTACCGTACTAACTCGCCATAATACCGCTGTGGACACAAGCCTGTACAAATAGACGCACGCCTGTGGACGCAGACGCACATTTCCCTCTCTTCCGCCGGAGCTCCGAAGGCTCTCTAACTGATCCCCGCCCTTTCAGGGCCGAACCAGTCAGCAGTTGAAGACCAGAGCGAGCGGTAAAATAATAGAGCGACGGACCTTTCAGAGGGGGGATTCTGTGTGCGTAAAGGAACAAGATGGTTCAGACAATAATCAATCGCCTCTAACAGACGTCTATATATATAGGTAAATACATATATTCGGATTTTAAATTGAATCTGTACATGTGTTCGAATTTAGACCTGAGAGCATCAGCAAACTCGAATCGCTCTCCCTTGTTGCCGACCACGTCCGAGCTCGCGCGAACGTGTCGTCAGACCAGAGGGAATTTCCGAGGTACACACCCCAGTTTGGCCCTTCTCACTTCCTCTTCCTCTCTCCACGAGTTAAAACTACTAGTACGGAGTAAACCTCTCTACCTATACTTGTACTAGTAGATTCTAGTACGGAACACTCGTACTAGATAATTTTTTTTCCCTTTATCTGATCTTGGCCACAGACCTTCAGCTTCCAACATTTGTATGCCTGCTACAACAAAACCTCCAGCAGCTCCTTCCCCAACACGTTCGACCGCAATTTTCATCTTCAACGAACCCCCCCCTTCTCTCTATCCGTACTTTGCAGGCTCTTCCCCATCCTCCGCAAAATAACAATCTCTGTCTCTTTTTTCTCCTTACCGTTCAGCCGAGAAGACCGACGATACACAAAGGAAAGACGTACCTGAAGAAACGAGAAATCCCCTTCCTGTCGACTGCGTCGCTGCGCATTGCGAGGCAGCCCGCACGTCAGTCAACCTGGCTGCATTCGACCAAAAGGCCGCCGGCGGAGCGTCTTCTGCTTTGGCTGTGATGGCCCAGCCCATAGCTGAGCCTGTCGAGGATCATGAGTGAGTGCTCTTTTTTTCCGGGGGGGGGGGGGGGGAGGGAAGAGAAGTGGATACGGAAAGAAGACGAAAGAGAAACCAACCACGCATCCTTTTTTGGAGATGCTTGCTGTCGGAGGAGAAGGAGAATGAGATGAAAAGCATGGCAGCTAACGTCAATCAGCTACGAATCCCTCCCGCCAAATTTCTCCCTCGTCCAGAACATGACGGCGGGGGCTTTTGCCGGCATCGCGGTACGCTCTCCTCCTTTTCTGGCACCCACCTCCCATGCCGTTTTATAACTGACGAGACTATCGCTTGCAGGAACACGTAGCCATGTATCCCGTCGACGCGATCAAGGTACACACATGGACATCCTACGCTTACTTAACGAAATATTCCTGGCCGAGCCCGCTAACACCAGCACCGATAGACCCGAATGCAGATTCTCAACCCTAATAGCACACCCGCCGCTACTGGAGTCCTGCGCAGCACATACCAAATGGCCACCGGCGAGGGTTTCTTCAGCTTGTGGCGCGGCATGTCCAGCGTCATTGTTGGCGCCGGCCCTGCTCACGCCGTCTACTTTGCCACGTACGAGGCCGTCAAGCATGCCATGGGTGGAAACCAAGCTGGCGTGCATCACCCCCTTGCCGCTGGTAGGCATCCTTTAACCCAACACATGATAGGACCCGTGTTTAGCCAGCTAACAATTCTCTTCCTACAGCTTCCAGTGGAGCGGCGGCGACGATTGCGAGCGATGCCTTCATGAACCCTTTTGATGGTATGGCCCCTATTCCCCCCTCTAATGCACAAATTTCCGGGTATCTCTGCTTCATATGAATGTCATGTATCTAATGCGCGCGCGCAACGATAGTTATCAAGCAGCGCATGCAAATTCAAAACTCGAGCAAGATGTACCGATCCATGGTCGATTGCGCCAAGTATGTCTACAAGAACGAGGGCCTCGGCGCATTCTACGTCTCCTACCCGACCACCTTGTCCATGACAGTCCCCTTCACCGCGCTCCAGTTCCTCGCATACGAGTCTATATCTACCGCCATGAACCCCCGAAAGACCTACGACCCCGTGACGCACTGTCTTGCCGGTGCTGTCGCCGGTGGTCTCGCTGCCGGTCTTACCACCCCCATGGACGTCATCAAGACGATGCTGCAGACGCGCGGCTCATCGCTCGACCCCCAGGTCAGGCAGGTCAACAGCTTTGCCGGCGGCTGCCGATTGCTGTACCAGCGCGAGGGTTTCCGCGGCTTCTTCAAGGGTGCCCGTCCTAGGGTTATCACCACCATGCCGAGCACTGCAATCTGCTGGTCGGCATACGAATTTTTCAAGTATGTCTTGCCTTGTTCAACTGGTCCCAAACTGTGTTCCGATCGCACCAATGTGCTAATCACTTTCCACAGGGCTTACTTCATCAAGCTCAACGACACTTCTCTGTGAGGCTTCAATGTACTCGAAAGGCATAAAAGGAGGGAGTGACGTACACACATGACGCCGTGTGCCTGGTCAGACAAGGCATCTTCTGCGAACTGGGGCCCATATTCGACTGTCCAAGACCTGCCATGGTTGAACTCTCGCCTTGCCACGGCATGTGCTCCGAATCCCCCCGCCTTCTCCCTAGTCTCTTGGACCGTACGAAACCGAACGAGCCGGCCCATACAGATCCGCGAGGGAAAATGAGGACAATGTCAACACAGAAACACGATTCTTTTGGACATGGACAGCACGTTAGACAGCTGGACATGTGTGTATATATATGAGTACACTGGGGCGGGATTTTTTTCGATCTACTCTTTTTACTCAAAGAGCCGCCGAGGGGTGGAAGGGGAACAAACAAAACAAAAAAAAGAATAGGGAGTCATACATGGAGCATCGTCAACAAAGCAAAGACAAAAGAAGTAAAAGGGCTGGACATTTAAAGGGGGTCGTGTGTAAAGATAATAAGGCGATGGCCGGCGTCAAAAGAATTAAAGGGTCTCTAGTCTTTTTTCCTCTTTCGGATGGAGTCAACTGTTTTTCTTTTTGGTTTTTCTTTCTTCTATTTCACGGTCTTGTCGATTACTGCACATGGATGGTTCATAGGGGAAAACTGAGATATCTGGTCGTTGAGGTTCTCTTCGTCTTCACCAGGGAATACACACCGGAATGCCAAACATGCATTGATCCATTGTTGAGGCAATACGGACTGAAGAGTTCGTTGCATCGATGTAGAAAGATTGTGACATGTCATTGTAGAATTGGAAAGTTTGCTACACCTAAGTAATACTAATACTCAATACAACAACGCCTTATGAAAAGAGAACAAAAAAAGAATGCACGACACCACACTTTGTTCTCCCCCCTCTTTTTTTTTTGTTTGTTTGTTTCGCTTTGGAGGGACATAGAAAGACAGAGACGGTGGAGAGAACAGAGGATATAATATGTACAAGGGTTTTTTAAAAAGGGGGATACGTGGTATGTGTTTAGAAGCCAAACTGAGCGCCAAAGGGACCGCCAGGACCGCCGCCGCCAAAGGGCCAACCGCCCTGACCACCAGCTTTGCGACCGCCACCCTGAGTGAACTTGAACTGGGTGTGGCCTCCCTGGAAGTTGAATGGCGAACCGCCCTGCTGGAAGGGGTGGCGGTGCTGCTGCTCCTGGGAGTTTGGGTCGTCGCCGTTGTCAAAGCGGGCCTTAAGCTCGGGGTTGCTGAGGACCTCGTATGCCTCGTTGATAGAGGCCATCTTCTTCTCGGCCTCCTCCTTGGAGATTCCCTGCTTAGCGGCCTTGTCCGGGTGGAACTGCTTGGTCTGCTTGCGGTAGGCCGACTTGATCTGGCGCTCGTCGGCGTCGTGAGACACCCCGAGGACCTTGTAGTAGTCCTTTGTCTTGCTGCGCTTCAAGCCATTCTGTGCCTTGTGCAGGAGCCGGTCCACCTGCTCCTTCTTGTCCGGGTGCGCCTCCGCCGCCTCCTGCAGCGTGCGTATCGCCGCCTCCCAGTCTTCGCTCCGGAGCTGCGACTTGCCCTGGTGCAGTAGGCCCCAGAAGGACTTGGCGTCTAGGTCTATCGTCTCTGTGCAGTACTTCGTTGCATCCTTGTGGTTGGACTGTTTACGGGTGTGTTAGCAGTTGCTGTGTTGTGGAGGAGGGTCTTGTATAATGGGAAAGAGGATAGAGGAGAGGGGGTAAGTAAAACTCACCTCTGAGTAGGCCTGGCATGTCATCTCGATGGCATGCTGATATAGACGCGAGCTGACGGATTCGGGGATGCTGCCAGCCTTGCGCAGGGCAGCAATCTGGTCATTTATGTCATTGATGAGGCCCGACTCCTCACCGTGGCCGACGAGGGCGCGTCCGGCAGTCGTCATCTGGCCCCGCTCGAGTTGGGTGATAATCTTAGCGTAGGCCTTCTGGATGGCCTTCTCCTGCTTGAGGAGCTTCTTGCAGACCTTGGACTCAGGGTCCGAGTGCAGGCACTTCCTGGCCTGGTCGACGCCCTTGTCCAAGGCGTCGAGCCCGTAAAAGGACGTGGCCGAGATGATGACGTGAGGATTCGTGTCGCCCGGCCGCATGCTGAGCAGGTGCTGCAAGTCGGCTATGCCCTCCTCGACCTCGCCACGGGCGAAGCGGCAGCGCGACCTAAGCTCACGCAGTGGGGCCGACCGGCCGGCGACGAGGATGGCGGCACCCGCGTGGCTCACGCACTCCTCCCACTGGCCCGCGGCGGCGGCCGCCTCGGCTAGGTCGACGGCGCCTTTGGCCTCATCCAGCTCCTGCATCTCGATCGAGTCGGCACCCTTGCCAGCGGCCAGGTATCCTGCGCGCGCGCCTTCCCAGTCGGCCGAGCGGGACTTGATTCTGGCCAGCTGTAGGTGGGCACCCTCAAAGTTGGGCTCTAGAGCCAGCACCTTGTTGAAGTCGGCCGTCGCTTTGTTCGTCTTTCCCAGTGACAGGTACGTGGCGCCACGCTTGAACAGGCTCAGGTAGTTGGACGGGTCGCGGGCGATGGCGGCGTCGTAGTACATGAGGGCCTCGTTGGTCTCGCCCCGGGTCAAGTGGCCCTGTGCCGTCGTCAGGATGGACGACACGGGGACGTCTGTGGGAATTTCCTGTGGTGATATCGTGGCGCCCGTGGCGATGAGGCTGGCCGCCATGGCCAGCGTGCAGAGACGGAGAGCCATTATGTGTCTTTGTCGTCGTCGGTGGCGAAAGCGAAGGTCGCGCGCCCTTTCGGAATTGAAAGAAGGAAAAGGAGGGATAAGCGAGCGCGAGCGAGTGTATATGTAGAGGCTAAGAAATGTATGTCAGACGGAAGGGAAAAGGGGTGAAGCGACCGATACGCCCAACAGGAATGAAGTGCATGAGGAAAAGACCACGCTTTTGCTATCCGTGCGAGGCTGTACATACCAACAAAATATACAACAACTCTTACGAGCCAGTAATGCTAGCACACATGTGCACCGCTACGGGAAAGGAGAGAGGGAGATAGAGACGCGAATGGCTCAGCGAGTATGTTTATCAAATCCGGATGGGCAGACAGGATTATGTAGGATGAGGATCAGGGGGAGAGAAGAGAGCGTGTACGAGTAGATACGAGTAAAGAATTGAAGCATCCGTGATGCCAATAATAAATCCACGCTGTCCTTTGGGGGGGGGAGGCAAATGGAACATGACGGAATTCAGGCCAATGGATGGAAAAGCTACAGTGGCCGGGGCGTTGACGACCACTGACACAACCGCTGTAGGCCAAAATGGCCGTTGCGGGCAGTGGCCCTGTAAGTCACTGCATAATAGTGGATTAATTCCGCCTAACAGCGGCTGGTGACAGCGGGTGGGCGCCCGCCCCTTCTCCCGTCCCCATCCCCGCGGAATTACCCCGCCAAGGCTTGGACATGTACAGGTGGTCCAGTAGTAGCACTCCATAATACATGACCGCCAGATCTCTTGCCTACATTGAAACTCGAGAGTAACTTTCAAATCATGTCTCACCACAGACACCTATCCGAAGACGCAGCCATCTTCTCCCCCTCCGTGGCCCGACAAGCCGCCTCTGCCGCTCGTGACTGGTCCTACATCGACTCATGGCTATCGGCCAAGTACGCCGGCCGTCCGGTGCCGTCGTTCGAACGCAACCCCGAAACCCTGCAGGCGCTCCTCGCGCTGGCGGCATTTAACGAAGTCGCCGACGAGGAGAGACAGATGGTCTCCCGCGCGGAGAAGGATGCCCTGATTGAGCTCGAGAGTATGGACGGCAACAAGACGGATGGCAACAACAAGTTGAGGGATGCCATCCTCGCCGCCGTGGAGGACGAGCTCCCCCATGAGGGTCAGACGGCCCTCGATGCCATGGCCAGCATGGCCGTGCAGGCCGGCATCGCCCACCCGGAACCCGAGGACCTGGCCCGCAGCCTCATGCAGGCCCAGCGCCGTGTCCACGCCGCGGAGCAAATGCAGGCTCGCGTCGATGCGCTGCAGGGCTACGTAGAGGCCGATGTCGACCGCATGGCCGACCTGGTGCGCGCCCTCGACACCCGCGACGACTACAGACCCCCGGCCCACATGGCCAGGGAGAACCTCGACCTGCAGCGCAAGGTCAAGACCATGACGGCCCAGCTGCCCGAGCTGCAGGGCCGCGTCGCCGCTGCCCAGGCCTCCTCTGCCAACCCACGCGCCACCATCGAGGACGTCTCCCTCCAGGAGCAGGCTTACCTTGACCTGCTCGCCCAAAAGAAGCAGCTCGACGCCCAGATATCCGCCTTTGCCGGCCTGCCCAGCGATCCCGACCTGGCTCGTGACGAGCTCGATCATCTCCGATCCCAGCTGCGTCGTGCCACGTCCCAGCGCGATGCTGTCTTTGAGGGTCTCGTGGAACGCGAAAGTCCTGTCAAGCGTCGGCATTGAGATAACATTTTCGCCCTCTCTACATCAATGTTCCCTATTTCCAAGTACAACACACAAAACAGCATACATATTTCCATACAACATTCTCTCTGGTTCCTTCCTTATCCAGCATCCTTTCGTCAGATAGAAATGCGCGGTATCTCTTCCGCGGCAAGAAAAGGAAAACAAATTTTACATGCATGGGGCTGCTCAAGATGGCGACGTCCTTTCCGGGGAAGCACACAGGCGCTAGCGACGGTTCTTCCCAGAGACAGCACCACCCAATCGCCCGAATTGCCTTCCAAGCCCCGACCTCTTTGGCGCCGGTGCCGGCGTCGGTGCTGCCTCCTTGGGCGCCAAGACGGGTGTATTAGCACCGTATCCTCTTCCATCCTTGTCCCTACCGTCCAGCGCACCGTCTCCTATCCGGAGCTCGCTGACCCCCAGCGGCGGGATGGTGTCCCCCTCGGCATCCTGGTTTTGGGCCCTCCTTGCCCTCTCCTGGACGCTACGGAACTTCTCCAGCAGATCGACCCAACGGATGGCGTTATCATCACGACTCTTTAGCCTGTTTGGCCTGTCATAGCTGGAGGTGCTTGAAGTCATGCTCGTACTGTTCGTTCCTGGTCAGCATCTGAAAACGGTTCTTAGCTCCGGGGGAAATCCCGGGAAGGAATGCTGAAGGGCTTACCTCTTCGGAGCCATGTGTAGATATCCTATAGAGCTGACGCTGTTTAGGCGGTTCTTCAGGGCAGCAAAGGCAGATGATTGAGGGAGGAGCATGAGAATACCGTACATGCACTTATACAGGTACGGGTATTTCTCCGGCTCCAGCAGCTGTAGTCGGAGGTCTGTATCAACCGAGGAGGGGGGGGGGGGAGTGAAAAGTCAGCCTGTGTTCCATATCATACGTGGCAGGAGGGCCTTACAGGTGAAGACGGGCGATTCAATCAGCTGAACCAGCTTGTCGACTTGAATTAGTAGATTGACCGTCATATCCAGCTCCCCGCTGCAATGTATCGGTCAGTCATATACGTTTGACGGAACAGAGCGGAAGGAGATAGAAAGAAAAAGAGTGGTCGTACAAGATTTGTAGCAAATGGTATGCCTGTTCGTAAGCCTGGGCAAGCAGACACAGTGAAAAGGTAGCCACGGCGTTGTAGCACCACGAACGGAACAAGGTGACGAAGAGTGTCTGGCCGTCCTTTAGATACGAGAACGGATGTGTTAGCTAGACAATCGATAGCCAACTAGTTTCTCCCTACTCCGTCTCCTTTCATGTTATAGAGGTGATGGTACTTGCCCTGCTATCTAGGTTGCGCAGACGCTTGCGCATGTCGGCCAGCTGAGGCGCAGTGATGAGGTTATTGTTGAGGTTCTGGACCATGATGGAGGCAAACTCGAGGTCCTCCTCCCTCTCTATACACTCGGCCATTGTGCGGTATATGCGCTCGGGGCTGAGGTTGAGAGACAGTTGGCGGATTATGAGGTTGCCCCTGGTCTCGAGAAGCTTGCGGTCGGTCGAAAATAGCGACAGGAGGTTAACCATGAAGGTGTTGAAGTAGGCCTCCTCGCTCGTGCGGGCAATCTGCGACAGCAGCTGGAGGTCCTTGGTGACGACAGTGTCCGAGGGGTCGGATAGAGTCTTGAGCAGGGCCGGGAAGATGCCGTCGCCGTAGGCCAGCACCTTCTGGGGCGCCTTGCGGTGCAGCATGATGAGCCAAGTCATGGCGGCGACGCGTGTGGCCTCATGATCGTTGAGGAAGAGGAGAGTCAACGAGCTCACGGCGGCCCCGTAGTCCAGGCCGGATTGCGACTTCGGGGTGGTGGTGACGGTGGTGGCTGCACCGACTGCACCGGCAGTCGCGGTGGAAGCCGAGCGGCCATGCTGAACTTCAGAGGACCTACGGGTGACCTCGGGCTCGGACATGCTCTTCAGAGACGTCCTGCCGCTGCCTGTGACATCGGGACGAGAGGCCGTCGCCTGAGCGAGTCCATGGATATTTGCCGGAGCCTTGGTGCTTGGTTCGTCCGACAGCGAGACTACATAGTCCATCAGACAGCCGTTTACGCGCGTTGCAGCGAGATGAATCGTCTCGTTTGGGCTGGCCATGGCGGGCAGCATGTGTGACAGGATCTTAGGAGTGGAGGGAAGGACCTCCTCGGGGCAGATTTCGAGGAACTCGACAATCCACCGTAGAGATTCAAGCAAGCAGTCCTCTTCTACAGGATTGTCAGCAACAGTACATAGATAGGCAGAGGACGAAGTAGAGAGAAAACGTACCCAAGGGTGAGTCAAGCGTGGATGTTAGAATCTCCAGGATTTCCTTGTAGTTAATCTCGACATCCTGACCTGGTATCCAGTCCTCGTCGAGATCATCGGGGTCGTCATCAAGTATGGCATCGGAGTCGAGCTCGTCACCCTCTTCCAGGGGAGCACGACCACTGCCACTGTCAGCAGAGTCCTGTCGCTTACGCTTGCCGCCATCCCTCTGCTTCTTAGAGTCGAGTATGCCCTTCTTGACGCGCGATATACGCTTGATCTCGCTGAGAAACTTGTCAAGGCAAGTCTGTGTGGAGGCGCGCACATCAGCGGTCTGGTCCCCCAAGAATTTGAGGAGGCCGCCAAGGAAGTCGGGGAGGTAGGTGACGAGCTCCAAGTCGGGGATAGAGTCGAGAAGGGTGAGCCAGCCGACAAGAAAGTTTCGGGTGAAGGGGTTGATAACGCATATACGCTCCCTCAGCAGGGGGATGAACCTGGGGAGGGAAAAGGCCGTTGGCAGTGTGATGGCCGGGTCATCAAAGAGGCTGGCCTTGTCGTCTCCCTCATAATCCGATGGCAGTTCCATGACCGAGACGTAGGAAGCCGCCGATTCAGATACAATATCCTTGACGAGGCGGTCCAAGAGCTCAGCCCCGTTCTTGACGGACAGCTCCGAGTCCGCAGCAAGCTAAATGACGTGGAGAGGTAAGCAGCCGAGACTACACTGTTATGTGTTGATGGGTATTCCTACCTTGCACAACTGATCAAATATGCTGTTAAAATATATGAGTATCTCGCCTTTCCCAACCTTGGCGATGTTGTACATGGCCTCGCATGCATAGTACCGCACCCTGGCATCCTGGTCCGTGAAGCACGCCAGTACGGGAGGAACTATCCTTGACAGATATTTGGGCAGATCCTGCAAAAAGCAAGGGGTCAGCCGCCGGGTTGTGAGTTGAAAAAAGATGAACAGGAGGGGGGAAGAGTTTACAGGTCCAAGTGCGATAGCAGCAGCGGCCAGACCGATGAGACCTCCATTCCTAGCATGGGGCTGATTAACAGCATATGCGTAATCATTGCAGAGCTGTTCGATAATACACAGCACCTTTTCCGAGTTGCCGTCCGTAGTAGCCTCACGGATAATTCTCTCGAGTCTGTAAATGTCAGTCTTATCTCTCCAAGTTTCGATGAGTCTCAAGAGATGGAGGGGTTCAAACGAGAGGAAGGGGGGGAAAGGTGGGGGGAAGAACGCTGGCAGTTGGAACAGCATAGAACGATGCGGCCCGCTGCAAAAAAAGTGAGACCTAGGAGGGCGGGGGCTCTGAACATACTCGAGAGCTCCAGCCTTGCGTTTATCGTAGAGCTTGTCGTTGAGAGCGCGCTGGATATTGGTGTCCATGACGGGCGGTCAGAACAAACATGCCGGGGATGGCCGACACCGGCTTGGGGGACTGGAAAGATACTATCGGAGTTATTGTTGTTGTTGTTGTTTCTTTTAACAAGAGCGACAAATGTATATATATGTGTGTGTGAGATGGGGTTTGAGGGAATAAGAAGAAGAAGGAAAGAGATGCTGCGGTGGTGAAGGAGGGTCGTCTGTTCTTGTTTTAGCGATGTGGGACGGGAAGAGAGAGACAGCAGCAACGGTTTAGCTCCATGCTACGTCAACACACACACATACACACACACACACACCTAAGCTTAGGGACCTGACCGTAATATCATACCATACAAAGCCAAAAAAAAGGACTCCACCACCACCAAAGAAAGCACAAGGCCCCAACTACCGACGCGTCTGATGGCGACTATTATACAACATGTGCATCGTTGCTGTTGTGCATATGAAAATGGTCGTACCCGTATGGCCGCTACTGACCGTTTTCTACTTACGAGATGGTTTCGTATTACATTATAAACTCACGCTTTCTAGCCACTTTATATATATACGAGCAAGTGCTGTACGTGCAGTCTCCAACATAAAATCATTCTTATTTTTATTTATCGCTACCCATAAAAAGAATCCATCGTTCATGTACTAGACAGAAGCGTTAACGCAGCACTGCCAAGACATATATGTAGTGTGAATCTAGTCGATATCAGACACGCTGTAAAGAAATTACGGAGCGAGAGAAAAGAGACGAAAGATGCACACAGTTCAGTGACCGTGTCCGAAGATGTCGCCGCTCTGCGACACCGCCTTTTGGCACTTTGCTAGAATGGCCGCCTGCCTAGAGACCTCGGACAACCTGCCAATGACCTGCTTGTTGCCGTCCGTGAAGCCGTAGAGGGCATAAGGGATCCCAACATCGTTACAGAACTCCTGGACCATGGACTGCATCCTGCGGAGGTTGTGACGTGGTACGCGGGGGAACAGGTGGTGGATGGCCTGAAACTGGAGCCCACCGTGGATGAAGTCGAGCCAGGGAGGGCAGTCGACGTCCATGGTCGTGCGGAGCATCCTCTGGGGGAAGGACTCCTGGGGCCCCAGGTCAGCCGTGCTCATGGCAAAGTGCGACAGGACGATCTGGACGTGCAGCGGCGACGCCGTCATGTTGCTGATCATGATGTAGCCGAAGCGGGTCCAACCGTCCGGGAGCGACTTGTAGATGACCAGGTAGCCGTACCAGATGTAGAAAAAGACCTGGCCGGTGAGTTCTAGCCAGCGGAACCAGGCGGCCACGCCCTTCCTGGGACCCCTCCCGGCGAGCAGATAGTCCCACGAGAGAACGTACAGGTTGAAGCGCGCCAGCGACAGGATGGGGTAGTATGTCCACGACTGGACGCGCAGCATCACCTTGGCGACGGCGTCGTACGCCATCAGCCGGTCGTAGTACGTCGACTTGAGGTTCGTCAGGAACCGGTGCGAAATGGCGAAGAAGGGCAGGTGCTCAATGTCCGGGTCGTGCTCGGGCGCGTTGGTCACGATGTGGTGCACGTTGTGGCTCGACTTCCACCACCCCATCGACAGGCCACCGATGAAGTCGGCAATGATGATACCAATCACGCTGTCCACCTGGAAGTTGTGCGTGATGCCTATGTGACCCGCGTCGTGCGCCGTAAATACCAGCTGGTGCCACAGCCCACCCAGCGCGAACGCGCTCGTCATATACCACCCCGCTCGCAGGCACACCAGCGACGTGATCGCCAGCGCCAGGTACCGCGAGCATTCCACCGCGTACGCCCAGTAGTTGCAGTCGTACAAGCCCGCGTCGCGGATCCGCTGGTGCAACTCTCGGTACTTGGACATCACCTCGCCCTGCGTTTCCGGGTCCTGTGCCGGGTACTTGTTCAAGTCCAGCGTGATTCGCTCCCGCGTGAGTGTGTCGAGGAACGTCATGCCGTCGTCTTCTATATCAGTCGCTGCTGCTTCCACCGACGGCTTTGGCCTGCCTTCCTCCAGACATGTTGTCACCGTCGTCGTCGTCGCCGTCCGCTTCCTCATGCCACCTGCAACCTTATCAAACACTGGTGACGGTGCCCTCGAGTCAGCCGAGCTGGCCGTGTCGACCTCGTGTGCGCTGTCCGTCTCCTCATCCTGTTCACTGAGCTCTGCTCGTGATCGGAAAGTCCCTCCTTGGATGGGTGGCAAAAAGTTCTTCCAGTAACCTTCGATGCGACCAATTCGGTATCGAGCCATCTGCTCCGTCGCTTCGTACGAGTGCAGCCTGCGTCCTTTGTCAGCGTGTTCCTGCGTGATTCTGATCCAATTCAAAAAAAAAGAGGCCGACAAAACATACGCTACCATTTCGTCGGTTGCATCCTTGCCAACCATGTGCAGTATGGCCTTGTCACCACCTGGGTGGAACTTGATCCACCCATCGACCCTGAGGACATGGCCGTCGAATATGATAATCTTCCGGCCCTCTGCGATCAGGGCCTCAACATCCTCGCGAGACATGAGGGGGTAGGTCCTCTGGGGCTTTCCTCCAGCAGCAGGGGTCGTCGTCATCTTGGCGGGCGGGCGTTGCGGTTGCTGTTGTTGGCCCCGCGTGGCTTGTGAAATCGATTCCGTATCTCCCATTGTCCTCTTTTGTCTCCTTGCGTTGCTGTCACAGGGACATTTGGTAGTTTGTGCGACAAGTAGTCAATGGTCTTACAGCGAGGGATAAGAAAGGGGAACACACCGCCAAAAGCGTATCGGCTAGAGTTCAAGCCTTTCTCCCTTTGACTCGATGGTGTGCACCGGAGGGAACGACCGCATGTAGCTATGCGTCCAATTATGTAAGCTGTACACAACACGCGTTACAAAGTGCCGGGTCACTGGATGTCCCCGAGAGGCTGAAAACGTTCCACTGTTTTAGTCTCGATTTCAGAAGGGAAAGAGCAACGTACGACGCAGCACAGAAAATGGAGGAATAGTAATACAAGTAACAACATACGACATTCAACTACGGCAGGTGCTGCTCCGTGTTGGTATCCTGCAGGTCCGACCGAGTGTGGCGGAGCAAAAGCGGTGACCCCACAGTCATGTACATGTAGATTTCCTTGATTATTGCACGTTGAACGAGAACCAGCAACATCACTGGTAAGTGGTAACCCCCTACCAATGCATGTAGACACGATCAACATATAGAGATGGACTGAACTTCCAAGATTACAGGTAGAAACAGGTACCCATACCAGCACCAGTGTTGGTCGTAAGGCGTTATCAAGGTCAATTGTTCAATTCAGCATGTACAATGAACAGTCAGCTCTTACTTGGCCAGCTTCTCATTCCGTAATTTTTTTCTCTAGGGCAGTAGTATTATTTACTAGTTTACAGAGCCCCCAATCTGCACCACATGGTCAATGACCCGAGCCGGAGAGAGAGAGACCAGGGTCATGGAAACTCAACGACAAAATAAAATAAAAGATATGATGCATCCCCAAGGTCTATTCTTCCCATATTAAAGAATGACGGTGGACGCCGAGCCAATTCCTACAACAGACAACAACCAAAACAAAGAAGAAAGTATGGGGGAGAGGGGAAAGATGGCCGGCATATTGACTGGAAGCCCGCGGGAAACGGTGCAGGTAATATTGGGACAAAAAGCTTTGCTTGCTGGCTTAAAAGTGGATGGCCTTGGCGTGGGTGGCCATGGCAGCCTCCTTGAAGGCCTCGGCCAGGGTAGGGTGGGCGTGGCACGTCCTGGCAATGTCCTCGGTGGAGGCACCGTACTCAAGAGCCAGGGTGCCCTCGGCGATCATCTCACCAGCGTTAGGGCCGATGATGTGGACACCGAGAAGACGGTCGGTCTCGGGGTCGGCAATCATCTTGACCATACCCTCGGTGTCGAGGTTGGTCTTGGCACGCGAGTTGGCGCTGAAGGGGAAGGTACCGATGCGGTAGGGGATCCCTTGGTTCTTCAGATCCTGCTCGGTCTGGCCGACCCAGGCAACCTCGGGGTAGGTGTACATGACCGAGGGGATGCAGCCGTAGTTGACGTGGCCGTGGCCCTTCTTGATGTACTCGACGACGGCGACGGCCTCCTCCTCAGCCTTGTGAGCAAGCATGGGGCCAAAGGTGGCGTCACCAACGCAGCGAATGTGAGGGATCTTGGTGCGGTACTCGGAGTCGATGACGACGCGGCCACGCTCGTCAACATCGAGTCCAACGTTCTCCAAGCCGAGGCCGGCGGTGTACGGGCGGCGGCCGATGGCGACGAGAACAGTCTCGGCGTCAATCTGTCATGTGCACGTTAGCAATTGAAGCGAAGACCGAACGAGAGAAGGAAGCTCAGGGAGTCAAGAGAGTGTTGTGACACGTACAGACTCGGGCTTGCCGCCCTTGGCAGCGTCCACCTCGAGCTTGATCTGCTCGCCAGAGGTGTCACCGCTGACAACCTTGGTGTTGAGCTTGAACTCGATGCCCTGCTTCTTCAGGACCTTCTGGGTAGCCTTGGCAATCTCCGTATCCATACCGGGACCACCGATCTGGCCGAGGAACTCGACAACGGTGACCTTGGCGCCCAGCCTCGACCAGACGGAGGCCATCTCGAGACCGATGATACCTCCACCAATGACAACGAGGGACTCGGGGACCTTGTCGAGGGCGATGGCGCCGGTGCTGGTGATGACGCGCTTCTCGTCAATCTCGAGGCCGGGGAAGGGCGTCGACTCGGAGCCGGTGGCAATGAGGATATTCTTAGCCTTGAGCGTGGTCTCGCCGCCGTCGTTGAGCTCAACCTTGACTTCGTTCTCGTTGATGAAGGAGCCGGTCCCCTTAATGTAGTCGGCGCCGTTCTTCTTGAGCAGGAACTCAACACCCTTGGTCAGGCCAGCGACGGAGCTATCCTTGGCCTTCATAAGGTTGGCCAGGTTCAGCTTGACGTCACCGACCTCGATACCACGGTTCTTGGTGTCATGGAGGATCTGGTGGTAGAGGTGGGAGTTGTTGAGGAGCGACTTGGAGGGAATGCAGCCGACATTCAGGCAAGTACCACCGAGGGTACCGCGCTTCTCGATACAGGCGACCTGTAGAGCAGGGAGGGTTTTGTTAGCCACCATGACCAATACAGCCAAGCCCAAGTATATATATACGCGATTGGAAAAGGAGGCAAAGAGGGAAGGGGTACAAAAAAAACATACGCTGAGGCCCTCCTGACCGGCCTTGATGGCGGCGACGTAACCAGCAACACCACCACCGATGATTACAAGGTCCTTCTCATCTGTTTTGGGGGGGGAATAATGTTAGGGTGGGAAAAGAAACTCGGGTTTTCGGGGGGGGATTGATCTTTTCTTGATCATCGTTACGCACCGGAGGCAGACGAGTAGGCACGGCTCCATCGCGACAGGGCGGGTGCGGAGACGACTGTGGGGAGGCTATTGAGATGAGAGTCGGGTTAGCATGAGGCGATGCCTCGTCGAGAGACAATCCCGCGACATCCTTTTTCTCTTTCTATCGCCCTTTGTTGATGTCATGGGGTTTCCAACGTACGTAGAGCGGGCAGTGACCGGACGGGCGGTATGCCGGGGAATAAGACGGCTGGCGAACATGATGGAGAATCGCCTCAAAAGGACCTGACAAGCCGTTAACGATTGTAAGGGGGGGAGGAGGAGGAAGACGAGAGGGAGTGAAATCGTGAGAAGGAAGAAAGCGACTGGTTTGAAGGTGTTGAGTATGTGTCTGTCGTTGGAGACGGCCGAGCTCCAATTGTCCCGTACTGCCCAATAGGAGGCGCGTGCACGGAGCTGTCTGGGCCGCTGCCTCCTAGTCAATTTTTTTCTCGTCCCGCCATTCGCCAGCTTTCGGCTCGACGGGACTGCCATGGCCACCATGGCCACACCCTACACACCAAGGGGCCTCTGTTTATCCGTTATATCCCGCGTCCATATCAGTTCTACTTGTACGGAGTACGGATACATGTATTACATGTATTTAACACTACGTACTAAAGTAAATAGTTAGCTACTAGGCGGTAATAGTAGTACTTAACCTGTAAAATCATACATGCATTGCCTATCAGCCCATTCTGAATATCATTGCACGTATTCCTAACAGTACTGTTGCTATCGGTAAAAACCCGAATGTTGTTTCACCTCGCTCCTTCCTGACGTAGCCGTGGTAATTGCTTGGTAACTGCAGTCTTTCGAATGAAAGGAGACAGCACTAATAATAATACTATTTACTCACTGTGCATAACCATACTGGCCCGTTCCATTTATTCATCTCGTATCAGATGATATACAACAATGCAATGGTATTTTCAGTTTAGTGAGCTGACTGATACATACAGCCAGGTATTACCTGTACTCGTACTACTACTTACTATACACGTTCCTTTCCCATATTCCCACCGCCATGCCTACATGCAAAAACATACTATGTCAGTAATCCTGTCCTGCATCTGCATCTGCATCTGCATCACTCTTCGTCCACTCCCTGGATGGCTACCCGAGCTTTCCGCTTCACACCATCCAACTTCTTCAGTTTAGTCGAACTCAGCGCCTTGGTCTTCTGGAGCCTCTCCCTCATGAACCAATCGAGGCCAGCGGACAGCTGTGTGAACTCACGTGCGCCACCAAACGCCTTTTCCACTCGACTGTCTTCCCTCTCCGGTTTCTTTGACTTGCACTCCTGCAAGAGACCAACAAGGAGGGACTCGAGGAATATGTGCGTGTGTGGCTCAATCTCGGTAAGATTGAGGGGTTTGAGGACCGAGATTCGTAGAGAACCTTGTGCAATGAGGTCCGCGTAGAACCGGGCCACCTTGCACACACGCGTCTCATCCCGGAAACGGATAGCATCGGCTGTATCTTGATCATCGCTGTCCTCATCAAATAAGGACTCCCCCATGGCCTTGAATATTTGCCACAGGCGCGATTGGAAGGCGAACCGGACCTTGTTGTTGTTGTCACACACTCGCATGGCCACGGCGGCATAGTACGGGTTGTACTCAGCCTCGCTGCCGACGCACTGAACGAGAACACGGGCAATTTCCAGCCTGTCATCCCTCCGAAGTTTGAGGTTGAGGTACTGACGGTAGCCAGTGTCGGCGTCAGGGGCCATCATGATGGCAGTGAATATGGCAATCTGGGACGGAGTCCCTAGTCCCTGTTCGCGAGCTTTCTTCGGGTAGTCGGGTAGAAGGAAGTCCAAGTCTTCACTCTCCGTGTCAGACGCAACATCCGTACCATTGGCATCGCTCCTGTCTGCATCTTCATCTGTGTCCCCTCCATCGACTTTTGGCCGCTGATTTTTGACGGGAACGCTGGCTCCGACGAGCCACCACTTGCCTCGTGTGTCGGCCTTGATGATATCCTCGAGATCCACACCCATGGGCGTCAGGCCGTCAAGCCTTCGCGTCTGGGACTTGAGCTCGCCCAAATGCTTCTTCATACGCACCACGTGTTCCGAAACCATGGCGGAATCCATTCCTTTGCCCTTCGCCTTCTTATTCTTCAGTTGGTCGATGGTCTCGACTATAAACTTGGTGCGGACAGAGACATTGTCGTGTCCCTTCTTGGAGACAGCTTTGTTGAGTGCGCCAGAAATATGCTTGAGAGCCTGTGGATCGTCTCTGCGGAGAAGACGCCCTCCGTTACGGCAGATTCGTAGCAACAGCTCGACATTGAGTTCGGTAAGGTCTTCAAGGAGCCGCTCCATATAGTCGAAAAGGATCTTGCAACGAATCACCTCGAACACGTAGAGCTGAGACAGGAACGTGAGAAGGTTGGAAGGTTCTTTGGGGATAGCTGACTCGTCCGTCTGAACGGCGCTGGCCTTTTCGTATTCCTGCCCAAAGTCATTGACTACGCGTCGAATCAGGTGAGACCCAAAGCTCGAACCGATGATCTTGTAGACGGCTGCTGCGAAGCCACCCATGAGGACGAAGAACTGATCTGGAAGGGCCTCGGGCTTGCAGACCTGGGCCAGAATGACGTCCGTCAGCATCTCTGTGACATCTCCTCGTGCATTCTTCTGGTAGATCTCCTCGGCCCCCTGGACAATGGACAAGATGTTGGCATCGGTCAGACGGTTGATCAGACCCTGGGACTGCTTGCGCAGGCGTTCCGTAGCCTCCCTTTGGCCTCCCATCTGTTTCCGCAGTGACGGTGGCACATATTTTGCTACCACTGGTCCTGTCGTCGGAGCGACGTATGGGTTTTCTCTTTGACGGGTCGGTTGCTCGGCATTAGTGTCATCTAATCCATCATATGACTCTCCATCGTCAAAGTCCCCCTCATCGTTCAAGCTCAGGCCGTCGTCGTCTTCCAGTTCCGACACTTCGTCAGTGCCCTTTTTGGCCAGGTAGGGTTTCAACTCAGTCTTCCTCCTCTTTGCGGAAAGCCAGTCGTCGTAGTCACGCTTCCTCTTGGATGAATCTTTCTCGTCATCCTCAGACTCATCATCACCACCTGGGCCATCTAAGTCACCCAGAAGAAGGTCGAGTCCATCCTCCTTGAAGGACTTGGGGAGAGACTTTCTTCCCTTCTTGATTCCGAGTTTTCGCTCAAGCTCTTCAATCTCTGCGTCATCCTGGTCCAGTTTTGCTTGCGCTGCGCTCGAGATTTTGGATTTGTGGGCCAGGGTCTCTTCGCCCTGGTCACTCTCCTCAAGATCTATCTCGTCATCGGATCCATCAAAACTATCCGCTTCTTTCGAGTCATCTTCTTCTTCCAAGCCCGGGCCTTCCAAGTCATCGTCTTCTGACCCTTCCAGGTTTGACGGCACGTTGCTAGCAGTGAATGCCGACTTCTTGGGAGCAGATTTGGGCGTGGCGGTCACCGAGGGTTTTGACGAATGATGAGGCTTGTTGCCGTTTCTCGAGTATGCGCTGGCCTTTTTCTGTTCTCTCTGAGCCTTTCTCTGGTCCTTTCTGGTCTGTGGTACTCGTGCTCCCGGATGGTTGCTTTTAGACCGGCCCCTTTGTTGCTGCCTTTGTCCCGGTGTCTCGATGCCCAGGCTCTTGAAGATCCTGTCTTGCATTTCGAAAACCGTATTGGAAGGCATATTGAAGACCGTAAGAGGAATGGGGAAAAGAGTGTCAGAATGAGACTTGTGTACCACCAAGAATTGTAAGAGAAGGGACAATATGAGAGAGAGAGAGAGAGAAAGGTACAAGAATCAAAATGCTGTGGTGAGGGATGAAAGAAAAAAAATCTGTCTGAGGTCTTCGCGGTCGAGGAAAGTCAATATACAAAGCAGTGAACTGATTTGCAAGAAAATGAGCGTTGAATAATGTATGACTTCTGCTGTTGTTTCTTTCCAAGATCCTGTAATACTGCAGTTGAAATGAACATCAAGTCAAACTACAAGTGAAAGAACGTCAATCGTAGCTTCCGTTCGTACTTGCCGTTGATGGCAGAAAAAAAAAAAAGCGGAAAGCGCAGACTGGCAATTGGTCAGTCCACGGCGATAATTTTCTGCCGCTTTCTACCGCACTCATCTGTGAGTGCATGATAGACACTTTTTGACGTCTTATTCATGCATTTGCTTTAAAGGCTTCCAATAATACAGTTTACAATAAATAATATCAGCTGTGTTTCCAAATACTCGGATGATTAGTATGAATGATACGTTTCCTATAAGCTTCCCATGCATATAACCTTTATGTAGGAGGAAAACATTTTTTATGTTAGCTGACTTTTCATATACAACTAGAATCAGTAATAAGTCACACTGTGTGTGACCGCCCGCCTTTCATTATCAAGTTTCCCCCATCCCTCAAAATATTCTCACTGTTGATCCGGAAAAAAAAGAAGTAAGATGAATTTTCTTTTTGCGTATACAGAATTTCTAACAGGTTCACTTTAAGTACTATATAAATGATTTGTAAACTCGCGGGACTCAACGACCCCCATTGCCCACTGCTACTGATCCTGAACCAAGTAATACACCATCAGACTGGAGAAACAGCCCCGCACCCCACGTGACGTGGCGATGGGCAACCTCAGCTTCAACATCAACGCTATCCTATCTTTATATCTAACCCAGAGCTCAGAGTCACTCCGCCCCCCACCAAAATTTCCCTTTCAACGGCTCCGTCTTCCATTAAAGACCTGTATAGAGGAGCTAGATCCTCCCCCTTGGTTGCCCGAGATGCCATCCCACTCTCCTGTGAGCCAAAGCGAAGTCAGTCAGTCCCCTCTATCGTGTTCCATGCCGCGCCGCTCATCGCAATGCTGACTTCGATCGAATTATTAGTTCTTTGACCAACTGGAAAAGCTGTTTGCCCATCGCAAGGGTAGCGATCACGGCAAGATTTACCTATCACAAACGCGCCGTACGTTTGCTTTGTCTCACTGCCCGTTTTGCATTCACCACCCCAAAGCACACACGCCCTCTTTCCTTCATACGCTTATCCAAGCACTCGCCTGCTCGCTTGATCTTACTAGTTGCTTCTACAGGAACAAGAAGAGGGAAAAATACTAACTGACCTCCTTAGACACCTACTCCTTGGACACCTCCGTCTCCTCACCAGATGACCACTTCCCAGACCTGCACCCATCAGAGCCCTTGTCCTTGGTCATCCGCGCCAGTAATGGCAAGTCTAAGCGCAACAGGTCCGACAAGATCAATGTGTCCACCATTGTGAAACCCGATGAGCTGGAGGTCTTCTACGCCCGGTACGCAGACGTTTGTAAGGCTGGAATGACGGCCCTGAAACCGCGTGATAGGAGCAGAAAGAAGGAGAAGGCCAAGGCCAAGAAGAAGAAAGCTGTTGCTTAGGGTTTTTTTTTAGATGTACATATCAAATAAACGAGACATGCGCCAAAAAAAAAACATGAAGAAAACCCCCTCTTTGCTCACTGACGAATGACGCCTTTGACCATCTTGGACTCAAGGAATGTACACACTCCAGGATATTGCCATGATACGCATGTCATCACGATACAAACATAATCAGCACCCACTCCCTCTCACCGCGCCGTCGTCAATCAATCAAAAGCACAGACACGATACAATTTAGCTCAGACCATTCCCCATTCCGGTCCCAAGATCATCAACAACTATAGCTCATTCCCTCAAAAATTGCACTCCACAAGGGATGTGCTGCTTGAGCCCAAAAGCATTCTCGAAGCGTTGCACCTTTTCGTAAAGAAAAAAAGAGATTGCCAGCTGACATTGGTACATGATAAAAAAAGGAAAAAAGGAACAGGAGTCGATTCGAGAAAAGTAGAGAAACTTGGGTTGAAAAAAAAAGAGAAGGGTAAACATGAAGAGAGAAGACATATGTCGACCCAAAGGGCGCATGGATAGACTAGGCCATAGCCATAGTCTACATCATCTGGTCCTGTGTCATCCCGTTGTGGGGTTCCGTCTCCATGGCCTCTTCACCGACTTGGTTGTTGATGTACTTGACAAAGCTCAGGTGCAGAGGGCGACCACCGTACTGATATCCCTGAAACTTAGTGATAGCAGTGTCGGCGGTGTCAGCGGAATCGAAACGCACGACACCGCTGCCGCGGGATCGGCCGCTAGGCTCGTACTGAATCTCAGCCTGCTCAACCTTGCCGATCGTTGTGAAGAGTTCGACTAGATCTTCGTTGCTCGTAGACCAGGGAAGCTGTTGGGCCGAGTTAGATAATGGTGCATAGGGTAATGTGGGATGGATGGCAGCTTACGTTCCGAACGTAGATGATTTCGTTCTTCTCCGTTCCGCCAGTGGCGTTGTCGGTAAAGGGGTTGGGAGGAGGGGCAGGGGCATCAAAGCCGGGGTTAGGACCGGGGCCAGGGCCGTGACCAGGGTTGGGGCCGTGACCGGGGCCGGGCATTTGGGCACCGGGGAAGCCGCCACGACCGCCGAAGCCGAAGCCACCACGACCACCGAAGCCTCCACGGCCGCCGAAACCGCCGCCGAAGCCCCCACGCATACCGCCGCCGAAGCCCCCACGGCCGGGGAAGCCTCCCATGGGGCCTCCGCCGGCACCGGCATAACGGTCCTCACGCACCTCGAGAACACGGCCCTGCCAGTCGTAGCCGTTGAACTGCTGGATGGCATTGCGAGCGTCTTCGGGGCTCTCGAAGACAACAATGCCGGAGCCCTTGGGGCGTCCGTCAGGTCCGCTGTGGACATCGGCGCGGATAACAACACCGACACGAGCTAGATAGGAGGTAGTGCATGGTTAGTATTGGAACAAGCTAGACAGATCGGACGGATGCAGATGTCGCCAAGACTGGGCTGCTCACTGGCTTGACGGAAAAGATCCTTCAGGTCTTGCCAACCGATGTTGAAAGGCAGCTAGATTGAGGTAATCAGTATCACGGTTCAGTCGACAAAGAAAATGCAAACGGCAAGGGGGACAAACATTGGCGACATAAATCTGGCGACCGGCGCCGCCACCGGGGGGGCCTCCGGCAAATCCGGGATTGAAGCCGCCTCCAGGCATACCGCCGCCGCCGGCGAATCCGCCGCGGCCACCGCCAGTGGTTCCGATGAACCGAGGTTCCGCCTCACGATCCTGAAACTCGATTTAATATCATCCCTCCCTAGCCAAGAACCGGTTCCACCAACCTCGCGCACGTAGACAAGACGACCCATGAGGTTCTGGTTGCTCAGCTGAGTAACAGCTTGTTGAGCTTGATCTCTTGTAGCGTACTCCACAATTCTGGAGGGAAACAGGTTAGCAAGGGGCCAGAGTATGTGAGAAGTTGAGGGGGGAAGGAGGATTCCGACTTACCCGCATCCCTACAATCGCCGAAGAGGACAGCGTCCAAACCCGTCAATCCATCCATCCAACAAAGCCGCAGGGGGAGTTAAAAAGAGAGGACAGGCCACAATAAAGTGACAGTCAAGACAAGAACTAAGCAATGAAGCCCACCTTCGACATTCCGTTTGGAAGCAATAGCACGTCGGCAAAGAGAACCTCTCCCGCTAAAAAAAGTAATAAGGAAAAAAAACCGTCAGCCCATGGCAACTCCTCCGCGCCACCCAATTTCCTCACCCTGTCTCATAAAATCCTTGAGGTGGTGCCACTTGACATCGTAAGAGAGATTGCCGACGTAGACACGGCGGTCCTGCTGAGAAGTCTCGCGAATGTTGCTCATCATATTCTCTCTTAGGCGCGCTCTGTCTTCGTAAGATCGGTTGGGCGCCTGTCCGCCGTAGCCTGAGTTGGATCCCCCACTGGGTTCGCCTGTGCCGGGCATAGGCGAGCGGTCACGGCCTCGGTGGTCGTCCCTGCTGTGGGATCTGCTCCGGGGAGAGTACGAGCGGCGACGGGATCGTTCAGGGCTTCTAGAGCGGCGTCGGGGTGAACGGGACCTCTCACGCTACATGCCATTGTGTGTCAGTGGGGCCAACGTGTAATACAGTTGCGCGACAACATGTATCCAGGGTTCCCTCTCTTCCCTTATCCGCCCCTCGGTCTCCAACCGTCACATATTTGTCGAGACATCAGCTGGGAGAGGTGATTGAGACCCAGAGCTGACTCGAAGTGTGACGTTACACAGCGACGCAGTGTTGCAATTAACTATGACGTCGTTTGAATCCCTCCAGTTGAGTGTAAAACACGGGGGGGGGGGGGGAGGCATAACCAAGGTGCGCAAGCCATGCGCAGAAACTTGAACCGGAGGCACGGGTAGCGGATAGGGGAAGGGGAGGGAAAACAAGTCCTTCGGAGCGGGATCCGCGGCCGCGCCGAAACGAAGGCTAGAAAAAGTAACTCACAGGGCGATAGCTATCGGACGTGTCTGCTGTTTAGTTAATGTTAGAGTTGCGATCGCAAGAAGAAATGTGTGTGTGTGTGTGTGTGTGTGTGTGTGTGTAGAGCAAAAATAATGACGGAGGCTAGATTATGCAGAAGAGTCCCTCAGGGTGTCGCAGAGGGGATAAGAGGGCACAATGGGAAGTTGGAGAATAGAAAGGAAAGCAAGGCTGGGTTGGTGGAAAGTGGTGCAGGCGCCGTTCTCGTAGCTGAGCTACACCTTGCTGGCACCCTGGGTGAGGAGGAGGGTGTGTGTATATGTGGATGGGTGGGGGGAGGGGGTAGAGAGAGAAGCGTAGTGGGGAAGCATGAACAAATATACGCGCGGTAGGAAACTACCCAAGCGATAGTATGCAGGTAAAAGGGTGTTATGCCTCTCCCAGGCGGGTGACAGGATTTTGACACTGAATGGGGGAATGGATGGAGCGGGGAAGAGTTGGAATCGACAATGAAAACCGCCGTCAAGGCGGACGAGGAGGAGGGTGGGGAGGGGGTGGGTTGCGTGGCCCTCGGTGAGGCCGGGCAAAGGACTGGTTGGTTTACCGGAATAGAGCGTTATCACACTGGTGAAGAAACAGCTTCTGCGATACAAAGAGCCGTTGGAGGAAGAGGAAAGAAGTAATGCTGATGGTATGGTGAGGAGAATTGATAGTGGAGAAAGTGAGGACAGTGGAAGGTGGTGGCTCAGTAGCGGATATAAAACGTCAGAAGTGAAGCTCTGCGCCGTAATAGCCACAGCTCTGCGATGCGGATCCAACAAGGAAGACAGATGCAAGGCAACGCTGGGGATGCGGCAGGCTCTTGTTTGGTGTCCGGGTGTTTGGATTGGGCGTGTACCAGCAGAGTAGTGATACAGGTGGAGTGGCAGACGCCCAAGATGGTCAAGGGCAAAGCAAGAGGAGACGTGGTAGGGGGAGTAAGAGGGGGGGGTATGCGGCTAAGATCGCAACTCCAAACAGCGCAGGGCAAAAGACCAGTAGAGGACCTACTGGTAGGGTAACAAAAGAGGATTGGGTTGATGCGTGAGAGAGAGAGAGAGAGGAAAACAAGAATAAGAAGCAACGAGAGAAAGTGGGTGGGATGGTAAGTGATGGGGGAGGGGGGTTGCGCTCCTGTACTCGTAATGGCTGGATGGGTGGTCGGGTACGCGGGAAAAGGCAAAGCAGACAAACCGGGAGAGAACGGGAAATGTATCACGTACCCATTGTGAAGCAGAGTTTTCTCTTGGTGATGCAGAGCCGTTGTCAGACCCGAAGAAAGAGTGAGCAAGTGAGGTTTTTCGCTTTGCTGGGGCGCGTCGAGTTGGCGAGAGAAGATGTCAGAGCGCGTCGGGGGGGACAACAAAGAAAATGAGAGACACGGCGACGACAACCAAAGGGCGCGAGACCGAACTCGAGGGATGGCGGACTGTGGTAGATGGCTGCGAGAAGCTTCTGGGGGGGGTACAGCCGTGTGGTTCCGCCGTGTGAAGCTTATTAGATAGAATGCGATCAGATCGGAACAAGTCCCAGAGAGGCCCAGAGAGGCGCAGGCGACTTTTTTTTCTCTGCGGTGATATGCGGCGGCGGGCGGTGGAAAGTAGGCTGGCACTATTGTTGCTCAATAGCAGACAAGCAGACGCGAGGACTGAGATGCTGCAGCGCGCGACAGGTGGGTAATGATTGGCAATTTGGTAGGAGTGTGAAGGCGCGTGACTGGCTGAAATCTTTGCGCAAAGCCTTTTGATTGTTCCAAGGGGGAAAGTGGCTAGAAACAGTGACCAGCAGTAGTCAAGTGGCGTCGTCGCAGACTGTTAGAGAGGGAGAGAGGTAATACGGCGTACAGTACACTGTACACGGTCAGTTTTGGTGCTCATACCGCTGGAGGAGCCTACAGATAGAGAGAGAGCCGAGCCCGAGCTATGTAGTGCTGCACAGGTACTCGTACTGCTGCTACCAACTGTGACGTTCAGCACGTGCCGGACAAAGACTCCTCGCTTCACCATCCAAGCGAGTACGTACACGAGTACCTGTACAACAGGATGCCTGTTCGTTCTTCGCTGGTGGTCGACTCCTGGTTGGTTGGTCAGCTTCTCGGCAGAGGAATGGACCTCGCAGGGTCGAGTCGCAAAGGGGGGAGGAAGGAGCGTTGGTTGGTTCGGAGCCAAATGCGCCAGCAGGGGGGAGCGATGCAGTCAGTGGGTGCGGTACGAGCTTCTCATGCTGGTGATGATGTGATACCAGCTCTACCAGAGTATGCAATAAAACTCACGAAGTATCATCCGTAAGACGCCGCGCTTCCCAAGTACCAGAGTACGAGTATGATGTGTTACCTCTTGTTCTTCTCGTTCGCTTCCCTGTCGGCAAGGTAGTTTTCGAGACCTGCAGGGTGCTACAGGGCGTTTCTTTGTTGAGACGCGGGAGTGGGATTGATGAATTTCTCACTCTCTTTATCCCGCCTGCAAGGTGATGATGGGCTTGGCCCTTGCCTTCGAGTGGGCGGGGAGGTTTTGGTGGCTTGCCCAATCCGGACTAGTCATCATGCTGCCATTAGGTTTTGATAAGTTACGTACACAGTCCTCGGTCAGGTGACTTGATACGAGAGTGGCATGGTGGTTTATGCACTGGTCCACTGGTCTGGAATACTGCCTGTGTCTCTAGCAGCCGCTGTCACGCCATCCAGGCACCGTTTATTGTCACGCACCGTTTATCCTCCGTAATGTGTCTGGGTCGCACTAAAAAAATTATCGACATACAAACCTCAGCACTTTGTGCAACCAGCATTGAGACTCTGCCTCTGCCGCCAAATCTTCCTCTGTGCTCCCAACCCGCCTGATCATGGTCGAGACGCGAACCTGGAACCGCGTGTGCACAACGCACAAGCTTTGGATCAGCTCCTCTTGACAGTGACGTGGTCCGATGCCCGAGAGATTCGTGGTCTGCCCACCCTCGCCTACCACGATCTACTCGGAGCCAAACTCCTCATAGAGGGTCTCATAGAGGGTTTTCCCTGGTAGCGGGAGTGGATGCTTGTATTTTTCTTCTTCTTATCCCCGCTTGATCTCGTCTTTAGTTGGACGCCCCATCCGCCCTCCGAGTTCCCTGCCGACTGTCGTCATACTACGGCTACTCATGACCCCGTCCTTCTCCCGCAACCAGTATCCACGCAGGATGGGGAACGGCACGGGCACGTTACCAATAAACACTGCGACTCACAACTCACAACTCACGACAGGACCATTCGCCCGCAAGATTTGACCCATCGTGACTGTTTGCAGGATGTAGCCACAGCGCAGGCCGCCGTCGCGATACCCCCACAGTACATGACAGCTAGACCGGCCTTCCTCATGGCCGAAAGACGGATGTTCCATATCATCTCGGTCCACCGTCAACTCCTTCGGTTTTCACGTCTGCGCTTAACTCGTCGGTAACTAGATGGTCGTTATGCAGAAGTCGGTCAGGATGCTGGTGCAGATCAAGGTCCAGGCCTGAAACCTTGATACCACGGGCTGGCAGATATCTTGTGATGTGTGCATTAGCCAAGATATCTGTATAGTCGATTGCAGACGGGAACAATTGAGCCTTCTTACTCCTCGGGTCGGGGACCTGCCAGTGCTTGCTAATAGACCAACGCCTAGAGATAATCATGAAGAGGGTTCCCAAGAGCGTAACGGTTATCAAAGCGAACTCCAGATTAATATCTGGGGGCATACTGTTCACGCCGCTATCGAGGCGCCTATAGAATGAAAGCAAACACGTCTCGAGTGTCCAAAGCAGGTCCGCGTAGGCGAGCCAGTCGAAAAGCTGCTTCCTAGAGCCCTCGGCGCGAAGTTGCCATTCGCGGCTATCTATTCGGATGTAGTTCCGCACGCTGTTCGTCTGTCATACCGTTCTCTAATGCTGTCAGGAAAGCAGACGGAGTTGTCGTGCTGAGAAGAGCTGTGCTATCGCAACGTACCCGCTGTTAGCGAGTCCCAGCCACCAAGGTCCTATGTAGTGAGCAGTTGCTGTCTCAGCCGTATACAACAGCTTGTGGCGTGACGGACTCGGCATGCCGAACAATATCCAGATTTGAGAAGAGTCGGAAGTTGGGCAGCTTACCATTGTGAACATCGTCAGAAAGACTTCCGGCGCGAGGCTGAGGAAGCCATTTACTTTCCATCGCGCAGCAACACGGCCAAAAGGCCATGGCGAAGTGATCGAGGGAAAATATCAAGACAGGGGGCGGCATGGAGAAGGGTGGCGTGGTTGGATCCATACAGAACAGCACGCAGTTCATCCTCCACACCTTGACTTCTACAACACCTCAAGCCACAGACTGATTCGGAAGTTCCAGGTTTGGACTGATCAAGGACATGTACACGCAGATGGTGGAATGCGGCTCGTAGACAGCGGTCGAGGGCAATGCGCCACGGCGCAGACGGCTACCTTATCGAGCCAGCCATCGTCGATGACCCGTCCGATGACGGATCCATCGTGACGGGGGAGCCCTTCGAACCCATCGTGCCCATCATGAAGTGGCCTTCCGAAGCCGATGTCCTTGCGTAGGCCAAGATCCAAACACTGTTCTGGGTGCCTCGGCGTGGAGCAACGTCCGTGCTGGGAAGATGGCACTTAAGTTGCAGGCCGGGAGTGCCTGGGTGAAGTCGCAATTCAATGTCGTACCGAATGTGCCTTTTAGAGGACACAAGAAGAATGGGTTGGGAATGCAGTGGGGGGTCGAGGGTCTCAAAAGATTTTACCAACTCGCGCAGCATCTGAGAGGACTATTGAGCAGTCGATACCAAGCTACCATGAATGTCAACGGTTGCTACTAGTAGTAGCATCGAGTTTCGCCCGATGTATACAGATATGTGTGGGGCAGTGTCGATGTCTTCAGCATCGTTCCTTTCCTCTGTGGCTCTTTCTTCGTGTGTGTGTGTGTGTGATGCTGTCCCCTGTCACTCGGGCTCATCACCACCTGTCATCAATGCCATTTTCCTCTCACCTGATGGGAGTCTTGAATTCTGCGTTGTTGAAAGCCACCTCTTTATGGGAGAGTTTCATGTGCTGGACACCAATTTGACGCTTTGGCATAATGCAGCCGTCGGACCCGGTGGGCCGTACTAGCTGCTGCCCCGCCACCGTGACCCCGCCCCGGGGATTGACGTCTACTCGTAGCAGCCGATGCAGCGGCCACCAGACCTCATCTGCATTGGTGATTCTGAACTTTCTTGGTTGATACGATTTCACAGGTATTCAACCCGCTCAACGGTCATCATCCGTCACCGACTTTGGGACGACTCGGCTCACCATTGTACTCGTTGATATCGAACATGTCAGATTCTGGAAAGCACGAGGTCCTTCAGCCTATTCACCCCTCCATGAAGGGGAAGCTGGACCCCGTTTTTGAGAAGCTGTACAATGACAACGTGGCCAACACGCCACTACGACCCATCGACCTCGGGGTTCTCCGCAAGAACTACTCAGTCCTCTACTCGTATGGTACAGGTCCAGCTCCGAGAGTGGGCAAGATATACGACACCAAGATCACTGTGGCGGACGGAGTCACTCTTGATATTCGCGTGTACGAGCCGCCTGGAGAGATCCAGGGGCCATGGCCGGTGCACATTGACTTCCACGGCGGCGGCTGGGGCCTTGGCGATCTAGACACAGAGGCCCACATCTGCCAACACATCTCGGCCAAGGCTCGCGTGTGCGTCATTGACGTGGCGTATAGGCTGGTCCCCGAGAACGCCTTCCCTTGTGGCGTGACGGACAGCTTCGCGGCGCTAAAGTACATCTACGCCAAGGGAGCCGAGGAGTTCAGCATTGACCCCTCGCGCATCTCCCTGGGGGGAGTCTCGGCCGGCGGCTTCATCGCCCTCTGCCTGGGGCATCTTGCTAGGGACGAGGGGATCCCTCTTAGGCTCATTGCCGTAGGTACGCCTGTCATTGACGATCTGTCAAAGTACAAATCGGCAGCTGAGTCGCCCTTCCGCTCGATGCAGGAGAATGAGCACGCCCCCACGCTCAACTGGCAGCGCCTCGCATGGTTTGACAAGTTGAAGTGGTCATCTCTGGGGTCCTCCGAGGATGAGGTTGCGGCCAAGAGGACCAAAATCCCCGAAATATATGGGAACTTGCTCAAGGCGACCAACTTTGAGGGTATGCCCCGGACAGTCATCTACACTGCCGGTGCGGATCCACTGCGAGACGAGGGCGAGCGCTATGGCCAGGTACTGCTCGAGAACGGGAACGAAGTCGTCATGAAACGGTTCCGGGGCGTCCCGCATCCGTTCATGCACATGGACGGCATTCTGTGGCAGGCTAGTGAGTTTATAGACCGGACAGCCAAGGAAGTCCGGGCCGCTCTCTCTGATCGACTGTAGGGGGGGAGGGGGAAGCCGGTGTAAGGTCGAGTGTGTACATCACCCTATGTAGCTGGAAATGTGACTCGAGGCACATATACTACCTTCTTGACAGGTCATTGCGGCACAAAGCACAGTGAAGACATTATTTCCGCGTTCTCGTGCAGCTCACCGTCCGTTCTCTGACCTTCCGATACATGGATACGTGTGGCCCTTGGCGTGTTAGCCGGCGGCCACCGTGTTCTTCCTTGCCTGCCGTCGGCCTTGATTTATTTCTTCATTCTTCCTTCCATTGTGTCTCTCTATTTGGTGATTTGCTCGAATTGCTCGAATCATGCTTTGCATGAAACATATCGGCAGAGGAATAATGTCGAAAGAAAAAAACAAGAGCTGAGCGGGTGGCATTTTCCGACGGCTACGTTGAATCCCATCATGGCCGTCGCATGCTGTTTTATTGCACTGACGTCCAATATTGGCCACATAAGTACACTACAGATCCTCAGCTATAGATGATCTAGCAATGTCCGTGCATGTAGGTAGAATGCCATAAGGGACAATGCACTATACATATATCCGACATTGTATCGGTGAAAATCCAGGATTGGAACTCCAGTTCACCGGTCTCTCGGGAATGCCGTTGACGGTAGCTCGTACCTCCGCAACCCCGCCCCGTTATTCCCCACAGATAGACGGCGAGCCCGTTAAGTTTACTCATCGAATTGAAGGCTCTCTCGTCGTGTCCCCCTTTTTTCCTCCTTTGCGACGGAAACGACGTGGATGTCACTTGTAACAAAGAACATTGCACATATGCTACGTGGAGAAGTCTGTAAATGCTCGCTTCTATGCGACGGGACGGGGGAAATCTCAACCCCTCCCTATTCCCTTAATCATTTGTAGGATTATTGTTGAATACAGTACTCGTACAACTATGTCCTTTCGTCATGTGGATAGGGCCGCGCAAACAATGACAAATACAAACAATGACAAATTGAACCCCCGATCCACCCCGTCGCCTCTGCTTTCCTGCCTCTATCTCTCTCTCTCTCTCTCTCTCTCTCTCTAGCCGACAGGGCCTAAGTAACACATGCGAAAACAGGGCAAGATTGCTTACTAGAATGGGGAGGAAGGGGGTGGATAAAAGAGTGGAACATGTCCACGTTGATGATATAGGCTTGGCTGTTCCCAGCCCTCACAACAAGAATAAGAAGAAAAGATTGAATGTACGCATACAGAAAAAAAAATCATGGCTGTTCCGTCATCTTTAAACCCTCCAAGCCGGGTGCTAGTCACAGGAGCGAACGGTTTCATAGCACAGCACTGCGTGGCCCGTCTCCTGGCGGAGGGATACTCGGTCACGGGCACGGTGCGGTCGTCGTCCAAGGTGACGCCTGTGCTGGCGACGCACGACCATCACCCAGAGCTTCAGGTCATCGTCGTCGAGGACATGACACGCGCGGAGAGCTACCTGGATGCGCTGGCGGCGGCGGCGGCGGCGGCGGCGGTGGCAGGGCCGCCAGAGGCCATACTCCACCTCGCATCGCCCTTTGACTTCTCCGTCTCCGACTTCGAGGCCGACCTGATGCGGCCGGCCGTGCAGGGGACGAGGGCGCTACTGGAAGCAGCGAGTCGGATGATGTCAGTCAGGCGCGTGGTGCAGACCAACTCGTTCGCGGGCATATTCGACGCCTCGGTGGCCCCGGACCCGTCGCAGACATACACGACGCAGGACTGGTCGCCGCTGACGTACGAGGATGGGTTGGCGGCGACGGTGGCGCCCGCGGCGTACCGGGCGTCCAAGGCGGCGGCGGAGAAGGCGGCGTGGGCCTTCGTCAGGGACCGCGACGTGCACTTTGACCTGGTCAGCCTGTGCCCCGGCCTGGTGTTTGGCGGGTTCCTCCCTGGGGCCCCCCTGCCCGGGCGCCCCGACGAGCTCAACACGTCCAACGCGGCCGTGTGGTCCGTCATCTCGGCCGGCGTGGACGCCCCGATCCCGCCGACCAGGGCGCCCGTCTGGGTCGGCGTCCACGACACGGCCGTCGCGCACGTCCGAGCCCTCCAGACGCCACAGGCCGGCGGCAGGCGCTTCCTCGTCGCGTCGGGAGTCTACTGTAACCAGGAGCTGGCGGACACGGCGCGCAGGGTGCTAGCGGCCGACGATAAGCACGCCGGCCGCGTGCCCACCGGGAAACCGGGCGACTGGTCGGAGAAGGAGAATCTGTACCGCATCGACGCCACTGATACGGAGGAGGTGCTGCAGATGAAGTGGCAGGATCTCGAAACGGTCCTGGCCGAGCTGATGCCGCAGCTATGGGAGGTGGAGGGGGTCTAGATATAATTGTATACTTGTACGAGCCAACAACAACAACAACAACAACAACATGTCCGTAATTGGAGAGTAATGATACCGTTTTCAAATACCTCGAACGGTGACAAGTCATCGGAAGAGAAGAAGACAACAGGCGAATGGTCAGCTGTCAGAGCCGCGCTTTTTTTAAAAATAAAAATAATAATAATAATAACTCCGCCATTGCCGCTCTCGAAGTGTGTTCCGTCCGTTCAATTCCCAAGCGCATAGTCGGTTGTGGGGTTTATGGAACCAACCCTCCCCCCTCCCCCCCCTCCCCCAACCCTCCTCCTCCCGGGTACGAGTTGGTACTGCCTACGTACGGGGTAATACATGTCTCTGCAAGGGAGAGAAGATATATTGCATGTCAATGCGGTGAAAAAGACACGCAGCCGTGAGCCAATACGAGTACGCCCCCTGCCGACGATGACTGGAAGGCGGGCAAGTTGCGGCTTCTCCCAATGTCTTTCACCCGACGGGCATTTCTAGTTACGAGTAATACTCCGTACAGGTAGGTATACGAGTTGCATGGACGAAGCAGCAGGTCACCATTGCATGTATGAGTTCAAGTGGTGCTTGAGAGTGCTTCATAGGCCCGTACAAGTACGTAGCATGTACTTGCATGTATTACTCCGTATTGCGAGTACTCACTTTAATGGAAGAAGAACGGGCCATGTCCCATCAAGGAAAAGATGAGATATTTTGCAGAAGAAAAGAGAAAAGAGGAAGAGCAAGGCCCAAGTGGCTGTATGGATAGTATTACATGCTGGTGAGGTTGCACAGACACACGAAAGTACGAGAAGTCAAGTATCGCATCGTATCAAGCTGCAGACATTGACGATACGTATTGTACAATGCGGGTAGTCCCAGTCTCCATATATCATTACATGTATTACCTTCAAAGTGCAATAAGTGATACTGCGTCCAGCAGTCTACTCGGGGAGGATAATCCTGGTCCCCCGTGAAGAGCAGAGGCGAGTAATACATGTCAAGCAGTGGACGTCCATCGGACTTGACTCCACTGAGCATGTAAAGATGCACTTTTTCCCCTCAGTTCTCAAACGCGAAACTGCGAGCTGCTGCTGCCTTATAGACTATCATGGTTACGGCGTAGACCACATGTATACCTCAATCGTCATGCTCAATACTAGGCGGTTTCAATATCCCAGGTCAGGCCCGAGGGATGGCCAATGAATCAACGATACAGGTATGCGAACGTGCATGTGTGCACGTACGACGGAAGTCATCTGCCTTGCTCTTCTCTCCTCCTCCCCGCCTCCAGACAATAAGGAGCAATACTCGTAATCATCCATTGCCGCGTTCTAAGCCCGGCGGATGTAGCGTAGAGCTACGGTCGTACGACATGTAACCATCACAGTACAAGTACAAGTATGCTTGAGACCCTTGAAGGCCCTACGAAAGGGAACAAGACGGAATCCTCCAATACAAATCTAACGATGATACCTGGATACCTGGTTTCTCTCGCTTCGTGACATTATATGCGCATCACCAGCCAAGTCCACCTTCATCCAGTTAAACTCCGGGCTTTTGTATAGGAGATTATGTAGGAATGTTGCGTGTACTCCATATGTAGTTATCGCATTCTGATCCCTACAAGTCGCTATCTCTCTCTCTCTAATCGTGTCTGAAAATAGTGAGAACCGTATCAAAACTGTTCAGTGTCACCTATTGTAGGGGAAAAGAAGTCCGTGTAGGGTAGCCAAAATCTGTGCGGAAGCTCCAGCTCCTTGTGTGTGTGTGTGGGGGGGGGGGGAGAGTTTCTCGGTCGCGAAAAAAAAGGCATATCTCCCCCCGTTTCCAACATTCAACCCCCTTCGTCACCGACAGCGAAGAGAAGCCGCCCAAAAGGAATAAAAAAAGGATTCAAGGAAAGCAATGGCCACAAAGATCCTACCGACCGCAAGGCTCTGCTGCACGCGCCTGGCATCCTCTGCATCCCGTCTCGCCGCCCGCCGATCCTACCATTCGTACGACCATCCTGCGCCCCCGGGCCCCTTTGGCAAGACGGAGCTGGCCATCCTGTCGGCCGCGTACAAGCACGTTCCGGAGCACGGCTTCACGCACCGCGCCCTCGGCCTGGGCGCCCGAGACGCCGGGTACATCGACATGAGCCCGGCCGGCCTGCCCGAGGGCGTCTTCAGCCTCATACGGTACCACCTCGTCACGCGACGGGAGGCCCTGGCCGACGTCGTCGTCCCTGAGGGTGCCGGCGTCGGCGTCAAGGTTGCCGCCCTGACGTGGGAGCGTCTTCTCGCCAACAAGGACGTCATCCACCAATGGCAAGAGGTACGACGTTTCCCCCCCCGTCCCGGTGTTCTGACTGCTTCTCCGCATCCTAAGTTGCTCAACTCTTGACTTTGTATATAAAAAAAACTGATTTTTTTTTTAAAAAAAAAACTCAAGGCCCTCGCTGTCATGGCTCAACCTACCTACGTTGCCTCTTCCCTCGAGGAGCTCGCCAAGCTCTCCGACGAGATATGGTTCCTCGCAGGCGACAAATCGGTCGACTCGTCGTGGTACACAAAGAGAGCTTCCCTCTCCGCCGTCTTCACCTCCTCCGAGCTCTTCATGACCAACGATACGTCTCCCCAGTTTCAGGACACCCGCCGCTTCCTCGACCGTCGCCTGGGCGAGGTATCGTCTATGGGCTCTGCCATTGGCGCCCTCGGCCAGTGGGTCGGCTTCACGGCAAGCGCTGGTCTCAATGTTCTGAGGAGCAAGGGCGTTCGCATATGAGGAAAGGACCTGGTGCTCTTTGCTTCTCCCCTTTTCCCGAGTCCTCTGTAATAATAGCATTGTAATCATGTGTATGTTTGAGTATAGAAGCATTGACATATACAACTGTACTTTTCTTTCTTTCTTCCTTTTTATATTTCACACTTGGGAATGTCCTGTGTGTTCATGTGCCCAGAATCAAGAGCGTGCAATGAAGAGAGAAACACTATGCAAACCTTCTTTCTTCTATCGACGCCAGCATACCAGAAAGTAATAAATGAATGAAACCAGGAAAGTCACCATCCAACTCCGTGCCAATGCCTGCAGCAAATCCAAACTCCCTTTCGCTAGGTTACAAGTGCAAGATCCAGATCATAGAGTGATCGGCTTCTCTATACAAGTGTGCGTTGTCGTGGATCCGTAAGTCTATTTAAAAAAACAAACAAAAAAACAAAGAAAATCACCATGTCAGTTACTCTTTGATCCTAAAATCACAGCCATGTAAAAAAAAAAAGAAAGAAAAAAAACTCACCGGATAATCTTGACATCGCGGTCCACCCTGGCGCGGCCCTCGATGGCATTTGGCGTAATGAGGAGGTATTGTCTCGAGACGGACCGGCGAGCAGCGTCCACCTGTTTGCTTTGTCAGTAAGGAGCATCTACCTCAGGCTTGTAACTTGGAATAGTATTGAAAAAAACATACCAGCATGTTTGTGCTGATGGCCCTGTTGACATTGTCCATAAAGACGTCAAATTCATCCAGGCATCGGATGGGCGACCCGATGGCTTCCCAGACCGAGAGGAGCATGCATATGGACGAGAACGACTTCTCTCCACCCGACAGCGTCTTGGTGTTGCGCCCGGCCGAGCTCTTGCGCGTCTCGTCCGGCTCGACCTGTACGTGGACCTTGCGATGCTTATGGTCCAGGTCGATCTTGCCGCGGAAGCCACGCTCGCTGAGAAGGTAGGTGAACTGGATGCGGACGCGGGCGCTGATCTGCCTCTGGAACTGACGCCAGAGATCCAGTCGGTTCTCGATGGCCCGCTTGAGCGAGGCAATCGTGTCGTCGACATCCTTGGTGTGCCGCGTCACGTCCTCGTACTTGTCGCGCGCCTCCTTGGCCCGGTCGTAGATCTCCTGGTCCGACGCGCCCAGCCGCCTCTCCCGCGTAGCGAGCTGCTCCTTGAGCTTCCGATACTTGCGCTCGATGCCCTCAAACGTCTCGCCGTCCGGGATGTGCACGCGCTCCGGTGCAACCTGCTGCGCCTGGGCGATAAAGTCTGCCACGCGGTTCGCCTGCTCGTCTCGTTTTGCCTCGCTGCGCCGTCGCTCGTTCTTCTCAATGTCAAGTCGCTCAAAGGCCTCGTTCTTCTTCGACACCGTGATGCGGCGTAGGTCCACGTGGCTCTTGATCCTCGTCTCTGCCTTGTTGATTCGGCTCTGGAAGTCTTCCCGTTCTAGCTTGACCGCCTCTAGAGCGCTCTTGGCTTCCTCGGCCTTGGCGTGAAGCTCCCGCTTGGTCAGGCTCATGGTACCGTACTGGCTGCCCAGCTGCTCCACCTCCTCCTGTTTGGTTGCCAGACTGGTCCGGAAGCTCACAAGGCGGTGGTCGACCCCCTCGAACGCGTCGAGATCTTCCTGGATGCGTTCGATTTCGGCCTGCGTTCGCCGTAGACTGTTCTCGAGCTCTCGGATACGACCCTGGTTCTCTTTGATTGCCTTCTCGGCGTCGTTATTCGCCTGGCTGGCCTGTTTCATCTCTCGCGTGGTCGCGATGAGCTCCTGGCCCAGGTGCTTGAGGTGATCCTCTTGGAGCGCCAGCTGCCGACCCGTGTCCGATTGCATCCGCGGGCGACCATCAGACGGCCGGACGGGACCTGTGCTCGTCGTCCCGTTTCGGTTGGTGAGTCGCAGTCCGTGGCCGCGTTTTCCCTGACCGTCGTGGAAGCAGATACAGGCTGCTACATTGCGTGGCGCCCGGTCGTCGTCGAACATGATATGCTCGGCTTCCACACGGTCCTGAACGAGAATGATCTTCTCAATCTGATAGTTGATCACCATCTGCGACCTGACAATGTCGTTGTCAAACTGTAGCACTCGGAGGGCCGTGTCGAAACGGTCGTCGGGTTCCTGCGCTCGCGTGTCGATGCTCTCGCCATACGCAATGTAGATGGGCGGCGGCCTCTGAAGGCCCGCCCTTTTGATCAGGCCGGCCAGCTTGCCCTGATCCTGTTTGCTGCGGACCACGAAGGCGTTCAAGGACTCTCCAAACGTGCGCTCTAGGAGGCTAGACCATTCTGGCTTGAGTAGTCGAATGTGCGCACCGAGGGGTCCGATGGGTTTCTGCATAAAGGACGAAGCCTCCTTGCTCACCATGTCCACGAGACGACGCATATCGCCGTCGTAGCCGTCGAGCGGGGAGCCGGACCTCTGCTGCATTTCCTCTGCCTTCCTCTGCTCAGCAACGACTTCGGTACGCTTCTGCTGCTGTTCTTGTGAGAGAGCCAGGTGTCGCTGCTGGGTTTCCGAGACCTTGGCTCGGAGAGCCGGCAGGGCCTGGGTCGCCTCTAGGAGTTGCTCGTGGATACCCTTCTCGCGCGCGCGTGCGGCTTCGAGCTCCGAGTCCTTCTCCGCCCTCTCCGGCCCAGTCGATTCGTTGAGGCGTTGCTCTTCTAGGGCAATCTTCTCCTCGATGGCTTTGATCTCGGTCTTCGTGTTCTTCAACCGAGCATATGCATCTCGCTCTTCACGCTGCAGCTCGGTCAGCTCCTTCTTGGCATCGTGGTAGGTAGCTTCGGCCGCTGCCACTTTGTCGTCGAAGCGTTCCCGTTCCGTTTCGAGGTCTGCTCGTGCCCTCTGCACCTGCTCCAACTTGCTGTCGATGCTGGTGAGAGCCTCTGTCATCTCATCGCACTCGTTCTGGCAATCGACGATGCGCCGGTCACGCTCTTGTAGGCTCTTGTTATAACTCTCCAGCTCCTTCTCCTGCTGAACAACCTGAGACCAGGCCAGTTGGTGCCGGTATATACGGGACTTTTCGCGAAGGCTGTTGTTCTTCTCTGCCGTTTGCGCCAGCCTGTCGGCGTCCTCCATCTCCTTCTTCACGCCGGCTATCCGCTCATCGAGATCATCGCGGAGAAGAAGGGTCTTGTCCAGCGTGTCCTGTGACATCTTGTAGTCGTTGTCGAGCTGTTCAAGCTGCACGCCCGACACAAAGTACTTATATTTCTGAGCGGGTGTGGCGGAGTTGAGGAACTGCCTAGCGTTGTCCTGGGATAGGACAGTCAGGGGGTTACCAATCTGCAGAGCGTACCACTCCGAGATCTCGTCGACTTCCTGCTTCTTGGTGGAGATGATGCGCTCGGAGGACGATTTGATCTTGAACCCGCTGGCACCAGACTTGGAGAAGTGGCGCTCCACAATGATGGAATCGCCGTAGAGGTCGGGCTGGTAGGCGTCGGTGCCCCCATTCTTGATCTTGACGACCAGGGACCCGTGTTCTTGACCCTCCCTGACAAATGACCTCAGGCTTCCACCACGGTTTGTATCGCTGGCCTTGCCGCCTAGGCACAGAGTTAGGGCTGTGAGGACGGCGCTCTTGCCGCTGCCGTTCTCGCCAACAATGAAGTTGATGAGGGGTCCCAGCTCGACGTGCAGCCTTGTATGGCACATGAAGTTGTAGCACGTGATGCTCTCGATGATGCCACTCTCTGCCACCGAGTTGTCGCCTAGCTGGTTCGAGCGTCGGGCGAGAGCTTGGGTCGCTTGGAGGTCGTCGAGATCTTGATTCTCCAGATGTCTGAAGCCGTTGTCGCGCATCATCTCGTACTGGGTCTGTGGGGGAGACTGCGGAGCCTCAGCCTCTGACATATTACCCGCCTCGCTCCCCTGGCTTCCATCGTCGTCGTCGTCGTCATCGTCCGTCGGTTCCTTAGACTGCGGCCTGTTGTGCGACACACGGACTCGTTTTCGCTAGTAGACGGGTAATGTCAGATGCAGTCCAAGGAGTTTCCCACATCGTCCTTGGAACTTACTGATCCTTCTGGCCTCAAAGATGAGTTTGCCTCAACCACTTCAGTAATCTCCTCTCTGAGGGCATCACTGCGGGAGCGTTTGGTTGGACCCATTGTTGCCCGGTGCGCGCGCAACGTTGCGCATGGGCTTTCTGGCGCTCAGGAAAGGGTCTGAGTATCGGAAAAGATGTGGTAGAAGTGGCTGGTATCGTATTTAGACGGATGTCTGCCTGCGTACTGCCGACTCTCGAACTGCGTCCTTGTCTGAAGTTTGGAGGGGCAATTAACCATGTACAAACACACACACAGCTCAGGACAGACGCGTGCCTCCAACCGTGTCACGCATAAAGGTGCTATAATAAATGTGGAGAAGGAACGCTCCTACCCACTCAAAAGCCAGGACCCGAGATTTGGAACTTGTAAATTGTGGCTAGTATCAATGTATGTGGCTAATGTGTGGCAAAGTGCTCAAGGGTAGGTTATGTACCAAACAGACAGACCACTGAAGATGGTGAAGGTAAAAATGTCAGACATGAAAAACAGAACCGTCCAGATCCATTTCGGCACTAGACGGATTCGGAGAAGAATGATGTCGAAGAGGTGAAAAGAATTGTAAACAGTTCAGGCCATCTGTGTCTCATGTCCACGGAAAATCCCGGTGTACAGAGCCTCTCTCTTCCCATCAGTCCTCCAACATGGAAGAGCTTCCTCACGATCCGACGGCAGGCCACAGCGGCTTTGAACGGGAACTCTCGGACAATTCGGTAGAGTATCTGCTCTTCATCATCGGCCCTGAGTTGGATAGTCGTGCGCTATTATCCCAGCTCGAATCTCTGCGCAAAAGGGCGATGGAGCTATGCCGAGATCTCACCAAGGACTATATCTGGCAGAGAGACGAGTTCAGTCTCGAGCTTAGAAATGAAGCAGGTGAGAGCTACCCTGCGTAAACCACACAGACCCGGTAGACATACTGACAGTCGTAAAAGGCCTGTGGTATCTCCACGGGATGACAGAGTATGGTGATGCCGTCGAGGACGAGTGGCTGATAGTCTACCTGATACGACAGCTCAGCCGGGCTCAGCCCAACGTGTGGGCGCGCGTTCTCGACACGGATGGTGAATTCCTTCTCATAGAGGCGGCCAACGTGCTTCCCAAGTGGCTCAGCCCGGAGATTGACCGCAACCGCGTATGGATCCACAACGGGTCGCTGCTGCTCGTCCCCTGCGACGGCAAGGAGGACAGCAGCTCTCACAAGGCCATCTCTCTCCCCGAGGCCGTCGACTTCATAAAGTCAGGGGGAGGCAGGGAAAAGCTTGTTCACTCCAGTCTGGTAGAGGAGGAAGCCTTCTACCGCCTCAACAAGTACCCGGGCCAAGTGGTTGACTCGACGCATCACTCCAAGGTGACGATCCCACGGCGGCTGGCACACGTGCTGCACATCCTTCCGCGCAGCATAGCACCTGCTGTCGAGGCCTTCTACCTGCGCGACTCATTGTCCCTCAAGCCCGTGCTGTCCAGCTTGGGGCCGCTGACCTTCCCGCCGCGGGACCTGGTGACGGTGAGCGTACGCTTCAGCAAGGTCCTCTTCGCGCAGCTGCGTTCGCAGCGATTCGAAACACCCCCTCGGTGGGCGGACCTATTCCCCAAGAGCCACGGCGGAGTAGGCACCTGGGAGCCGGGTCAGGGAGACGACGCCACGCAGATGCTCGAGGCGGGCATGAAGCTGACGTGCGGCTTCGAGATGCTGGCTGCCAAGGCGGCCAAGAGCCGGAGCAGGGTGGTGCGCGAGATGGCTCTCCTGATAGAGGACATGGACGAGGACGGAGACGAAGCTCTACCCTCGGACGCGGATATCAAAGCGTGGCCCGACTCTGACCGCGCCGACAGCGAGGCCTGGCTAGACATTGACTATGCGGACTTCGAGCGTGAGATATCCGGCAAACCTGCCAGGGGATCTCAGCAGCAGCCAAAGACTGGAGAAGGGACCGGTGGTTTTGGCGATTCCAACGCCCAGGATAACCTGAGAAAGATTGTCTCCCGGTTCGAGGCCTTTCTGAACGACGACAAAGCCGGCCTAGACGGTGCTGAGCTAGACGACATGGACTTTGATGACGGCGACGACGACGATGAGACAGATGACGACGACGACTACGAGGATAAAGAAGTCAGCTTTGACGAGGAAGAGTTTTCACGAATGATGCGTGAGATGATGGGTCTGCCACCTAATTTTTCGGATCCGGCAGCAGCACCAGAAGCCAGCGACAAGGGCAAACAGAAGAAGAAAGTAGCGTCTGAAGGGCATGGTAGCGACGAGGATGAGGATGATGACGAAGACGAGGACGAGGATATCCAGAAACTGGCTTCCCAGATGGAGGCTGAGCTGAATAAACATGGTGCCCTGAGACTCGACCCACCCAGAAAGGAGAAGAAGAAGAAGAAGGAGACTCTGAAGGAGTCGGCAGAAGACGGCAAGTCAGATGATGACGACCGAGAGGGCGAGAAGGAGGAGGACGATGTCGACGACGACGACGACGACAGCGAAGACGAAGTAGATGTTGATTACAATCTTGCCAAGAACCTCTTGGAGAGCTTCAAGAGCCAAGGCGGTATGTCTGGTCCAACTGGCAACATGTTAGGCATGATGGGCTTAAATCTACCGCGGGATGAAGATGGCGGGCAAGAAGATGACGAGGATGCAGCAGGGTCTTTTTTCAAAAAGGTAAAATCTGGTATCTAGCAGATGAACAAACAACAAAACCCAACAAGTCCAAGGCATTGAAGAGAAACAAGGAGAAGAGAAGAAAAAGAATAAGAATAAGAAGTAGAAGAAGAAGTAGAAGAAGTAGAATAACAGTTCCGAACCGGTACCAAAAAGCCATACATACATATATATATATACAACAATTGAAGCCCTGATAGATATATATCCTGCGCCTCCCTCTCTTTACGAGCGTAGAATCCCGTCGTCATCAAAGCTGTTCAGCTTCTCCATGGCGTCCAACTGCTTCCTACGCCAGTGCATCTCCATGTCCTCCCCCAGCCTACCCGCCCTGCGGGGACGGTGATACTGCCTCGCTATGCCCACAAGAGAATGGTAGCACTCGTACAGGGCCCTACGGGCGGGCACGCCAGCGGGATCCTCGACAATGGGGTCACCGTCGTCTTCGTCGTCTTCGTCATCCTCCAGGCACGTCTCGACGCCTCTTATGAACTCCTCCGACTCGGGGCCTGCGGTGGTGAACTTTGTGGAGAGGAGCGGGTCTCCGAAGACGCAGGAGCTCCAGTCGCGCAGGCCGGCGACGCGGTAGCGGCAGTTGAGCCCCGTCTGGCCGTTGTAGTCCGGTTCGAGGACGAGGTTGGCCATCTCGCCGGCGTTTATGGACGTGAGGCTGGGGCGGGTGACCCGGTCGAGTAAGGGGCGGAAGCGGCGGAAGTGCTGCCTCACACGGTCGTAGGCCACCAGAACGGTGTGGTCCTCTAGGTCCTGCAGCACCGACTCGAGCATGAGGCCGAAGGCGCCGGACCACGTGTCGAATCCCAGCTCGGTGGGGTGCACGGCCGGCCGGAGGTGCTGCTGCTGCGCCGCGTCCGTCTCCCGCAGCACGTCGACGATGTACCCGAACTTCCGGCTCGGTGAGACGTGCAGCGCGATGCGCCGGAGCAGCTGGCCCGCCTGCCAGTCGAGGGGGTAGTCGTCGTACTCGGACAAGACGTCGTCGTCCTCGAGCTCGGCCAGGGTGTATCCGTGCACCGGCATGGTGAGCAGGATGGCGGCGCGGCCGTCCATGACGTTGGCCGGCAGGAATGAGTAAATTGTCGGCAGGTAGTGACGGCCTGCCGAGCTGTTCGAGTTCATCCACCTGAGCAGCGTGGCTTCGGCCGTCACGCAGTCGCGCTCGCACCTCAAGGGCCTCACCTCCGGCGGCGGCGGGAGGATGACCATCAGCGGCGGGGCGTTGTCGGTGTTGCGGTAGATGTGGTACAGCCGCTGGATGTGCGCTGTCGGGAGCGCCTTGGCCCACCTTACCCGCAGGCTCGGGTAGATCTCATTGATCAGGGCCACTATGGCACCCTCGTCATAGGTGTAGAGGGCGCTCATTGCGTCCGGGTCCGGATGGTTGACCGGCCCCGGCGGTCTCGCTCTCCCCTTTCTCGACCTTGATCTCGGTGCAGTGCTTTGGTCGGGAATGTTGCAGTAGCGCGGCGAGGGTTGGAATGCCGGGTACGCAGGGCTAAGGGGGGAGGAGGTGCTGCTGCTGTATGACTTGAGGTATTCCATTGTAGGGGAGGGTAGAAGAATCAGCAGATGGCTGTATATGTGCTGGGCTAGATAGAGTGAAGCAGGGCTGCCAGGAGTCGGTGATGGAGTATAGGAAAGGGCTGAGTGTGTATTAGAGGACAGTATATATGGACAGTATATATGGAACTGACTCATGCACCTTGCTTCAGTGATTCGCAGAGTGTTATGAACAATGATTGGGAAGCTCCCACGATGATATATAGGCGAGCAAGCAAGGATGTATGTGTGTGTGTGTGTGTGACCTGTTCGGGCGTGGATCTCATCAAAGGCGAACCGTGATGAGTGGGGGGTGGGGGAACCAGGCCACTGTTATGCTTTTCTCCCCAACGGATTATATATCTGAACCTGAGCTCTATGCTCCCCGGCAATGGGAAAACAGAGACAGAGAGGGGGTTATCTTCCACAGAGTGGCGTGTAGGCTGTGGGTGCCCAAGGGTTGTCAAATAGACGTCCGAGTGTCCGGGCATGCATTAATCAGAGGAAGACTATTTCGGGCACAGTGAGGTCTCGAACGTCCTTTTGGACAGAGAGAAGCGATGCGGCTGGGGTGTGTAGTTGGGATCCCCCCCCCTTCCATTTCTAGGCGTTAGTTACATGCAGGTTCTCCTATCTAGGGCGAATGCCAATACACCGATAGTTTAAGATGCCAGACTTACAAGACCTCCTGCAGACGACAGCAAGACGTGTCTCCTCTAGACGACGGCCCCCTGGTTATTGCGAATGACAAGTTGCGAGAGGGATGAATGACGAGAAATTTCAGGCATGGAAACTGGAGTCCTGGTGGTACTCGTACAGCTGGGTAAAGACGAGGTCCGGACCGGTGGAAAAGAGAAAAGAAGAGGGTTCATCCAATAACGTCTTGTGGATATTGACGATTGACGTACAGGATTTCAAAGACAAGGATATTTCCGACAGGTTACTCTCCGTGTTTCCCCTCCTGGAGAGTGGCGTAATATCGTATCGAGGGGGAAAGAGGGTTCGTCATGATCCCGAGTAGCGAGTGGCGTATAAGTCAAGGGAGAGCTAAAGAGGCCTGGTATGAAACGAGGGGAGGCGTTTGGAATACCACAGCACAAGAAGTTATGATGAACCAGTCTTTTTCTTTTCCTCCATTCCTTTCCTCCTACTTGCAAATCCAGTCTCTACTTGATAGAGGCTCAGGTTGGGAGGGCAGAGAGACCATAGGTACGTATCAAGGATTATATATTCTCGCCTGTGCAGAGAAGGGCTACTAGTACGATACTAGGGCGGTATATATGTAGCACGGACGTGTACAGAGTCGTAGGTTGCGAGTAGTACACCGGTCGTAAGACGGTTAAAAATGGAGAAGACTCATGTTGCTAGGGGGGGAGAACCGAAGAGGACATCTCGGCGAGCGGTGCGGGATCGACGGGAAGCTACGTATGTCCTCAACTCGCGGAAACGGAAACGGTATCCGGACGGAGAAATAGATTTCGGATGACAATCTCCATGGCGGTTAACTGTAAGCAACAGGTCCGTACTCGTATCAGGTTACAATGATCTTCTCAATGCGTGGTTGGATAGGTCTGACCGAAGAACTTTTTTTTTGGAACTGGAGAACGGGTATTCATTGCCTACCAAACGCACCATGTTCTTTTTTCTGTCCAAGCGAAAGGTAGCAATAAAGCCCAGAATCCCCACCAAAAAAGGGGTAGAAACTAGCTGAGGCCGAAGTGACGGGGGTCAGGGCTGCAGACTGCACCAAAGCAAGAGAGTCGTACTCTTACTCGTTACTCGTAGTGATGAAAAGAGATTGAAAGCAACGTTGCATTTTTTTTGAGTGTATCTCTCTCTCTCTCTCTCTCTCTCTCTCTCTCTCCCCATCTCTCTGGGATGGGTCTGGTTTCGGTTTAGCGGTGCAACGATGGAAGACGACGATGGGGAAGAAGAAGAGGAAGAAGAGGAAGAAGAGCAGATGAGATGATGGATGTCGTTGAAGAAAAGAGCTTAA